GATAGTACTCAACAGCATCAATTGGTCCTAAATTAGTCAAACTGCACCAACCGACACAAGTCCACCAACGTGCTGTGCGCCCCAAACTTACCTCCATCCGAAACTTTGTCATTGGCCGTCGGGACCCACAACCCTATCTTATCGTAAAAGCCGCTGCTTTATTTACCGAGGCAGACCTATTGACAATCCCATATACCATCGAATCGAGAGATGGAAAGCTGCTCCGTGTACCCTTAGACGGTTTTGGTTCCCCAATTACGTCTTGTATGAGAATTTTTACTCTTACTAGCGTGAATATAAGAGTCGAGCGGGAAGGCTTCCATGGCGCTGATACTTTTGTCACTAAATCAACCTGAAGATCCCTTGGTTTGTCTATTCCACGCGCGGATCTAGTTTTCTGGAGTCACATATCGTTATGCAAGCTTAGACGCTTTGATAAAAAATGTCTTCGCTTAGCAAGAAGGAAGTCCGCTCGGAGAAGGTTCCTCGAAACCAACTCTTTTCCCAGGCCCTTGTGGTTGATGGCTTGGTGTACCTCTCTGGCAACACGGGAGTGGATCCGGTTACAGGAAACGTCGTGGAGGGTACCGTGGAAGACCGTGCAGTAAGTTCCTGCCCGATCAACTAGCCAAGCCGCTTGCTAACTGATTGTCAGACTCAGATCCTGAAGAACGTCTCAAGCGTGCTAGAAGCCAGCGGAAGCGACATTGACAAGGCGGTGATTAATTGAAGGAATGAATACTACGCTATATGTGCTAACTTGGTATTATAGGTGAAGGTGAATATTTTCCTAACCAGTATGAGTGACTATGCTCTCATGAATGAGGCATATGTTAAGTTTTTCAAAAAGGATCCCAAGCCTGCAAGTCTTCTAAATCATGAGATGCTTTTAGCCTCTAATGAAATTGATTAGGTTCGCACATGTGTAGCCGTGAAGGAGTTACCTCGAGGGACGGACGTTGAGATGGAGGTCACGGCGATATTGTAAATTCAAAAGCCCTAGTTGCTTAGAAAATTTTTTTTTTGTCCTATACATTCTTGTCTCATAAACTAGAAGAATTCTTTTTCAAACCCTTATTCGTCGCACGTTGAGAACGTGTTAAATGAGTTATGAGTTATTTATTTGGTGAAACGCTGTAGAAGACACGAAAGTTCTTTTTGGCTGCATGTATGGAGATCAAATGTGAGTTCTTCACGAGCCTCTCCTAGGGCGGGCAAAATTGGAGAGGAGGTGGGTTCGGCTGCAGATGAGGTAATTTTCTGTGTCAACTCACTTATGTCGTGTAAATTGACAGGAAATCCCTCTCTGTCCTCTCTGAGCCTGTTCATTCTCAGCCGAGGTCAAGGTGTCGGGACCTCACTACGCGATGGTCACCACGGAAAGATAGGGATAGCGATCCCGATCAGTATCGGAATCCACTACCCTGGGTTCTAAGTTTCTACCCTTTACGGAATACTCTGTATTCTGCTTGTGTAGTTTTGCTCATCCTTGGAGGATCCATGCATGCAGCTGCATCAGCAGGTCATGGATGACTCCAGCACTCCTTGAGATATCGTCTCAAAAGACTGTGAGTGGCTGTACCAGCAATAACCAGATGAAAAGCGCAGTATCACTTGTTTCCGAGGTATTGAGATGAATTACAATCTCAATAGTAGCCATTTCGGCCTCATAATACCTTTATTTTTATCGGTACACGGGGGCCGACACTTCAAACAATTTCGGATCTCCACACCAGGCGGCTATACGTAATAGTCAAGTCTAGCCGACCTCCTGGGATATCCTGCGGAATGCTTTCCCTAGTCTCTTCTCATATGTAAAGTTTTGACGATTACTCCACGGATAGATGCTGGATAAGCGGCCAATCTCATTCGTTAACCCCACAAGATGTAAGCTGGGGTAATTTCATACTGTGACGCTGACTCGATCAATGGCAATCAGGGTTTTCAAGAGTTCCCCTCGCAAGCCTGCAGAGAATACGAGTTCCGAAAGTCTTATAAGAATGGACCGAATGCGCTGACAAAGTTGATATTTCATGCAGAAATTTTGATCTGCTGGCAACCAATTGACATCTCATTCTCCTTTTGTTGAAAGATTAGATATGGAGCCTAGCATGGAGCAGCACAGGCGAGATGACGAAACATTCTGGGTTCCGGGAACAGTGGAGTTGAAAGACGGTAAGATGCACACATCATGCATCCTACAGACTTGTGCACCGACTCATTATACCAGTCCACCAAGCAAGAGACCAGATGGTTCTCTTCCCAGCTCCTACTGCCGATCCAGATGACCCTCTTAACTGGTCCACATCCCGCAAATCAATCAACTTCACACTGGTCAGCTTCTTCGTTTTATGGACTTTTGTTCAACTCGATATCGCCTTTACCGCATGGGGCCCTATGCAGACGGAGCTTAATTTCTCGATTAGCCACCTAAATGCCGGATCAGCGTTGACTTACGGCGGTTTAGCCATTGGATGCTTTCTGTTCATCCCACTAGTGCACAAATATGGACGCCGTCCACTGTATCTTTTCAGCATCACTCTCCAGATTATTGCCTGCATTTGGCAGGCTAGGATCCATACCGTCGGTGATCTATTCGGTAGCGGGTTTATCTCGGGCCTAGGAGGCGCTACTAGCGAGGTCATTGTGCAGGTCACCATTGCGGACATGTTCTTTGTGCACCAGCACGCCACCATGAATGGGTGCTTTCAGATCTTTCAATGCACTGGTGCGTTCCTTGGTCCTGTGGCGGCTGGATATATTGTCGACTCGGAGGGATGGAGATGGATCTGGTGGTTATGTGCTATCCTCTTCGGGGTGACATTACTCTGTGTTGTCTTCCTATTTGAGGAGTCGAAATACGTTCCCGTTTATAACAGCCAGGGAACTACATCAGTATCCTTTCCCGAGTTGATAGATGCAGCTACCGATACGAAGACTAAATTGCAGGAAGAGAACAAAGGTGGCAGTGATACGGCGATAAGTCGAGTCACCACTACTCCCCAGTTCGCAACCAAAACATACTGGCAGCGAATGGCCCTAATCACCAAGACGGATGAGCCTATCTGGCCTCACTTCTTCCAGCCCATTGTGATTCTTTTTTCTTTTCCCGCAGTTACCTATTGTGCCCTCACTTACGGCACCACCCTGGCATGGTTCGCAATAATGACCTCCGTCCAGGCAACATACTTGCTCGAATCTCCGTACAATTTCAATGCCATCGGCATTGGATTGATGAACATCGCGCCTTTTGTCGGCGCGGTGATCGGCTTTCCCTTCGGCGGCTATCTCAGCGACAAGTCGATCATGTGGCTGGCAACCCGGAATAACGGTATCTACGAACCAGAAATGCGCCTTTGGCTCGCTCTTCCGCTTGCCATCATCAGTCCAGGTGGAATCTTGATGTTTGGTCTTGGTCTTGCTCATGTATGATTTCCTCTACTACACGTTGACCAATCTATCTAATTATATTGATAGGGCGCACCCTGGATTCTCCTTGCTGTGGGTTTCAGCTGCTTTGGATTTTCATTCGCTTCAGTTGGGGCGATTTCTCTTTCGTACGCGATGGACTGTTATCAGGATGTATGGGTTCACTTCTATCATATTAAAAGCTCACAACTCACTAATCCATTACGGTGCAGATAATTGGCGATGCGCTCGTCGGTGTTGTCTTTACGAGGAATATCTTCTCTCTCATTATTCTTTTCGTCATCACACCATGGGTCCAAGGGATGGGTATGCAGAACCTTCATATACTTGTTGCAGTCCTTGCATTCATCATTATGATGTTTCCGGTTCCATTGCTTATCTGGGGTAAAAAGGCCAGATTTGCTACTTCGTCAAGGTATAGGAAGATGGCGCAGAATCATCTAACCCATCGGACTATTTGACCCACTCAGACAAGACCATGATCTCAGATACCGAAGAAAGCTATGTGCTTTGAGTGGGCTCCGCTCATAGAGGAAGGAAATGAGTCAGGTGCGGGTTAAATGAGTGGGGTTAGAGCAAGGTTGAATCAACAGGGTGTGTAAAATAGCTGGTAAAACAGAACATCACTACATTCGATATCTAGCGACCATATAAAAGAGACTGTAACTTGTCGATTCCCGGCAGTAACTTGGTGCTTCGCAAACAAATCTGTGCGCTCCTATGGGCTGAGCGAACGTAAACGACGAGGGCTTTGTCTCGTGGGCCATGCTCCGCCACCACCGCGGCAAACAAGACGGTCAGCTCCTCCGTGCGACATCGATAGATCTTCGGGTCGGATGTACTATGGACGGAGCGGTTGTTTACTATGCGGACGGGATGTATGAGAATTGTGGACCTGCAGGTAATGAACGCACTGGCCCGCCACATCGTTTTGAAGGACATGCGTCAAAACGCCACGATCTTGCTGAGGGGGAAACCATTTCTAAAGTGGTGATTTTGTAAGAAAGATGATGGGTGGAGGAGTTTGACGGGGATTCGCATGACCTTGGGCAATGGGGAGGCGTGGGGATGTCTTAATGGGAATCGATATGGAGATGATACAGATGATGAGGAGGAACAAGCAGGAGGAGAGGAAAAGCCCATTGTGGCGCTTGAACCGGGAGATGATGAGGTCATTGTGGGCTTGTACGGGCAGAGTGATTCTCAATGTGGATTCACATATCAGTTTGGGATTTTGACCGCGCCCAAAGGAATCAGCTTGCCAGTTGTTGTTTATGATATGCCCGAGTTGAGCAATGCCTAGAACAGATCTTGCTTTCGTTCTGCTATGCAATAGCTTGATGTACCTTAGGTAGCTTATAGGCCATGGAATACTGCAAACGCATAGTTAGCAGGCGACTTGGATTAAGTGTGTTCAAAAAATATATCACCACAACATCATTCACAATCTTTGTACCCTCCATTAATCTCTATAACTGTAAAAGTATTATCAAAACGAAAGGTATACGTTGAACAGTCCGGATTCCCACGTGGTCACACCGTAAACCTAGTAAACAAGTACAATGGCATGGCTACCTCCAAACAACGGCGATAGCACACGCAACAACAAGGGCCCCCATCGGCTGCACGGAATAAGCTAAGTTCCCTGTGGGTGAAGCTGTCGGAGCTTGCGTGGTCGTGGTTGACTCTGGAGCTGGGAAGACCTTTGCCCTGTACGAGAGCTCGACGTCTTGTTCTTCTGTCACCCCAGCAAGACTCACAGCGTCCCAGTCCTCATCAAGCGTGAATTTGACGCTTCCATTGGACAGGACGGTAGCTTCAAGGGTGTCACCGACATAGTCCACCACCTTGTAGCTGAGATTTCCCTTGGTGACGTTGAGGTCGACAATATACCTATAGAAGATTGTCAACAAAAGCATCGAGGATTTCATGATAGCCACTCACATTCCCGCCACAAGATCCCCCAATGGCATTGTCATAAGATTTAATGCAGAATTACGAAGGTCAAATCCGTGATACATTTCGCCTACCGACGCGTATAAGCATGGGGGAAGAATAGGGTCAGACACGATAGGATAGGATTGGAACTTACCACCATATCGTTTTACAGGCTCGTCAAATGCATCCCGCTTTGCCAGTCTGTTCAGGATGGGCATCAGATCTTGAGACATGTCCACTGCAGCATCATCATCATCCCTCCGCCGGCGCATGGGCTCTTGCTTGTTACAATCCCACCCTACAACCTTGATCACATAGTCCTCACCGGCCACGATATCCTGGCGGCTGAAGTAGCCACTTAATGATGAACCCTGGAAACTGTTGTCGTCTGCTGGAATACACATGGCAGTTCCGCTGACCGCGTCGCCCCCCTGGAGGGAATTGGCAAAGGGGAACTCGTCACACTCCATGTCACCGGCGGCCTCAATAGCCGCTTTGGCCCAGTTGGGTATCCCGTCAGGGTAGAATTGATCAACGTATTCCTCGACGGCCTGGGCGCAGAAGCCCTGAGGACACATTATCCTTCGGTTCCTGATCTTCCAACAATTTCTCTTGCCCGGTCCGGCGTAGGTCAATTGGTATTCCTGGGTGGCCTTGCCGCCATTCAGCTTTTTCATGCCCTCACACATATTCATCAAGACCGCACGATTTGAAATCTCAAAAATCTCGTCACTGGTCGGATCTGCTGACTCCTGTAGCCTGCGTCTAGGGTCGTACACGAAGGGGACGGTCACCATGGGCGAGGGTGCCACTCTTGTCGGCGTTGGTGTCGTGCATTGTTTGGTCGTGGCTGTCCGTGTAGTGGTGGGCTTCTTATAGCACTTCTTATTCTTATCACACCCGTACCCCTTCGGACAACATTTCCCGCCACAGCAAGCTGCATCTATGTCACAGGGGCCGTTGGGATCTGCGCAACATCTCTGCGTCTTGCTGTCAAAACAACCCTCAGAGGCGACGCAGCATTGGAATTCACTCTTGCACGCCCAGTTCTTGCTCCCCACAGCATCCTGGCAGCACACGGATGTCTTCGGATCATAACACTTGTCTTTGCCGCACTTGATCATGCCCGTCGGGCAACAGTCACCCTCTTTCATACAATCATAACCCATTTCACAGGTGTGCCCTTCTTCGTCGTTGCAGCATACCTGCGTCTCGGGATCATAACACCCCTTCGTACCACACAGCTTTTGACCCTCGGGACAGCACTGGTTCCCATCAACACACGTCATCCCTTTCGCACAGACGGTGTCGAGAGCGCAGGTACTAGTGCCAGTCTGTCTCCCGCAGAGACCAGAGCCGCCAGGGCAGCACACGGATGTCTTCGGATCATAACACTTGCCTTTGCCGCATCTGATCATGCCCGTCGGGCAACACCCACCCTCTTTCATACAATCGTAACCCATTTCACAGGTGTGCCCTTCTTCGTCGTTGCAACATACCTGCGTCTCGGGATCATAGCAGCCTGTACCACATTGTTTGGTTCCGGTCGGGCAGCACCCGGTTTCGGTGCAGAAGTAGCCCTCAGGACACTTTTGCCCGGTGCCACCGCAGCAAACTTCTCCTTCTTCGGGGTTGTAACAACCTTCGGAGCCACACTCTTCGCCTCCCGCCGGACAGCAGCCGTCGGTGACGCACGTTTCGCCAATGGGGCAGCATTTGCCGTTCTCGCACATAGCTGGAATTCTAGTGTTAGGTCCGGTACCGAATAGTTAATCAGGGCATTGGGGAGGGGAGGGTGGGCCGTGGGAACACACAGGTGCCTTCTGGACATGTCATTTCTTGTCTTTCTAAGATGTCTCGATCATCATTGTCGCTATTTCCCCATAGGTCTATTTTGTGCTCGAGGCTACTGACGAAGAGGTGGGAAACCGCTGGTGAGTGATCTGAAACCTCAAAACCAGTCTGTGGCCCCCCGTGTGCTTCATATCTGACATGATCATGTGCCGATGTTGTGAGGTTCAACGCAGGTGAAGATTTCAACAGCGCACCCTCAAGGTCAAAAGCAAGGCCCAGGCGGAGCCACGAACTAAATACAATAAAATCTCGCTTTCTCATCTTCGCGTCCAGATGCAGCTTGAAAGATGTCCGAAGAGCCGTTTGACCGGACCCAAGGCGGGTGGGGGTCAAGAATTTTATAAAAATGCTGGCATCATTGCCTGGGGCAAACAAGTGGCTATGTCTATTATCATCAACCCCGAACCCTCCATTGAATACAGACACGAGTTCTTGCATACCTTCACCTGTCCTTCCAATCACACCAACCATCATTAGATGGGATACGGGTTTACCCTGCACGGGGCGACGCCAGTGGCTACAAGCACGGTACAATACGAGGCTCCCTCCAATTATCGGGTATCGTCTAAAGCACACGGACCCTCGAGGCTCTTTCTGCCGGGGTGGTACTAAGCACCACTAAGGAACTCAGCCCCACAAGTTGCAGTTGCCTTTTCACAAGCTTGTCACTCTCACGGGTGGCTTGGGCCTAAAGGGCTTTCGGCTGGCTGAATACGAGCAAAAAACTGAAAATACTATGCCAGCTCGAAATCCTGCGGATGACCCCGTTCAGCCCCCCATCGTTGCATCCCCTCGATCAGCGCACGACTAAAGCCAGCATGATATCGCAATCCGCTCTCCGGCCACGATGGTCGTCCAGCTCTCCACACGCTCCAGTTCTCAGCCATAGCACCTTCAGGTGCGCGCAGGATGCCCATTGCCACATCTATAATCTCGGGTCGCCCATCGCAATGATAGAAGACCGTTGCACCACAAGTGCCGCAGAATACCCGGAGTACATCTTTCGTGGAGCGATAGCCCTTCGCTGACCCGATCAATAGGTCCTTTGGCAGACGCGGCGTGATATGATCGAGTGATACAAACATCCAACTGATGACATGCGAGCCACTAACTAATCGACAGTCGTCGCAGAGATCCATGCTTGAAAGCCACTTGCTTTTGTCCAAGGGTGAAATCCATCCTTTGCTTGAAGGGCTTGCGATGAATTCCTGGCTGGGTCGGGCGATGGTGAAAGAGACTCCGCCGCAATGACACTGCGCGAGGAGCTCCTTACTTTCGGGATCGGGTGGCTGAGAATCGCTGCCAGCTATTTCCTGCGGAGATAGACCTAAATTTTCGGTCTGCAATTGATGTCCGTCAACGACCGAAAAGACAGCTGCTAGTCCTCCGTCCGGTGCGGAGTCGGGAAGCATATGGGCGTTGAACTTCCAAATCCCTTTGTCTTCTCTATTGGCGTCGAAGATTGCGGTAGAGACTGTCCATTGGCTAGAAACTCCTCCAATCTGGCAGCCACAAGTGCTGCAAAAGTAGCCCGTCGCTTTTGACGCTGGGTGTTGATACCTAGTCATTTTGTCGAAGCCGGATGGCGCAATAAATTCAGGCTCTACGCCAGATGGTAGTGGTGCGTGAAAGCTGCATGGTGTGCCGTGGACGTACCGACAGACGCTACAGTGGCACAAGTGTACTTTCAAGGGAAGATATTCGGCGGGGATGGTGATAGTGAACTGAACACTTTTGCAGTGGCACGAAGCTGTCAAAGTCTTGGTCGCAGACATTTTTGCTTCACAAAATGGAGTTTGTAATGTTGGAGGAAGCGGGGAAGTGCCTCTTCGTAAGTAGTAGTGAAGAGTGCACGGACCAGGACGCAAGGCTCGTATTCGGAGTCATCTGCGGATTAGCTACTTAAACAACCATCACACGGAAAGATCCGGGGGTCAAATTGAGTCTTCTGTAGATGGCTTACATACAGTCGCCAGATGATGCTGCGCGCTTTAGAAATGCAACGTCGTATGTGACTATATTTTTAGAAAAGGTGATCTACACCTAAGCTAAACAGAGTTAAGGGCGTTCCATTAAAGGGTTGGAAAATAATTCGTCAGCAGACGCATCTAATTTCGACTTCGACTGTATGATGTTGACATTCTTTTATCATTTGAGCTACCTGTCATCTCTTCTCTCAAAATGGCTTCTTGCATCACTGATTCCGCGTGGAAGGTCATTCCCATGTTCCACTCCCGCTCGATTTCCAGCACAATTCACTTCTACACCCAAAAGCTCGGGTTCAAACTCGCCAGCGCTAAGCCTGAGGGCGGTGAAATCGAGCTGACCTTTTGCTCCATGTTTATGGGCAAAAAAGCGGATGCGAATTTTTACTTCTTCAAAGCAACAGCGGAAGCTTTTAAGCCATCTCAGGCCATGATCGCTCTTGGAACTTCCGAGTTGGACGAATACTATGGTCTCGTTAAAGGATTTCCCGAGGTAGAAATCGTGGAGGACATTGAAGATACGCCATGGGGATATAGGCAGTTTACAATCAAGGATAATGATGGGAATCAGTTGGCATTTTTCAAATTTTTGGAAGGAGGCAACCCGGGAAAAGAATAAGATTGTTCTTTGCAGCTACTCCCGATGCTCAACGGCCCCCGAACTTGCTCTGAATTTCATTCGAAATCTCTTCATTTTTTATTGGGGTTGGCAATATTCAACCTATTATGGAAGCGCACAAACCTGTTTATCCGATCTAATACCCCGCACTGTCCCAGACATCAGTGGTGTAGAAGACGTACATGCGGATCCACAACCTTAAGCAACAAAGGGTCTATGGAACAATCGATCACAACATCCACGGTTCGAACTCTCTACAGGCGTCATCCTCGATTCCTCACCCGATGACAAGCTATGAATCCCCACAAATATTTAGCCTCCTCCACGCCCCGGTCGGCCTACCTATGAGAGCGCAAATCATATGAATGCTACTTTTATGATGGCATCCACTAATCAATCCTTCAATAACTCAACCGATGGCGCAGCAGCGGGAATTACGTCTCTACCTGAGCGGGGTCAAGATCTGAACCACAACAACAAAGAGGAGAATTCTAGGTTGGATGGCAAGATAGAGCTAACGGAATCTGCCGCATACGATAAATTGGGCTACAGCTTTCCCATCTGGTACAAATGGATGATTCTCAGCGTGATGTTCTCTATCCAGATATCGATGAACCTGAATGCAAGTCTCTATGCCAACGGGGTCTCGGAAATAGCCAAAGAACACAACGTCAGTGAACAAGTCGCCAGAATCCCACAACTGACTTTTCTTTGCGCTTATGCCTTCGGGTGTCTGGTTTGGGCACCATGGAGTGAGGAGCTCGGACGATGGCCGACGCAGCAACTCAGTCTGTTCCTGGTTAACATATGGCAATTTCCTTGTGCATTTGCTCCCAACTTTGCAACCTACGTCGTGGTTCGCTTGCTTGGCGGAGTAAGTACAGCCGGTGGCTCGGTGACGCTGGGGGTTATCGCGGATATGTGGGAGCCTGACGACCAGGAATATGCCGTTGCATTTCTTGTGCTGTCATCTGTCGGGGGCTCTGTCGTCGGTGCAGTCGTTGGAGGCTTTGTGGAAGCGCGTCAGCCGTTACGTTGGATCTTTTGGGTTCAGCTCATCGCTGGCGGCGCTGTTCAAATCATACACTTTATTTTGGTACCGGAAACGCGAGCTACCATCCTACTTGACAGAGAGGCAAAGAAGAGACGAAAGGCTGGACCAGGGGAAGTCAACATTTGGGGACCTCATGAGCTTCACGGTTTCTCGCTGTCTATAAGAGACATCTTGGTTGTATGGAAGCGACCGTTCGTGATGCTGTTGACTGAGCCTATCGTCATGTGGCTTTCGCTTATGAGCGGTTTCAGTGACTCCCTTATTTTTACCTTTCTTCAAGGGTTTCAACCAATTTTTAAGCAGTGGGGTTTTGGGACAATTCAGATCAGTCTCGCTTTTATACCGTGAGTTCAACTCCCCTCTCTCTTGCAACAATGGCGTTCTATTTGTTTCTTAATCGTGTGAATGCTTATTTTTCTTCTATAGGCTGCTCGTTGGATATTTTCTCGCGTACCTTTCTTTTCTACCGTCTATTCATATGTTTAGGCAGAGGCGGCGAAGACATGGCTCTGAATCTGTTTCTCCAGAAGCACGGCTGTGGTGGTTACTTTATGGTAAGCTACTTCTTCTAGCCTTCACATAGAGGTATTTTTGTTATAGATTAGAGTTGCTAATCAAGATGACAGTAATCCCATGTCTACCTATCGGTCTCTTTGGATTCGCTTGGACAAGCCTTGGTCCACCACATGTTCCTTGGATTGCTCCCATGATTTTTACAGCAGTGATTGGCATTGCAAATGTGAGCTTTCGTCTTTAGATTTTGGAGTATCTTCTGATGTTTGACAGTATTCGATCTACCAATCTTCAATTGACTATACTATCGCTGCTTACGGAGAGTATGCGGCATCCGCTACAGCGGGCAACGACTTTGCACGCGATTTTCTTGCTGGAATTGCGGCCATGTATTCCACTCCGATGTTCGAGAACATTGGCAATAGGTTCCCATATGAATATGCGTCAACAATCTTGGCTTGCATCTCCGTACTTGTCACGACCCCGATCTACTTGTTCTACCGCAATGGTCCCGCAATTCGTGCACGATCGCCATTTGCAAAGAAAATGATGGAGCACACAAGACAGCGTCGGCTATCTCAAATGCCTCATGCTGAGAAGACGGGAGGCCAAAATACTCACCTCGAGGACGCCCGTTCAGAGGTCGAATCTACCCATTGATGAAATGGAAGCAAGGCAATATACCTACTGCCTGCAAAGCCCTAAGGAGGGTAGATAGCGCAATTGGCGGAATCTACATGTTAGCATATGAAGTGATAAAATAACTAAACGATCTTCAGGCTAAATAATATTAGGTTCATAGTAGCGACGCAAGACTTGGGAATGTTTCGAAGACTTTGAGACTATTTCGAGAAACCATTTACTGGTTTTATTCTATCATGGTCTGGTTATAACTATCTCCAGATTGACCGGGTTTTTAGTCTCTGTATATCATATTTATAGATTAACTAGTTCATCAATGATATAATGAGAAACCAGATTACCCTCGCTTGCCTGCTGCATTTTACTTTCGACGACGGCGTCAATATTCAACCGCTCTTCTGCACTGAGCAGACCAAGTCGGTCTCCGATCGTCGTGAATGGACCATAGAATCTTGAATCGATGAAACCCCAATAAATTTCAACAAGCATGGAGATGTGCCGTGAAGTGAGACAAAGCCAAAATAGTTCGGTTTCCAACGATTTCTCCGTAGCAATCGATAGTCGTTTGGATGGCGACAAAGAGCCATCTTGGATCTTTTTGGTCTCACAATGTTTGAGAACCTCCAGGAAAATGCGGAACCTTGGCATGAAACGCTCTAAAAATTGATCAAGATCAGGCTCCAAATCCTCTGGACTTTCCAGCAAGAGCCACCAAGGAGCAGCAAGTATGAATTCAACAGGAGCAGCATAGGCAAACTCCAGTCAACCACCCCAGTGACGACAAGCCTCGATGAATCAACAAGGACACTGCCCGGACGGAAATCATTACAGTAAAGGCGGAAAGGACCACTGCAATGTTCTTTTGGTATCTCATGCGAGAGCTTCCGAAAAATACACGGCACAATATACTTCTTTCGGAAGTCGGCCTCATCGTCATTGCGGTGTAGCTTGGGCTGACATATAGCTCTAAGAACACGATTTTTTGTTCCAGGCGAGCAGATAATCATTATCTGGATCAATAATGTCATCCTCCTTTTACTAATGTAATAAATTCCAGTACAGCTAGGAATACTGATGTGATGGATATTGATTTGGTGGATATTGGTTTGGCGGATAATGGTTTGGCGGAAATTGGTTTGGCGGATATTGGTTTGACGGAAACTGGTTTGGCGGATATTGGTTTGGCGGATATTGGTTTGGCGGATATTGGTTTGGCGGATATTGGTTTGGCGAATATTGATTTGGTGGATACTGATTTGATGGATATCTCTGGCGCGATGAAAGAACGATGTACCTTTTGCTTTGTTAGCCAAAACATTCGATCGCACTAACCCAGCTTTCTCCAATGGGAGAATTGCAACGCATGTTCGGGAGCCAAGCATAAAACGGTATACTCACAATGCGTGAATGATTCCAGGAATATCACCCAACAGTGTCAGTAAAATGTTGATGCAGAAATCTGCTCCACATCCTCGCCGCAGTAACACTGCAAGGGGCGGTATAAATATGGCCAATATCACAAGGCAGACGTCCCTAGCAAAGGATGGAAATCATAATTAGTTCCAAAAGACTTCAGGTGCGACTGGATTACACCGTGGAAATCAGTTCACTTACGAACAACCGGTGGTAGGCATGGTGGCTCTCTTAGCGCTGCTAAACTCGGACTTTTGAAATCAGAGAAATCGCTGGGGAAAATTCCCTCTTATAATAGAACTCTTGGAATAAATGACGAGGTCGATTAGTCTTAGGAAATTACCCGTGGACTTGACAGATGATGACATCAGTGGTTCGGGTTTGGTAATCCAAGGAACAGGACACATAACTATGGCAATGTAGATGGCTTATACTGGTGATTTCAAATCGTATCAGCCGTGTTAATATCGTGAGATACGATTTCCTCGTCCTTGAATTCCTTTTTTGGCCGCGCATTCCCAGCCCCTCCTAGTAAATATACGTTATCTCAATAGCGAGAGGCAAGTATAACGAGACTATGGGTTAGTTTGTTTGGAAATAGCTGACTTATAATGCAATAAAACTAAATGCTCCTGCAGTGTACTTTCGACTATAAATGGTTTCCCTGTTCTAATAGTACTTAAATTGACTTGAGTAAAACCAAAATACTAAGAAAACGAAAGAAGGTGTCCATCTATATAGAATATGCTTAGAATAGATCTAAGATACTAAGAATCGGGGCCAATATTTTATGCTCGTAGGTAGGAGATCACTGTATAAATTAGAAGTAATAGGAATATGTGCCATCTATAGCACCCTGTTGTGCAGCTTGTGCTTATAGCTAAGACTTGAACAGCCGGTGTTAAGCACAGCTTATATTTTTGCTAAAAATAGGACGTTTGCAATGGCAAAACATCGATCCAAATCTACAACTATTACAGAGTAGATAACTGTGACAGTTTTCGTACCTCGGAATGTTCAGCCCGTGATGCTAAGGATGAGTGGAATGAGACACTAGACTGTGTAGGTGAGAATAGCGACTATGTCAAGAGGCTGCCCGTGGAAGTTTTCTATTTCAGAAGACAATCTTGCTAAGATTAACTGAATTCATTGAAACCATTATTCTAGTGAGAAAGTCGAGCGTTATACTGTCAAATTTTATTCTCTCAGTATGTATAGTTTTCCCCCTCGAAAGTGTATGATCTCACCACATGAGTCGAAAACAGAAACCCCACAAACGCACCCGATCGTATTCCCGATCTGTTTTTCGGACTTATCCTAGATCGCCCTAGTCTATATTTAGTTAGCGTTTGTACTAGGTATGGGGAACCGAACGTCACCATTCAATGACTTTCCTTAAAACACCGCATCATTATCGTACAGCACTTATTCTGGATAATTCCGTCATGGGGCAGTCTGCCCTTTCTAGCTCCCTTGAAAAACCTATCATTATAATTCAGAACCAGCGCAGATGTATGTGAGGCAAGACCTAAGGAGTTTGCACAATCGTAAGTAAACCGCTACTCCTGAAATTGGGTATGTCTTGTTGTTCTGTTACCTAGCTCTCTTCTGCTATTAACACGGTCCCAGCGGCAAGATTTGAATCAGCCCTATGACTAGAAATATTAACGTAAATCCCAAGCGACGCGCCCAGCCAAGCGAAAATGACGTTACTGACATTGTAATACAAGGCTGCTTCGGTGTCGTTCCTCTGCTGCATATCGAGGAGACTATAACTTTTATTCGTAATGCCTCCGCTTCCCGTAATTTTGTCGTGACGACCGCAATGGATAAGAGCTTCCAGTTGCGATGTGAACATCGCTGCTGATTGATGCATGTATCAGGCCAGCGCTATCTAGGTGATCCTGCCTTTGGACCTGTCTGGTCGGATATTAACAAGCTGGGGTCCGTGGTTTTCATTCATCCGGCAGGCACAATCATGCCGAAGCACTTGAATTTCTACCCTTGTAAGAACTGAGCTGAGAGCTTAAAAACGCTTACTTACTGAATTATTATCCTAGTCATACAGGAATTCCCATTCGACACTGACCGAGCATTACGTGTATCATCAATTCTGGTGTATTAACACGTCAGCCTAACATCCGGTTCCTGTTCTCGCACAATGGCGGCGCATTCCCATATCTGTCGGACAGAATTGGCCGGCAACACCTCGACAATGTCATCACGAAGGCAAACGAGAGCCTGACCTGACCATGCGAAACCTTCTGGCTAGCAAGTACATTTATTTCAATACCAGCATCTCGTCTCCAATGCAATATCCCATCGTTAAAGACCTGGAAATACCATTCAAACGCCTACTATATGCGACAGACTATCCCTATACCAAACGCTTCGACAACATGACGTATCTGGAGGGCTACAACGCACCAAAAGAATCGGGGCTTTACGACGATGTAAAAATGGAGGGTATTTAGCGCGAGAACGCTCTGGGTTTCTTTCACGTCTTGCCAAGTTGTATGCTTCTCTTCGTTAGCTTACTTAAAATACATTTGCGGAGAGGAAATAATCTGGACATCTAAGAATTTACTAGTATTCTACGTAGAAAGAAAGTCATTGTTTAGGAAACCGCTTTCCGGTCAAGCGCCCCTGGAGAAGGCTGTCCAGAGATAGTGTGATTATAAATGGGTTGATTCGATATGATAAATACATACGAGTTACACCTTTTAAGAGGAGATACACTGTCAGAATATGCACCCAAAATCAACTTGTCCGGTGTTTTCGTGAGAGACAATGGATTAAATACGCTTTTGCTAGTTGATCTGAAATCCGTAGGCCTATCCATAATCTATTCCTTAGATAAGGGAGTAATCCTCTGAAAGTTTGGGCAGGACGCGTCTGCGCGTGCTGGGTTTGAGGAGGAATCGAGTTGAATACTCATCAAACCTCCGTGGAGTAGAACTTTTCTATATGATTTATATCCAAAGAGAGTTAGTATGCGCTATCCAGAAATGGAAAATGCGGGGAATGGCGACACCACCGCCTTATGGGAGTGCAGTGCTATTGGTGGAATATATGGGTCTCATTTACGGTATCTGATTATTGCCAACCCACTCGAAACTCCTTTCGTTGACGTCAATACATAAATCCCGATGGTTCCGTTCTCAGACTGAAATTCAATTTGCTTTAGGCGCCGAGCGGTCACCAGGAGCTCCGCCTGTGTCCTTTTCCCACCATGCCGATGGTCAGTGACGGCCACCGTCGTCCCGTTCCATTCGGCCATAAACTCGTCGGGGGTGGAATTGATACAAGCAGTCAGTACTGGTAATGGAATATGCAATTTTGCTCACTGCGGTGTCTGCTTAGTTTATCATAGAGTAAAACCAGATGATATGGCTATTGTCCAAATGTAAAGCTCCCACATGGAGTTGAGGAGGCGATGGTCTGCATTATGTTACTGTGAGCTAGGTAATAATGGCGATTTGCCCCAGAAGTCAGTTTTTAATCTCTCTCTTCTCCTTATCCCACGGTCACTTGGGGATATTTCCTCAGTTTCAGTCTAGCAATTTCGCTTTTGGTTCATCGCCCTCTCAAGGATCAGAACCTCACCATCTCTAGCAAAATCATAAGCAAGCCCGACATTAAGCCGGGCGTCAACACTACCCGTCAAAATTTCGAGGTAGATCAGAGGGAGTGTCAATTTACGCGATTTGATCGGAAAGCACACTACATGTGTTACAAGTCACTTCCAAGCATCGGTCCATTACACACGTCCTTGCGAGAGACCCCCGATAAGTGTTTTAGCTATTCTCGTATGGAACAAATGTGGATCTGAGCTCAGGACACACCTGACATGCGAATTGATAATACGACCATGAAAAGTGACGGCGAGGATCCTATCTCAAATCCGACAACAGAAAGTAGAAAAGGCAGGGGCGGTGGTAAGGGAGGAGGTAGCGGGGGAGGGGGAGGGGGAGGAAGAAGGGAACGTAAGAAGAGAATCGGGAGAGAGGATGAGGAAATATACGAAGAGATAGATGAGGATGTGGAGGTGGAAGGGGGTGGGGGAGGGAAAAGCGAGGACAGCGCGGGAGGCGAGGGTGGAAGAACGAGGAGAAGGACGTTTACGAAGAGAAGAACTACCCGAACGAAACGAGACAATGACGAAGAAGAACAAGAGCAAGGAGGAGGAGGAGGGGCTGGGGGTGGAAAAGGTGGTGGTGGATGGGAGGTGTATCCATCTAAGCTTGAGTCGAAATTGTAAAAATGTCGTCTGATTTTTGAACCATATTGATTCTAGGTTTAGTTATAGTAAGAACATTCAACATTTTGTTGAGCCTCTTTACGGCCATCTCGTCAATATAGCACTTGACTCTTGCAATAGCGTGACAGTTATCCATAGATGGGATGGCCGAGAGTCTCACTTGTATGTTATCTATAAATATCAATGTGGTAAGGTAGAGGCCGACACATGGTTTCGAAAATAGCTCCATATCCAGATAGCTTTTTCTGGACAAGGCCTCCAAAAAGCAGCTAAAAATTGACCGGGTTTTAGATCGGATAATAGCTACCCGGGAATGAACTTCTCGAGAGGAAATGAAGGAGACGATCTATGCAAGAAAGCCGAGTTGCGGTCAATCCAGATGACAACCCTGCGGAGTAGTCCATCCAATCCAAGCGAGGCAAGACCCCACGTAGATGAATCATCAGCACCATGCCTCGCATGTGAATTCTGTAGTTGTCCAGACTGCCAAACACGGCCTCATAGCTGGTTATCTTTGACGCTGCCCTAATCAGCGCATCCTTGTCCATGTGACAATGCCTCATTGATTGCTTGAGTCGCTTCATAGCGCAGATGTAGTAAATTAAATTCCAAATCCTGAGTATTATCATGGACGACGGCAAAATGCGACGCTGCGATGAGAGGGAAGACCATGAATGTTGCCGGTTAGGTCATGACCAAAGGAAACCAGCGATTCCGCAAGAGTCCATGTCTTCCTGGTTAATCAAGTTCGGGAATATCAAAAGCCATGTGAATGGGATCTAAAAGCCAGACACCGTTAGATGGAAATTCGCTCTCTGTTTTTCATTGATTAGTTTTGGAATCCTTACAATGATCCACAAAAAGTGGGAAGGAGGACCGCCATAGGACAGGGCATGAGCGAAAGGGATCAACTCGGCATCCACCTAAAAGACGCGGAATTGAAGGTGTCTGCAGAATCGACAAAGCGTTGTGCTCAACTATCGGTATCAAACTCACTAGTATTGGATACTTGTTCTCTCATATCCGGTTCTCCGACTACAATTTTGAGCATTTGGAAGTACCCCAAGATGAGCAGCCGGATCGGGAGCCCATCACTCAATTTGGCCTTCCACTTTAACAATCACCGCCGAAGCTTACGGACAGTTCAAGACTACCCACAATCTTATTTGCAACTCATCTGATGTTGCGACTCAACCTGCATGGTATTTTATCCTATGCAGTTCATTATGAATTGGTGCAGACCGAGCTGAGTCGAGATTTACCTGGTTCAGGTGATGATCTTCAAGACAGGAGAGGCGCGATACAGTCGAAGGCTGTTGACCAGCACGCTGCCGCATCCCTGGCCGCTGCCCTCGATCGATCCTTCTCCCGCAAGTAAGTAACACTCATTCCACGTCACTTTCATCTGAAAGCTTTGCGGATAAAAATACACCGACAGCAACATCAGGACTTTTTCTCATGGACTACCAACTGGCGGAGGCAAGAGAGTATGCCGCAGACCTGGTGAAGGCCAAGAAGCTTTGGCATTTCAGTGATAAATTAGTGGGACAAAGTTCAACCTTTAGTTGTACTTTATCTTTCTATCATTCTAGTGTTAGTAGGCGGCATGTACTAGTCACACATATTATGCTTTGGTTATGAGGTATCATTATTCGATAGGACTGCCCAGTAAAAAGTTGGATGGACATCATCATTCACGATTTCATTATCTATAAATTGTACATTAATAATACCTGAGGGACTGACCCTAACTGAGGCCGCAATTCGTGCGTTGGCCATCTTCACTACCGATGTCCTTCTTCCAGACAGGCTCAAAATATGTCATGCCTTTTATAGCCGTAGACGCTTTTAAGGAAAATCAGCTTCTTAATATTGACCTCGCTATATGGCACGGTACACCACGTAAGGTTTTCTATATTAGGTACAATGTGCACCCTTTATCCTGACATGATTGATAACGTCAGATTGAACAAAAGCATCAGTCCGTTTATTGCACTAGATATCTAAACACCTCAAGGGGATGCTTCATATCGTTTCATAAAACTGGTCAGAGCTGACTTGGAAAGGGTTCAAACATATGATACACTTTATGATCTTTGAGGACAGATATAATATTCCTTCCATTGGAATTTTCTGTAAAAACTGACTCCCATGGTGCCCTGCCTTCGATTCCTTCCATCATAAACGAGCGACAATGGGCCGGCAACATATCAAATCTGGCTAGCATTGGCACAAACATAGATCCTTCGAATCAACAAGTCATAGTACGAAGGGAGGGATACAAAGTCAATTTTTGATGGACTTGACAGCTATTTAACAACCACAGTTCGATCAAAACGTAGCCCCGACTAGACAAGAGTCAAGCTCCGCGCCTGGACCTAAGACTTTTCAAGAACAATTATCCAGCTTGTTTCAACCACAATACTCCAATTTTCCCTATGTAGTGCTCGATCGCAAGCCAACGACGTCTCGGGAATTTGAATCAACGGGTAGTATATCCACCGTTGGCAAAGATGGTTTGACCGGTAATCCAAGCACCCTCGGTACAAAGGAAGCGAATGATAGGAGCAATATCCTGAACCATGGTCAAGCGGTTGCCCATACCATTTGCTTTGTGAAAGTCAACGGCTTCCGGAGATTCCTGAGGGTAAAAAAATGCTGTTTCAAAAAAGAGAAAAATTCGCATGTTAGATTTCTGTAACGGTGCAAAGAGACGGACTCAGTTGATTATGAGAAGACTTACGCGTGTCCATTGGTCCTGGGGCTACATTGTTCACACTGATTTGACGAGACTGGAGCTCTTTGCAAACACCCCTGGATACCTATTAATTAAGGCTTTATTTTGATGAAGATAGGTCAAATACCGGGTAAAGTGCTCCACCGGGGCTTTACTCCCAGCATAGGAAGTATAGAACCCAGTGAACGCTCCTAAGAGCGCAGTGACAATAGTGATGATCTTTCCACCGTCCGTCACATGAGCAGCAGCTTCTTTGAGGACGAAAAATGCAGTCTTAGAGTTTACCCTAGTAAAATTCTTAGCAACCTATATATATCAGTTCGTAAAGTAACGGCACGAAGCTTACGCGAACATTGTGTCATATTCTTCCTCACTGATATCCGTTATAGGCTTTTTAAGCACCTTACCAACCGTGTTGACCACAATGTCGATGTGAGCGAAATCGCGAATGACATCTTGAAAAAGCTTAGTCACAGAAGCCGCAGAGGTCAAGTCGCCTTCGTAGAAGGCAACCTTAATGGAAGCGTTTCTCTCTTTGAGCTTGGCTTCCAGCGCGGCCGCATCTTTCTTCCCTCCAGCGGAGTGGTAATGAAGGGCAAGATCGGCGCCGGCACCAGCCAGCTCGATGGCGCTTTGAGCACCAAGATTCTTAACACCGCCGGTGATAAGAGCAGTTTTCCCAGTAAGAGCCATCTTGGTGTTTCTAATAATGATTTGGAAGAGCAATGACAATCAAAGTCGGTTACAGTCGAGTGACAGATAAGTATTCTCTGGATAAGGGGACCTCACCCTTATATATGCACGAGAGCGCGTACGTGAACCGTGTTACGTTAGAAGTCAATAGATGCTCCAGACTGTACGTCAGTATGTGTTATCCTATAATAGGCAAGGCAGTAAAGCTTAAACCCAGGGATTTCCTTTCATTGGTGCAAGCATGTGGATGAAGCCTTTTAAATATCCATTTCTCACCTGGGAACTGTTATTAGTAATAGAGTTTTTATGAAAAAGCTTTAAAGGTTCAGATGTGATATCTCTTTCCGGAATAAGGGCCCCACCTTGCGTTCCACCCCTCGTCATGGGATTCTGTCGTCCTGAACTACGGTCAATTCAAAAGTGGATGAGGCAAAAGCAGCAACTTTCGAAGCAACGTCTCCTGCTACAGAGTACTAGTAAGCCTTAAGATCAATTGCGGCCTTTAAGGCAATCTCCGGAATCGGTGCTGTTTGGTCGGAAATACATATGGCTCTCTTGTGATTTGCTACGGTACTGTTATTAGGGAAGGAACGGCCGTAACGCCCCTAAACAGGTACAGTCTCTATCCCGGGGACAAAGTAGTTTTCGTGTGACCATTGATCGAGCTTATACAGAAGGGCCAAGCAGCAATCAATTTGGATGACACATACCAGCGCGCTCGTGCGTTGCCACTACAAGCCGATACGTCAGGCTGCATTGCACCTCAAATTCGCCCCAGCAGCCTTCCGGTAACTTTGATGACATGGAAGTAAAGGTTTATGTCCGATGACATGTCTGTGTGGACCAGCCGGAGAGAGTTGCTATGTCCGGTGCAGTTAAACCTTACGCTCGTATAGTAATCAATCATGGCTTGACCCAACCACCGATAAATTCTGTCTCGGGACCACTGCAAAATTTTTATTTCATCAATCAACAACATTTATTCTTCAATCAGACAGGTTCTTCAAAGTACAAATCGGCCTTCAGGGAATCCTAACTTCTCTTTCATCATGCCCTCGCACGTTACCTTCAAGAGCGGGGTCTGGCGTGTGTCTGCCAATCTCTATCAACCTGCTTCTGGAGCTTCAATGGACCGAAAGAAGGCTGCCATTGTTGTCGGTCATCCTTTTGGAAGCGTCAAAGAGCAGACATCAGGACTCTATGCTGAACGCTTGAGCAAGGAAGGATTCGTTACCCTTGCTTTCGACGCTGCTCACTATGGAGAAAGCGAAGGCGAACCTCGCTATTTGGAAAACCCGTACCAACGCGTGGAGGACTTCAAGGCGGCCGTAACATTCCTCACAACCCTCGAAGATGTCGACCCAGAGCGGATCGGCGTTCTTGGTATTTGTGCCTCCGGCGCCTATGTGACTTGCGCTGCGTCAACGGACGTGCGCATGAAAGCTGTTGCAGCAGTGAGCTCTCTCGAGATGGGACGCTTCTTCCGTGATGGTTTGGGTAATACCCAGACAGTGGATCAACTTCGCCAGGGCTTGGCTCACGCAGCCAAGCAGCGAAATATCGAAGGTGCAGGAAATGATTTGGAGCTTGCTCCTATTGCGCCGACCTCTTTGGACCAAAGCGCGCCGCAACTATATCGCGAGGGCTATGACTATTACCGGACATCCAGAGCCAAGCATCCGCGTGCTACAAGTGTCTTCGTCACTCGGAGTTTGGAGCTTTGTGCATCATACGACTCATATGCTTTCATCCACCTGATTTCCCCGCGGCCTCTCCTTCTCATTGCTGGCACCAAGGCCGACACGATGTATTACAGCGAAGAAGCTTATGAAAAAGCTGCTGAGCCAAAACAGCTGCTTCGCGTTGAGGGTGCTACACATATGGACCTCTACGATAACGACAAATATCTTGGCGATGTTATTGAGAAACTGGCACAATTCATGGACAAGAATTTGTGCCAGTAGATTGAGAAGTGATATCCTGGAAATTTTGGTTACTTGCAAGGAATTTCAGTCTAGCTAGCTAAGACACAAATATTAAGTATTTCAATTTTATGAACTGGTTAAGAGAAAGCTTTGTTTCTTTTCGCTGGTGGCGCCAAAAAGTGCACCAAGAATGGCATTTCTCTGCGAAGTATGCACTGACCGTCGCCAGCCAGGGGCACGGAAAAGCACTACTCGCAGGGAAGCACGGATCGTCGTTTCCGACTACAGCTATTTTCTTTTCCTCGCTTGGCAAGTGGCCCAGGTAATTCCTTAAGGTCCGCGTTTCTTAGCTACTGTTATAGTGAAGACCTGGAAGTTACCAAACGATTACCTAGCTGGATGGCTGTCATGCGGACATTTGTTGTACACGCGAGCCGCAAGTACGGCACCGCAAGGTATGTTCGGGCTCTGAGGTGATGCCCGCGTGCAGATCGTCGACGTGTCCGACAGGGTGAGGGTATATGCTTTCTTCGACTTGGCCGAGGAACGGGAACAAAGAGGCGAGCCAAGAGCTCATCAGCATTTCTGCAAAGAATCCGCGGAATCTCTACAGCGAGAATTGAAAGACGTCGCCATCAAGCAATTTGGATCCGAGCTAAAAACTCCGAGAATGCATCCAGCCATCATGTTCCGACTTTGCACGAAGATCTGCAACCACTTGGACCAGGGAAAGGACGGGTTTGGTCCTCCAGTAAAGCTTGGGGATGATTGCGGGGAAGGGAACGATGAAGGTGAGGAAGAGAAACGTTAGCTTGGCCTAAGGATATCCGACGCCCTTTGAAAGTACTTGGTATTTTTTTTATTCCTCTTAAAGTTGTGAATTGTCACTCAAACCCTAAATTGTCTGCTCGATGATTGTTCAATCGCCCTCGCGTGAGTAGTGCGCTTCCATGAGCGTGCTATCCATATTGAAGTCAAGCAAGATTCCAACGGAAGGAGAAGTCAGCATGATGAATCCGCCATAAGACGACATTGCATCCTTTGAATCTCCTGAATAGACCCGTAGTGCGAAGCACCTTTTGAGTGACCCTCTCGATAGTTAGTGATGAATAAGAGGATCTTCGCCCCGATGAATGCATTCATTGTTCATTAGTTCCCGCTACTCTTCGTCCTCGTACATAGACATTCGCTACGTTGCGATCATCGCCCGTCATGATGAATTTTTCAAATATTCTTCTTAGCGAGTCGCCCTCTTCTCGGGGTGTCATCGCTGACTCTAAGCGCGTTGTTGTTCTCACCCAAACAGCGTCGAAATCCTTCCCTACTTCGAAACTCCCAATCTTGTCCTCGAGGCAGAGGACCTTTCCACCGCCCAACGTTGCCAGATAGAACACCTCCTCCAGTGTAAGCGCTTTGTCTTCCCCTGCTGACATGACCTCGCGAGCGTTCGATGCGATCATGGCCTGTCGAATCACAGACAGCATCCCCGACGCCCATCCGCCGCCGCTGTCTGTCCCCAGTCCAACCTTGATGCCACGGCGTAGAAAATCCCGCACCGGAGCGACCATGAAGCCGCCCCCCACTGTCATGTTGGCGATCGGACAATGTGCGACGCCGCATTGCAGCTCGTGAACTCGATCCTTTTCGTAGTCTGTCATGATGGTGCAGTGGGCGAGGATAGTCCGCCGATTCAACAGCCCGTAACTGTCATATAAGCCCGCCTCACTTCCACCGAACTGAGGGAAAAGCTCCTTGGTCGCATCTATCTCCTGTTGTGCCTCGTTGAAATGCGTTTGAATAGCCAGGGTGTCGTCGCGCTTGACAACATTTCCAAGCCCCTGCAGGAGCTCCGGCGTACACGAGATAGCAAACCTCGGGGTTACGACCGGCTTCACCAGCGCATGGTTAGGGCTAGTGCAGCCAGGTAGACTGCGAATGTGCTGGATGCACTCCTCCGTTTCCTGCAGGGAAAGAGACGCGTTCTCCTCACGGATGTAGTCCGGCGCATTCCTATCCATATTACACTTGCCCACGAATGCCCGCTGTCCCTTTTTATGACATACGTTGGCCAGAATCTTCGTTGCATCCACGTGACGTGAACTGTAATACGAGGCTGTCGTGATTCCTTGACGCAGAAAGTCGTCGACGGTCGGTTCGTAAATTTTCGAGGCGTAGGCCGAGTCGATAAATCGGGCTTCAATGGGGAATGTTATCTCATTCAGCCAGTCCAGGATGTGAAGGCCCTGGCCAAGTCCCCGCATCGGCCACTGGGGGGCGTGGTTGTGTGTGTCCACGAACCCGGGGATCAAGAACTCTCCTGGGGGCAAACGCTTGATCTGTCCATCTTGTGGGATTGCGTCGGCGGGGATTTGGTCTGGAGATTTGTAGAAAGCACTTATGCAACCATCTGTGATGACGAGGGTGGCATTCTCGTGCATCTCAAGATTCTCACTGTCGGTGGAAAAGATGACCGCGCCTTGGAACACGAGAGTTGAAGACATTGTGAGAAAATATATTTAGCTCTATCACGTCAAGTCGAGATTTACCTGACGCTATAACCATGGGATTCTTGGATTCCACATATCTGATTCAACGAACAGACCAAGATGTCGGACTGATTACCCGAGAAGGTCGGGTGAGCTCGGCCGAGTTGACCCCTCACATTGTTTATCGACGTGATCGCAACCCGCCGTGCCTTCCTTTCTTGGAGACGACACGTGCCACGCGAGATCAGCCCCAGGACTGGCCTTGAACCTTTCTCCAATGTCTATCGAAAAAAGGCTGGACTCTTCGTTCCAATGTCCCAGTACCGATCCAATGACATTCCTAGGACGACGCAGCGGGCGCCCCGAAGCTGCCGATCTTGTGCCTCTCGTAAGGTCAAATGCGATAAAGTGGTGCCGTGCTCGACATGCATCAAACGAGGCGAGGCTGCCGCTTGCGTTAGAGAGATGGTTATTGTGCGGGGTGAAGTAACAATGTAAGTCACCTAGTTAAGATCGATATGACCAAACCTCTTACGTCTTGCGCAGATGGAAGGATGAAGGTAAACCTACATACGAGGAGCTGAGCCACGAGAACCAGCGCCTGCGACAGGAAATCGAGTCCATTCGAACGGAGAAGGAACGTTTGACTGAGAATCCGGGTATCTCCAAGTCAGCTCCGGTACGACCGAGACATGCGCGCAATGTCGAGCATGACGATGAAGGTCTTGAGGAGAGATTATGGGAGAGCCTTTCTGCTGCGTCGACAACCACAGGATCCAGCATCTCCACCTGGAATGATGTCGTATTACCGAGCACTGCGTGTAGCGAACAGCTCATTGCGTATGACAAGACGTGCAACTCATGGGTACACTACGCCGTTGAATATCCCCGCTTCCAGGAAGAGTGTACTACCTTCATCCTCGCCGTGGAAAGGGGTCTGGCGCTCAAAGAAGCCGATCCGTCATGGATGGCGGTTTACTTTAGTGTTCTTAGTGTAACTACCCCATATCTACTGGCCTTGAGGTTATGACTGGAAGACTGAACGCTCGTGACAGGCAGCAATTCTTATGATGGGCGGTGATGAAGTGGACAGGTTACGGCTCCCAGAAGGTGAGACTTCGTTTGGATGAGCGTTCAGTCGTATTTGCACTGACGGTGAGTTAGGTTTCGACCGCCAGAGGACATCTCGTATGTGGTACGACGCTGCTCTATTTTCATTATATCGCGCAGATTTTATGAGGGTTTCTCGCATCCATACAGTTCAAGCCATTGCAATTCTTGGAATGTGCTTCAACAACTGGGGAGACGTGGAAGTTGGCCAGCATATGTGGAGCTCTGCCCTGCGAATAGCGCGGAGAATCGGATTGAACACCCCTTATTCAAACGCAGCTGCTTCATGTTTGAGCCCTGAAGGCCAGCACCGGTTATGGTGGACGCTGGTTATTTGTGAATGGTAATCGATTATTCGTGACCTCAAAAGTCGATCAAGTGATGTGGACTGACTGACACGCGATGACTAGGTTGGCTCTACCATATCGGCCTCCAGAAGTTGACGATATTGACTTTGACGTGCCCCTTCCGTCAGCCACCTTACCAAAACCCGGGGAAGATAATCCAGCCCATTACCATGTACACTATCACATTTTCATGGCAAGAACGGCAGCCGCCGTTTATCGCTTCCGTGCCATGATCAGGTCAGGTTCTGGATTCCTTGATGAGACAGTAAAGGCCGTCAAAAAGGTCGATGAGGAGTTGGCAGAAGTGATTGACGGCCTCCCTCGCCTTCTTCAGCCAGAAACTGATCTCAAAGATGAAGATTTGCAGCAGCTTGAGCTTGCGCACCCTTGGATCAGGTGGCAGCGCTACGACCTCACATTGGTCCTTCTTCACCTGCGCCTCCGTATCCATCGTACAATGCAAGCACAGTGGTTGTTGTATCCTGATCGGTATAGTTGGGCAAGATCCGTGAGTGTAAGCTCAGCAATGAGCGTTATTTGGATTAACCGCAATTGGGATCAACCAACCTCCATGCGAAAACAATGGTATTCACACCCTGTTACATGTTTCTCCGAATGAGTACTCACAAGTGCAGGGCCTTATCCTACCATATCTTTGTCTCTGCTATTCTTCTTCTGAGTGAATGTCAAACCGACGGAGTGACCGAGACGGAGGAATATTACGAAGCGGTCCGCAGTGCCCTCTGCCTGCTGGAGGAGGTGCAACAGTGGAACGCCGTTGCAAAGTACGCAGCTACGATACTCCGAGATAAACTCGATAACAGCGCTTTGGTTATAAACACGATGTGATTTTGCTATACTTTCAACGGGTGCCCCTCGGACCTTACGACCTTTCTAGCAACTCAAACCCGAATGCTCTGCGGGCATCTATACCAAGCCCGTCCAACCCGACATATCCGTTCAACTTGGTTTCGTCGAGGTCATTACCTTCCGAGTAGTCTGGAGCTGGGCGACCCTCGAGCGTGCAAATGAGCTGCTTTTTGACGTAGTCTTTATTGACCTGCGTCGTCGGGCACGAGGCTATGAACGCCACAGACGCGTTATTCTTCCCTAGGTGTTCCGTGTCCACAGCATGACAGAGCTAAGGCAGAAAACCCCTGGATTAGCGGAACTGTCCGACAAGACATAAAAGCAGTCACGTCACGCAGTAAACAGAAACTTACGTCACAATGCCACCAAACAGTGTCTCCTGCCTTAACTGGCGGAGCGTACACTAAACACTCCTCCAACCTGAGATGAGGATGCGAAGACCGGCTGAGGCGCTGACTCTCTGCTTTGAAAGTTCCCGGAAACCAGCCTGTTGAGTCATCGATCGTCCACTTTTCAGCATCCATGATGTCCGCCTCGGGGTCCACCGGCGGTCTGAAGAATGGCCGCAGCAGTATGTAAGCCATGACGGTTTTGACATTTGGATAGAACATGATGGTGCCTTCCCGCGGAGCCGTAGGTGTCAGGGCAGTCCAGCCTTGGAAGGTACGCAGCACCTTCGAGTGCGCCATGCCCTCGTATAAGGTCTGATTGGCTCCTTTGCGTACACTCAAGTCATAAGGATCAAAGTGTTCTGGGTCTCCTGAGAAAATGCTCTCATACACTTTCCGGTACGTCGGATCGGCCCAGCGGCAGAGGCTGCCGGCGTCCACATGAGGGCCCAGACCGAGGAACGGTTGTCCTGGAGCGCGGTCGCGGACGCCATCCAGGTAGACGAGAGGATCCGAGGTGGTCTCCCCCGTCGAGTCATGCCACAGCTCATTCAGCTTACGCTGCAGTTTGAGATGGTTGGGGTGCGAACGGAGGGCGTTCTGGGATGGCGAATTGTACAGGAGGAGCATGGATGGGCTATCCTTAGGCCAGCCTTGGATGGATCCTTCGTTGGCGGCGACAAATTGCTTGAGGTCGTTGTAGAATTTGTTTCCATCCTCTTCCAGAACGGTTTCTCTACAGACGAACGTGCCGATACGCCTTATTTCGTCCCGTTGGGCGTCGGTAAAGCCTTTCTCGATGATCTGTGTTGTGTCAAGCACGGGTATAATACTATTGCCCTTCTCCGCTATTTCGTCGGTAATTTTCTGCAGCTCCTTGCACACCTTGATCCAACTTTTGCGAAGAGCTTCTGCGCCGTACTCTGCAATGACAGCTTTCTTGACAGCTAGGAACTCGGGGTCTGCGGCTTCCTTCGCGTCATCGTGGGTGTACTCGGCCCAGGCAGGCCACTGTCTGATTGGAGCCGGCATTGCAAATATTTGTCAGATAGTCTTTAGATTTGTTGGAATGATTTCCTTTTTGTCGGAGTGAAATGTGAATTTGGTGAGAATCAATAGGCTTCGCCCGATAAGCGCTTGTATCCGGACTTCTGCCCAGGAACTTTAAATACCTTTTCGTCGGTGCGGACTGGGCCCACAGACTGAAAAGTTCACTCAGCCGAAGATGGACTCACACGAGCTCACCCGTTAGGAAGAGCCGCTTTACATAATAGCTATCGTAACGTTGTCTCGTTTACTGGTCGGCTCACCCGAACTCGCCCGAATTGGGAAAATTTTAGTTCGTTTAGTGTATCCGGGGTTCTGGATCCTGATACGAATCCCGAATAGTGGGCACGAATCAGGAGCCTGATAAGGCGGCGGAATTATCACGGAAACCGGCAGCTGCAAGAGTGATAAGCCAAACAACCATGAACAAACCCGTCAATATAAGACAGATGGGAGCCACTCAGCTTCTGGCATTATGGTAACTGCCGCTCTACTAAAGAACCCCAGAATAAACCATGGCCCAGCTTGAGCGTAAACATGTCTCGCGGTTGGTCCCGGCGGATCACAGGGTGCTCATGCCCCTGCTTCTTGCCGTGACCATTGTCAACTCGGCAGTGAGTTTCGCCTGATACATGCAATTGGGATACTTGGATGGTGCTGATATCTATCAGACTCTAGGATACGACTCGTCCGTCATGAACGGCCTGCTCATCCTCCCATCATACTCCGAATATTTCCACCTCACCGCTGCAACTGAGGGTCTCAACAACGCAGCCATGTGGATGGGAGGCATCCTCGGTGCCTTTCTCATGCAACCTATTCCTGACTACTTTGGTCGTCGTCGTGCAATCCTTATCGCCTCGATTGTTACTATTGTTGGCATCATCTTACAGGGCGCCTCGCAGAATATTGGCATGTTTGTTGTCGCCCGGATCATCGTGGGAATTGGCTCTGCCATCAGCAACGGTGCGGCCCCAACCTTACTCGGCGAGCTCCTACCGCCTAGACGGCGTGCCCGGATACTCGGTCTCTTCTTCTCATGCTACTACGTCGGGAGCTTAGCCTCGTCTATTGTGAACTACGGCAGTCAGAACATCAACAGCACATGGGCCTGGCGGTTACCTTCACTCCTGCAGGTTGGCCCTAGTCTACTGGCCATTATTATCGTGCCTTTCGTTCCAGAGTCCCCTCGCTGGTTGATCACGCATCAGCGGAGCGACGAGGCACTTGAAGTTCTAATTATCATGCAAGGCAAGAACAAGACGGATGTGCAGAAGGGCAGCCAACAACTTCGAGAGATCAGAGATACCCTCGTTCGCGAGGCGGAAGAATATCCGCGTAACCCCTGGAGGGAGATCGTTTCGACAAAGGGCAATAGGCGGAGACTGGCTATCCTGTGCACTTTCGGTCCGATGATCAACATGTTTGGCAACTTCATCATCTCGTGAGTGTTTCCACCAAAAAAATGGGCATATATGTTGTTTGTAACAGTATAATAGATTCTACCTGACGAAGATCCTCAGCCAGGCCGGCATCACGGACACAGTCACCCAGACTCAAGTCCAGGTCATCATCAACTGTTGGTCCTTTGCCGTCGCAATACTGGGAAGTTTCATGCTGGACATTCTTGGCCGCAGAGTACAAATGTTTATCGGTGTGAGCGGGATGGTTGCCACGCTGCTCTTGATTGGAGGTCTTATCAAACGTATTTCCCTCTTTCCCATTGTTCTACGCGTACCAAATACTGATATCAATCACCAAGGCTACGGATCAAGCACCAACACCTCCGGGATCTACGGTACCATTGCCGTCATTTTCCTCTTTCAAGGCTTCTACGCATTCTCAGTTACGCCAATGACAAGCCTCTACCCAACGGAAGTGTCACCATACAAGCTCCGTACGGCTGGTATCGCTATCTTCCGAATGCTGGATTCTGGGTTTGGGTATGTCATTCACCCACATCTACACCATATTGAGGAAAATGTATTAATTCTGCATATCTACAGCCTCCTCGCTTCCTTTGCCATGGCCTATGCAATGGCAGACCTAGGATGGAAATTCTACTTCATCAATGCTGCCTGGGACTTTGTCTTTCTATTCATTGCATACTTTACGTTCGTTGAGACAAAGGGGCTTAAGCTTGAAGAAATTAATGCTAGATTCGAGGGGACGGAGATTCTTTCTGGGGTTGTTGATGACTCTTCTTCCGGGAGTTGTGGGAGGGATACTAAGGATGGCTGTATTGTTTCTGATAAGCCTATGAAGGTGTAGATATGGACGGTACTTTCTATGATAATAGTCGGTAGTGGCTGTTTGTGCTATAGTTTGGCCGAATATCTGGGAAGCATGGTACTAATTAAGCTTTAAATTCTTACATGATCGTATTTCTGGGAATAATTTCGATCAAGAACGAGCCTTTCTGCGTTGAACGGTGCCAGATATAAATCACTAAGCCAACACTTAATGCCAACATACGGGGGACGTGTTCGTGGACAGCCTTACCTTTGAATTGAATTAGACTCCCTTGGTCATGTTTGTCCCAGAGACTCTCGCCAGGCTTGAGCAAGTCCGGACCGAAGTACTTGACTTACTGACAAGGGATTAGTTCCTAGGAACCGTTAACGAGCAGAGGTTGAAAACAGGTCCAAAAGGGCCTACCGGAAGCCTTTGCCTCAGGATAACGGTTTTTTATAGTTTTACGGCTCTTATAGACAAAGAACCAACCACGCCAATGAACCCGAAACATAAAAATATAAAAAGTAAAGCAGAAACAAAATCTTACAACAGTCAAAGTATGGTGGTGGCCACCTAGCGAGGCTCGATCGGTGGCGGGGTGGTCCCCGCCCGTCGAATCGGCTTCTAGGCGGCTTCTAGCGGTAGTTCACCACTCTAAATACTATTTACCCGAGTGCTATAAAGGACTAAACCTCGTGGAGTGAAGTATTGGTTTTACACCTTCTAGGGCGGGGAATGTCATAGCGATCGTAAAGTTATATAGCTTGCACGATACGGCTAGTTGCCCAGTCCTATTTTCTTTTCCCTTTATATTCCTACTAACCACTTCTAGCATTAAAAATGAAGTCCTAAGATCCACTATTGAATTTTTCCTATACTATTAACTTTTAGTAAGCATAATAATTCAGAAATCATACGCACTATACTTCTATGTACCGAAGGCCGATATAATCATATACTTCGCATTTTGGATAAGTTAGACCGCTACTATCCCTTAGAGCGACATTATCTCACTATAACGTCTTCGTTTTAGGTTTCTTTCTCTACATGATTAAGCAATAAGCCCTCCAGATATCTAGAGTTATAAGGCATCCCTAGAGCTTACCGCGAAAGGCATAAAAGGTCGAATCAGAGAGACCTACCATTTAGACGTTTGGTACTTCGGTAGAGACTTTAAGGCCGGGATGGTTTTTAGGTAAAAATATAACTTCCCTAAAACTAATCGACAACGCTAAAAGAAGTTGGATAATTAAACTACTTTAGATTGATAGGATCCTAATATATCTCTACGTAATTCAGCTATTAAATAACACTTACTATAGTATAAAATAGGCAGGATCTTAGGTTTGAAGTATCACGCTAACGTTCTTAAGCGACCCTAGCCGCGTAGTTAACGGATACGCCTTAATTAAGGTGGTAATCGCCTCTCCCGCCTCCGCGGGGCAGGCCTCATCTGCCGCCTATCTACCTCTCAAGCATCTTCGAGTTTCGACTCTAGGACCTCCGTACGTTCCTCTGGCACCTGGTACGTCTTGAACTTGCGGGCGGGTACATCTTTGGCGAACATGTGATCGAGCTCCTTATACGTGCGGCCTTTGCACTCGGGGAGGCGAAAAAAGGCCCAGATGCAGCACAGCAGAGACAAGCTTCCGAACCAGAAACCAGTCTTGCCGCGCCAGCCCAGGGCGGTCGGGTTCAGCATGTCTGGCGTGCTGAACCCGAATGCAATGCCGACGGCAGAGTAAAGACTGCTTCCGAGGGCAGTAGTCTTGCTGCGCAGGCGGGTAGCGGACGTCTCACCGACGATGATATAGGAGACGGCAGCCACTGTCGTGAAGAAAAAAAACGCCCAGATGATGAGGAGAGAACCTTGGGCCTGGGGAATGGCCTGCGTAGTGTTGTAGCCAGGAGCAACATCCAGGATCGCGATGATGAACATGATGCAAGTGAGAATCACGAGACCCCAGAAGAAGATGGGCCGCCGACCGCTGTAGCGGATCAGGACCCAGGACAAGCAGCTGCCGAAGACACTAAGGGCAGACTGGCCGACACCGAGCGAGAAGGACAGTGAAACAGGGAAGCCGGCCTGTTCGAGGAAGTAGATGCCGTATCCTTGGAACGAGTTGCCACATAGCGCCTGGATGGCCCAGGCCATGGAGACGATCTCGGTGCGACGAAGGTTCTCATTTTTGAAGCAATCCCACCAACTGGTGCCGATCTCGTTCTCGATCTCCGCCTTGTTGGTCGCATCCATCATGAGCAGCTGGTTCTGTATGCGCTGCTCGTCATGGTTCCCCAATTTGCGCAAGGCCTTGGCAGCGTCCTCCATGCGGCCCTTTTGCACGAGCCACCAGGGAGACTCAGGGGCGAAGGGGAGGAAGGCGAGGATTATGACCGGCCACACCCACTGGACGGCGAAGGGAATGCGGTATGACAACGAATCGGGCCTCTCCGAGGTGCTCTTGATAACGCCCTGGGCAATAAGCTGGCCGATACCCCAGGAGGTAAGTATAAAGGACATGAGGATACCTCGCAGGGCCACAGGGCAGAGCTCGGAGGAGTAGGTGGGCGCAAGGGTGTTGAAGAAGCCCCAGAAGAGGCCGATGATCATCTCCCCAGCGACGAGGATCTGGATGTTAGGGGCGAAGAAGGTGATGAAGACGCAACCGGCGGTGAGCACGAGAGAGAAAGCCATGACCGTCTTGCGACTGAAGCGGTCACTGATCCAGGCGACAAGGATGCCGCCGATAACGCGTCCGACGGGCGAGCCTACGTTGAGGGCCGTCTGCCAATTGGCCTTGAGCTGGTAGCCGCCGTTGTAAGGCTCGCCGTAGGCCTTTTGGAACTGCGGCAGGGCCAACAGGCTGTAGACCAGCTGCAGGTCGTACCCGTCCATGACGATGGAGAGGGAGAAAATGAACGCCCAGAAGGCGGAACGCCAGTGTTCGCGTACGGCATCGCGGAGAGAACCGTTGTGCTCGGCCTGACTGATGTCCTCGACGGCCCACGCTGTGTGCTGGCGGGTGATGTCCTCCTCAGCCTGAGAGACCTCGACGTGCTGAGTATTACGGAATTGGGTAGCCATTGCCTAGGAAGACACAACCACGACGAAATCCGGCTGGGTTGATGGCGCAAGTGCGAGAATGCTGTAGTCGACTTGTATGTATGTACCTACCTCATGGATGTATGGAAGGACGGCTGGACTGGGGATACAGCTTGGTCACTTGGTGTATCCCTTATTGACCAGCACCCATTCCGCAGCAGAATGGCCCACGGTGTACTTATAAAACGCATGCATGCATGTAATGCGGGGGGAGGGCGGGGGGCCCGGGGGGTAGGGGGGAGCGAGTTGACTATGAGTATTAGAACAGGATTCTTTCATTGCCGCGACAGTCGACGCTTTAGGAGGCTACGGATATTAAGTGTAGGGTTTCTTTCCTTTTTTACCCGTCGGTACGATTACAGTATCTAGACGCGTCTCTACTCTTATTTCTCCCGTCGGTTATTTGCAGACCCTGAGTTCGGGTTTTTGAAGACTCCCGGGCGAGCTACCAAGAGGCCGGGTAATGTGTACGACATTCTCCTTGTCTCCTACACTATCCATCTTTTAACCGACACCTGGGGAAACTGACAGAGAGGATAGATAGCGGGGGAGTGGGGCTTTTGGAGAAGTAGGCACTCCAACATTCAGTTTGGCCAATTTCTCCAGCAAGGACAGGAGCAAGAGTCAGTCATGTACATGGTGCTCCGCTTCCCTTAGAGACTCCGGGTATTTGTAACACCCCGCTCATCGTCACGCGTCATGTGAAGCCCCCCAGTCCTTCTCCAAGCACGGCTGGTTCTTCATCTTCGTTTTTTGACATTGCACTCTTTCCACCGGAGTCTTGATTCAGTTACTGCCATTCTTTGATCCTGACCCTGATCCAGAATCTCAGTTTGTGCTCACCATGGCTCCGGAAAATTTTCAGCAGGTCTCGGTTGACCAAGTCCATATATACTCGCCGTTCTGGTCGGCAATGCAGAAGCGTGCCAGAGAAACGACAGTCCCCGCCTTGATAGAAACGCAGAAATCGCTGGGTCATTGGGATTGCCTGACGTGGGGGGAAGGGCATCCCGTTGATTTGCACGTAAGTCTCCGTGCATCCCCTTTGCAGATGCTTCTGTCGACTCTCGCTCTCCGCTCCGTCGGCGAGGCAAGAAACCAAGTTCCGCATCAGCTTCGTCGTTCCAAATTATCCCAGTAACGCTGACTACACGTCCAGCCGTTTTGGGATAGCGACATCTATAAGTCTGTCGAGGCCGCCTGCTACTTCCTGCAAGCAAAGCCTGATGACACTTTGATGGCTGCCGTTGAGGAGGCCGTGGACATGATTCGCGGTGCGCAGCATTCGGACGGGTACATCAATGCCTATTACACCGTCAAGGGTATGGGGCAGAGGTGGACCAATCTGCGCGACATGCACGAGCTTTACTGCCTGGGTCACCTCGTGGAAGCCTGCGTGGCGTACGAGACCCTAACTAGCAGCGGCCGGCTGCTCGAGCCAGTGCGGCGAGCCATCCAGCATGTCGATTCTGTTTTTGGCGTTGAGCAAGGCAAGAGGCGCGGCTATCCTGGGCATCAGGAGATTGAGGTCGGCCTGCTCCGCCTTTACGATCTCACGAAGGAGGACATCTTTCTCAAGGTGGGAAGCTACTTCATATACGAGCGCGGCCGCAGAGACAATAACGGAGAGATCTACTTTGATTACGAGGCAAAGGCCCGCGGCGGCAACCCATACACCAACTTGTTTGCTGAGATGAAGCCTTGGTATCGTGATCCTCGGGATTACGGTTACCATCAGGCTGACCGCCCATTTATCGACACCACGGAGCTCAAGGGCCATTCCGTCCGAGCTATGTACTACTGCACCGCGGCTACAGACCTGTACCGTGTAACCGGGGACGCACGCCTGAAAGCAGCGTTGGATCGGCTGTGGCGCGATATGGTGGACAGGAAGATGTATGTCACGGGTGGCCTTGGGGCTATGCGCCAGTGGGAAGGATTCGGCCCGGCGTACTTTCTCAACGATACTGAGGAGGAGGGAACCTGTTACACAGAGACCTGTGCTACTTTTGCCATGATTATATGGTGCCAGAGAATGCTGCGGCTGCAGCTCAACGCCGAGTACGCAGACATCATGGAGGTAGGGCTTTATAATGGGTTTCTCGGTGGGGTCGGCCTTGATGGATGCTCTTTCTACTACGAAAACCCGCTCAGGTGCTACGCCGGCAAACCCAAGGAGCGGTCCCGGTGGTTCGAGGTGGCATGCTGCCCACCCAACGTTGCCAAGCTCCTCGGCCTATTGGGGAGCCTGATCTACTCGTATAAGCAAGGCGTCGTGGCCGTGCACTTGTACATCGAGAGCTCTTTCACCTTGCCCGGAACTGACGTCGTTGTCTCGCAAAAGAGCGGGATGCCGTGGGCTGGCGACGTGGAGATGACGGTGCAGGGCTCGACGGCGCTGGCCCTCCGCATCCCGGGCTGGGCTGACGGGTACACGTGCTCGGTGGCTGGCAAGGAAGAGAACGGCTACCTGCACATCCCAGCTGCAGCGGTGGTGGGGCAAACGGTGAAGCTGCATTTTGGCATGCGGACTCGCAAGGTGTACGCCCATCCACGAACGGGCAAAGACGAGGTCTGCATTATGCGTGGCCCGCTGGTCTACTGCATGGAGGAGATCGACAACGACGGTGTGGACATGGACAACGTCGCGATGGTCGACGGGCCGATCAAAGAGGGTGAGCCCATGTCAATCGGGTCCGTGTCTTCTGTGATCCCCGCCATCGCCGAAGGCAGACAGCTGTCGGTGGACGTCACCGGGTCGCCGCTGTATCGCTCGTATCCTTGGAAGTACGCACCAGAGGCGAAGCGGCTTGTCTATGTGCCTTTCTTCCTGAGGGCGAACCGCGGTGGGCCTGGCGGCATGCGGGTCTGGGCCCGACGCCTTCCAGTAGAGACGGTATAGACGGACAGCTAGTTGAATTCCTCGACTTGTATGCAGTTGCAAAAAGTCGTACATAAACTAAATTACTAATGCTGGGGTCTAGGGTCATTCATCGGACGTGACGAGGAAGTAGAAAAGGGAACGAGATTATAATAACTGGATTTCTAATATGTCCATAGATATGATGCTGTGTTAAATGCGGATGACTTAAGAATACGTATATATAGGTCTCCTCGTAGAAATATATTAGTTTTCCATATAATTATGTATGCGAATTTTTGTGATATAAATTTCCTTAAAAATGAAAAACGAACAGTAAATATTTATAATAGGCAAAAGTGTAGGTTAACAAGGTTAAACTTTATATTAACAACAATTTGCATGTAAGAAGTAGTCTTTTGTAGGGTGGCCGTTGTTACTACAGCGGAGAAGTAGTGTACCGATAAATAAAAAAGGAACAAGAACGAAATACCTATTAGTACTTTAGTAGTTTCGATCCTAGAGGCAATGGTACAGTACAGGATGGGTAGCATAGCTAGAAATGTATCCTTATCGAAATAAGCCTCAGTAACTCATATTGTACACTAGGTACAGTAGTACAGTACGGTCAGTTTATACCTCATCATCTCAATTCTCAATACAGTACTGGGCTGGTCTGTAGCCGTGCCAATAGAAAAGGGAGGCTAAAGTCGTTGTCCCACGTAGCAGAAGAGCGTCAGGTGCCGCCCAGGCAAGGTACAGAAGCCCGAGAAGTGTGATTAGAGTGTGGGATGTAACAGAGCCACTTCATAGGCGAGGTAGCAGGTAGGTCAAAGGTGACGACCAAGTGTACGGATTCCACTCAAAGTGGATACTGGTCCCTTACAGGACAAAGAGGAGGAGATGGAATCCAACCCCTTTTATAGATCTAAGTCGCCGCGACTCAGCAGCGGAGATCGCCGACCCGTTGCCCCTTACACAGATATACTTATACGGCCTACGGAAACGGTCAATTGGGAAGATTACCATGACTCGAGCTTCCGAGCTGCTGCCAGTGTATTTTGAAATACTCCCTAGTGGCTATAATGTACTTTTTTTCCCGTACGCACGTAGACTGAAAATAGCCGTCTGCAGAGGTGCCATCGGGTTTTAATGAACCCCAGGCAATTTACTACTTTAGCCGCGGGTCAATTAGAAAACCAAAGACTTCCCCGCAACTTTAAAGCCGGGGGTGCGGGGCCTGGAATATGGACGTAGGGGATGCCGACTGCCAGAGCAATTCTTTCTTCATTAAAATTAATCTCGGAGCTTCGACCATCCGACGGTAAATATCCCGCCTGAAGAAATATGGGCGACTTTCTTACGAAGATCTACATAATACTTCCTGCGGAGACCTTATGATAGCTATCGGATCTCTGCGATATCGCCTATAGCACACCTAGTAGACTACGAAAGCCTTACAGTTAGCTAGCGTATGACGATCGGTCATTGTTGCAATTCATCTCCCTGAAAAAGCCCATATTTTCTGCTCATGGGGTTAATGCTCCGCCTGAGACCGGAACTGTAAGACTTTCACCACCGGTATGGTTAGAAGCGTCGTGACGGCTCATCGCTTAGTATGCAGTAGTGTTCAAAGGGAAGCAGAGGCATTTTAAACTTCCGGGAAGGCGGTTTTCATCCGTCAGCCCTGTAGTATCTCATTAATTCTGCCGGGAAACAATTTACCGGTGAGGGGAAAGAAACATGATGGACCCTGAATTGGCTATGGCAGCCTTGCCAGTCCTTGCTGGTCGGGGCGTGGATGATTTCGAATACAAAAACGTTCATGCTTGTCATACGTCGAGTAATCAAGCTCTACATCTTCTCCTCTACTCGTCTTCGTGAGCATCACTTAGTGTGACATACCTCGAGTATCACCATATACTTTCCTCCAGTCACGGGCTGAGCAAAACAGCTCCAGGCCGGCCATGGTCGTCCTTCACATTACCAGCGCGGCGGTATTATGTGCTGTTGTTGCTGCTGCCGCCACTGCCATCTCGTTTGACATTCCACCGCCCAACTCCTCCTCCATCCCGACGCGCTTATGGGCTTCATCGGCCGGGGGTTCCAATGTCTACGCCGATGGATATCCGATTGGCAACGGTCGCCTTGGCGCCATTTTCGCTGGCGGGGTCACCTCAGACACAATTACAGTCAACGAAGATTCTCTTTGGTCGGGTTCTCTGCTTGATCGAGTCAACCCCGACGCCGTCGAGTCTATCAAGTCCATGCAGTCGATGGTGCGCGAGAATTACATCGAACAAGCACAGATACTAGGCTCCTTCGGTTATGTGGGAACTCCTGTTTCGGTCAGGCAATACGAACCCCTGGGTACTATGACTTTGGCGCAGAACATCACAGGATCCCAGACTAATTACGAGCGCTGGCTGGATCTTGCCGATGCCACGGCCGGCGTCTACTTCATCAGTAAAGGGATCACTTACCAGCGCGAGTACCTTGCGAGCAACCCGGCTGGGGTCATCGCCATCCGTCTCACGGCCAGTGAGCCGGGAAATGTGGATTTCAGCATCCACCTGGACCGCGGTGACGGTCTGAACCGCTGGCAAGAATATAGTAAACCAGAAAATGGCAACTCCATTGTGATAGGAGGTAGGACCGGGGACCGTGACCCCCTCACCTGGGCGGCCGGGGCAACAGTTGTGGCCTCTGGTGGACACGTGTCTACCGTCGGCGACTATGTAAGGTGTCAAGGGGCGGATGAGGCTTACATCTATTTTCAAGCCTGGACATCCTACCGCAAGAAAGACCCACAAGGGGCTGTGTTGTCTGATTTGGCTTCTGTGGCAAAGCATCAATACAGCGACATCAGGTCAGACCATGTCAAAGACTACCAGAAATATGCAGACCAGCTCGATTTGAATCTGGGGGAGTCCACTCCTACCCAGCTGTCCAAGACCACTGCTGAAAGAATGAGCTCCATCTCCCCCTCACACTTTGACCCCGAGCTGGCAGTGCTCTATTTCCAGTACGGTCGATACCTGCTGATTGCGAGCTCCCGAAAGAATACCCTGGCCGCGAACCTACAGGGTATATGGAATTCCGACTTTTCACCCGACTGGGGCTCGAAGTATACGACCAATATCAACGTGGGTAAGCTGCACCGCCTTTGCATTCCTTTTAAGCCAGTGATATTTCAGAATGGGGGTTGCTCGTTTGCCCGGAACGTTTGTTTATGGTATTCGCGATGCTAATTCCCGTTGTCCAGAGATGAACTACTGGCCAAGCTTCACCACAGGTATCGCAGGCCTTTCACTCTTGGGTCTTGACCAAGTCAAAATTGAAGCAAACTAACTGCCGCAGGCCTCCTGGATATGACGGGTCCCTTGTATGACCTGATAAAGGCAATGGCTAAGGACGGTGCTGTTGTCGCCAGGCGCATGTATAACTGCTCGGGGACAGTTACCCACCACAACACTGATATGTGGGGTGATTCGGCTCCCCAGGACAACTATTTGTCCTCCACATTTTGGCCCATGGGTGCAGCTTGGATGGCTACACATATCATAGAGCACTACAGGTTTAGCGGGGACGAGAAAGCCCTCAGGGAAATGTACCCCATCATCCGGGCCAACGCCGAGTTTGCGCTCGACTTCCTTAGTGAGTATAAGGAATGGATGGTGACTAACCCTTCGCTTTCGCCTGAGAACACCTACATTGCCCCAGGGACTTCCGACCAGGTTGTCTCAATCACTGCCGGCCCGACTATTGATAACGAACTTCTCTGGGAAATCTTTGGCTTCATTAAGGAGGTAAACGAGAAGCATAAGCTGGATGAAGAGGACTTTGTGCGCCAGGTGGAAACCGTGAGAGCCAAGCTACCACCCATGAGAACTAACCAGTATGGAGGTCTTGCTGAATGGATTGAGAACTTCGAAGAGGTATGAAATTTTCATGTCCCTTGTGCACGCTCCCTTTCCTCTTGCTCCATGCATTGATTTCTCACACTGTCTCGCGGGCAGGCTGATCCAGGTATTGGACATTACTCTAACCTGTGGCCGCTATACCCCGGATCGCATGTTACGGCTTCCAATAAGACGATCTTTGACGCTTCCAAGATTAGTATAAACCACCGTCTCACGTAAGTCCCTTCCTTGCCCCCTTGGCTGCCTTCACGATGTCCCACGGTTTCCACCATATTTCCATCCTGCTAAGGGTGGATACTCTCCACTCGAGGAATGGGGCCTGGTACTGACGCATTGATGCACTCCAGGAATGGCGGCGGCACTTGTGGATGGTCCAGGGCATGGACGATAGCTCTCGCGGCTCGCACATTCCAGGCGGACATCGTTCGTGAGAGGTTTCCGACACAGCTCAGCGATTGCACCTGGAATACGACTCTGCTGAATCAGGGTGGCCCCGCGCCATTCCAGATTGATGGTAACTTTGGTACGCCAGCGGGTATTGTTGAGACGCTGCTCCAGAGCCATGAGTGGGTGTCAAAATCGCACCACGGCAAGCTGACCGCCGCCTACACCGGCGACGCCAACAAGACCACTCTGCTTCGGCTGCTACCCTTGAAGCCAACAGACTGGACCGGGACTGGAGGCGGTAGCGGGTTCGTCAAGGGTCTCCGAGCACGCGGTGGGTTCATCGTGGACATCACCTGGTCCGGCAACGGCATTTTTACCGGAGCGAATATTACGTCCACTCTAGGTGGTGATGCCTACCTGACTCTTGGAAGCTGCATCATCGGTGGTGCTCGCTGCGCCAACTCCACGGCTATTGTCGTTAACCGTGGGGAGTCGAGCAATGAAATGGGCGACTTTGTCCATTTGAAGACTGAGAAGGGGGCCTCGTACCGCGTTAAGCCGAGGCAATAAGGAGAAATAAGGAAAGGCAGGCCCTAATATGGAATTCATATAGTAGATTCCCACTTCGGATTCCGTGGAACCCTAAATGGTATATTCCTATGACTATAGGTCACCCACCCTACCCCATGGGGGTAATTGTCAGCAAACCACAAGTATGGGGCTCCCTTCTCAGACAAGAGTTAGCGTTATATAGTCTAATTGTTTTCAAAATTGGCTAAGTTAGTCCACAAAATAAACGTGCCACTCTCATACATAATCCTAGATACATACTTATAGACCCTGTTTCAATCAATAACATCAAAAATCGTCCCACAGCCACAGTTGATCGTAGCCCTCGGGTTATCTACAATCTTAAACTGGCTCCTAATTAACTCGGTCGTGTAGTCCACAGTACTATCATGCAAAAGCACTAGCGAGGGTTCGTCTATAACGACCTTAGCTTCGCCAGCTGTACACGACGCGACATGCTCTCTAAGAGGTTCTCTAAAATACTAAGGTCTAGTTCTTGCCATGCCTACTCTACTATATCAACTAGAATTTCTAAAGTTGCACCATTATTTAGCATATATAGAAGATTACGTCGAATTTGATAGTTTCTGTTTTAATAGCGTCTGTCATTCGGTATATTCAAACAGATAGTTAGCATTTTTTTCTTTTTTTGAGAACGTGATTTCCTTCTGTAGCCAACTGACTTGTATCTCCGCTGATAATCGATAACAGCAACTAATTCGGAGAAGAGAGCTCACTTGCACTATCCAGAACTTGTATGGTGGTGGAGGGCTGTTCTTAACGTTTGATTATTGCTGATGCAATGAAAGAAAAGATTGATTGAAATTCGATGCTGTACTGTGTAGAGGACACTCCAAACGAACAATTTATAATTGCCAGGCCGGAAGTTATTCCGACTCCTGTTGACTCAGGAAGCGCTTGGGAGCGTTTGGGGTGGCTGGCGGCTCGCGCAGGCCGAGATAAGGACGAGGGAATTACTACGGACGATGGGCACGACGCGGGCCTGATCTCGGACGTCATTTGTTGCCAATTCAACTCCGCCTCTTCCAGATTTAGAAAGAAAAGACACCTGAACCAATCAAAAATCCACCGGCGCGGAGTTTTAGTGTTTCTAAGTAACTGCTCTGCAAAGCTGACCACCTGCCGAGTTCTCCAGTCGTAAGATACTAATTACATGCTCAAGTCACTCCAACCGCTGACATGTTTAGACTTCCGGAAGAGGACAGGTGTAAATTGCAGACATGACAACAACAATTGTATTAGAAAACACTTGGTCGATATCATACAAATTCTCCCAACTCAACTCTTTTTTGGTTTTTCGAAACTCACTGTCTGTATGCTTCATTATAGAGACAACAATTCGTCATGGAAAACACGTATTAAGCATTCCTCGACATCAATTGGTTCAATTGGTCGATATTTTCAGCCGAATAGTCGATCAATGTATTTATTATTACCTCGTTTATTATGCCAAATGTAATACTCACATTATACTTTACAGCTGGGAAAGTAACGAGAATTTATCGATAGATCTACCAAGGTGAGTCGAGCAGAGAATGACAATCCTTCCAATTCTCAACATAAGCAAAACATAGATTCCCACACTAAAGACCTCCCGGGATACAATAATGCAAGGAGGTAAATAAATAAGAACAGAAAAAAAAATCTCACATGAATGCTGCAGCAATGCCGATGAGGCCTCCCGCAAGAGGAAGCAAACTTCGAAACAAGTTCAGGTTCACCCATTTGTCAAGCAGAGTGACGCTCTCCGCTTGATTTCGGTCGGATAGCTCGATTTTCGGCTTGGCCATGTTCAGAAGAGCGTTATTTGTATTACTCATTGCCACTATTGTGTAGGGGACAATGCCGAGCGTCAAGATTGCGGCAGCAGAGTACAGTCCGGCTTGACTGTACGCGGCCTGTCGAAAGAGGGGGGCGCCTGAACGGACCGACCATGCGAGATAGAAGAATGCTGAGGCAGTGATGGCTGCGATTGGTCGATTCTGAGCCTTTCCTGCCTCATACACATTTCTCCACTGCTTGACGATGAGTTTCGGGGGCGCGTTATCTTCCTGGCGGGAGGAAACCAGCGCAGGCACTGCGTTCATACTGAGCGCAGCAATATTACCTGTAAAAAATGCGGCTTGTCAGTCTACAGTTCGTTCACCTTGCTGGAGTCTTTGCCGATGAATTTCTAGAACAAAAGCAAAAAAAAAATAGTAAAAGCAGTACGAGGATCCCAACCTGAAAGCCAAGCTGCGCCAGTAAAACCAATGGCCTGAGCCATGCGAAAACCGATTGGGTAGGAAACCATAATGCTGCAGGACAATTTCAACCCAAAATGTGTCCGCGGAAATTTTACTTTTTTAAAAGTACTGTCGAGGTGGTAGGATTATAAGTACACTATTCTTCATTCCTACTTCAGTCCCCACTTTTATTTGTAGGGGACAGACGCCATCGATGAATCATTGCTATGTTTGCAGACTCTGTCCCCACAGACTCGATACTGTATCCACCGTGGATCAGGTGTGCTGGAGAACTCCAAATTCCGGCAAAAGACGCCAATAGAGAAGAATGTGCGGGGCACCCTACTGTTAATTAGCTTCGAGAAGCATGGACACGAACACTTTTTGGGATGATGAGCGCCTGGACCTCTCGTCTTAGAAAGTTACCCACCAAGTAACTGACGCCTTGTATAAATTACATTTATTACGGACCCTTTCATAGAAGGGATAGAACGTGCCCGGGTATGTCCCGTTGAGAGGAGAAAGGGAGGAGCCGGAGATTAGCTGGGGAAAGTTCGTGACGTGCGCAGCACACCGCCTCCAGCCCCACTTGCCGCGCTTCTCAAGTTGGATGGCATCGGGATTTTGGAGGGACAAGACATATCATTCTGGTTTTGTATTTTAACGAGGCCATCTTTTGGTTACCTACCTTTTCTTCTCAGCTCGATGATCCCAAACCGTGTACAGTGTCTCCTCCCAGTCCATTGCGCGAATGGAAAGACAACAAATCCAAAGCCATGCCTGGTCGTGGAAGGACTGCGAGAGGCCTGGGCTCAGGACCTGATTGTTGAATGCTTGAGTCAGCACCGAGGGGCCCGACAGGATGATGAGCTCAGGGACTGGTATGGTGAGCACATGACATCTCCACAATGTTATTTTTGAAACCTTACCTGGAACTATTTGTCAAATACAGTAGTTACATTAAAACGAGCATCTCGTCTACTTTCCGGCCTGAAACCCCCAAGATCCTTTTTCTGTCCATTCATGCAACTGCCAAGCCACCAACTCTTGTCAAAGAAACCTTCTCCATTCCGATTGGCTCCTATTTTATCGATTTTATCCTGGTGCCACTCAATATAGGCATGCATGCATAGATATCGCTGAACAAAAAGTTACCATAAAGGCTTTTTCCAGCACTGGTTCCCATGCCTTACTCGGAACTTGTGGAAACAAAAGGATCTTTTTTCCGGCTGGCTTCGGGATGTGTTAAGCAAAACCTCCACTCGTTAACTAGTTAACTAGTCTGAATACAGGCCGTAAGCGGTGGTCCCGCAAGTAAGTGGTCCCGCAAAGTAGCCCCCAAGCCCCGTCTTCTGGACCTTCGACTCATTCTCTAATTGCTTCTCTTCCTCGAAAAAGTCAACCCCTTGCAACGCCCAAGGTACATCAACTCTATCCATTTTCCTTTTGCAGTAAATATCTATTAAAGACTAAAAGCTCCAACTCACAGCTTTGAGATAGCGCTTTCAATGGCTTTGAGCACTATCCCTGCCTCTCCTAACTTTCCATACGAGGCCTTCGGCTAAGCTCAGCCTTATTTCTCTCTGGCTCCTTATTCTGTTTATCCTACGTCACACTGCGGCCCTACGCACAGTTCCAAGCAAAGATTATATTCGGTCTTTCCCACCCATCTCTCATTACGGCGTCCGATTTGTCCAGATCATAGCACTGGCCTCTGGATCCTCGTTATTTTACAGTGGTTATTGCTTTAAAACGAGGCCGATTATACCAACCCAGTCTCCTTGTGCTGGGGCTGTTTCCATTCTCTGCTATGGTCATTGCACGGATACAAAAGGTTCTAGAAGCTTACGGCTGTCAGAATCACGAAGTCTACTATGAACAAGATGCAGAGATGCAAGCCAATAATCTATCAAGGAAGTGGATGTGGTTCAACTATGTGAGGTGCATGTTCCCGCTGTTCGGGTACTCAGGGCACTTTGGGATTATTCGTCTGCATAATGAATAAGGGAGCGAGGTCGAGGGATGGGGAAGTTTCTCGACAAAAGCATCCTGCCTCGGAGAAAGGAATTCTGCTGCAAATACATACGTTGTCCCTTTCATGGTCTGGTTACGTTGCCTACCCCACTTCATAGGTTAACTATATGGACTATGTGGATCATATTGTGTGCTTGAAAGCATAAAAAGTAATTTTCTATCATGGCTATTGATCACTCATCTATTGTTGAATTTGATCGTGTAAAATATGACATTTAAATTGGTGTTTTTAAGACAGCCGCTTGCTTGCTGATTACGTTAGGTACAGTATGATCTTACGAAGTCCTCCGAATCACAATCACAGTTCATCTTTAGATCCAGACTTGCATCCATCTGGCACATGTGTGGTGAGTTCGAGAGCCTAGGATGACCCATCAAGCTTAGCGCAATTCATTTTACTTGCGATGTAGATGGATTGTGTACTTTCCAATTATTCCGCTAGATGACTTAATCAACATCGTGGAAGCCTAGAGCTTTAGGCTTCATTACGGCCCAAAAATCGAGAATATATATCTGTCACTGGGCCTTCTCTCTCAGGAGAAGACTTTCGTTACAAGAAACATAGGGTGCATATATTAGAGAGGTTTTCAAATTTAGCGTTTGCACTATGGACATGCAGAGAAAATAAAAAGAGACCCGCAAGTTGATAAGGCCTTAAATCTCAAAATAAGAGCAGCCCCGATAAGTGGGAAAAGCACGAGTAGTTTAGCAGTCCCCACCAACCGCAGAGCCTGTTGCACATGAGCGTCTCCTAATACCTTCTTATGACCTTTGGTTTTTTTTTTCCTCTATAGCCGCGAAGAGGGCTTTATTTGAACTCTCTAGGAAGATAATCGTATAGGGAATAATTGCAATGCATACACCGTTGCTACAAGATACACATTATCACCCGTCCGGTGCGTTAACCATGCGAAGCACGCTGCAAAAACTAAGACTAACGGTGTTTTCAGTCGACGAGACTTCGTGTACACAACTGATCTTGCTCTAGGAGCAAGAGTCGGTGATGCTAATAAGGCATGTTCCGTAGCGTCAATGCCCCCGAAGGGGAACGTGAACATAGAACCTTATAGCGTGTTAACTCACGGAGTTGAAGCGGTCGTAGACAATGTTACTAGATACCTAGATTGATGTTGTGATCCCAGATGCTTGGACTGCAGAAATGTAATCGCTCATTGTAAAAGACTAATAATCGAGCTTTTGGTAATTTTTGACTTCATTAGATGTAGGAACAAGTGCACTCTATCAATACACAGACTCTGGGAATAGATCTTTGGACTGAGCTATCCGGGACTTAGCCATCATACTGGACAAAAATTTTCTTTCCTTACAAGTGAAAATGATTGATGTCAACGGTAAAGAAGGTACTATACTCAATTCTCGGTGATGTCGGGACTGTCGGACTCTGTCGGCTTTTGTAGACATCCCCAAACCCCGCAAACGGGTCGGAGGTTTGGACCATCAACCCTAACCCGCAATAACCCGTTTTGGCATGACATTTCAGACTTTTCCCAAATAGGACGGATAAAACTATGATTTATTAGTCATGTTATTAAGAGACAGCGAAAGGACTTGTGTCAAACCGCAAAGGTGAGCGAAAGTACATGATTCTCCACAAAATTATGGCCAGGAAACATTCTCCGCATTTTCCCCGTCGCCCTGATATAATTGCTCACCCAACTAAGGTTTTAGTTTGCTTCTGATTTACAATCAGCTGTCCGTCACTCGATTCTTGCACTCAACATTTGCCAGCGTGTCGACAGTCCAGATGTCGACAGTCAGCCTTTCAACCTCCCGACATCGCTTTGCGTTATTAGGTGCAACGGGCCATACCGGTCGACTGATTCTAAAGAAGCTTCTCCAGCAGACAAGCATTCCAGACATTGAAGTTCAGGTCTACGTTCGTTCTCGGCAAAAGCTAGAATCTTTGGTGCCATCTATATCTTCCGACAACCGAGTGTCGATTTTCGAAGGTCATCTCGAGGATGAAGGTTTGATCCGCAATTGTGTTTCAGGGGTGGACACAATCTTCTGCACCATTGGCGAAAACGAAAACATCCCAGGAGTGACTGTATTGCAAGACACCGCTCAAGCTATCCTCACCGCGCTGTCATCGCTTCAAAAGCAATCGATACTGCGATGGACCCGACCACGTTTAATTATGTTGTCTTCCGCCACATGGAATGCACGATTTGCAGCTACTCGGCCGATAGTGCTAGACTGGATGATTCGAAACGCTTTCGCACACCCATATCATGATTTGGTTGAGGCGCAGAAAATGCTCTTGGACGCCTCACCTCTTCTACGTGTCCTCCTCGTCCAGCCAAATGCATTGGTTAGGGAACCAGCATCTGGTTGTGTCATTAGCACTGAATTTGCCGCTGTCGCCGTCTCCTATGAGGATTTGGCAGAAGGGTTCGTGCAGATTTCGACCAATTCCGAATTTGATGGCATCCCTGCTGTTGGGGTGTCCAGCGCCCGAGCGGAAAATTATCTACTATACATTCCGTTTGTCCTGGGAAAGGTCTTGCGAGGCTTGCTCTTTAAATTCGTTCCCGGATATTGGCAGGCGGAATACGCCGTCTCTCGATATCTTGCTAGCTGGACACGAAAAATCCAAGAAGTATTCACTACTCTAGACTAGATTAACATTGACTTGAATTCTATTGCTTTAGTTTCCGTTTTTAGACTGACCTGACAGGAAGGATGGAGAGAAAACATCCGCAGAATGCTTTAATGTTGACGATTGACACGAGTGCATTCCAGGATGCAAAATCCCAAATTCCGACGATGCCGACGACCAGTGATCCAAAGGCCCTCGAATCCTCAACAAATTATGCTAGTCAGCCGCCACAGCGGGACCTCATTGTCTTATGGGCATGGTGGGAACTGAAACAAAAAGACTTGTATTTAGATATTGTAATCCAGCACAGTATTTAACAAGGAAAAGCCTGAATAAATACAGTCAGTCTCCACAAGTATTTACACCCTTCTTCTTCCGAGTGCTTCCGCTCCCTTTCTTTTCTGCAGTGCTAAACTTCATATTCCCAGTTCTACTATTAAACGCTCAGTAGTTAGTATACTATCCATCGTAATTAAATGACATCAGGTACCCTGGTCGGTGGTTTAAATACATACTCGTTGAATGCCACTGTGTTTCTTTGCTCTCGTAATTTAAGAAAGCGCCGCATAAATTACAGTTTGATTACAGGAGCCGGAGTGTGGTGGTCCGCAAGCATCCGCCACCAGGGTTTCATGGGTTCTGATAAATAATCGGGCTGCTGTTCTTATGTCTCGAGCGATCACTTTGCCCACCTCCACTTGGACTTGTCACAATGCCTGAGATCAATCTTCTAGTTCAGACAGCCGGAACTATATCCTCCCTGTGTGTGTCAGGTACGCCATTATCAAGGCCATCTTGATTAACAATGTGCCCATACTTAATACTGTATTGACTGACACTGCCTTTCTTCAAAGGTGTTATATTTACGTTTTCGTTCGGCGGTGTTAACACTGCACGACTCGCAGTACCAACGTCGCCTACACTAGCTAGCCAACAGTGGCTGAATGTGTACCGGAGATGCCACAAACTTGGCACCCCGATGGTGGTATTTGCAGGGGGATGTTTTGCATGGCTGAAGTATCAGACAAACAATAATGCCTATGTTGCTGCCGCTACCTCATGCATGAGCATTGTCCCCTACACAATCCTTTTACTAAGCGGCCCTGAAAAGGTGCTTTTTTCTGCTGCTGAAGGCAAACTCAAAGGAGAATATGCTACCAAGCATGCTGAAGTTCACCGGGCTCTTCGACAGTGGGAAATTCGAAATTTGCTTAGATTTATGTTTCCCTTGGTAGGGGGCGTCCTTGTTCTGACTGCAAACTTCAAATGACTATAATCGTCTGGTTGGCAATTCAAGTTTCCATTCACATCTAATGTTCTTTTGTCCTCGCTTCCACTTACACATCCTTTTGAATTCAAACGCAAGTAAATAGACCGATTCTATCTAATTTGTCGTTGCTTCTACTAATTGCTAATATCGGAAATTATATAGGCAAAATCGGCACTATTCTCACATTCGGATGCGTCTCATCGGTGAGTATAGTTGGCTGAACCCGGAGCACTGAAATGAACGAGGGCAAGGCTTGACACATCCCCTCAGCATTTACTAGACCTCCATACGACCGAGAAGAAGTATTCGTATATCTAGTGCAACAATGGTGGCCATGAAGCGTTTCATGAAATAGACAAAACTAATATCATCCGCGGAGGCATTCACCGAAGGGCCTCATCCTGGAGAGATTGTAGAGCCTTCTAGGTCTAACAAGCAAATTCTGAAGCAAACAAGCCCCTGGCATTTCTCATTCTCCACCAGTGTGTAAATGACTGTATAAGCCCCCGAGACACGTGTTACGTGAACCCCGTCGTACTGAATGCTTCTTTTGGAAAACAGCTACCCAGTGATATTAAGTTCTGGAAGGGCGAGGATTCCCTAGCTTCTTTCAAGATCGGAAATTAATGCGAGCCTCTAGCTTGCGTATTCCGCACACGAGAAGGGTTCCATGATCAATCGGCAAGTATGGCACCGGGGATTACCAATTGCCTTTGGTCCGTGTGTAGACTATTGGCCCATCGGACAACAAAGAGCCGCAAAAGCCGAAACTTTTAAATCCCAACGTCGACCGGGCTCCGAATTAGAGGGACCCAAAATATCTTGGTCCCGCTGAGCTGGAAAACGAAACCCCGCAAAACCCGTTCACCGGAATTTGACTAGATGGTCACCATTCTTCTAATCCGATTTAAAACGTGGAGGATTGGATTAAATAATGATTACGGTACAGCGGTAGCCTATTTCCAGTAACCAATATCGGGTCCTATCTATTGAACATTAGCCAACCTCAGAGCAATGTCTACGAAGACAATGAATTCAACGTCAGCGGCACGGCTGCCGCCACCTTCGCAGCAGCAGGATTTGAAGTGCACGCCCGTGTTTGATGCAACTGAGATCACAGATGATCGCAGACAGGCCCTACAGCAACTGCTAAGCAAGGGTCATATTACTGTGGCACCACTTCGTGAGCCCAAATTGATCCTCCACAGCCATCTTCCTCACGTATGTAGCACATGTGTACAATTCTCCCAAATCGAACCCGACATCTCATGATATACAGCTTCTAGGGTCAGCATATATTCTTGGCGCTAGCAGAAAGCAATTGGAAGAACTATACGAGCATGAGATCACCAGCCTGGTGCACGTAGATGACACTTTCATCCGAGGTCATAATATCTCAACAAAGGACTGGAGAAATTTCCTCGGCGAGAAATCGTTTGTCACCTGCAGTCGACATAGTGAATTGCCAGCTAATTAACATTAGTTACACGGTTGCGTACGTGGACTTTTTTGACGATGAAGTCAAACGGAACAATGGGGACTGGAAGATTGTTTTGCAGCAATACCTCTTCTCGGGGCCTGAGCCTCTCATCAACGGTTTCATTGGAGGCCGTACGTTCCATTCTTGTGTACACGAGGCCAAGTGAGCTAATTCGAAGAATATGAACAGTTGGCCATCCCTTCATTCACCTCGCCTACGCATGGGAGTTACAGAACCCAGCTGTGGCGACGGAGGCACTGAGCTTAGGATGTACCGAATATATTTCGCTCCACAGTCTCCTCGACCAAGCTCCGCCAGATAATTCTACGTACAAGACAACCGATCTCGGAGAGATCATTAGCCGCATCAAGGCTGATGATCGCCTGGACAATCTGTTTACGTACCCTGGGATCACCAATATTGGAATTTTGCTCGGCAAGCGTTACGATGTTCTTCTGGAACACTGGAACGCGTGGCAAGTGACTAACCCCCTAGAGCAGTTGGAGAAATGCTGCGACCTATCATTACTACTAGGAATCGGCACTGGAGATCCAGTGCATCAGTATGATTTCTACCTGATTCATACAATGACGGTCGCTCAAGCCATCCGAGTCTTGTGGCATATGATTCCTAAAGAGCGACATGCCTCTATTCTGAAGCAGTACGCTCTCTTCCTGCTTTTAGTCTACATTTGCCAGATCAAACCAGATTTCCCCGACGATATCATTGAACGGGTTAGTTCAGTTGATCTGAGGGGTCGTGATTGGACCTGGGTCATGGAGAGGGCCCTGAGCCACCCCTGGGCTAAGGATTCACACTTTTTCAAGGTTGTGCGCGCCCCAATGGCTTTTGAAGATACATTTGGCAAGAAAGACGACTTTTACTTGAAAGCCTCGGTGAAGTACCTAGCTGAATTTGATGGTTGGGAAGGGTTTGGAGAGGGCGTTGAAGGATTCCTACCTAACCGCGACGGGTTTCGCCCCGACAATAGTTAAGAGGAGCTTTATATTTTCAGCTTCTAAGGATAACTGAAGGAGTGGGGAAAAGACCAGGAATATCCTGCATGCAACGGTTGAGAATGAAAAAAAAAAAAAAAAAAAAAAAGAAAAAGAAAAAAAATGGAAAATGGAAAATGAGATGTTAACCGGCCCTTTCAGTGCTTGTGGAACGTAGTTTAGAGCTGAACACTAACTACTTCAATGATAATTTGAAATCCATCGTAAGGCCGATTTCTTGGCGCTATCCCATAGCATAGTAGTCACAAGAAGGAACTCTAAGCGCCCCCCCCCCCCCCCCTTCTCCCCCGGGGGAAGCTCGCTCCGTTATCATCCAGGGCCTTAGCAACCAGCTTCTGTGACGATTTTACCATCATAAAGGATAATTTTTCTTGGCTCGGATCTTCAGAATACGAGGTTTTACCAATCCGCATCTGTATCATCTTTCAGGTAGGCCTATCGAGCTTCCTGTGCCGCCGCACCGATGGGTCCAACCGTGCAAGTTGTCTGCCGGGAGCCAGGGGTATGTCCCATGTGTTCTGAACCAATATTCTATGCGGTGAGGCTATACAATTACCACTAAAACATCGTATTCACAGGCCACTAATCTTCACTGCACACACTCCGCCTATCCAGTTGAGCGAAACCGCATCCGAAAGACCATTTCTGGCCTCTAAGGCTGTCCGTTCCAGGCCGAGCTACTATACCGAAAGAAGCACATCGATGGCGGTGAGCCGAATGCTGTGACCGAATAGAATAGTGAAGCAATCGAACGTCTTATTATAATCGAATAACGAGTGTGTTGTATGTCGTAAAATCTAGACTACCCGAGTTCTGCCCTCTAACCATCTCCATGCCCTGTCTGTAAGGCCAAAACCTGTCACGTGGGCGCTGGGCGCCAGCAATAGTTAATAGGTTGCCTGAAGACGGTGGCAGTGTATTTTTCTTTTTCTTTTTTTTCCCCTTTGATGGAAAGCAATGGATACGCGGACCCTGCCTGTTCACTGATTTGATGATCAAACGGAAACAGTCGAGCTGTCGGAAATCGGCTCTTACGGATTCCGATTCGCGTTCGGATTGTCTCCACTAATAGGTTGGATCTTGGAACTGGCGGATTCTGTCGGCTTTTAGCCGCTTGCGAAAATACATTTTATTAAACTAGAACCTGGTGGCATCAGTAAAAGAAAATTCCTGCTGCTATGTCATTTGCTATACATATATTAATACATTTGATCTCTTGACCATTTTTGTTTTAAATATATGCACATTATCCGTATGGATTACATTGCCACATCATGTTTATCTCGCGATCACCCTTGCTGGGCCTAAAGTCAAGAACTGCTATGTTCTATGGGTTCACTGTTGCCGGGATGGGAGTTTACTACAGCACTCGTGCGGCCTATGCCGAGTCTGGCGAGCCTTCCAAAGTTTTCGGGGGCTTTGGCTTCACAACTTTGCGCGTGCAAGATGTCACGCAGTTGAACCACAACACCAAACGCCTGGTGTTTGAGTTCCCGGATCTAAATGCCCAAAGTGGACTAACCCTGACCTGTATGATTCTGACTGCTGTTGTGTGATTGCCATTGTTTGTTGACTTTAAGCCCCTTCCAGCCGCGCTGCTCACCATTTCCCGGCCCGAGGGCCGATGGCTGCCAGTGCTCCGGCCATATACTCCGATCAGCCGCCTCGGTATAATTCTAGACGCTCTATAATCCATCCGTGCGTGCCACTAACAACTTGTCATGATAGATCAGCGCGGTTGCATCGAGTTGATGGTAAAGCAGTACCCCCGCGGCAAAGCGAGCTCCCATTTGCATTCACTTGTACCGGGGGATAGCCTCACATTTGCCGCAACTCTGAAAGGCTTCCCCTGGAAACCTAATCAGTTTTCGCAAGTCTATCTCATCGCAGGCGGTGCTGGAATCACACCCATTTACCAACTTATCCAGGGTATCATGAACAACCCGGACGACAAGACCAAGGTGAAACTCGTCTTTGGCGTGAATACCGAGCAGGATCTTCTCCTCAGAGATGAGCTAGAGGAGTACAAAAAACGCTTCCCAGGCCGATTCGAGTATCTCTATACCGTCAGCCGTCCGACAGAGAAGGACTCTCCGTTGCGCAAAGGTTACATTACGGAAGAACTGTTGAGAGATGTTGTGAGTCAGTCAGACAAGACTACTAAGGTTTTCCTCTGCGGTCCTCCGGGATTGGAAGAGTCGTTGGTGGGATCAAGAAGGGCCGAGGGAATCCTAAGCCGCCTAGGGTTCACGAAGGATCAGATATATAGATTCTAGGTTCGCAAGTTCTGCTGTTAGAAAAAGAAATACTGGGATACACGGCGTTTACATGTTTGCCGATCATTAACTGGTTCTTTTACGAGCGGTATCTGTGGCCACATCTTGCTGCTGGTCCTCAGTCACTTGTATTTTCTTAAGTAAGATTATCTTTGGCAATCAATATGCCATCGCATAGTTTGATGCTTCAGCATAAAGATAAACCTTCTCCCTGGTATGGCCAAATGGATCAAGAAGGCCTCTTACGTAGCTCCGTCATGGAAGGACCCAAACCTGGTGATTATCATCATGTTTCCGGTTGAATTAGTCACGAGTTATATCTATGAAAAGTGATACAGGTTGTTGGTTCACTATCAGCAATGAATCCATTCTAGCTGCCATAAGCACCACTATAAATTGTATGTAACCCATTCCAGTGTCTGCTGAAAAGGCTGTTCTCCTGCAATCTATTATGAAGAAGACTCAAATCTGCGCGAACGGCAAAACCCTGAGACATCTCTGACGAATTGTTTCCAGAAACCTTACTTGAAACCTTCAAATCTAAATGTAGTTACTACTACCAAACTCCTGCTTGCCTGTACTGTAATGGCTGGCAGTAACAAATGAGTTATTGTTATAATACCGTAGTAATTCAGAATTCAGATAGATTCATGCAAACAGAAGGAAAAACAAGGTGGAAGTCCTGGCGATCTTGCCAGATTGCTCACCACCCCATCCCCATTGCACGCTGCCTTCGCCCACACTCGTGGTACATATAATACACAGTAAAGTTGCCTCTTGAAACAACACTAGGCTCCCTGTCAAAATCCCGGGTAGTTCCTGGCCTCTGCGTAAGTCAAATACAGTGTAGGGAAATAACTTGACCGATCCCGATGCTTGTCACAATATAACCATTCAACAACTGAGCGTGATGTGATTGTCCCCATCCGAGCGACAGGCACTGGACAACATTTAATAATAAAAGTTCGGTGGGACGCGATTCAGAACAAAAGCTGGAGGTTACGAAGCTCCGTTGCACAGAATCCTTACTTGAATATAGTAAAGTTGGAATCACAGTGAGCCAATCTCGCCACTAAAGTACAGTATGTCAGTCGCCCCAATAAATGTTATCGTGGGTAGTGGCCGTACTATCTTGAATTGATTCGGTTCAAATTCTCCATTTACCGTCCAGACTTCTTACCCAGAGCCACAATAATGGATTCGTGAGCGCTGTTTTGGCAGTTTCTTCTGGCCTCTTCCTATGAATGTGAATAGGAAGCTATCTGCTGGTCTTTGACAGGCGCTAGGGATGGAGAGTCTTTATAGTCCTGGTATGTCCTGGGCCAAATTGAAGGGGAAAAAAATAATATAAGAAGGGAATTGGAGGTACCTGACACATGGAGCGGCAGGCAGTCCCTGCCATCATGGTAGCAATTGGCTGGTTTTTGATGCGAAATGCAGACCTCACAGAATTGCAAAAGGCATACTCATATTCTGTATGAGCCAACCGTACTACCAATCAGCGCGTAAAAAAGGGTCACAGTTGCCATATACATCTCCAATGAAACTGTCGTAGTTATGCCATGAATCATTATCACCTGGGCCAGGTAGACTCGTAGCACTGAAGTCAATTGCATCCCAGCCATTTGAGTATGATTCCAGCATGTCGAGTGACAGAGAAGTTTGTGGAAGTGTGATGGCTGGGTTGACTGTGCTGCCAGCAGCCACCGTCGGCTCCAGACCCATCGCAATCGTTGTCGTAGTAGGTGTAGGATTCAACTGTTCGCGATCAGGCTGAGAAACCGATTGTTTGAGCGTAGAATTGATCGAGTCCACACGCGATGGAACCTGTGGAATTGCTTCGCCAGAAGACTGGCTGCCCAGCAATTCCCTCTTGCGGGCCTTCGCCTGGTTCATAAGCTTCTTCAGTGGTTTCCACAGCATCCCGTTCTTAGATTCTGCGATCACATAGCTGGACTGGTGGTAAACCTGTTCCACCACTGGCCAGTATTTTAACAACGTTTCCGGATCCTTGCAGACACACAGCTCGGCGAGGACGACGGCTAGTCCATGCCATGGAACCCACAGATAATCAAACCACATCCAAGATGCAGTGGCCGGGTCACTGTCTGACTCGTGCAATTTCTGCAAATTATCGGCTGCTAGCCGAAGAAGATCTTCCCCCGGAACGTGGGGAGGAATGAAATTCTGATGTCTTTGCAATGGTCGGAGGCAGAGTAGCTGCAAAACCCCGTTGATAGTGGCCGCCGTTCGTTTCGCATATAGCTGGAAGGGAAATAGGTCGGGTTTGCAACCGCTTAGAAGTGTGGATACCCTTTGTTGAAAATCTTTTAGAATCTGGTGCCGTAAGGCTATCGTTTTCTTGCCTGGCTCGATGAAGTCCCTAAATGCGAGCATGCGGGCGACAGATTGCGCGGCGGCAAGGATTAGCGGGTGAGTCATGTCGGTAAACGTGCCTTCAGGTGGCTCTTGGATGGGAGCTTCCATCCCGAAGTAGATTGCCTCGTCATTAATGTTCGCTGGTGGGTGTGAGTCCAACCATGCGGATTGCATCATTGGTTCAGATGCCCGGTCTAGAGATGCTGCGAGGTCTAGAAGACCGATAGCCTGCCAAAGACGCCGACGCATTTGTTGCTCGAAAACACTGATTTGGAACGGCGGCTCAGCCAAGTGGAGGCATAGAGCTTGACCTACTCGGAGACCCATGGCTAGCATAGTCCACACACGCCGGGTTTGGTCCTGAGAGCGGGCGGCAAGCTAGTAATGGTCAGCTCCCTTTCTCATCAAAGTTATGTAGCACGGGACAGTGGTCGACTCAGTGGATAGGTATAAAATTTACCATTGAGAGCACATACGCCTGCAAAACCGTCAAGTCATTCGTGGTCATAAAGTCTGACTTCAGTAGGGCAGCTTCAGTTCCCCTCTGCAAATTGGCCGATACGGACTTTTTGTCAAGACCAAATAGTGATCGGCACTGCGAGTCCTCGATCGTGCAAACAGCCGCATAGTAAACGGCAGACGCAAGGGTGGCGGGGGCCATGTGCCCGGCTTCATAATCAAGATACGGCTGGTCCTCGACCAAAAACGCCCGTAGCGAGGGTCGATGAAGAATCTTGAAGACCGGATCGACGTTGCGCAGGTATATTTCGCATAGGCTTCTACGTGTTTGCATCGAGATGCTCATCTCTGGAAAAGACTGAGGAAGATTGGGGGTATCCAGGCTCTCAGAGCCGATATAGGAAGTTGCAAAGGCAGATGAGTATCTGGCCCCCTGCCGCTCGTTCTCCACGCGGCTGTCCAGAACAAAACGCAATTCCGATGTCTATTGCATAATATTGGTCGATGTGTAAGAAAGGGCAAGGAGGAAAGACCACGAAACCAATAAAGTAACTTACCTGCTGCATGATGTCTTCCCAAAAGGAGCTAGCCAGGTACGTCGCTGCTGGACCAGCCCGATGCGGTGTGGTCATGTCCATCGTGGGCTGGGCATTCTGATCCCTCCAAGTTTTCTTCTTGGCCGTCTGGGTTTCGAAGGTCTGTTCGGTACGCTCGATGTCGGTGCCGGCACTATGCAGCGCCGACAGCGCTGCTTCCCCCTGAAGCACGAATATCTCGCTCAGCAGCGACTTGTTTTAAGAGGGTTTCAAGCTTTGCCACTCGACCTGCTAATTCTTTGTCCGTGTTGTCCGCTCGTCGCTCGGCAAGCTTCCTTGTGCGACCTCGCGGTAGACGAGCACGTTCGATAGGGACACACACAAAGCCGAGTCTCTGGCAGCTCGTGCAGGGGCTCAGCTTATCGCATCGCGCCTTGCGCTGGCGACATGCTTCACAGCTGAGCCTTACCAGCGGCGCGTACGATCGAGCAGGTGTTCGTTCGGACTGGGCCGCGTGAGCCGCCCGACCCTCCATCATCACCCTTGCACGTCGTGCGATGAGAAAGAGACAAAGCGGAGAGGAGCAGCGCCGGGGAGTCTATGGAGATAGTGATCCGAAGCACCCGAACAGCAAGCATTCCAGAGCGCCAATAGGAACCGGCTGTGGACTGCAAATCTGGGCCCACTTAAAACTTATTCGGTGTTAGCGGCTTCTGCCGGGTTTTGGCGGCTTTTGTTGAACGCTGTAGTAGGAAGTTGTCAGTGCAATTATCCACCTGGTAATTTACAATGTGATCCAGCTGCTGCATTCCTGGCGCTTACTCAGCTAACTGCCACTGTCTATTATGGAAACTGGCGCCCGATGTGGAATTTACACGTCCATTTTCCACTCCGACAATTCCCGCCTGTCTGCTCTATAAATACAGTCTGAATAGCATCGATTTCATCATTCTCCAATGAGACTACTAGGTAGGATTACTAGTGCATACGTCCATCAGACATCCTGACAGAAGTTAATTGGCCCCCAGCACATGACCTGGTTTCTACACTAGTACCACGTAGGAGACACGTCCTTCTAATGAAACCCAAAGCCTTTCGCGGTGACCTGTTACCGACATTTCGAAGTACACCTAGAAGGTGGCTTTATGATACTTACAAATTTCGGTAACTGGTACAGTATTTGTAAATAGACTTTGACACATCCCACGGAGCCTATAAGAGTTTAGTTCCAGTCCCAACACCCAGTGTCCAACAGGAGTCCCATGGCCCTCTTAGTCCCAAGTCCTGTCCGCGGTGCTCCTAAGGGAGTTGTGTGCAGGTCTTATAAATAACATTATCTACTCCACATCCCGCGAAAAGGTCCCGCAATATTATATTGGGGGCACTCGCGGGTTTACCCAATCAAGAAAGGCTATTAACTGTGGGCAACCCACCGCCGCCCCTTGGACCCGACCTTCTTTGCGGTCCTAATAATTTACGACAAGACGAAGGTGGTCGGGATGCCACCTGGGATACACGGCTTTAAGGAAAAAGCCTATTCTTTTGGAGACTAGATAACGGCGATCCGCTAGTAGTTAAAAGACCATACATATATCCTTCCCTTGCTGTGAGACGTAAGTACAGTCGATTGCGTTCTTATTTATCACCTATATCGGAACTTTTGATTAGTTAGGATGCCTTTTGGGATACTTGAATGCAGGAAGTTCGAAGTCGTGCCTGGTATAGGTATGCCAGAGTTCCTTTTTTGCAGTGACTCTTCTCCGTGGCGCTTCGAGGCTTTTCCTTGACGCAAGACGGCAACCTGCGGTACGGACAAGGCAGATATGCCGACATCATTCTGAGTCCTCAGCCTTCTGATGACCCTGCAGACCCCTTAAGTGTAACACAACCAAATTCATGATCAATTGAAAACCTGCTAATGACGATTACCTTAGTGGCCACAATGAAGGAAAGAACTCATTCTCGGCATAGTAAGCACCTCCGCCGCAGTTGCCGGTGGAATTGGTCCAATGCTTTTCGCTGGTTTCGTCGGAATATCTGGAGACGTTGGAGTTTCCGTAGTTTATGGGAAGCGGCCCCTTTATATTCTGGCTGTTCTTGCGCTTTTCTTCGGCTCAGACTGGGGCGGCCTGGCTCCGAGCTATGGCTCTTTTGCAGGTGGCCGTATACTATCTATTTATCGCGCAACTGATGGAGAACTTAGAAAGTCGTGGTTCTTTTGACCGACATATTCGGCATATTTACCAATTCCCTGGTCCTCGCCGACGGGTCCGCCTACAATTGTTACCTGACCGTAATCCCTGATCTGTTTCAAGACGACCAGATGAAGCTCTCCGACAGGCAAAATGGGAAGGTCAATCTCCCCTGATGGATCCGCACCCATCAGCCCGCCATAGTAGACCCAATCGTGGAGTCTACCATCCAGTACGTCCGCGATACATTTGGTGTGAAGAAGATCGGCGCTGTCGGCTACTGCTTCGGTGGCAAGGTACGTATTCCATCTGACGACTACCACTTCGAAGCTCGTGGAGCATAGAATGAAAAATTCTTACACCGGTCCCTTTTTTGTGTGTTTGCCGCTTCCCGAAGCCTGGACAGATTGATGTTGGTTACACCGCCCATTCATCATTCGTTACTCACGAGGAGCTCAGCTTTGATCAAAGCCTAACTCTCTATCTCCACTACCGGTGAGTCTGATTTGATCCCAACCCACTGGCCATGTGGAGGAGATAGTAATCTAATATTCTAAAAAAATTAGAGATCGACTCTATATTTACCACCAAACTCCTCCACGAATCGGAGGAGATTCTGGTCAAGATTGGTCAGGTCTGGCAGATCAACCTTTTCGGCAGCGTAAGCCATGGCTTTGCCGTCCGTGCCGATCTGAGCAACACGAAGCAGAAGTGGACCGAAAAGGGCGCCTCCTACCAGGCTGTCATATGGTTAGACCAGTACTTGTGAATACTTAGCTCAACAAGGAAATCATGAACGAGAAATTTTCTAAAAATACGATCCTGCAAAATCAAAAAAAAAAAAAAAAAAAAAAAAGAAAGGAAAAAAAGGACGCAAGTTACGAGGAATACAGAATCAAAGTTGTTCGGTACCATATTTTGGGTCAGTAAAGCTAAAACTCCTGACCCAGGCATACATCCGGGACCCAGACAAGGTGCGATAGACCACCGAACCAATACCAAACTCTTTTCCCTGCTCTGAAAATACCATTAGAAGTGCTGACCGGAACAGTTGCTTCGGATTCTGTCGGCTTTTGGACCGAATAGGTTCCCCGCAGTGAGAAATGATGACCGAGAGAAATAAAGTCGTCCATTCTTCGCCTTGGTTGCTTCCGTGCGCCATACAGCATATTCAATTTTGCAATGACTACCGATCCAGCACCTGCGCCTTCCATTGATCGATCTGTGACCCTCCGTTGTGTTGGAGATTGGGGACAAGCCAACTTCCACCGCATCTTGTCATGGTTAACCCAGGAGTTCTGCGACCGCGCGGGCGCTAGAAGTCGAACCGCCATCTGGTCCCTTCGTGATGGTGGGCTTGATTCCGTACTTCAGGTCCACGATGGTGAAGCAGACATTGGGATTGCTACGCCAGCCACTCTTCTTCAGGCCAGCGTTACAGGAGATGAGATCTTTGAAAGGCATGGCCCACTGTCGGATATTCGAGCTTTGGCTGTCCTTCCTCAACGAGACCGTATGATGTTCGCTATCAATTCGGAATTCGGAGTGTCATCCTTTGCCGAAATCCGGGAGAATAAACTCCCTCTACATATCGCAGTCTCCAAAAATGATGGCACCAATTTCATTGGCTATGTCTCAGCACAAGTTTTGGAAGCTCATGGACTCGATGAGAGAACCGTCTGTTCGTGGGGTGGCTCTTGGGTCAAGGCCTGTCGCCCTGAGCAAGTTATCGATTTGATAAAGACTGGCAAGGCCAATGCGGTTATACAGGAGGCTATTATGACTCCTTGGTGGAGAGACCTGGTGGAGAGTTACACGGTAACTCCCGTAAATCTCGAAAACGCTGCCCTAGAGAAACTCTCGACCCGCATCGGCTTCCAGAAAGCTGTTGTGACTGCCAACTTCTGGAGCACTGTCAAGCATGATGTTCAATGTGTGGACTTTTCCGACTTCGTTGTTGTGGTGCGCACAGATATGCCCGACGACGTTGCCCATCTTCTCACATGGTGCCTTGTTGAGACTAGACAAGTCCTTGAAGCGCAGTTCCACCACATCCCACCGGAGCGCAGTCCTGTTTCGTACCCCTTGGATCCTATCAAGATGGCCCAGTCGACAATCCCGCTTCATCCGGCTGCAGACAGATTCTACCGAAAGCATGGTTATTTGGAGAACTGTCGAATCCAGGTGGAGAACTGATTGACCAGTGATTACCCAAACACTAATCTCGGAATGTGTTCAAATCACAAGATGGAAGAAGTCTGACATTCTGAGATAATCTAGGTATCTATTTTATAGTACAAAGTCAATAGTAAGCGAAGTGAGCGGATAACACAAAAAGGTCAAAATCAAAAGCAGTTTTGTGCTCTACAAACTTTTATACATAGGTCCACCATGTTGACTTGCTGGCAGTTACCCTCCGAATGTCAGGCCCTCACCGCTCTCGCTGATGAGGGCCCTGCCCAGTCTAATGCACACCCAGTCTATTGAACATTTTTATCCCCCCGCTGGAGAATTGATGCTATTTGCAAATACCCCCCACGTCTATAGATAGTATAAAGTGGCCCCAGGCAACTAATGCTTATTCTTGGCCTTCATCAAGTTCCCTATTTGGTCCTGTACGAGCTGAAAGAGATTGGCGACCATGAACGCGTTCCTCCAACTGCGTGTAGCGAATGTCAAATTTCCGGGCCAACTCGGTGATTTTTGGCTTGCCACAATCATGGTACGCGCTTAAAGCCTCTGCAATTCGTTTCTCGGCTTTAGGATTAAATTTGGTCATTGTGATGTTGGTAATGCGAGGTAGAAGCTAGAAAACTAAAATTTTGGGGGTAAAGAAGGGGGGGAAATGTTCATTAGAGGCTTGTATCGCGCCTCGTTTCAATGGAACCCTCCGAGCAGCGCAGATCTTGATAAAATTGGTCGATCTAGGAATTAACTTGGTGCCGAAGTGTTTGTCTACCCTGCTTATACCGTTGTTGATGGGCAAGTTATGTTCTCACAAGGTAATCAAGTCGTATTTAGCTGCAGCCAGCTTGTCCATATCCCAGAATAATGTGTCCGAGCAGTAGCTAACGTAGGGGCACTGATGGACCATCTGAAGACTGAGGATGGCGAAAATGAATATGAAATGATGTATTCAATGCCATAACAAGGAGCGTCATGAGCCCCAGTAATTTATTAGTTCTGTGGCTGTATTAACCTACTCTCCATTCTGCGAAGGAACAAACACACGGCTTGTGCTCGTGCCAAAGGAAAATGATCGTCAGCGGCGCAAGTGCCACATTTTGGATATCAGTAAGGAGGATGCCGTGTTAGATTTGGCGCAGCAAGTCGTAATTTGGTCAGTTATGCTACAGTACATTAGAACAGACAGAAGGAGAAGAAGTTGTTACTGTATCACCGAATCCTACCTTCCTTCCTTGCAAATCAAGATGGCATCTTTCAACAAGGTAGCGCCTTTGCACATACTGCATTAATCGTACACGAGCCCCTACAAGAGATGGGCATTGACGTAATGGAATGGCCAGCGGGACCGCCTGATCACAATCCTATTGACAACCTATGGACGCTTCTAAAGGATAAGATCTACAAGCTACATCCAGAGCTTAAACACATGCCAAACAATGATACAACACACGCGCTTTTAATCGACGCAGCACAGGAAGCTTGGGATGCCTTGGACCTAGAAATAATGGTCCGTCTATCTGAGACTATGCCGCATCGTGTGAAGGCAATTATTTGACTTGAAGGGGCTGTTGCCATTGCAATTATAAATAGGTGCGATTATCTAAGACTGAACTATTTGGTAGGCTCAATAAAGGGTCCGCTAAAAAAGCATCATCTTAATATATTGCTCAACTTAACTTGGGGGAAGAAATAAAGAGAGAGAAAAGCGGGCTATTCTTTTTTTTTTAGATGTAGGATAACCTCTCTTGGAACAGTGCGTAGGAATTAATTCCCAGTACGTACGCAGAGCCAGCCTTAGTGTGAAACGGCTTTTCTAGTGTTGGGCGGGAACGTGATTTCTAGCAGCACACGCGATGGGCCACACACGATGGGCCAGTCAATCTCGAGACTCGGCAAATCTTCCAACGTTTGGTGAGGCGTAAATCACAAATTGTTCTACCAGCCAGGTTCTCAGGATCTTCCATCTACAGTCTTGAGAGCTGAATACTGGCGTTCTGGGGGTGAAATTAAAGAGTGCAACTGATTGATTGAGTGATGTCTGAAGTGGGAAGTAATGAGGCTATTTAAACTATCTACATGGCTCTTGGAGAGGGAGTGTCACATAACTGCGATGTGATCTCAACATACAGAAAGCCAAAATTAATTTACATCGTATTTGGCAGAGCCTGCGGTTGATTTGAAGATCTAACTCTAAGATGGATTTCTGTAACTAAGGAGCAAAGAATGCACAGACGGTTTAGAAATTAAATTGCAAGTAACATTTGCTAGTATCCACGGCGAATCTGGGCTCATGACTGTCAAAATTCAGACCGTACGACGTCCCATAATGGAAGTGCAAATCGCGAATAAATTAATCTCTGATAAAATAAATCTAGGGAGGCCCAACCATTTAAGGGAGAACTAACTAACAATCAACTAGTACAAAATAGGAAATAGGCGGTGAGAGTCCCATTCTTGACCTCATTCTTGACACTTGCTTATTATGAAATCGTATCCCTTAAAATTGCCAGATTCAGGGAAACAGAGACACGGAGTTCTTGCACCGATGATTGATCCTCGAGTTTCGCGCGCCGTCGGCCAGGACTTCCCTCCGCATCCGCTCAAAACTTCGAGTCCTACCGATCCATGCTCATACCACCCACAATGCAGGTAACTACTTGTATCTCTGTACTTATGCCCCATTTTGACTCTAACCGCATGATCCAGGGAGAGTCTCAAGCGCAAACTGTCAGCTCTCTAGGCCAAGTACTTCGCGCAGTGGGCGGATTGACAAAGCCAAGTGGCAGAGGGTTGTTCATGTTCCAGAGTCTTATCGCCGGAAGTACCTCCGCCGCCGTTATTGGCCTTTTTAGTGCAACCCTTATGGGGTATGCATTCACTGCCGGCGCGGTGGGTTTTCTGGGTGGATCTTGCATCGGCTTTATACTAGGAACGTTTGGGTATTACAGGACGTGCTTCAGACAAAGCTTGATTGCGTTTACGCATTATCCTGATTTGATAAGGCATCACATCTTCATTGATTTTGGTATGCATGGCGTGGACAAAGTCTCGTGTTTCTGGGATCCGGATTTGCCAAAGACCGTGGAAAACATGAGGAGCGACTTGGCTCTCCAAGGGATGTTAATAGCAGCTTGGCACTCGGCAATTCCTGCTATTGAGGCATGTCTAAGTTCCTCAGTTTCGCTGCCCCTTCATGTTTTTTCGCGCAAGTTTACTATTGATCACGAGCTGATAGGACTACTCTAATAGGACATTCAAAACCAAGAGGAGGCCCGCTTGACATCTAGACGGGACTAGAATTCTTTAAGCGAGGTGGGACATGAGTTGTTTGCGAATCGCGATACCCGCAATCAATGCAGGTTGCCCTACGGTTTTTGCAGGGAACTTGCTGGCATGAACCACAAATCCCATTATAGAAAATTTACTGAAGGAAGTATGTATCTGTCTCTGGGTCAGCCAATGGAGAAGAACATATTGGGGACGGCTGTTTCAGAGCTCTCACAAAAGGACTCTAGCTATCAATAACAGAGAATTCCCAATCACTGTGATACATTTCTAGTTAATACTCACTGAGTGGCATCATCCCCTGGTTTCCAGCTGGCCTTTTTTTGAGGCCATACTGTATTGTCTTTCGCATCTATAGACCTGCTGGACACTGCTTCTCTATGCAAGAAGGTTTATAAGTCAGAAGCGTGCGTACAAGGCGCAAAAATGCTTTCATGAGATAATATGAATGCTGGCTTGCAGCAATCGGTGAGAGTCCGATCCATACAGTAGATGGTTTCCGACGGCGCAGACTTCCTCATGCCCATGTGCCGACACCCCGCGAATTAGGATCGAGCCAGGAGCCCGCCCTTTTACTTCATCTAGCGGCAAGTTCTCATGGACTCGAGAAGCGAAGGATATCACCAGCAATATTTGCCACTTCGTAAAAGGAGATGAGGGAGAGGGAAAGGACAAGAGTGATGCCTGCAAAATCTTACTGCCCTGAAATTTCACGACCTTGAATTATACGCAGCACTCTAGCAACAGTCTCCTTCTTTGGTGAGAAACTAGTCAGCTTCTAGCACTACGAACCTCATCTGGGTCGTGGATCATTGTTCCCTTTAATCTCTGACGTTGTCGACCACTACCAACGCGACGGCAATTTCGGACAAACTCGTAATCCTGACTTCGGATGGTGATGTGACTTTATAATCTATTTCACGTTGTTCCTACGATTGGCACCTCCATACACAGCCTTGGTTCTCGCTCTGTAACAATAACGCGACTTTCCATCGGTTTGATTATTTGGGAGATTGCTTCGCTCTTTCTGTACACACGTACTGCACTCAACCTTCCCAACCCATATCGCTCCCTTGCTCTAGGACTTAACAACTCCTTTTGCTCACATTCCTAATACAGTACTTGCTCTGTTCACGCAATGGCCGTCAGCTTCGAGTGGTACTTTGGCAGCCTCCTAGGCGCTGCTGACTCCGAGTCTGTCGACAAAACCGAATAAGCCCTTACTATTCTCAGCCAGCCTCTATGGGTAGATCGAATACTTTAGTGTCTGTCAGTGCCGTTCTTGTGACTTGAACAATATTAACGACACTCTTTCCTGCAATACAATTGTCGTCTGTTCATACTGACCTTGGGGCGAGCAGCCTTACCCGAATTTTGCGCGGCGTGGCTTCGATTTCATCCTTGTGGCATGCTATCCAGGATATCCCAAGGCTCAGAGAATCGAAGCCGATAGAATGGTATTGAATGAGATGTTCTACCCGCAAAAGACCGACTTATTGTATATCCTGTTGGTGATAAAACTAGGGCTGAGTCTTAAGAATTTGAATAGCCAACCACAGAACGCCTCTCATCATCAGGCCGCCAGCCATAACGAGCAAGATAGGTTTGTTACGGGAAAAGATGTACTTACTTTACTATGGTCGCCTTAACAATGCATTCACTATCCCGGCGGCCTTGCGCTTAATATGGCGTTTTGGTGTGGTTGCCGGGCCGGGCCGCCTGTGTGGCCGACCCGCTTGTGAATTACGCTAGTATTTAAGTGGCTGACGAAGTCCGCGTTACCAAACAGGCTGAGCCAATCAGCTTGTCAAAGTTGAGGGGCGGGAAGGAGGAAGTGCAGAGGCAGCCGCGTATAACATTTTCTTACAAAATACATAATGGCACGTTCCGCCACCGTAATCTAAAATACAATGTATTCTTAGAAGCCGGAGATATACGGCTAACACATGTACAGACTAGCGCGTTTCAAGTCATGGTTTGGGAAACAAATCGGGAGAGAATATGGGGTAAACTGGCCGGTAGCGGTAGTGCAAGGGGTTAGCGCTCCGAGGCAACCTGCAGGATGACGAATTGGTCACTCTTCATTCTGCAGGTATTGGGTTCGACTCCCAACGCCGGCACAACAATAGCCACCATCACGTCTCTATGGAGAGACATATCAACCCGGGGTAGTGGAGTATACCCCAGCCTTTTCACTGGTTAAAGTGGAGAAAACCACAGGCCTTACCAGGGTGAGGCTCAAAGTTCACCGTTCAGGAAGCTTGGAACATTCACAGTGGAACACAAAAATCATGTATTTAAACAGCAGTTACAGTGGCAGCGCTAAAGTCTGAGTCCCGATTTTCACCGCCTTGTCTGACCGCTCTCTAACCGCCTAACCTCCCTAAACCGCGTCGCGTCACCTATTATAGCAATTTCATGGACGAGTTATCGATTTCAATTGGATAGGGAAGCGGTGGTCTTATTTAGTTGCATAAAGTGGGTCGTCTCCGTTCTGCTGATTTGCCCTAGTGCATCAGAGGAGCCCAGCCGCAGCACCGTATGGGGTGATCTCTAATGACGCTTTAATTTAATCCCTGACCCATTCATAAGCTTCGCCCACCCAAATGTTGCTCCCCAACTTCTCTGTCTCTCCAGCGACTTGCCCCATCAGCCATGACAGCGGGACCACCTTATTCTCCGGTCCATAAGCATGATTTACCTGAGGGTGTCCCTAATGAAATGAATGGCTCATCAGCTGGCGGTACTGATCTAAATCCCGTCGGAGACGTAGATGGCCCTTACGAGATCTTGGAACTACCCTTTGCGTCAATGAAAACAAATCGAGATGACCACCCCTTGCAACAAGGACGCCGATGCCGATATGAACCAGTCACCATCAGCCTCTTCAGCCTCATTCTTATTCCCTTGGTTCTAGGAATTCTCCTCATGAGCAATAACTGCAGCTGGCATCTGTCGGACAGCCTGTACAACTTGGTAGATCAACATCGATCAACCGTCCAGATAGTGGTTCAAATCATTTCGGCCGGGCTGGCAGCCATCGAGACCCTGGCTCTCTGTCGACTAATCAACCTGGCAACCCGCATTCGTTTCACCAGAGCGCCGGTCACACTCGATGTTCTTGGCTTCTGGTCGGCTCTCTCTACCCCCACCACGCACTGGTACCTGCCCACCTGGATGATCGTTGTCACCATGCTAGTCTGCAATCTCTCCGCCGTGTTTTCTGCTCTATGGACTGGTGCTCTTACTCCAGTGGATAGCATTGGCTTCCGAGGTAGCACCATCTACCTACCCGACTGGTCCAACATTTCTCTCATCAAAGAATACCCGAGCCAGATAGACGAGACTGGCTTGAGCGTCCGTAACACTAAGGGCTACTTCACCTACTCGGTGGCTTGGGTCTGCTCAATTCTCTGCTAGTTTCAGCCAGTTCTGCGTCAGCCGGCGACGGCGGCATCCGCAACCACAACAAGCTCGACTATACCCGCTACAGCTATCACGGTCGATCCTACGGCGCAGGGGCCAGTCCCGGTCTTTTTGACTGGCCTATTCTCGCTATAAGCAATGCAGCCAACTATACATACCGCGAAGTTGGTCTCGACGCCTCTGTCTCGTGCATACACAACGGTAGCTCGCTGTTCCATCTTGGGAAGACCAACGAACAGAATTTCTACGCCGCCAAGGGATATCTCCCAGATAGCACGGCTGCAGAATATTCCGTCTATGTGGGCTGGAGCGAGCACCCGATTGTCGCCATCGGGGTGGCTCGTGACCCCATCCCGCTTACAGATAAGCCGTATATGGCCATCGCGGCGGGTAGCGATTACGCAGCTTTGAACAAGGCCCAGTGCACCGTCAACTTCACACCGGCCTCATTCAATATCTCCGTCGACATCCAGAACCGTAACATCACTGTTCGCAAAGAAGCAACTTTTGCATCTGCCAACTCAATCCGCGACATCGACCCCGACAATAGGGTAGCTCACGTCGTCATGCGCCAGCTGGAGCTCATCTCCAACGACCTGACAAGCTTCTACCGCTCGATCCTCGGTGACGCTTTCAATGCCAGCATCAGCGATTTCCGCACGGCTGTCGCGAACCAAATCGCGACGAATAATACGCTACCCGAATCACAAATAGTCCTGAGGGGGCTCGAAAATGCCGTGATCTCCTTGGTCGATGACATGCTCGTCGGCTATGCGTCGGCGCAGATGATGGTTGGCAGATTTACGGCCCCTGTGTCGGCGGAGGTTCGTGTATCTGCACTTCAAGTCGGGTCTCGGGTTTACATAACTGCCAGCACGACATTAGCGGCAGTGATTGCCTTTTTGATAGTTATAGAGGCCGTCCGCGTGCGAGGATGGGGCGCGGTCCCGGTCTTTGATTACCTCGATCAGCGAATGCTCATTTTGAGTGTCTCTCGGGGAGGCCAAGGGATCGCTAAATATGCCGGAGACAGAGAGTGTAAAGACTTTGGAACTGTGCCTGTCGTGTGGAATGCAGAGGTTCCTGGAGATTATGGAGAGGTCACTATCAAAGATTCGTGGTAAATAAAGGAAAGTGGTGAGCTTTTTGTGTGTTGTGACATGAGTAGACGTTCATAATAATATTGTTCTTAGTAACCTAGATACGTCGTGCAAGAAGCTGGTCTTCATCAAAGTTCTCTGCTTCGGATCCGTAGAAATTTTCCACTAGGCGTGCCCGCTCGGAAAAGACGTATTCTGGGATAGGAAGCTCCCAATCTTCATCGCTAGAGTTGTCAACATCACTGTCTTCAAAATCGGACAGACCGAGAAGTTGCTTGATCTGTTTATCGACTTCGAGCACAGGTGCATTCTGAAAGTATTCTTTCTGGGCTGTCTCTCTAGTGTCTTTTGCTAAGGATTTTCTTAGTCAGGATAGATCTTTCTTAACAGCTTCATGCCTTTGATAGAGGTGAGGGAAGTGCTCTCGGGCTTTCTTAATAGCGCTAGCCAGAGACGACCGCATCTCCCCTGCCAGCTCCCTCTGCTCGCGTTTAAGCTATAGGATTTTGGGATCTTAACAAATAGCATACCTATACACTTCAGTAAGATTGGAGGGGGCTAAAGGATCTCTTTTCCTAAACATGTGTTACTTTCAAACTACTGAGCCTTTCCGATTCAAGGAAATGCTCACTTCCGCCAGTAACGTTCGATGACTGCAATGCCTGCCAGCGTCCTTGGCTTGAAATATGGAGGGAGCCATCCAAGGCTGCGAAAATGAACCAGTCTGGCTCGAGTCTCCTCACAGAGAATGGGGTCGGTCCAAGTATTGGTGCTTGCCGGGCTGAGCTGAACGCACGGGAGTGGGGAGGTCATCGAGACGATCTAAGAGTCAGGTGATCGAGGCTATATAGTAGCAGGAAACTAGGCAGAGAGCGATTTGAGGGTTGGGAAGAGGCGTCTTGAGGTGAGGAGACGTTCGGAAGGTGTGAGGACACCAAGGGGAAAAAGGGGGCAGAAGGTGGCATTTTATACACGCGCGACCAGGTCGGGCAGAAAGTGAGGGGAGCCATTTCTGGCGTCGTTTTGGTCGCGAGTGAAAACGGGGAGAACAACTTGTTGAAGTCGAGCGGCAACATCACTCAGGATGGGTGACTGAAAATGCTTGGCGGGTGCGGAATAGTGGTGCCGCACAGGTGGTGGGCGGTCCAGCGTCGGCTCGCCGCTAGAGGTACGGGTGGAAAGGCCGCCGTTTCTGGTGTCAGAATCGGCCACTTTCGGCGTCAATTTCACAGGTCCTCATATTCTATATGTAAAATGTTGATAATAATCATGTGCATCGCATCAGCGTCTCCAGTACGAAAATGACAGGATTGAAAGCCAAAGATAGACCAACAAAGGCAATGCTAACGGATCATAAGCACTAGAACCTCCCGAAGTCCGTATCTCACTCCGTGGCCCTACTGTATATCTGTTTGTGCCATATTTATCCTGACCGTATGTCGCATTCAATGTGACTGGGGCTGAAATAGTTCCGTCCTCCAGCCTAATCCATGTTTTGACTTCATCGTTCATAGTCGTTTGATCCAGGAAAATCTGGCGTCCACCGCGGGTGACATCGCTATATCCTCCATATCCAGTATGCCGACCGTAGCACATATTGATTCCATTTCCAATTAGATTTTGATCGATGATCCGGCCGTCCCATTTGAAGCACCTGTTGCAATTTTATGAGTAAACGAGTCAATCTCTGGTTGGTTGGCTCTTACCAGTCATTTTCGTGGTCATGTCCGCTGAAAGTAGCTATTAACCCAGGGGTATGGAGAAGAGCGTGCATGAATTGGCGGTCCTGTCCTGTATATTTGGTGTCCATAGACCCTTGCGAGACCACTTTTTCACCATTGATCCCCGGAGTTTTGTGAGAATCAAAGCTTCCTTCTTGATACTGGAGCATGGAATGGGCGGGAATGTGATAGAACGCAAGAGATGGAATGACTTGTCCATATGTAGTCGTCAAATTGGCCTTTGCCTCTATGAACCATTCAACAACCTTAGCATGAAATAAGTCAGTTAAGAACCACTGGACAATAAAATGGGACAAGCCTTACATCTTCATCGACCCAGTCCCCCCTCACGACTGAGGTACTCTCTATCCCGTGTTTTTTTGCTTTTCGCGAATAATGCCCACCCTTTGAATCAAAAAACCACAAGATAAGTGAGGGAGTAGTCTCAGAAGCATCGTGTGGATAAACTGGCAAATAGTAATTTGTTATGCCAGCTTTAGGTCCGGAAATCATGCTCTGGGTCAGACTGTTCGGATATCGTATCTCCTGTTCGTAAATATCCGTCATGGGATCCAAAGACACCTCACTGTCGTGATTGCCATACGTCGATGCCCATAATTTTCCCATGCTGACCAAGGGGGCCACAATTTTGTGGAGATATTTACCGGAGTTCGAATCGTCCACGAATTCGCCGGATATCAGATCCCCGTTGAGGACTACTAGCTGCGCCTCTTCCTCAGAGAGAACATTGGCCATGACCGCGCCCGTCATGATATCGCGACCAACATCTAGACATTTGAATTTGGTCAGAATACACGCGGAATGCTAGTCGTCATGGCGATGGTAAGAAATACCTTCGGCGAAGTGCAAATCCTCAAAGATGGATATCTGGAAGGTGCCATTTTCCGTGAACCGTAGTATCCGACCGTCGAGCTGTGTATTGCGACCCGCGCTTAGAATGTCCTGCTTTTGAGGTACTGTCGGCATTTCGGTTCTGGATCATCCCAAGCGGGCGCGAGACATGCGCAGGAGGGAGATGCCACGCCCTTTATGCTTTTGCCCACATTCCTCATTACGTCATCCATATTATTGTCCCCGCTTCAATCAGTCGGGAAGATCAGCCAGGTGAGATTCGGCGAAACCACGCGATCGCCGCACTGACCCTTAGATGGATCAGAACATAACATGATTGGGGGGAGAGTTTTATATTTAAAATGCTTTCATCTACAGATGCCGACCAAGTGACATATTTGGGACCGGACGAGAAAAAAGCTAGCTTGGTAGCTGCACTGTCAACTCTCCCATGTTATTCTCTACCTTGCCAGATCTATCCTTGCGTAGATCTGCCGACGGAAACTATGTCGTACAAGTATGAGTATCCTGCAGTGTTGCGCTTGAATAGCCGCGCAACGGGTCGATGTTGTCGGCCTACGTATTGTTTTGGCCTGGCCCACTTGTGCTACATATTAGACTCAACGGAGGTGTTGTTAGGCTATCTATACGTCTAATACTGACCTAGGAGAGCGGATACTAAGCCTAGGATGTCCACTCTTTCATAGGTGTGGTGGAGTAATACAAGATAACTCCGGTCAAGGCTCGGCATTGTGAGTCAACTATAATACGGCATCCAAGAAATTTGCCCTCAATAGATAGCTTTTCGATTGTTTACATTTAGACCAGGTATGTTCAAATATCTTGTTCTGATAACTGGATCAGATGATGCATACCTTAAGCTAAATCAGGTTAGACTCACTTTTGCGTTATGTCGCCCCGCGCCGGAGTCCTGGGGGTGGAGTTTTATGCATACGCCGTAACTACGTATGCCTTTTACCCCCCTGTTTCGATATTATACAGCATGTTGAAAGATATGCGTGGCCTGACGTGTCTGCTAACGCTGGCTGGTATTGCGTCTGCACAGCAGCAGCAGCCACTATCGGCACCCCGCAAACCTAATATTGTTTTCATCTTGACCGATGATCAGGATGCCCATCTCGATTCTTTAGACTACATGCCCTTCGTACAGAAACATCTAATTGACAAGGGAACCTATTATCGCAGTCACTACTGCACAACTAGCGTTTGTTGTCCATCCCGAGTCACCCTCTGGACTGGAAAGTTGGCTCACAACACGAACGTGACCGACGTCAATCCTCCATATGGTGAGTCCCCCTTCTGTATCTATAGATGTATGATTGCTCAACAGAGACAGGCGGCTATCCCAAATTTATCTCGCAAGGCTTCAACGAGAACTATCTTCCGGTCTGGCTGCAGGAAGCGCAGTACAACACCTATTACACCGGAAAGTTGTTCAACGTGCATACCGTCGACAACTACGACGCGCCATTTGCAGCTGGATTCACAGGATCTGACTTTCTCCTTGATCCGTTCACGTACGACTATCTCAACAGCACCTTTCAACGGGACCGTGAAACACCCCAGAGCTACGAGGGCGAGTACACCACCGATGTCCTTGCGCAAAAGGCAAACCGTCTCCTTGACGAGGCTGTCGACGCTCAGAAACCATTTTTCCTCACAATTGCCCCAATTGCGCCTCACAGTAATGTCTTTATGGACGGAACAGGGCTAGATGACAACCCGGTCTTCAGCTTCAGTGCGCCCATCTCGGCAAAGAGACATGAACATCTGTTCGAGGACGTGCTAGTTCCCCGCACCCCCTCCTTTAATCCTGAGCAACCGTCAGGAGCGAATTGGATCAAGACTCTGAAGCGCCAGAATGAGACAAATGTTGAGTACAATGACCACTTCTACCGCACTCGCCTACGTGCACTCCAGGCCGTTGACGAGATGGTCGACGGCTTATTCGCCCGCTTACAGCTACACAATATTCTTGATAACACATATGTTGTCTACAGCAGCGACAATGGCTACCACATTGGTCAACACAGACTCCAACCAGGCAAGTCATGCGGATACCAGGAGGACATAAACATCCCCTTGATTATTCGCGGTCCCGGAATTGCCGAGAATGCAACCACAGATATTGTGACGACGCACACTGATCTTGCTCCAACCTTCTTTCAGTTGCTAGGTATCCCGCTTCGACCTGATTTCGATGGCGACCCCATCCCTCTGACGCAGAGGCAAATTGAAGATGTGCACGAAGAGAGACAAGAGCATGTCACCGTTGAGTATTGGGGGTTTGCAGCCGGAGAGGGTATCTATGACTGTATGCTTTCCCTCCTTTAATTTATATTTATGCTAAAAACAGCGATATTCGAACAGTCGACTTGTCCGCCTATAACAATACGTACAAAGCTCTCCGAATGCTCTCCGAATCAAAGGAGAGGGATATAACCTCTACTATTCCGTTTGGTGCAATAATGAGCACGAGCTCTACGACATGACGGTAAGACGATCATCCAATTGGTTGTCGCCTTATTAACAACAGACAGACCGACCCTTACCAACTGCACAACTTGCTTTCGATCGAAGACAAAGAACAATTACCTTTCCCATAAGATTCTAGACACCGATCTCGCGAAAGTTGTCCCAAGACTCGACTCACTGCTTCTCGTCCTCAAGTCATGTAAGGGCCAAGTATGCGTCAAGCCATGGAAAGCACTGCATCCCCGCGGCGAGGTCGTCACGTTGGAAGATGCTTTACATGCGCGGCACGATAACTTCTACGAGATAGAGCAGACGACTAGAGTTCGATTTGAGGAATGTGCACGCGGATATATTCTCGATGCCGAGGGACCCCAGTTCGATGAAGGAAAAATGATTCTTCGGGATGGATTGCCGTGGTATGAATGGATTTGATTAGGACCAGGAACAAAAGAGTAAATAATCTCCAATACGTATCACATATACTGCATATACATTCTGGAATCCGAATTTCCATTGACAAGCCATTTAAACCCTAATGCGCAAACCGGAAATCCAACCGCTTGTTCCCCTCATCGGTGGTTGTCTCCAGGTAATGTATCTTTTCCTCCTTGGTCATGGCGTTCCACTTTGCCTCACGCCGGCGATTGCGCATGACGTAGTAGAACTTCGTGAAGAGGTAGATGAAGATGTTGACAATTAGCAGGCAAAGAAGAACCTTATTTCCGGTTGCATAACGAGGAGCGTCATTTGCTCGGTAGATGTTGCTGGCAATGATGGCCCCAACCTGGTTCACCATGTTGTACATTGGAGCGGAGACGGCACGAGAACGTACGACATTGGAGTTTCGCGAAACCCAGCCGACCTGTATTGCTTGAGCTAGCCATGCGAGTTAGGCTCAATTCCAAAGTTAAGACGGAGACAGCGCACCCGATGGATAACATAGAAATAGCGAGGTTATTGCCCACGCTTTCCACTTGTGAATGGTAGTCATATCCACGACGTTCATATACACGAGGAAAGGAAACACCCATACCTGACCGAAAAGCGCGGTCAAGCAAAGCTCGCCGGATACCTCGGAGAAGTAGGTCAAGGACCACATGGTAATCACTATGACATTTAGAGTCAGAAACGGTATTTCAGAGCTTGATTTGGAAAAATTACTGGTTCCCGCGACGTATGGGACGGTCAGCAGATTGGTTTGGATGGTGTTGAAGCCGATACCAGTCAACGAAAGCGTTAAATACGTCCCTGGTGGGCTGGCCGGGGTCTGGAAGACGAGCGAGAGAAGGAAAAGCGGCCTATTTCCGTTCAGTATGCATAGTTCCTTCGGAAGAAACTACTCACCACAGATCATAGTCTCTGAGACTCTGCCACAGTAGCTTTTGCGTGATGGGCTGTCGGTTGTGCATCGTTCCTTTCCCCGGGTCCTCGCGAATGAGACGGTTAACAATGATAGTCTCCTCTCTGAACACGGTCAACACAAAATTCTACAGCGTCTAATCCAAACTCACCGTTCCGAGAACCACCCGTTCCTTCCTCGTAGTCTGCCGCGGGTCTGCGTTGGGCCCGGGGGTAAGAGGCCGACAGCCAACAGGCCGACGACAAGGGTGATCAAGCCCTAAACAGGGAGGATTAGCCAAATCCCATCTTGACCAAAACCAGCGTACCTCGATCAAAAACAGCCACCGCCAACCCTCCACTCCGGCTACTCCCTGCACGGATAGCAGGCCGACGGCGAGGAATGATGCGATGATCTCGGCCAGACTGATCGCGTCGTAGAAGAAGCTCAACCGTAGTGACAGCTCGCTATGAGTATAGAAGTACGAAAGGAACAGGACGGTCTCGGAAATGAAGCCACTCTGTAGTATGCCCAGCAGCGCGCGACAAGCGAGGAAGGTCGCTCGGTCTTTGAGCCAGAACTGACAGGCGGACACCACGGACCACAAGAGAAGCTGGATGGGTATCCAACGGTCGGGGCCGAGTCTCTTGCCTATCAGCTGCGAGGGAATCTCGGCTAGCAGGAAGCAGACCTTATTCACGGTATTTCCGAGATTGAAGTCTAGCTTTAATCAGCATCTCTGATTGATACTTTGAATTAATTTACCTACCATTAGTGTTCATGTTCAAAGACTCCAAGAAATTGTCCGAGTTAGCTTGCGAAATATTGGCCCGTCAAGCTGGAGCGACATAAACATCACACACGCAAACACCATGATGTACAGGTCCAACTTGCGCACAACCCTGCTCTCCTCGCCCCATGTCCATCGGGCCTCGGGATCAAAGCGGTGGATGTTTTCCCAGTCATCGCGTGGCTGATATTGCGCAGCGCTGGCCGGGTCATCAAAGACGCTGATCTATGAAGATATTAGATTTTAATTCCGACTTTTGGCGTCAATTCTCACCTGCGTCGCAATCGCGTTGGGGTCGTGTTTTGGGTCCCGCTTCCACCAGAAACGTTTGCGCCGCTCCTCGCTGGCGGGTATCGCTAAGCCATGAATGACACTAAGAGTAGCGATGTCGTCGTGCTTCTCAGTGGCCGCATTCTCATTGTCTGCCTCGACAGTCGGGACATTAAACTTAGGGGCAGTTAGACGGACACTCATGGCGATATAGTAAACATTTAGTTCAGAAATGGGGAGTTTGGGGCAATGGTTAGGGCTAATGCACGGCTTTTGAGTGGGGGCAATATGGAGAATCTACCCGAAGCGGGGAAGCGAATCCTTCGGACATATGGCGTGCTGGCTAAATAATTTTTCTGGTGGAATTAACCTCTTCCTTGCATTTCAAACACCATGGCCGATGAACAGACGCCGTTGCTCGATGTCGAGGCGCACACACCGAGGCAAAAGTCCGTGTCGGCCGTTATCGGAGTGCTTTTGATCGGTAAGAATGCTCGACTCCAATGCACAAGGAGAATCTCAGATTTTCAACAGGGGTTTTCATCGCCAATGCCGAGGGCTCGCTGGTACTAGCAACAAACAGTCAGATAGCTTCTGATTTGGGCCGCCTTGAAGATGCTAGTTGGCTGGTAACCAGCTACATCCTAGCCATGACTGCCGCGCAGCCATTGGTACGACCAGATCTCCATATGACAGGAATGCAGCTAACAGCGCTACGTAGTATGGAAAGCTAAGTGATATTTTTGGTCGATCCAGTTTATTGATCGTGGGGTATTCCTTCTTTTCGCTGGGATGGTAGGTCTTCCTGTGTTATTTTTGCCCAATTCAAGAGACTGACTGACCGACAGTTTGATCTGGTATGTTCGCCTTAATGCACATTAACGCATGTCTAACACAGGACGATAATAAAAAGCGGCCTCGCACCATCGCTCCCCATCGCTATTCTCGGCCGCGCCATTTCGGGTATTGGTGGTGCCGGAATGGGCTCACTAGTCTCGATTTGCATCACTGGTAAGTTCATATTCTTACTGTGGAGTCTCTTGATAGCTAACTCACCAGACCTGGTTCCTAAACGCGACATTGCCCCCTGGCGAAGCTATGTCAATGTCGTCGCGACGGTCAGCCGCAGCCTGGGCGGCCCTGTCGGTGGATATTTGGCTGACACTGTCGGCTGGCGATGGACCTTCTTAGGCCAATGTCCTCCCACCCTGTTGGCCATAATCTTGACTGCGCGCCTTGTTCCGAGCACCTCCACCAACAAGGATGCAGATTCGACAGAGTACTCGACTGCACTCGCCCGTTTTTCCCGCATCGACTGGGCCGGGGCGCTCTGCATGGTCGTGGCCATCGTTTCGCTGCTGCTGCCACTCGAGATGGCTGGGCCACGACTGCCTTGGACCCATCCATTTATCTTGGGCTGTCTGGTTCTGAGCGCGGTGACTATTTACCTGTTTGTCGTTGTGGAGCTGCGCTGGGCCACTGAGCCTATCTTTCCGCTGCGTGTGCTGCGCTCGCGCACCATCGTGCTGGCGTATCTGATCACTTTTTTTCAGACATCAGCCCAGCTAGGAGTAAGTATTCAATTCAGTGTTCCCAAAGAGCAGCACTGACCGTCACAGATGATGTATAGCGTGCCTCTTTTCTTTCAGCTGGTTGACAATGCCTCTGCATCAGTCGCAGGAGCCCATCTATTTCCTGCCATTGCGGGCGTTGCGGTGGCAGGTCTTATAGGTGGGCACGCAATTAGACGGTAAGCCATTGTTTGATTATAGCTTTCCACCATCTGATAAGCCAGGTTCGGTCGTTACAAATGGCTTCTCGTTATAGCCACAGTGTTATCTTCCATATGTTATTTGCTTCTAGTCCTCCGCTGGACAAGTCACATCAATCTATGGGAGTCACTGTATATCATACTAGGGTGAGTTTTTCCGGCGTCAGAGGCCTGATCAGATACTGAACGTATTAGTGGTCTCGGCAATGGGCTCGTCCAGGCGGCCGGTTTTATTGCATTGACATCCAGCATTTCCACGGCAGACATGGCTGTCGCCTCATCTGCATACTATCTGAGCTCCAACATCGGTACCGTCTTCGGCATGGCCGCCACAAATGCCATCTTCCAGACCACTCTGCGGGAGGATCTGGAGCAGCGACTGGCAGGTTACGAGGCGAGAGAAAAGGTATGTCTTTTGCTCGTGATTAATTTGAACAGTAACTCATAACATGCTTCTCCCTAGATCATTGACGCCGTCCTGTCAAATATCGACTACATTCGCCGATTAACGGGACCACTGCGCAAAACGATCGTCAAAGCATGTGTGAAAGGTCTGGAATACGGACACAGTAGGTCGCTGATCCCGACAGAAACTGATATTTGTAACTAACAAAACAGTGCTTCAACTTGGCCTTGCTGTGGCAGCGTTCATATGTGTTCTGTTTCTGCGGGAGCAAAAGCTAGAGGATGAAGAAAGCGAAGAGGGCGAAGATCTTTAATTGTTCATAGATCAAAAAGTCTCATAGGAGATGAAGGCGGAGTAAATCAGCATTTCGTGGCAATTAGACGACGGGGGCGACGCATAACTACAGAACTGGACGTAACATATTCTTGGTGGGTTAGGACTAGGAATGGGTATTATGTAAAGATAATGTTTTAGAACAAAACTCATTTAGTGTCATTTGCTAAAAGAAAAGCGATCAAGTTCAGGAAGTCGGAGAATACCTCAATCAACACTAGTTTTACAGTTGGTTTGCGACATATTCGAGTCAGAAGCGCGTTACTATTTTCAAATTGCCGCAAGTTGTACGAATATGAATGATGGCGTCACGTAAAACACAATAATATCTATTCTAGGAAATGAGAGATCAACTTGCTATACCGATTTAAAGCCAGCATGAGTCATATTTAGAGTGTAGAAATCAATGTGCAAGAGTACGGAACTGATTTTGAACATTGCCGTGAACGATTGACTTAGACAAAAGAAAACAGGCTTCGAGCATGCGCGAACATGATTGTAAATATCAAAACAAAAAGTATCCCAAAACCATTAAAGATGAATTTTATTGCCGACGCGGAGTATTTATAAGGGCAGTATTAGGGTTGTACCCAAGAGTCGTTCCTTCGTAGAGAGAAAATATCAAACCGGTGGTATCAAGCAGAGAATCAGTGGTCGTGACAAGGAGGGATGTCTAGTCGCAAGCTAGCGCAAGCTAAAGTAGGTCGCAGAAGCCTCGTTGTGCATCGCATCCTTGGCGTAGACCTTGTCCTTGTTGGATTTGGAGGAAGTGTGCAAGGAGTACCACTTCTTTTTCAAGGAGTGTGCCTCGTCGCCCTGGAGTGTTGTCGCGGCAGAAACCGTCGAATGTGTGGAGGTCGCGTCATTATCCAAGGTCTTCCTCGAGGAAGAGCTCCTACGGGAGGAGCTCTTGGATGAGTGAGGCTTCATGATTGTGCTCAGCTCGGACTTGTTGACGGATTGTCTGAGGTTGGAGAAGGACATGGCGACGGATGAGACGAGATCGGAGAAGGTAACCACTTTGGTTCTGTCGATGGGTGGTCTTATGAACAGAGCGTAGGCCATGGGTAGATCGTTCTTGGTTCAAGAAATGTTTTTGATTGAGGGTTGAAAAGTCTTTGTTTTTGTTTGAAGAATGAGGAATGTTAGTCTGTGATGATGGGAAGGGAAGGAATCCTGAGGTCTTATATACTTGACCATTCCCTCATTTTTTTCCCAATTCCGCTCATCAACTCCGACAAAAGCTTAGACCCACTGCTCAGCCATCCATGACTCGAATGGTTGAATCTAGAAGTGACGACAGTGAGAAGTGTCATAATGCCTCATCATCGATCGCCATGGCTGTTCATCAGGGGATCCACTTCGGCGTCGGAGTTCAGCATCGGTGTGACTTTCTGACCAATCAGCCTCTCGCTTTGCTCTCACAGGGCGTGGTGGATCATCGTAAGCAGCAGGGCTAGCCATCTCGGGATCCCGCCAGGCGGGTACCCAACTCGAGTAGGTCTGGACTGTTCCCAATGGCATAATCATCATTATTGACTACCGGCGGCTAAAAGTTTGAGGGGCTGATTGCTGATGTACAACCTGGGTGCCTGGCCGCCTACGTTTCAGATCGCTGCCTGTACATCGTACGTGCTGTGTATGTAGAGGGCATTCCGAAAAATTTGTGACCGCTTTCATTTTGAGACCGGGTGGTCCCACTTGCCGACTCTAAAAAAAATCGAAGACAGGGAAAAAAGGTCTTGCTCGGATCAAAATGGAGACAGTGTAGTATGTGGCGAGACGTGTTCGCGGCTAATAACGGGCCTCAATTACTTGATGCAAAACTGCTTATTCTAGAGGATTGTAGAATCGAATTGTGGCAGCGATTTCCAAGCCGACAACCAAAATGACTTCGGTGGACTTGATGATTAATTACGTTGTGGCTTGGGATGACTCAAAATGTATACGAGGCAGCAAGAGGTGGAAACCTTAAGAACAAGAGGCATCAAAGCTCACGTCAGTCAACTCTCGTACAGCATTGGATATAGAAAGCGAGAGGTCATAGAGGTGATCGGTTAGAATAATTTCCAGGTTTTCGGATCGCATGTGGCGCGCGAAAATTGTTGCTGCTCCCTGTGGAACTCCGAAATCCACTCCGAGCCGCGACTTTTTTTACTCCGATGCTAGTCCGAAGCAACCATCAGCTACCAATACCGCATTTAAGACAATGAAAATCTGATTTGAAGTGGCATTTTATTTTTGTAATCAACTCCGAGCAGCATTGAGTGTCTACCACGATTGTGTGAGTGTTCTGTGTAGCTCAAATGACGTTTGCAAGCTCCGCAGGTCAAAGGGCGCGCGCCCAGGCAGCCATCAACCGCCATTATTCCTACTTAGGGCATAGAACCACGCCCTACGGCTTTATCCATTGAAAAATGCCGATTTATACGACAAGTCTAGATCTGTGCCCTTTCTGTGCAGACTCGAAAATCAGCGAATTGAAATGTAACACCCCATGCGACAGTTTCCTTAGCCAGTCCGCGTACACCACTTGATAGAGCGCGGCTGAGTCCAGCGAATAATTATAGTTTGATCATAAACCTTACGGTATTAGTATAAAGTAGTTTAAAGATGATCTAGGTTTCGACTTGCATTAATGCGGTTGCGATGAATCAGAGCAATGCTATGCAGTTTGAATTCGTTTGTACCTCCATGCGCTCAAAGGTGTATTCCTAAACAGCAAGTTTAGAACTACATTAAGCCAGATAATAGACTGAATTATCGCCGCTAACGGGTAGTCATGTGGACCACAAAGATTGGTTAATGGCTATGATTGGAGGTTTCGACAAGATGTGGAGAGATATATGGTTATGTTATTTCAGAATTGAGTTCTCTAGCTAGAAGTTGCACCTGCCATCGCATTTCTTTAGTGTCCCGCCGCAGCCATGGCTTTAGTCTTGTCATCGAGGGCCTTAGCAATAGCTGGCCGAGCCTTGAGACGGTTCAACCAGGCATTGACATGCGGGAAGTCCGTCTCTAGGTTAATCTTGTCCGGCCAGAGCGCAGCCACTCCGAACCACGGCACAAAAGCGGCGTCGACATAGCTGAACTTACCGCCGACGAGGTACTCCTTGTTCTCGAGAACGCCGTTGAGCACGCCCGAAACACGACGGATCTCATTGACATAGCGCTCGATCGCACTAGGGACCTTCTCGGCGTGGTAACGCGTGAACCACACGGCCTGTCCAAAGTACGGTCCCTGGCCGGACATCTGGTAGTGGAGCCACTGCTTGGTTTCGTAGTACTCCTTCGAGCCGGCGGCGAAGCTAATAGTGTGTTTCTTGTCGTATGTTTCCACGAGGTACTCGAGAATGGCGCCTGATTCCCAGAGGGAGATGCCCGTGTTGGGGTCCTCGATGGCGGGAACGCGGCCGTTAGGGTTTACAGACACGAACGGCTCTTTCTTCACTTCGGAAAGGTCGAGGAACTTGTGCTCATGGGGAATGTTAAGCTCTTCCATGATCATCACGACCTTCCAGGGGTTGGGTCCGCCGGCGTGGCCCCAGAGTGTGATCGGTTTGAGAGACATGGTGAGTTATCGATTGACTGAACGGGAGTAGTGATTGAATGAATGGGAGTAGTGATTGATAGACAGAGAATTGGACACCGAGCCTACGAGGACCTGGGGGTGGTCTGTTTAAGTATTGTTTACTTCATCAGTGGGGAATTGTGGGATTGGGTCGAGTATTCACTTCGGCATCCGAGAAGCAGTGCTGACAAATGGAGTGGAACAGTGCTCCGCCTCCTGGAGAAGTTTCGATCTGATTCTTATTATTATGATTGGGATTTGGGAGTGCATTGACGATGATCCACAAGCTTGTCCTGCAGGACGATGTGACGCGGAATCACCATTCACCCGAATCCCCGCGGGCGAATTAATCAGCTTGGGGGTTCCATGCTGCTGTTTAAGCTGACTGTAACTTGACTAATCATTACGAATCAGTTTGTTAACCTATCAGGCAAGAGGGGTTATTCTTATTATAAACCGGAGCTCCGGGTAAATTATGTTTACAATAACAGTCAAGCTTGTTGTCCCACCTTTCTAATCTTCAATCCCTGATTCCGAGGGGGGGGTAGCGCTTAGATAATTTCAGGCCTATATAGTGGTCCTTTGCTATATTCTCAGCACATACGACCACAGGGTGTGGAGAACAGGGCTTCCCGTCCGCTCAGCCGTACTTAAGCCACACGCCGGTCAGTTAGTAGTTGGGTGGGTGACCACCAGCGAATCCTGACTGTTGTATGTTTTTGATTTTGTTTCTGCTTTTTTTTTGTTCCTTATTTATTCGCTTGGGTTGCCGCCCTATCCTTCATCCGCTTCAGTCCCTTCACCTGAATTCCCTGAAAACCACTATTTTACACCTGAATATCCTGCACGCCCTTGAAGCGCTAGCGCGTCCTTCCTCTCCCCATGCCCATTGTTTTCATCCAGGTATGTTGTAACGGTTTACGACTCTTTGGTCCGGTCTTAGCTCTATTTTCTCCGGAAGCGTTGTGAGAATATTGGCAGTCGAAAAGTGAAACGGTTATTTTTTTTTTTTTTTTTTTTTAAAAAAAAAAATTGGATGTTGCTTTACACTGTAGTTTCAAAACGTTAATCTATTCTATCCGATCACCCTCTTTTTACTTCCCCAATAACAAGGAAAATAGGTAAGGGGAAGAAAAGCCAGAGTAAAAGTAGGGGGTCTAGAATTTCCAATTTTCTTATATAAAAGCGACTCGTGTCAGAATGACGATTCAGTCACTTTCTGTAGTAGAACGGTTCTATGGCCGCACCTTGAGAGCCTTCCAAGGTTCAACTTGGATTATTGGGCGGCGGTTATGCAGTAACTAATACGCCAGTTCAACTTATGTAATGATAACGGTAATGATGATGTATATAACAGGGGCTCGTCTTGGCTTCACCCGAAGGCTACTAGTCACCAGCACTGCGAAGAAGTGCGAGCCCATCCCTGGTGGTCCCCACTCCCACAATCAAGATCGGCCGTCTCGAAGGTGGAAGCTTTGGAAGGGAGTCGGTCGTGTAAAGCAAATTTAAACTCCTTCTTTTGATGGTCGTTGCCGAGCCTCTTTCTCGTCTCCAGGCAGACTGAGGTCTCGATCTCCCCGGAGCTCGGCATCACCAGCCTGTCATCGCCTGATCGATTGTGGATGTCTGTTCTGGTTGACTGGAAGACCAGAAGGTCGGTATCCCTGGAGAGAGGCAGTCCTGGAGACTATGTGCTTGAAAGTACTCGATAAACTCGCTTGCATCTTGAGAATTCACCAAGATATAAAATCATCTGCGTATTGCTCTGGAGACAGATCAGTAGTAGCTCCGGTGGACGATGAAATGGTTCTCACAAACCTAGAATAGATGCCATATTCTGAACGTAACCCCCGTCAGACTTCTTCCAGTAAATCTCGAGGAGTTCCATTGAGCTTTGATAATTGGTGATCCGAATGGTATCGTGAAGTTTGAGGAGGAGACTTCTTGTCTGGTCTCGGTCCGAATATGTCGCCTCAGACCCTGCTGTAAACAGAGGGGTGGCCATTAGGAGCCATGGAGAGAGCCCCGAGGTCGGCTTCATCTGGCCGGCGATTTCCAGGATCCTCTGTACGGATGTTTGGATTCCAGTTGACCCAGGCAATGCGCGAATCCGACGGTGAATATTGATTAACGCCGTATGCTGGTATGCTTCATTGCATAGCAGATACTCACGTCTCTCTTCCGGAGAGAGTTGGTTCTCCATGCGTGGGTGAAAAGGTGTCGGTGTCATCTGATCCCGTGCCATCATGTTGCGGACTGTCCGCTCGAGCGAGTCGGCCTCTTGCAGGAGGTCATCATATGACAGCGTCGTTAAAAGCCCGGCATCTCGGTCGATCCGCCGGCGCTCTACTGAGGCGGCTCCAACTGCGTAGAGAGTCCCTAGAAGCTCGGTGGAGATGCCGAAATACTCGTCAATAAAATTTCTGTGCAGGGCGAGTTGGCTGCGCTGCCCCTCGGAGAGGCCTTTTACGGTCAGGGAGGCAATCAGCTCGATTGAAGTGTACATCTGGGCGAGGAGACGCCATGAAGAGTCTTGGTTTTCGGATTCTAGAATAGCAGTGGAATATCCGAGCGCGGCCATTATTGCCTGGGCGCCCTGGAAATGGATTCGCCATGATGCCGTGGCGTCTATGCCGGAATGAATGTCGTACAGGCAGAGCAGCATTGTAGTTGCTAGCATTGCCTCGGTGACTAGGTTCTGCTCGTTAAAAGCTGAGCGAAGTCCTGCGATGCTAGAGTGCCTGAGCTGTGCTATTAGACTGGCATTAATGTGCGAAGACGAGGCGCCGGAGGAAATAAAATAGCTTCCTGACAGAGCCAATACTATCGATAACAGGCAGGGGTGCTCTATCGCCATAGGAATCACTGTTCGGCAAAGGTTGTCCCACACGCCCTGGTGGCATGAGATGATCCGTGACGTCTCGCACAAGAAGAAATGCAACAGATAGCGGTGGGTGGGAGGAATGTTAGTGAACGCTCCCCCGGACTCTGAATCGAGCGCTCCAGGTATAGAGATATCGGACGAGTATGGATTGCATCTATCGCGAGTCGCCGTGTAAATGAAACTCCCAGTTTCGGTTTCTAGGCTGTTCTTAGCATGTGGATTTAGTGGGAGGAAAAGGCCAGTTCTCCTTACGGATTTTGGAGACTTTATTCCCCTGCAAGCAGATTCCAAAGCAGGACTTATCAAACCCACGACCGCCCCAAGATAGCTTGTAGCTATAGGAACATCGTCCGCCAGTGGAAATGCATCGGGTACAGCTTGGCTTTACCTCGTCACATTTCTGGTGTCGGCGCTTACACTGGTCACATCCGGTGAAGGAGCGCGTACGTTTTTTCCCCTGCATGGCCCGACAGAGTTTAGGGCGATACAGTATGCATGTATGTTCTTGTCGAGCAACGGTGATAGAGTCAGTCACTGCAGACACTCGGACCGAGCTAATAATCCCCCTGGAACCGTATTCGTTATCTTCCCTGATTTGTCATTGAGCGAAATTCGGCGATTGGCGATAAGAAGCTGGTGTTCTGATACGTGCCGGTTGGTCTCTGAACCGACCCCGCAACCCATCAGGGAGTATTATGTTCCATGGTCGGAGACCTGGATAGCGTCTAGGATAGTTCTAGAAGAGCGGCAGATAAAGGAGGTAATCTGGATGGTAAGAGCAGAATGTACGTAGCTGAGCCTGAACTTGGGTCAGCCGAGCTACCACTGATAAGCATAAAGAGCAAAGCGTGAGCTTTGAATCTATTTGTCTTAACCTTGTAGGGAAATAGATTAGCCCAGTCCAGCAGCCTCATTGTATCGGCAGAGTACTAATAATTTTAATACAAATTTGACTGGCTGATATAACACAGAATCCATCGTAGTCACGAAATCAGACGTAAAAGACCAAGAAAAACTGCCACCACCAAAATCCAATAACCTGCCTGCAAAGTGGCAAAAGAAATAAATGCTTAGGAATACACTGTGGGTCCTTTATAATCCCTCATTTTGAAAAGCCACCACACCGTGATGATAACTGTCAAGCCTCCTGTGATAAGGCAAGTGTAGTTCATGTTGGCTGCTGTGACAGTTGCTGTGTATGGGAAGCAGTATATGACGTTAAAGGCAATCATATACAGACAGGAGATCAGGTTTACAGCATATCCAACCACTTGGGGCATCTTGAATGGACCGGGAATCATCCCATTCCCATTTGGACTGTGTGACTGGGAAAAACGGCCAGTGAAGATGAATGGCACGATAGTGGTGAGATAGGAGAGTGTGGACAGAAGAATGAAGCAGCTGACAAACGCATTGAAGGCAGTTGAGGAGCCAAGGTAGATGAATCCTAGCAGCGTTGAGAATAGACCGCAGAACAAGGTGGCGTTGAAAGGATTTCTCTGGGTGGCAGATACCTCGCTGAGAAGGTGTGGGAACGGCGTGGCATCGTCACGGGCCAATGTCCACAAGGTGCGTCCGGCAGTGAGGTAGTCGCCTATGCAGCTCAGCAGGACAGGAATTAAGACTACAAAAAGCAAGCCGGTCGAGCCAGCCGTAGAACCGGTGACCTGGTGATAGATGCTGGCCAGCGGGAACACCGGCGCAGTGAGGTCAGGGTTCGGCGCTCCATAGAACAGAGCGATGAGAAAGACAAAAGCAGTCAAAAATCCGATGACCAGCTGGGCAAGAATGGCCAGCGGCACATTGCGTTTTGGTCTAATTCGAGGTCAGTATTTTCTTTTGGACATTCATTTGCTGGGGAAGCATACTGGGGGATCTCTTCGGCCAAATGAGATACACAGTCGGGCGTGCCAATGGCAAAAGCCCCATTGAGCATACCAGCGCAAAAGACAAACCCGTTGCTAGTATAACCTGTCTCATTCATCCACCCAGCCCAGACAGACGAATTGGATGCATATTTCTTGCCCGTCATCGATGGCATAATTGCACAAACGAGAACGGTCACGAAAACACCCCCCAGGATGAAGAAGAGACCGATAGTATTGAGTCGGGGCAGATACCGGTTGGCGAAGAGCACGATGGCACAACAGCCCCAAGTCACAATGAGGTAGCCAATAAACACATGCCACGGGTGGTAGACGTATCCAGGGTGATTCAACGCGTACATCTCGACACAGATCTGCGAAGAAATTGCAGACATGGAACCTGGACCCAGTCAGAGCTTTTGTCAGACCACTTTGGCGGGGAAAAGGACAAACCGCAAGCCAGATTCCAGCAGAGGTAATTCCAGAACCCGGCAAACCATCCACAGATCCGGCCATATTTCGGCCCTCCAGTCACTGATGCCCAATGGTAAACCCCGGCACTGCTCGGAATGGATGATGCCAGCTCGGCCAGAGACGCGGCGATGAAGCAGTAGACAAACGTCACGACCATGAATTCGTAGATCACCCCAGAGGGGCCTCCATTCCCCAAAGCCACCGCGATAGATCCACCGAGCGCTGCCCACGTATTGCCAGTCACGATTCCCACGGAGCAGATGGAGAGCAAGGAGAAGTTGCGGTCCAGCTCTTTGGTGTGCGTGTCTAATTCGGGATGGTGTGACCGTTTCGGTACGCCATCGTTCCCATCTGACTCTTTCACAGGGTCTGGGAGGACCATTTTCTCTGTGGCAGCCATCTCTCAGCTGATAGGTTAAGGCGCTGGTTTATCTCAGAGGTGAGAGATAATACGGAAGGGTCCCAGAATAAAACGCGTCCACACGTCGTACTGACTGAATGGAAAGAACGCAGTAGGAATTAGGGCTTGCCGTGGTACACATCCTCTGTCTGTGTGCTGGGTCAGACCGTTCCGTTGCATTTTATAATGGGCACAGCCGTGTTGAACACTATCTTGTTGATAATAATGGTTTCGCTTCAGTTGCGATCCTACTTATCTGAATGTGGAGAAGCGACTTATCGGAGGCTAAACTCGCTGACTTTTGACTTTCGGGATTCAGAGAGTTCCGCTAGTGGGCGAATTAGTCCTCATATCAGTGTTTCATTGGCCCCCGCGGGATGTTCCAGGATCACAAGCGGGTCGGGGCCTCGACTTAGAGTGTAGGAGCCTTACCAAATACGGAAAGTCAATACGGCGACAAGAGTAGTATGCCGGCAATTGTTTCTGATAATTGCACTGACAGCCGACTCTGCATTCAAAAGGAATCTCTCTCCGAAAGATCCGGCCAGGCACAATTTAGTATTAATCCGTGCGTAGGGTCATCGCAGAGGATTTCCTTTTCCATGAGTGCGCCCTGAGAGCGGATCGGAATGGGTCCCATGTCCCATGTCCCACTCTGAATTGACACGGTCCAAGCGATCGGCTGATTTCAAAGGCGAGGCATTTCAAGTGTATTCGTGTTTTCTCTCCTCCTCTCCTCCTACTCCTTCTATTCCTTCGTCGACAAACCACACCTTCCGTCACAATGGAGCTGCTGTCTCTGAGCTTGGGGCTGGAGGGAACTCATGTCCTCATCACCGGCGCAGGTGGATACATTGGTACGTTATTTACACCGCCGCAGATGAGCTCCTCTGTCACTTTACCAAAACTCACAATAGTACGCTACAGGCCGGGCGTGCGTGGCGGCATTTCTCTCTGCCGGAGCCTACGTGACGGCATTGGACCTCAGTGCCGCGAAGCTGGACAATCTAGGCGCCCACGCCAACCTCTTCAAAGTCACGGCGGATATCACGAACGAAACCCAGCTCGAATCGGCTTTTACAGATGCCCACGCCAAACACGGAGTGGTTGCGTGCTGCATCGCACTCGCATCGCTTGACCTTCATGTGCTGAAGCATTACCAAAGCATCGCAGACATGGAAACCGAGAACCTACGGCAGACGCTGCAGGTAAACGTCGAAGGGACCTTTTTTACCGCACGGGCTTGGCTGAGGAATATCAAAGCACTCGCCACCCCGGACACCAAGAACGTTTCCTTGATCCTAGTGGGATCAGAATCCGGGCACTTTGGAGAGCGCGGGAATCCGGATTACGCGGCCAGCAAATCGGCAGTCCAGTATGGGCTCCTTCGCAGTCTGAGCGCGGATGTCCCTCGCGTGTTCAAGGCTGGCCGCGTGAATGCAGTTGCGCCGGGGCCCGTTGACACGCCGGCGTTTCAAGAAGAATGTAGCCAAAATCCAGGACAGCTGTGGCTCGATTCTCAAGCAACCACTGCGACTGCTCAGCCGGTCCCAGAAGAGGCGGTGGCCAAGGGGGTCATCTTCCTGGCTAGCGAGGCCTTTAGTGGAAGTATTATGGGACAGATTCTCAACATTGACGGGGGGAAGCAAGGCAAGGTGCTGTGGACGAAGGATGAAGTTGAGATGAGAATGTCAAGAGAAACATAAATCCTACATAACTCGAAGTCATGAGCATGGTAAATTTGGAATCCAAAAGAGAATATAAAGAAAGATACTGCATTCGATCAGCTGTCTTGTATCTTCTCGCTCTCTCTTGTCTGGAGATGGCGTCAAAGCTATGCAACGATATGGTGGAGCATCGCAGAGACTTTCCGGATTAGGATATTCACGGAAATTCCGCGAAATGCAGGCCCAAACCGGTCGACCTATAAGTATCTTGTGATAGTTTGCTCACTTGAGTTCGTGTCAATCTTCTCCGAGGACCAAATATTAAGAACCCCCACCTCCCCCCACCTTTAACACCATCCACCAGCATGTCCTTCCTGGGATTAGAAGGGTACCATGTCTTCATTACCGGGGCCGCAGGCGGCATAGGATCCGAAGCAGTGCAAGAGTTTCTCAGTAGGTTTTTCTGATCCGATAGATATACTTCTGTCTTACACAGTTGGTAGGACAAGACTGCAAAGTGACCGCCCACGACCTCCGACCGATTGCCCCTCCATCGCCAGCGGACCCCAATTTCTTTGCCGTGCAGGGCGACACCTCGTGCGAAACGTCGATCCAGGAATGTATCGCTCAGGCAGTCGCGCATTTTGGACCAATCAACATCCTCGTGGCCAATGCCGGAATCACCGATGAATCCGCCTGGCGCAACATTTGGGAGATTCCCCTGGACGTGTGGGAAAAGACCTACCGGACCAACATCCAGGGAACGTACCTCACCATCAAGCACTTTCTCCTCGCGGTCTCTGCGGCGCAAACCGCGGCCAATGGAGCCGAGCTGGAGAACGTGGCCATTGTGGTGACGGGCTCGGAGACAGGCAAGTTCGGCCAGGCAGGACATACCGAATACGCCTCGGGCAAGGCTGGCCTTCAGTACGGGCTCATCCGCAGCGTGAAGAACGAGATTGTCCGACTAAACTGTAAGGCCCGAATCAACGCCGTCGCCCCGGGCTGGGTTTGCACGCCTCTAATCGAAGGCCGATTGGATGATCCCAAGGAGAGATGGAGAGAGGCCGAGGCAACAGTACCCCTGCGCAAAATCGCACAGCCAGGCGATGTTGCCCGCGCCATGGCCTTCCTGGCTAGCCACCGAGCGGCCGGCCATATCACCGGACAAGTCTTGTCCATCGATGGCGGCATGGAAGGCCGCGTGGTATGGAGCGAGGAGGAAGTTAACAACACAGGCGCTCCGTCCACGACGATCGGAACTGCCCATCCTTTTCAGCCTGCTATCTCGATCAGCGAGATCCCGCCAGCGGTTTCTACCGCCCCAAAATGTCGCGTGCAGGTCCTTCTGTCTGTCGACTTTGATGCAGTGTCGGGCTTTCTCGGCACCGGAGCGTCGCCCAGCAATGGTCTTTCCGACTACAGCAGCGGTTACTTTGCCGCCCAGGTTGGCGTCCCTCGTCTGCTGCGGCTCTTTCAGAAGCATGGCATTGCCTCGTCGGTGACGTGGTTTATTCCGGGTCACTCCATGGAGTCGTTTCCCAAGGAGACCAAGCAAATCGTCGACTCGGGTGCTGAGATTGGCTGCCATGGTTACGCCCATGAGGGCAGCTCGCAGATGACCGAGGCGCAGGAGCGGGAGGTCATTGAAAAGTGTGTTCAGCTGGCGACAGAGTTGACCGGCCAGAAACCGCGCGGATGGAGGGCACCGCTGTATCAATTGAGGGAACACACCGTCCAAGTTCTCGAAAGCTTGGGATTCTTATATGGTATGGGCTGATGTGATTCCATTCCAAATAGAACATACTTCGGACTAACGAGGGCGAAGATTCTTCTCTCACCCATCACGACTCCAGTGCCTACTTCCTCCGCAAAGCGCCAGCAATCACCCCAATCGACTTCACACCCAGCGTTTCTGCGTCGTCCTGGATGCATCCCTTGCCCGCTCCGGAGCCGGCAACGTCCAAGACACTCGTCGAGCTTCCGTGTAACTGGTACATGGAAGACATGACGCCAATGCAATTCTTGCCCGCCGCGCCAAACTCTCATGGCTTTGTCAGTCCCGCCCAGATCGAGGACAACTGGAAAGCCAGGTTCAGGTTTCTGTCCAATGAAGCGGTGGAGGCCGGTGAGGGCTTCCTATTCCCCATTGTCCTGCATCCGGACACTAGTGGGATGGCCCATGTTATTGGCATGATTGATCGGACGATTCAGTGGCTGAAAGCACAGGGTAGCCATGTTGAATTCGTGACTTATGGAAAATGTGCTGCAGAGTGGAAGAGCCGACAGGGTATCTGATGAGATATATCTGGCAAGTGACTAGTTGTTCTTTTTTCATATCGCGATGCTCTTTTTAAGCAGTTAGCCTTATGATGGCCTTCCAGGTAAGTAGGTGTCTATGCAAAGAATGAAGGACAAAGATCATCTACCAGCCTAATGATTTTTCATTTTGATGAATAAAGATTAAAAACAATTCAAGTAATAGAAGTTGGTCTGAAGGTGTGCGTCGATTTTATAGAAATGCTGATCATATCCGTATCAACACTAGCGTACAAACACAGGGGGCTGAAAGCTGTGTTTATTGAAACACAATCGAGCAGAAATAGAGTAGGAAAATTTCATGACTGCCTGAAAACCTATTTTCGCCCTCGAAAGAGCGTCTCAAGCACTTGGTATGGCTGACAAATTACTGAGGGCCTGGAAAAGCGAAAAATCCAGCCTATGGCAAGCCCGCTGCTTTACGGGCGCGGACCAGACGGAGTTGTTATCTCCGGATTTGGAGAATACTTGGCCGGCGTTACCACTTACACCGAAACTGTCCCCAATGGCACCTTATGGCCTGTAGACATATAAAACCTGCTATCTGAGGCTCTAACTATACCGCCAAAAAGCAGCTGAGATACTAAAGCCAAAATGACGAATACGATTACCAAAGTAGCGCTCGCAGGGGTAATGACGTCCGAAGTTATCGTTGTGCTTAAGCTGATCGTTTACTAGGCATCTGGCAGCCTGGGTTCTCACACGCTTGCAGCGCTTCTCAACCAAGGATTCAAAGTTACTGTGTTGAGTCGTACACCTAGAGAATTTCCAGCCGATGTTACGGTCAGAGTCGTCGACTTTGATTCAACCGAATCATTATCGGCAGCCATCGAAGGCCAAGACGCGGTTATCGACAACACTTCCACGAATGATGCCGACACGCCGCTGCGTCTAATAGATGCTGCAGTTGCCAGTGGCGTCTATCGCTTGTGAGTCTCTCAACCCCGAATTCCCAAATCGGTTGCTATAAAGCGCTGCTGATGGACTATGCTAAATGTTTTTAGTATTACAAGTGATTACGGTCTCGACCCAGATCTCCCGGGGGTTCATGAAATGCCAGTGTTTGCACGCAAACGCGAATCTTACCGTGCTGTAAAGGAGAAAGCCGAGAAATCGGGCTTGACCTACACCCTGATCGCCTGTGGGGCTTTTCTCGACTGGTGCCTTTCAACTGGATTTGCTGGTATCCAGCTGAATACAAAGACAGCCACTATGTTCGACAGCGGGGAGAATGTGGTTCCGTGGACAACCCTCGAAGACGCCGGCAAGGCGACTGCTGGTGCTCTTCTCCGGCCCGAGGAAACTCGCAACCGGCCGGTGTACATTCACAGTGCATTCTTGTCCCAGGCCCAGCTTTTGCAAATCGCGAGAGATGCTTTGGGCAAAGAGGGTTGGAACATATCATCCCAAGAGATGAACCCTCTGTTGGACCAATCGATGGCAGACCTGCGTGCAGGAAATATTACCCCGATGACTTTTGGCGTGCAGATTCAATATTGTATTGCCAACAAATCACTCGCACACCCTTGGGAACGGGACGACAATGAGCTGGTAGGGATTGAAGAGAAAACGACTGAAGAACTACGGGCCTTGGTTCGACGGCTTGCCTCTGAGTGAAATCGAGAGAGATCAACTGGATATTATTCCAAATCAAAGTTGATTTGGATGTGCAAGAGACAAGCACAAAGACACATTACGCTGAGCAAATCGGTCTGGAGGAAGAATCGATAATTCTGTTACGTATAACTAGCTGGATATTTGGTTAGCGTATCTACTCCCACGCTACTCTGCTGTCTTCGAGATCAGAAGAGATGAATTTATCATCAAATAACCAATTCACCACTCATGGTCTCAGCGGCATATCCTAACAGAACAACCTTTTGAGGATGAAGATCATTGTTCAACGTAACATCAACAATGATGTCACTTTTCTGTATTTTCCTCGTTGATTAGCATTAATAAAGTAGGTCGGGAAGCGTATATTTCCGCACTTACTCTTCCCATTTCGACTCCTTGCTGAATCTCATACCTCATTGTCTTCTTCCACAAGGCAGCCTCAGGATTCTCTCTGCATTTCGCTTGACTTTGCCAGACGCTAAAAGCACAAGCAGCACTTCCTGTAGCCGGGTCTTCTTCCCCCCCGGAAGTCATTCTCCGCACTTGGAACCGATTGAGATCGCCAGTTGATGACAGCTCGCAATAGAACATAACGCCACCACCGATCGGCCCTGTAAAGTCCTCATCTAAAACCTGGGTAACATCTGGAGGCTTCGCGGGATTGATTTCAGCTAGAGTCTCGAGCGAGTCTATTTTGATGGGGATGAAACTAAAAGTGTACGCCCAAGTAAGCCTACAGAGCTAGTGTTATCTCGAATAGCAGAGTTCGCAGTTGACTTACAATAGCCCTTTAGCGATACTTATGACCGGAAAGTTAGGGAGAAGTGTTGTCGAGTGGCATTGTAGCTCTGGGTGTTGCTGAATAATTGCCTGCTTTTCCACCCTCCCCGACCTTTTACTATGCACACGGTAGTTGTGGCATGGGATGTCTGCACCGACCAGACCATCGGGGTCTCGTCGTACCGATATTTCACCAGCTTTTGTTATCAAAGTTCCGTCTTCCGACATATCAAGAAATACATGATTGAAACAGTAAGCTGCGGTGCCAATCGTGGGATGCCCTGCGAATGGAACTTCCATGAGCTTGGTGAAGATGTCGACTCTCTTTCTGAGTTCCTGCCTGCCCGCGCCGCCTTCAACATAGTCATGCAGGAATGTCGTCTCATGGAAATTGAATTCCCTGGCTATAAGCTGCTTCTGTTCTTGAGTGATTTGCGCTGCAGCCTCCTTGGTAAGGCGGACTATTGCTAGAGGGTTTCCTTTCGACCAAGAACAGTTGGTGAAGACGTCAAGTACGGAATACTCGAGATGCAGCTTTGGATGGGCCATATCTTGGATCGAGGATGAGTTCAAACCGTATCGAATAAGAAGGATCGGTGGTTAAGGAAAAGGCTTCCTTTCGATCAAAGGGGGCGAATCTGACAGGGAAGAGTACTTCTGCAAAGACAAGATGAGTCATTTCGGGCTTCCAATCCCCTTCAGCGCTAACCAACGACTAAGCGAGGCCAAAGAGCATGCAGTGAAGACTGGGGCTAGGCTGCCAGATGACTGGAAAACCACATCGAGAATGAAAAGGGCTGCAAATCAGATATTCGCAAGGTGTTGCCTGCCCAGGGCGCATATACTGTATGATTACCTAATCTACGCTAGTCCCGATGTGGTTAGCGGTTGAACCTCAGCGGCCGCGAGTTTTGCGTGTCGCGACTGACCATCCAACCATCGAGCCCCCGAGCCTCCATCATCCCATTCGTCCCCGTCTTTCATATCGAGCATTCCCGTTGCTCGAATTGGTCCCGTCTGGTTATATCTGCACGTACTGTCAGATTCACTGGTGCTCTGCCCGTGCATTGCACCCCAGGAAAAGACCGGCAAGGAGGTCATCTTCTGTCGTTCGCGACGGCAGGCTTCGACTCGTGATTCATCATGGATGACACTCCTGTCAACCCGATCGGAGTTTCCGACAATGCTCAGCCCGTGACTGGTGCCGAGGGGGTCGCTGACCCTACGCGCGCCTCCAGCCACGCCTCAGGTAATCGCCTCCCCGGGAAGAGACCAAGACCAGAATGCTAACTCGCGGCGCAGAAGCGCAGTCTCCAGAGAAGAAGATCGAGCCCTCGACCGAACCGGACAATCCCCTCGACGCCCCGGCATCCCCCAAGCCCCAGAATGGCGATGCTGAAGATGAGGAGATGGGCGGCACGGAGACAGATGCCAAGCGCGATACCGAAGGCCTAGAAGATGCGGCTGGAGAATCGCAGCCACCTGCCGATGCAGACGCGGATGCTGTGGGCGAGGAACAGCCGGTGCAGTCCAAGTCCGCGCTGGAAGCCTCCGCCCGGTCCCAGCTCGTCGCGCAAACACACGCCATCATCCTGCCCAGCTACTCGACATGGTTCGACATGCACACGGTCCACGCAATTGAGAAGAAGGCCCTCGCAGAGTTTTTCAATGGCCGCAATCGCAGCAAGACCCCTGCCATCTACAAAGACTACCGCGATTTCATGATCAACACTTATCGCCTAAACCCCATCGAGTATCTGACTGTCACCGCGTGCCGTCGCAACCTTGCTGGAGATGTGTGCGCAATCATGCGCGTTCACTCGTTCCTTGAACAGTGGGGTCTAATCAACTACCAGGTGAGTATCCAAGTCTTGTTTTGGGCTTTAGTCCCTTTTTAACGCCCATCTAGGTCGACCCGCAGACACGGCCCTCCAACATCGGCCCGCCATTCACTGGCCACTTCCGAGTCATCGCCGATACCCCACGAGGTCTGCAGCCGTTCCAGCCCGGACCGAACCACACCGTCACTACTGGCAAGCCCCTTCCTGCCACCGACCGAGCGGCCTCGGCTACTCCTGCCACGAAGTCCGAGCTCAACCTCGAAGTCCGCCGTAACGTCTATGACGAGAAAGGAAACGCGATCACGCCTGCCGATGACAAGGAGAAGCAGACTAACGGCGAAGCAAACGGAGCTTCTGCCCAGGATCTTGAGAACGCTGCGCAGGAGCCCAAAAAGAAGTCTCATTGCTTCTCTTGCGGTATCGATTGCACCCGTCTCCGGTTCCATTATGCCAAGTCGGCCCCGGCATCAGGCAATGCCAGCCTGCCCGACACGAAATATGACCTGTGCCCTAACTGCTTCCTCCAAGGCAGAATGCCTTCCAGCCACAATGCCTCGGACTTTGTCAAGCTCGAGGACAAGTCCCACACGCACGTGCCTGACAAGGACACTCCGTGGTCGGATTCAGAGCTTGTCTTATTGCTGGAGGGTCTGGAAAACTTTGACGACAACTGGGAGCAGATCGCCAGCCATGTTGGCACTCGCACCAGAGAAGAATGTGTGATGAAGTTTTTGCAGTTGGAGATTGAGGACAAATACCTCGAAGACCTTCCTGACATGCGTGCCACGGGTGGACGCGACCCCATCAGCCAGGCCGAGAACCCGGTCTTGTCTGTGGTGGCTTTCCTAGCCCAGATGGCTGAGCCCGCTGTGGCCGCTGCCGCTGCCGGACGGTCGGTAGAGGAGATCCGCAAAGAGCTGCGGAAGCAGCTCGAGAAGGGACAGGACAAGGGCAAGGAAAGGGAAGGCGAGACGGTCAAGGCCGAGGACTCCATGGATGTGGACGTTGTGCGCGAGACCGAAGTCACCGACAAGTCGAAACAGTCCCTCAGCACTGTCGCGCTTGCCGCTTCTGCGGCGCGTGCTGGCGCGCTCGCCTCCCACGAGGAGCGAGAGATGACCCGCCTGGTTTCCGCCGCGGTCAACGTCACCCTGCAGAAGTTCGAGATCAAGCTGCAGCAGTTCAACGAGATGGAGGAGATTATCGAGGCCGAGCGCCGGGAACTGGAGCAGGCTCGCCAGCAGCTCTTCCTGGACCGCATGACCTTCAAGAAACGCGTCAAGGAAGCCCAGGATGCTCTGCAGGCTGTTAGCTTGCAGGGTCCCAACGAGAACACCAATGCGCTGCTTGCGAACGCCGCCACCGCCGGCATTGGCAACCACTACAGCTTCCAGCCTGTTGGTGGTGACCACCGCACTGGCACCGAGCCCTTGAGTGTTGAGGGAGGCGACTTCAAGACGCTGGATCTGTAGGGTCTTGTTTTCTTCTTCTTTCTCTCCTCCATCCACCTATGTACGATATCCCCTCGATTCTTTTTCAAATCAGGGAGAAAATGGGAAGGGGGCCATACTCATGGAGTCTGCAATCTTTTTCTTTTTACCGACGGTCTGCTTCTTCTTGCCCGTGTTATGAATATTCTCCTTTTATTTGCTTTTGGCTTGGAAAAGGCGCTTCTACTTACTATCTGTTGGAGTTTGAGTCTGACTGAATTCCGACTCCCCTCGTTTTCGCTGGGGAGTCGACTGTTCTTAAGGGGGTGATGGATATGATATGAAATAGGAGGATGTTGGTTGGTCGGGGTCTTTCTTGAATGTGTTTTATTTCTCATTAATACTATTATGTCTTTTGATGGGGATTCTCTGTCCGTCTGTCTGTTGCTCAGGTCTCTGAGCTAGGGATATTTCGTATTTCCACTGCGATGGCATAGTCCAGCGATGACTCTCGTGCCGTAGTCGGGCTAGACTCGGACCGTTGTTCGTTCGTGTCTGATCTCTTGCTGGGCCATGTCCACGTTCCCATTTGTGGAAGCTGGCTGAGACTCTGATGGTAATTGTAGTGTGTAGTCATGGGTGATGTGACTAGTCGCATCGCCTGCAAGGGTTCTTCATCCTTGTTCTGGTCGTTGTAGCCGATCCGCGTGTCCATTGACGAGAACGACTGTCAAGGCTCTGATGGGAGTTCGGGGTAGTGATCGACTTCGCCTGTATCTCCTGGATTTGATTCTCATTGCTGAAAACCTGTTCTTAATCCTCGGCTGCATTGTCTTCCACATCATGATCCACGACATAGTGATCTCCCAGTTCATAATCCTGGACTTCATGGTCTTCAACGTCTTGATCGCTCTCAATATCAACACTGCGAGGAGACCGGTGGCGCAAATGCTCACGGGGTGATTCCGCGGGGGAATCATCAAGACGGCGCCTCTTGCGCCGATTCTCGGCCAGCTCTTCCTCCAGATCTTCCATGCCGTAGCCGTAATCCTCCCACTCGCTGCGGTAAAGGGTGTGGTCGCGCCAGTCGACCAGGTCTTGTTTCGTCTTGCGTTCTCCGTGGGGTTTGCGAACGACCTCTTTATTCTTTTCTGGGTCGTTCTCGTCGTCTTCTTCTTTGATTGGTTCATCGAGGAAAGATGGTGCTGGCTGCTCGAGTTTGTTCCAGAGCCTTAATTCCCCGCGACGACTGCGTTCTCTGTCTAGAATGTCTGCGTGTTCGTCCTCAGGGTCCAGGAGGGACAACTCTGATTCAGACAGCGGGGAGGATAGTTCGGAAGAGGCTCGAGATGGTGGACTTCCGACGTCTTCTTCTTCTTCCTCTTCCTCTGCTGGCTCCGCCGGCTGATCGTCTGGTAATACCCCTGTTTCAGAAACGAGTTTGAAATAGTCGTCATCTCCGGATAGGATTTTTTCGATCTCGTCGTAGCTGAACACTCGGGGAACCCAGCCCTTTTGGTTTTTCATGTCGGCCACTTCGAGATGATTCCGGCGTGCAAGCTTGATCCAGAAATCGGATCTATCGCGCTTCATGTTTAATACGTCCAATGCAGTCCGCACATCCCGTTTGCGCACGGCGCTCGTTCTCTGTTTCCCGCGCCGCTGTACAGTGCGCAGGCGGGACATGGCGAAAAAGATCGAGGACTGGATCAGGCGACGTGTGATGCTGATCACCAAAGCGTAGAACTCTTGGAGTGCATCCGCGGTCATAGATGGCTCCTCATCTTCCGACATCACCAGATTCGTCCAGTTGTCCTCTGATCTTGATCCACCAAGATTCATAAAAACACGGCGCGACAGTTGGACCATGATGGGGACGTTGAGCAGATCTGATGCAAGAGAGACACCCTCACGCGGGGTATCTTGGTTCTCCCCATCCTTAATCTTCTGAGCGCGTGTCTCCGTGATGACCCAGTTCAGGCCGTGTTCTCGCTTGCGCTCGATCGCCGCCTTGTGCTCCTCATCGGCGACAAGGACCTCCGCAAACTGATCCAGTACAGCACCACATTCCACGCTGACTTCCTCGGCGGCGGGGATATCTGCCATGGCCACCGGTCGGATATGACTCTTGAACAGGTGCTCGACCTCTAAACTGCGGTGCAAAAGTCGTAGATGATCCATAACCTCGAGCTCGGACTTGGTACCGATCGCCGCCGCGATTTCCGGGATTCCGTTCTTGCCCTGTCGGTCGAGGGCATTAAAAAGGGCTTCTTTCTCCGTAGGTGTCCATAGTACAGCCCCGTTCTGCGTCACCAAGTGCGGCTCCTCGTTGTCTACATATTGAGTGCCGTTTTCGCTTTCGCTGAGGAGCGCCTTATACTCCTCGAGGGCGACGGGAGGAAGCTGCCGAAGCTGCGACCACAGCCATGCAAGTCGGGGATGTGTGATGTCTGAATCTGGATCGTCGGGGGAGGAGGATATCGTCAGCGCATCGAGCGCGGGCGAAGAGGGTGCCTCGGATGGCTCGTCGAAGTCGGACTCGGGGTCGCCATCGTCAATGTCCGGCTCATATTCACTGGTGCTGCTCATGGTCGCGAGAATCGCAGAGACTCGCGGCACATGGGCGATGCGCCGGAGAAACGACTCATCACTGCTTGGAAATAATAATGATGCTCAGTTCAAGAAGAAAAAAGTCTCAATGGAAGGAACGGTGTTGTTATCGATAAGAGTGGGTTTGCTCTGTTTGCTCTGCCCGGAGCTCCTTAAGCTTTTGATCTTCCTCAATGGCATTCGCATGGAGTTCGTTCGCAGGATTGGGCCTTCTTTCTTCACGCGGCCCTTGAAGAGGCCCCTGGCGCCGTGTCGCTGGCAATATCACCATGTGCGCCTCAACTCAACCGCGCTCTCCGCGCCCCACAGCATCGTCCTTCGCGACTACCAAGAGGAGTCCATTCAGTCGGTGCTGAAATACTTGGGCGAAGGCCATCGACGCCTGGGGATTTCCCTAGCAACAGGAGCAGGGAAGACCGTGATTTTCACACAGCTCATCGGCCGAATCCCTCCACGCGATGCAAAAGCAACAAAGACGATGATCATCGTCCACCGGCGGGAGCTCGTCGAACAGGCCGCGCGCCACTGCCGCCTCGCATACCCGGACCGCGTCGTGGAAATCGAAATGGGCAATAATGTCGCCACGGGAGGGGGTGATATTATCATTTCGTCCATCCAAACCCTTGCGCGGCGTATCGACAAATTCGACCCCAGCGCGTTCAAGCTGGTCCTCGTCGACGAGGCGCATCATATTGTCGCGCCTTCTTATCGCAAGGCATTGGATTATTTTGGGCTGAACGAGCCAGCTGCCGACTCGCCCGTGCTGGTTGGGGTTTCGGCGACCTTTTCGCGGTTCGATGGGCTTAAATTGGGTGCTGCTATTGATCACATCGTCTACCACAAGGACTACGTGGACATGATTGACGACAAGTGGCTGTCAGATGCGATTTTTACCACAGTCAAGTCCGGGGCAGATCTGAAACATGTCAAGAAAGATCAATTTGGTGACTTTGCCGTCGGCAGCCTGTCCAACGCGGTTAACACTCCCACGATCAACAACATCACGGTCCGGGCATGGCTTGCCAATGCCGAAGACCGGAAATCAACCCTGGTCTTTTGTGTTGACGTCGCGCATGCGAAGAGGCTTACTGAAACTTTTCGGGAACATGGCGTTGACGCTCGCTTCCTCACTGGCACCACACACAAAGACGCCCGCGCAGAGCAGCTGCGGGCTTTCAAAGCACAAGAATTCCCTGTCTTGTTAAATTGTGCCCTTTTCACCGAGGGCACGGATATCCCCAATATCGACTGTGTTCTCCTGGCACGACCCACGCGGTCCAGAAACCTGCTGATCCAGATGATCGGGCGTGGCCTGAGACTGTTTCCTGGCAAGAAGAATTGCCACATTATTGACATGGTTGCATCGTTGGAAGCTGGAATTCTGACAGCTCCTACCCTGTTTGGATTGCATCCCGACGAAGTGCTGAAAGAGTCTAGCACAGAAGAACTGCGGAAGAGCGCCGACGAGCTCCAAGAGAAGCTGGATGCTGAATCAAATGATACAGCCGAGCCAGCGGCCACAGCACTCTCAGAAGATGACGATACCAAGGTTGTGCACATGACCAGATATGACAGCGTCTTCGACCTTCTGAATGACATCCGCACCGAAAGGTACATCCGGATGCTCAGCCCGTACTCCTGGGTCCAAGTCGGCGACCGAAAATACGTGTTGACCGATTCGGCCGGGTGGCTGACCATAGAGAAACTAGACGAGCTCTGGGTTGTGCACCATGTCATGAAATTCAGAAACGAGGCAGGCGTCCAAGTCTTCACCCGGCCACGAGAGATTGCATCCGGTCCAGACCTGGAAACCGCCGTGCGAGCAGCAGACAGTTTTGCAAAAAGCAAGTTCCAGGAACGCTACATTTCGATGCGAGAATCCTGGAGGCAGGCCCCAGTGACGACTGGGCAGCAAAAATTCCTGAAAAGGCTGGAAGCTCACAACAAACGAATACGCTCTCGGGAACTGAATCGTGGCCAAGCGGCGGATATCATCACGAAGTCGCTTTTCGGTGGGAAAAAGCGGTTTGAGAAGTTGGGGGTCCAGGGCAGAGCCAATGAGAAGAAGATGGATGATGCCCGCAAGCTGCAGGAAAGGGAGGCGGTTAGGGTTGGGCCGTTGGACCGATGAGTTGGGTATATGGGGGATAAGGCAGTCATCTCTAACTTTCCTTGGCAGCCAAGCGGATTCTCACATGGATCTGGACAAAGACTTTGACTTCAAGCTTTCCTTTGCTAGGATCTGCTGCTAGATGTCCATTGACAGGTCATCTGTATAGGTAACACATGGATTGAGCTCTAACAATGGTGCCTTCCCTATGACCTTAGCCATGTTTGCCTAGGCCGCACCTGCCTAGAAGAGCCACCCTCCCACGCATATAAACAAGGCCCTGCCCCATCTTTCTTCCTCCCTTGTCTTCTCTTCCTTCCTCAGCCACTTCTATATTTATATGTACATACTTTATACCACCACTTGAACGGATCTCGGCATCTACCTTGCACTCCTTTACAATGCAACGGCACCCGCACGATGGATACTACTCCGCAGGAGACAATAATCCTCGAGACACTCTATGCTGTGAGGGTCTAGCTTCATGGAGAAGCAGTCCGGCCTACTATCGCTGCAGACGACCGCCGCGACACGAACCCACAAGAATCGAAGCGACCCCGTTTTTGATCTATGGTCGCAATATATATTATGAGCGATTACAAGCCAACTTCCTCTAATGAAAATGAAGATGCCGTCGGTGATCTTGGCCTTGAGACCGCCACCGATGAGGAGTACATTATCCGAGGACGACTTCGAGTCAGACCTCTCCTAACACCCCCACTGCGGCTGAACCTCGCATTGAGCGAGCGTTACGCTTCACTATTACGAAGCTGAAGGACGCTGCCAATGCAAGAATACTCAAGACCCGAATCCCCCAATGCTACCCTAATTCATGTTGGATCTATGATGATCTCCGTTGATGGTGTCGTGCGGCCTTTCCTACCAGGCATTTCGCGCCAGGTCGTTGAGGCCTTTGAGAAGGACGAGTGGTCCATCGCAGACTTCGAGTCTCTGCCCCTCGCTGGTACCGAGGGCAAGTACGGCACATACATCCTTTTCGCTGCGGACCTATACGAGAGGAGGACGCTGCACATGTCGGCTGCAGCGTTAACATGTTTCTATGCCATGACTTCTCTCCCATTGAAGCCGTGGAACATCCAATTCCCATCCACTTCCATTGAGGAGATGCAGTGAATCTAGGTATCGTCCAAGGACAGCGATTGAGGAATTGTGGTGATACTCTATCAAGTGCTGTACTACAGTATCCAAGTGGCGTACTATTTTCTTTCTCATTCGTGATTTTCATTTGTGTAGTCGCGAAAACTAGACTAAGATGAAGCCGTCTATGTCATTGTGGGGAATCCATGTTGAAGAGCAGCGTGCGAAGCTTCCGGATCCTGATAGGCTATCTTATAGAACTCCGTTAAAACAGGGCACAATGCTAAATTATATTATTGCTATTTTTATTACCTGGTCGCATGAACAGTCGCTTTTCTGGGAAAAGCAGCTTCTGTGCCCTTTACCTATTACATATTGCAGTCAGGAACACACTACAGCTGCCATCACACCCGTCGGACTTTCTCACTATGAATTCAAGGCCAATCGCGCCGCCTGCTTACGACAGCGTCGTGGGATCAATAGCAAGGCCGCCCGTTCAGCGTGTCCACACAACAGAAGCAGCGCGTCGTAAGTACCTGCCTTTGACATCATCATCATCTTGGATCTGACTAAACTCATCTGGTCAGCACTGGGTCAATATGTAAGTACAACTACTCTGGCAGATCGCATCCCTGCTAAATGCCCGTTGTAAACTAATAATTGGCTCCGAATACTTCCAGTCCCAGGCATTCAAAGTCAACGGGACCATCTTCGTGGCGGGCCAAGTTGCCACAGACAACAATGGAGCATTCATTAAAGGCACCAGGGCCGATCAGGCATTTCAGATTTTTCGCAATATAGACGCAATACTCAGAGCAGCAGGATCTGGACTGGATCGGGTTGTGAAGACCACGGTACCAATCCTCTTTTCCTTTATCATCTCGGGTCGGCGTTAATAGATGAATAAGGTTTACTTTCGAGAGACGCCTAATCCGCCGGATTTTAACGTCATATATAACCGAATGTTACCGCATCAGCCGCCGCGGACGAATGTTGGGGTGGACTGGCTTCCCTGCAAGGCAGCCTTTCAAGTTGAGGTAATTGCCGTCGAGTGATGCGGGTAGGGGGTCCTGATGGTGTTTTCTACAACTGCTGTGTAGTGAGCCCCGGTCCGTACAATGAAATATGACTCCAAGACGATCTCAAGGCTTGAACAATTTTCTTGGCATTTTCGCACGCATAAATCGAAGATAAAGCTCCTCGCACCTGTTGCTGCTTTAGTCAGATCTGGTGGACCCCTCCGGAGATCGGTCGGAGTTAGGGTAGTAGTTCGTCAACATTGAGTTCGCCTTGTTTTTCAACAATGCAGAGGACAGGGCGCCTAATTAGAGGGCCTGACATTTGGATGTGGGTATGCATGTCGGAGGATAAAAAAGGATTCCGAAGTTGTGCAGAGTCAACAAATCATTATTAGCGATCTTTCCCCGACTAGTGTACTTGGCCAAGGATAGTCATTTTCGGAATACCCCGTTTGGGTCGGGGAAGGCTGCGGGGAGCCGAGGAAAAAAAAATCCCTCGATCACAGGGGTATTATTATACATGCTAAAATTTTTAGCACCGTAGGGCTAACAATCACACCATCCGGCAAACATACAGCGCACTAGCAGCTGAAAATAGGCGGTGGAATTATTGAAATCTAGGCGGCCATAGGCCAGGATCGGCGTAGATCGACAGAAAGCACCGCAGTAGTTTGCAACTAATGAGTTCTCCAGCTCGGCTGATTCAAAAGTCCGGCCTGCGCGCTTTCTCTTGGCTTTTTCTTATTTCTTCTCTTCACTACTCTGTGCAGGTGTGTGCGTAGGTCACGAAGCGGCATCGTTTACATTCCTCGCAGATCGGCGCCCTTAAAAGAGCTAGGAGCTCGATTCACGTATTTTCCTCTTGGCAACCCCGTCCCAATTCTCAGAGCGCATTCTGTAGGCAGGCGAAGTCGCTAACAATGGGGGTCTCTGGTGCGTTTCCATCCGAGCTTCCATGTTCCCCGTTGCTTCGGCATTCCTGCACCCGATCATTTCTGTGCTATCAGAAATCTCTCTGGATCCGCGACTAACTGAATCGTCTCTACACAGAAGCCAAAGAGGGCGACAATGGAGAGACCCAGGTCTTCCAGCAGGCCCAGGAGCTTCCACAGCTCACCACCACCACCGAGCGCAAGTTGATGGCCAAGATTGACTGGCATATCTTGCCTTGCTTGTGTGTTCTATATCTACTTGCCTTTTTGGACCGGTGAGAGCGCGAATCAATTCCCTGTATTTTGTCTCCTTCGATTTCTGACTTGGTGTTGCCGCACAGTGTGAATATCAGTAATGCAGCACTTTTCAACCTCAAAACCGATCTGCACATCGAGACCGGAACGAAGTACAACACGGCCCTCACTATATTTTTTGTGCCATATATTCTTTTCGAGGTGCCTTCCAATGTTCTGCTCAAGAAGCTGAAGCCTCATGTGTGGTGTACGTTTAGCATTGCCTGGGACTTGGGGGATATGTCACTGATCCTCTCTCTACAGTGTCGTTTTGCATGTTCATGTTTGGCCTGGTAATGATCTGCCAAGGACTCGTCTCAAGCTGGGGAGGCTTGATGACGGCACGGTTTTTCCTGGGTGTATTTGAGACGGGCATGTTCCCTGGATGTAAGTATTGTTTTGGACCGTCTTTTAACAGCCCAAAGACTCATGCGCGACAGGTTTCTATTTGATGGGAATGTGGTATAAGCGGTCCGAGGCCCAGAAGCGCTTCAGTTTCTTCTTCAGCTCTACCACCCTGGCCGGTGCCTTTGGTGGGCTCTTGGCTTACGGCTTTGGCCAGATGGGCGGAGACAGAGGATACAGCGGTTGGAGATGGGTGTTCATCTTAGAGGGCGTGATCACCTGTGTTGTTTCCTTCGCCTGGTTCTTCCTCCTCCCTGATTTCCCCGAGGATGTCAAATGGCTGAACGAAGAAGAGCGGGAATTTATTCGCGTCAAACTGGCCAAGGATGTGGGCAAATCTGCACACCATATTCCATTGGGCTGGCGCGAAGCGCTAGCTGTCTTCAAGGACTGTGAGTGGATCACTACGCCGTACTGGTCTCTTCATACTAATTGCCCTTACAGACAAGATCTTCGTCGGCGGATTTATGTACTTTGGCCTCATTGTCCCGGCCTATTCATATGCGTATTTTGCACCTCAAATTATCGAGGGTTATGGATACAGTGGTATGTATGGATCGCTCTTCAACATAGTCAGTTAAGCTAACCTCCCTTCTTCCCTCTCCAGCGGTCAAGACCCAGCTTTACTCCATTCCACCCTGGGCAGTGGCATTCGGGTTTTCGCTGATGATCGCATTTTCCTCTGACCGGCTGAAACACCGCTTTGCATTCACCCTGTTCCCAATTGCAGTCTCAATCGTCGGATTTGCAATGTTGTTGAACATCCATGGGGTTAGTAACACACACGCCGAGTACGCCGCTCTTTTCTTGGTGACGAGCGGCTGCTACAGTGCAATGCCCGTCATTGTGTGCTGGTTCGCCATGAACCTGGGTGGCCACCACCGGCGCAGCGTCGGAACCGCCTGGCAAATTGGATTTGGCAACATCGGGGGTATCATTGCTGCGTACTCCTTCCAGACCCAGGATGCTCCACAATACCGCCCAGGCTTTATTATCTGCATATCCTTCATCTGTCTATCTGCTGCATCGTGCGTTGTCTACCTTGTGGCTCTGCGGTTTGAGAACCGAAAGAGGGACAGGGCAGCGGTCGATCCGGCGACTGTGGATGAAGAGGAGGAGGAGTATTTGGGCGACATGGCGCCCACTTACCGGTACCAGTACTAATTGGATTATAGGTGTCTGGTCAAGGACTTGGGTTACTTCCTATTTTCCATGGAGTACTTCCGTTCAAGTAATGATTTATGGACCTTGCGATATAGGGGCAGTACGGACCTTATACCCAAGATGGCTATGCTCATTTTTTTCTTCTGAGTGTTATACAACGGACGTTGTCATGTTGTGAATGGTTGATCAAGCACGAATGCAATTCATTTGCTATGAATCTCTCCCGATAATGAATATCCAGTGTCTCGTAGTGATGGGGGTTTGTTGGATCACGTGAAGTTAATATCACGTGATTAACTCCCTCATATGGACTAGCGCTAACCAAGCGAGCCCTCGGCTGAGTAAGCTCCCTGACGCACAAAGCGGCGCCATCTGCCGCTTCTCTCCATCTTTCCTCAACCATCCTCCTCATCCTCGCAGAAGTGTCCGCACCCCCTCCCCCTAGTGGTTCTTGTAACAACTTGCTAAGTCCTTCCAGTCTCGAACCATCTACGAAGATGAGAGCCAAGTGGAGAAAGAAGCGCGTTCGTCGTCTCAAGCGCAAGCGCAGAAAGATGCGCGCCAGATCGTAAGTTTCTTGTTTCATGTCACCAAAACAAACAAGCACTTGTGCTAATAGCTCCCTCTAGCAAATAAACTACTCGCCCCCTCCATCTCAGCTCCTCCTGTCGAGGCTCATGTTTGAACGCTGAACACGACAATTGATGCTCCGATGTTACGACCTTTCGTTTCTTCGTGCCATATCTCTCTTTTCATGAGTAGCCTGCCCAGATGGTGTTTCTGTTCGTCCAAAGAAGCTGCAGCTCGTCCGATGGGATTCAACTGTTCAAATGTTTTCCCTATCTTCCCAACTCGCGTGGATCCATTCAACGTCGGTCGTCTGATTGCTGGGCATAGTGTTGATGCACATTGTTTACTCGGAGGGACTCCTGTGTTTAGTGAGGGGTTGGCAGGGTCTGTTTATGACCTTGATGAGCACGGCGGTGCGGATGCTGGTCAATCTTTTGCTCGCATGCTTGGTCCTTTCTGAGGGCCGGTAGAGCCATGCGGAGGTTTTTGAGGGTTTATGAAAAAAAATTACTGGAAAGCTCGGCGGTCTTAGGTTTTCAGATAGCTATGCTTGTCGATGAATCGATGACCTAAAGAGTGTTTTTTGTCCTGCCTCCCACCTGTAGAGCGCTCTCTTGTGTCAATTACGTAGTGCATTGTAGCCCTTGTTGTGCGCTGCTAGTTTACCGCCTTCCGGATTTGTAACCGGTATTTTTTTTCTGCCGACTCCCTCAAATTTCTCCATCGGTGATCAAACAACTCTGTTGTAGTCCAACTTGACGGTCGTGGTTTCTCGCCATCATGCCGTCCAATAAAACAGAGAAGAAGCGCAAGCGCGACTCTGATCGCCATGAGCGCCCGAGCAAGAAGCCTGCTCGGGATCTACAAGCTCTTCCTCCGCTGGCAGCCAGCGTCGTTGACGACAGCAGCGAATTGGCTCCAGTAATCAGTGAGTTCAGCGCTTTTCCTCGAGGTATTGATTTATTAACGCTCCATATTAGCATCAACTCCCGGCCTTCAAATCTCGAACACGCTCCGTTATACCCCGTACAGCAAAACTCGCGAGCATGTCTCGAAATCTGCAACAACCGGCCGAAACCCGGGCATCGTGTCCTCTGAATTGCTTTTGCAGTCATCCGATCATGAAAAGATGGACTTTGTCGGTCGTGAGGGCAATGAGGATGCTGCGGACTCCCAGATAAAGCACTACGTTGCCGTCGGGGATCCAGAGCGCAAAACATGGCAAGTCGTGGAGGCGCGGAGGATGAAGGTGCGAGGCGCGGTTCGGAGCAAGAAGGCCAGCGAGGAGGAGGCAATGTCAGATGACGAAGCAATGGTATGCTTTTCTTTGGTTCTGTTAGGAAGAGTTTCCGCTAACATCTATATACAGTTCTCGATGCGCGCGCAGCGCACAGCATTGACCAACACCTTCGGCACAAAGCAGGCTAAGAAATCTGCTCAGTCGTTTGCAGAGAATGCCCAGCTCTCGAACGCACCAGATGGCGTCGTCTCGCAAGCCGGTGCGGCGCTTCTCTCCTCGCTGCCAGCGGATGCCACCACCAGTGCCGCCAAAGCGAACCACCTACAGGCTGAGGTGCAAGCTGCCAAGCCCCTGCCCACGCCGGACCTCACTGCTGCTCACCCATCTGATGTCTACCCACTCGAGACGCTCGTTCCAAATGGCCACTCTACTCTGCGCCAGCTTACCCAGATCGAAGAGTGGCAGGAGCACGCTGAGCAGGGTCGAGCCATCAGCACCGTCTCACGATTTGTCTCCAACCGCATCGGCCCAGTTGTTCAGTCCGGTAATATCACCCAATTGCAAGTTCTGCGCCTCATCCAGCTTCTGGTTGAATTCGGTCGATGCCTGAAGAGCGGAGGCCGTGACGCCAAGGGCTCCGCTGCCCCAGGCAGTAAGCGGCTGCCTCCTCGCGAGGACCTCCGCCGGATTCTCTCGAGCACCACCGGCGCAGCAAAGGGTGGCAAGCAATCTACAGACACTGCTCCACAGGACTTGCTCCCAGACTCAGTAATCGACGCCGTTCGCCGCCGCTTTGCGCCTACTGGCGGTATGGTTTCCAAGCACGATCTCACTCTGCTGCACACTACTATCTGTGCGCTCTCACTGCATATCCCTCCCCAGCCTGCCAAGGATGGTGGCTCCAGCTCCCTCGGCGGCAATTCTCCAAATGAGCTTGCTACTGATCCCGCTGATCTGCGGGATGACCTGCGTCTCGACTCAAACACTGTCTACCAGTACTTCCGCGAGCTGGGCTGCCGTATTGACCGGCCACGCGAGTCGGAGTTCAGCAAGTGGAATATCAAGGGTGGTAAGGCCGAGGCTCATGCGCGTCGTGTGGCTCGTCTGCGTGTGCCTGTGGAGTTTCCCAAAGTTAGCCGTGGCGGGCGGAAGTAGTTGCATTTCTGTTTCTGGGCATAAGATGATACAGATTTTTGAAGTTTTGTGGAGTGAATCTGGAGTGAATCTATGCTCACTTTTGTGTCATTTATCTGGCGTTGTTGGTCTTTTCCTTTCTTCTTCTATTGATGTCTCTGATACTGTCAAATATTCAAAAGAACCCACTATTCATCTTTCCTTCCTGCATGGGCCCATTTATCTTACCACACCCTTGATTATTGATCTCATCTGATTGGTGGCGTTAAATATGCGATGGCTGGCTATATCAGCCCACCGCAACTTTGCAGCGTCCTCTCCGGGAGTGTTACGCACACTCATTCTTTGGCCTACTCAACTAAACACTTAGAATACCTACATTCCAATCAAAATTCAACGTTCATACTCACGTCTCCCAGCAAATGCAGAGCAACGAACCCCCTCCCACAAAGGCAGCAGGAGGCTCAGGCCCTGCTCCCACCGATGTCATTCTCGCCATGCAAGACCCATACATGACACAGATAATCGACGGGGTCAAAAATTACGAGTTCAGAAAATATCGTATCAACGCCTCCGTGCAAAGAATCTGGTTCTACCGCACCGCTCCACATTCTAGCATCACGCACATCTGCGAGATCCTCCCAGCCGCAACACGGAACCCTGGAGACGCATTACTGGCTGAGGACGGGCTAGGAAATGTCGAGTTCAATACCCGAGATCCGGAATGGGATGGATACGAGTTTGCATATAAGATCGTTAGTGTTTATGAGCTCTGTGAGCCGGTTTCGCTGCAGGATATGAAAGGGCGGTATGGGTTTAAGGCTGCGCCGAGGGGGCTTGTTTATCTTCCTGAGTCTATTCGGGGGAGCGTTGATTGGAAGATGCAGAAATTGGTAAGAGTCCTTTGATATTTTTGGGGGATATGTGCACATTTATTGAAGATCAACTTACATGGGAAGCCAGCAGATACTTGATCGGAGAAGCTAAACAACGAGTACTCGGTTTCAATCCATCTAAAATCTGATCTATATATATAACAAAAGCAGTGGCAACGCATTTTCAGATCTATGTCCATTGAGCAAGGGAATTTGATAGGGCCGAGCCTTATGTCACTCTTTCTAAATCTATTGCTTCGGCGCGTTGACATTGCCAGGGCCATACCAGTCATCAAAGCCCTATAATAATGCTTATCAGCAAGACAAGCTCATTTATTAAATGGACGAACAGAACTCACCAAATCATGTCCCCATAGCGGCGTGTTGACACGCTGCTGTTTCCCTGCCGCTGCCATTCCTTCCAAGACGTCCATATCTTCCTTGGACAGAGAAATAACCTTGAGGTTATCCTCAATTCGGCTGAAGGTCACTGACTTGGGCAGCACAATGCAGCCTCGGTTGACCTGGTAAGAGATCAAGATGGTCGCCGGGGTCACGTCGTATTTCTTTGCAATACCGGCGATCTCGGCATCGCTCAGCAGTGGTGAGCCTATCAGTTTGTCAAATCATGTTCCTCCGGAATAGTCTTCGGGGTTTAATCACGTACTTGTTGATCCGAGGGGGCAATACGCTTCCAGGAGAATGTCTCTCTTTTCGCACCATTCCTTCAACGCATGTTGCGGGCAGTATGGGTGCAGTTCAACCTGTAAATCAAAACCAATCAATAACCCTTTTGAGCGAGGTAGGATCGAAGATCTTACCTGGTTCACGGCAGGAACGACTTCCCAAGTCTTTTCCAGATCCTCCAGGTAGGGGATGCTGAAGTTAGACACCCCAATTGCCTTGACCTTGCCGGAACGGTAAACCTGTTCCATTTGTTTCCAAGTCTCATGCTGATCCCAAGAACGATCCACAGAACGGGTGCCATCGGGGTTGGTAGGGAACAACTGCGAGGTCTCATTGGCAACGAGACGACTGACATGCGAAAATGAATTAGCAAAGAGCTTCGGGGAACAAGGCAACGGACGAAAACGAACACTGGCCAGTGAATCAGGTAGAGGTCCAAATAGTCCGTTTGGAGATCCTTCAGTGTCTGCGCCAGACCCTCGGCGACATTGGATTGGTGGGTGTTCCACCTGCAAAGACATGAAATTAGTACTCAAGAAGTAAATCATCACTCTTTCTGATTGACGCACACTTTGCTGGTGATGAAGATCTCCTTTCGTGGAATACCAGACGCTTTAATCGCGTCGCCAACTTCCTTCTCTAGTCGAATCGCAATCTTAGCATAGCTAAATGCACGCGAGCGAAAGACCAACTCACCATTCTGATAGATCAAGGCACAGTCCAGGTGTCGATATCCCGATTTCAGTGCATGATCGACAGCGTTGCCGACTTCTCCTGGCTTTGCTTGCCACGTTCCTGCAGGCTCTTTAGCAGCTGGTCGAGTCCTATCAAAAGAAGGCCAGACGCACCCAGTCCAACGGCGGGGATTGAGGCGCCCGTGTTGAGCTTAAAGTGAGATGGAACAGACATTTTTGTGATTGCAGTTCGTATAGCTCTTTGTGAGAATGAAGCAAGCGACATTTAGCTGAAGGTGAGGGGGGACCCCTCAGATTATCAATTGCGACTACCCAAATCTCGCAGCAAGTCCGGTGGAGACACCGATCTCAGTTGCCGATGTCGAGCCAAATCGCGTACGTACAATGAAGTGGAGAGCCGTGTTCAGTACAATAGTCGGGAAAGTGAGCAAGCCTAAGGATATTAGCCCTCGGCGAACAATGTGGAGAAATTTGGTGGAGACTCCGAGCGGATGATAAATGACTCCATTTAGCCAGCCATTAGGATATTAGGATCACCTAATACATATCCCAACTCTAGGGTTCCAATTTTTTATTTGGTGCGCGGTAGCAATTTATTTGGTTCAACTTGACAGGCCCTCGTCTGTTCTTAGATTGTTTCTTTGGATAGATTCATCAGAACATGGCGGAATTGGAGAGAGATACCCCATGACATAGACTCCAATCTTTCGCTAAATGTGGACAAAAGCTTTGACTCAGACAGATCCGCCAAATTCCCAAGTCCCTGGAAGGAAGCCTGGCCTCCATGCTGGATCCACTCGTGAACGTCGTCGAAGTCAGACCCTACAATGGTTGATGTTAGGTGCTAGGCCCGCGGAGAGTCATGCTGCAGAGTCAAGACTTACATGTCACGACAGTTCGCTTCGGACCAGAAGAAGAGATGTTTAGTCCACTGCCAAATTTGATAATCGCCCATAATGCGAGCGCGGCGTAGAACGTCCATATAGCCTCGCATGGATTTCTAGGGAACTAGTAAGTATTTGAAACACACTTGTTTTCATCTTTCATTAGCGGAGACTTACTCAAATGTGAACCGAACCAGAAGTGCGTTTAACTGTCCAGCGTGAACAAAAATAGATCTTGCACCGACCACATCATCAGATATTCTTGAGCAAAGCCACGCACGTGCATTGAGCTCACTCTCCTCAGTCCCGGACTTGCCTGCGGCGATCTTTACTTTATCCAAAAATCCAGGCCAAGTAAACTGCAGATGTCCCAGATGCGACAGAGCTGAAACACTGACAAGAAGGGCGGTGGGCGTGTAGGACAGGAAATGGAAACACACGGACAGCTGATCAAGTATTTCCTGTGGGTTGCTGTGACAAGTCAACAAGTTATTTCAAGGATCTGAAGATATGAACGAAATGTTGGCTTACTGTTTCAAGTTTGTAGGAAATTGTAGTCGATAGAACGAGCCGTTCTCCGGGGACCGAGCAGGACAGATTGGGTCCAGCGCAGAAGCATCAGAGCAAAACCTAACATCGGTAATCAGCAACGAGCGCGGGATTTATCAAGCATATCCCACCTGTAGAGAGTATGTGCAATGATAGAAAGTCCGAATGGGTTCAATGGCTGTGGCAGCTTGCCAACGGACAGCAGGCGCTCAAGCACATGACGGAAGTTCACGGCGTCACTGGTGGACTGGGCAATGTCATGCTGTCCACGAGGAGAGCGAGATTCCCACATCGCCTCATCGCAGGGCAATGACATGTCAATATCGCCAATTGAGAAATGTGGCGAAATATTCAACAGCGCGGATATTTGCATGTCATAGAGCTGAAATGGGCAAACATTAGCAAATCTTTTTGTTAGCGGCTTCATGCACATACATAAATACCCCATCCCAATCGACAGCGTTCTTCATCCTTTGCATATGCTCGCTCCACCTCTTCAGGTGATGCCGAGGCTGGGCGCCGTTCGAGCTCTTTAACAAATGAAAAACCAGGACGAAGAAGGTGCATCCGCCTGGCAGCCGTCACCAATCCACCACGACTAATTTCGGAGTGTTGATAGAGCATCCGAGAGCCACAGAAAAGCCCGAAGACGGACTGAAGCAGCCAGGCCTGGACGATCGATGTATCAAACATGGCACGCCGGTCACTTTCCCTGAGGTAGGCAATTGCTCTCCTGCATAACTCATTGAGAGCCACAGCGACTCCAGTCAGACCGTTTTTAGAGTACGTTGCTCCGATGGCTGCCATTGACAGTAACAAAACCGGACTGGCTTCGGTTGATTGGAAGGTTGAGCGTCGAACGATAGGCAGCGTTTCGTGGAAATGTCGAAAGTAGAGATTGATGCAGATAGACAACGTGCGAGCAGATGGGAAAGCTGCCACGTCGACTGGTGACCAATGAGGTTGATGAGCAGTACTAATGAGCGACAGAATTGCTTCACGTGTGGAGTTATCCATATGGTCAAGGTATGCTGCATGCAAGCTCGGCTGCGGAATTGAAGAGACATTGAGCTGGGGGATACTAAGTCGTCCGTCGTCTCTGCTCGGTCTGTAGACATGTGGCTGGATTTTGTGAGCACGGTGATACCATTCACGAATACAGACAGATTCCTTACCCAAGGGCTATCGGCCGGCTGTGCATCCCTTATTAACTGCATTGTCGCCGTATCCTGCACTGTTTGCGACTCTGGATGCGCAGTTAATTGGGTCGCAGTCGCGAAATGAGGCCAGCATGCCGGAGGAGTGTCAGGAGAAGCTCCGTTGAGATTTCTCATTAGATCAATATCGTCATCACCGAGGTTCCATCCCAAGTAACTTTCAAAAGGCTCAATTGAGAGATCATAAAGTGGACCGAATGAGAATGGTTCAAAGTCATCTATCACTCGATGAGCGTGGAGAAAGTCGTCAGCGGCGGAAGAACATACCGGAAGGCTGTGATGGAGCATTTTCAGCAAGCTCATCCCCCAAGGGCGAGTAGGCTGGTAGCAATGATGATTGGGAAATATTGATGTTTGCACCTGAAGTCTGCCTGTCACGGAGCAACGGACTGCCTTCAGGATTCCCTGGCGCTGTAGGCAAGCTTGAGCCAGTACCCGTTGCGGTAGACGAAACTAGCATATCACTTGACTGTATTCGAGGAGTGGATGGCATGCCATCTCTTGTTCGATAAGAACACGATCGACCAGAATGTAGACATCTTCGACAAGGTGTACCAGGCTGTCCGTCACAACGAAGTTTGGAAGCCACACATGGAATGCTAATAAATGGTGAGATAACTGATGAGTAGATAATAGATAGACAGCTAACTTACCATGATACTTTGCGGGGTTTCCTGATCGAGCCTGAAGCCTCTCCATGGAGAGCAGCATGCCTCGTCATCACATCTCTGACATCCACAATTCATCAGGTCAATCAGCGCCGGAAAGGAGGGTATCTCATACCGTCGACCAAATCGCTTTTGGCAAAATGGACATTCATATCGAGCATCGCCGGTATCTAGTTTCTCGGGGTATTAGCATTGGGGAAATGAAGTTTCGCTCGGATACTCACGACTTCTCTCATGGCGCTGAAGGTGCTCTGCCTTCCCGAAGGATCGCCGGCAATCGGACCAACTGCAGGTAAAAGCACGCTTCATGATTATAATACTCTGAGCTTGGGTCGCCGCCTTTGTGATGACAGTGAAAGTGACTGATCTGGAGGTTGAGTTGCGGAGTCTCCACATTCGTTCGGCAGAATTCCTCGAATTGGAACACAGCGGAACAACTGACCTCACTAAAGTTACAAAGCGTGTCATTGCTTAGGAGAATAGAAGGTTACAAAATTAGTTCGAATACACTGAACTTGCTACCATAACTTCAACACCAAAGGCAGATCGTGGTGCTACTCTAGAAAAGTGTAAAGGAAAGACGGCCTGTCTGAACTGGTTATTTGTTCGCCCTCTTAGAGCCACTATTTGACTATTTAACTATTCCACCGTTTCCGAATTCCTAGAGCTCCCCTGGTTGGTGGATTGCGTGTCCACCCCCATTCTCCCATCCTTAGTGTTCTCATAAGGATATTTCTTCGTCAGGATCATGAGAAGCAGCGCCGTGATGATGCAGAGAAACATAAGAATGGTGGTAACCGCAAATCCGGGCACGTATTCCGGCGCCGAGCTCGCAGGCCAGATGTATGCTCCGTATACTGACGATAGATTGGCGAAGGCACTTTTATAAATGTCAGTATCATACGAAGACAGTGGAAGGCCGGGTGGGACGGGGCGTACTTCACAAAACCAATAGCCACTGCTCGCTTCTCGGCTGGTCGGTAGATCGTGTTGGACAGGTAGCTGAGTGTCAATGGGCTGCAGCACCATATACCAGCAGCACCTGGAACATATTAGTTATTTCTCATGAGATATTCTCGCCACAAGGAAACAAACCAAGTGCTAAGAACGTGTAGCGAGCCTTGGCATTATCAACCGTGGCCACGATTATCAGAGACACTGTGGACATTGTGGCCATGGCCATGATGTGCTTTGGTCGTTCATTGAAGTAATCCGAGGAGAAGCCACAGATGAGGACGATCACCAAGGCAACCATATCTAAGATAGTAAGTCAGAGAATAAGCCAAGCCAAAACATCCCAGTAGCTTGGTTCTTACAGATCGGAATCGTCATCTGCAGTGTCCGATATCATCGCATCAGCATAGATCATAAAAGCCGGAGTCTGAAAACACGTACGTATTGCACATTCTGGCCAGTATAATTCAAAGCGGCCATCAAGGTCGGCACAAAGTACGTGATGGTACCAGCACAGGTGCAAAACGTTTGCGCCCAGAAGAAAAGCCAGGTCCTCCAATCGCGCAGCGCCGATGTAAAGCTCTGCCAGTGAGAGATGTCTCCCGCACGACTGGAGTTATCATCCTGTTCTAGACGTCGAACGGCATATTCCCGCTCTTCCGGCGTGAGCCACTTGGTCGTAGCAGGGAAGTCGGGTAGCACGAATCTCCAGTCAGGGTCAGCACGAAGTTTCCAAGTGAGAGGGAGTCTGGTCACTCACATGGCAATAATGGCGCATCCAATCGTAATCACACCCTCGACTGATAATATCCGTGTTAGCATCATGAACTGAATAGCTGGTTAGATAGCGGCCAAATCATACTGAGAAATAGCCATTTCCACGCGGGATACGGTGCCCGATTTTGCATCTTCTCCAAGATCAAGCCCGCTAGAAAAGGAAACATATTAGCCAGTATTATTAAACAGTCTCTCAAGTATATACTTACCAATAAGGCCACCAACGGCACCCGACACGAGCGACGCACAATAGAAGATAGAAAATCTCCTAGCCAACTCGGCTTTCTTGTACCAGTTGCTCATGAACAGCAGAACGCCGGGCTGATAATAAACTGGTCAGTGCTAACACTTTTTTTGTGTATTTCTTGACAACCCACAAAGTATCCAGCTTCAATCAACCCTAGCGCGAACCGAAGACCGATAAGACCGCGCTTTGAATTAACGCCCACATAGCCGATTCTATAACAAGTCAGCAGGAATATGAGACCGCTTATCTAGGAGAACGGACACCATAGCACCCCAAACAATCTAAATCCCCCCAGTATTGTTAACGCAGGGACTCGAGACATCATAAAGAAGCGAACGAACCATAAGAGCGGGGAGATAGAGACTCGGGCGTGTCCTGCTGAGAATCATGTTGCTCGGCACCTCAAGTAGGAGATATCCGATAAAGAAGATCGAGACGGCTAGAGAGTAGTCGGACGAGGTGAGTCCCAAATCTTTGGCCATGCCGGCTTCTTTGGCGTTGCCGATACTGTTTTTGATCCCATGAGTCAACCTTGTCCGCATCGGGCCCTGATTGCAAGAACTCCTTACTTGTTTCGGTCCAGGTCTTTGTTCGTAATTTCTTTGTTAATTGACTTTCTGCATATTGAGAATCGACGAAAAACCCACAGTTGAGAATGTACTAGCAGAGAATAATCATCAGCGACTCCATCGAGGTGAGCGAACAAATCAACCAAAGGCAAAGAAACTAACCATGATGAACAGCGGTGGAATCAGCCGAACGTCCACTTTCCACAATATCCTAGAGAACAGCTCATTAGATGAGTTCCTTTTGTTTGGATAATCCCATCCATGGCAAGCAGTCGGTCGGCGCCGCACCTTCTCTCCAACTCTTTGTTCTCCACAAAGGGAGTCGCATAGTGCGACCCGGCCTCTTCAAGGTGCATCGATGCGTCTTTGTCCATGGTCATTCAAGGGACGGAATGGTCTGCGTAGGTATGTTGGGTCCCCCCGGACCATTGTCAGTGTGGGGGTGAATATATAACTGAGCTGGACTTTTGGCTTTTTGCTGCGGAGGTGGAGAGTCCGAGTGGAGAGTCCGATGGTGTGGGGGATGGGAGTTGGCGCCCGCGAAACGAAGCATTCCTCGGTAACTAGATGGCGACGCTCTTGGGGGAAACTTAAAGCTGGGACTACTGGGGCCTCTCTCGAGTGTGACTTGGTTCTTGGATACAAACTTGCAGGCCTAGGCGGTTGGATCCTAGGCCTCAAGCCTATGTAAGCCTATATCCAAAGAATAATGTCTACGTTGAGAGAAATAAGAAGTCCAGGGAACCAATATCATCCATTCACAAGCTAGTCCGACAATCCGCCAAAATCCCACAAGAGACCACCTATTGTAGCGTGGAATAAGTACATCTGACAGTACATCTGACAGCACATCTAACTCGCCCAAGACAAGCCGGAAAGGCCACAGTTCAAAATCAACAGCATGCACACATACACGAGGAATAATACATGACTGAAACAGCCAGTCCTGGCCAAAGACAGAAAGATGTGGGATATGGACACGAAATGTCAAGACAAGAGACATGAGATGGGATGAGATGAGACGAAATGAATCATTTCATACGCATAGATTCCGGGAAATCATTTGCATTTGCATTGCAAGAAAGAGGCGGGTGTATATGACCAAAAGCCATTTCCGCGCCATATAAGTTATTATATTTGAAAAGAATGGACAGAAGGCGAGATACAACAAGCCCAGAGGTGGGGGAAGTAAACAAACTTCCAGTCAGCCGAAGAGAAGATGTCTATGCGGCTACTCCAACAGCAGGAGTAGAGGCAATGGCCGGACTGGCACTAGCTCCGAGAGGAGTGCCAGTCTTCATCTTCGGAGCGAGCCGGGCCGTCTCGGCGCTGAACTCGCGCGCAACGGCTGCCTCGAGAGGCTCGTTCGGCGCCAGACCAAGCTGTTCATCCTCCCACATGGGCCGGTTGGCATCCTCGGCGCCTTCGACGCCAACGCCGACGAAGCCGCCCAGGCTCTTCCAGTCGCTGGCGCGCTTGATGCCTAGGTCGTTCCAGACGGCTTGCACGGCCTGGACCAGGTGGTCGCGCAGCGGCTTGACGTGGCCGGGGGTCGGGGTAATGCGCAGGCGCTCCTCACCTCGAGGAACCGTCGGGTAGTTGATCGCCTGCACGTAGATGCCGTGCTCCTCTAGCAGTTTGTCCGAGGCGCGCTTGGCCAGCTCGGCATCGCCCACCAGCAGCGGGACAATGTGCGACGGGTTGGGGATAACGGGGATATCCAGATCCTTCAGAGCTGTCTTGACGGCACGGGTGTGCAGCTGCTGCAGAACCCGATCGCGCGGGTGGGCAGCCTGATACTGGATCGCCGTGTCGGCGCCAGCCATGGTGGCGGGCGGCAGCGAAGTCGTGAAAATGAATCCCGGTGCCAGCGAGCGGACGGTGTCCACCATGGCAGCGGAGCCGGCAATATACCCGCCGACACAGCCGTAGGCTTTGCCCAACGTGCCAGTGATGATATCAACACGATCCTGAACCGTGCCCTTGGTGCTCTGGGGCGTGGCAGAGTGCTGCGAGGCATAGACGTCATAATCAAGATGCTCGGCCACTCCGGCCCCGGTGGGACCGTACATGCCAACCGCGTGCACTTCGTCCAAGAAGGTAATGGCACCGTACTTGTCGGCGAGATCGCAGATCTTCTCGATGGGGGCAATGGACCCGCACATGCTGTACACAGACTCAAAGGCAATAATCTTGGGCTGGTTCGACGGCAAAGAAGCCAGCTTAGCCTCGAGGTCTTCCATGTCGTTATGTTTGAAGACCATCTTTTTGGCGCCGGAGTGACGAATACCCTGGATCATGGAGGCGTGATTCAGACTATCCGACAGGATCACACAGTCAGGCATCTTGCTGCCCAGGGTAGCCAGTGTGGCATCATTAGCCACGAAGCACGAGCTAAACACCAGCGCAGCCTCCTTTCCATGCAGTTTCGCCAGAGTATCCTCCAGCGCCACAGCATGCTTGTTATGGCCCGAGATGTTGCGCGTGCCACCAGCGCCGGCCCCGTAAGTGTCGAGCGTCTGGTGCATCGACTTCAACACCTCCGGATTGCGGCCCATGCCGAGATAATCATTCGAGCACCAAACCGTCACGCGCTCCTCGGCGGAGGCCGTGTGGGCCCGAGGAAACTCCTTGGCAAGCCGGTTGATGTTATTGAAGTAGCGGTACGACTTGTCCTTGTGCTTCTTCTCCAATTCGCCGTTGTAGAACGCATTATAATCGAATCGAGGATTGATCGGCGCGCGAGGAGCTGGACCGCGGACCGCGGCTTCGGTGGCAGCGGGAGTCGAGCGAATGTTGGCCAGATTAGGATGGACTAGAAATTGGTTAGCGTGATTGTAAGCGCCTTTATCGGAGAGTGATCTACCTCGCTCGTTCTTCTCGTAGGTTCCAGGCGTCAGGCTGGCCGGGTGACCACCAGTCGTGTGCAGCGCCCTCTTCCCAGCGGGACAGAACGGCTTGATGCCACCGACTCCGGCCGCGCACGAGGTGAAGCGCTTGGTGCCGCCCATGCGGGAACTCTGCACGGCGAGCGCCTTGCTCATCACCGGGCAGCGGCGAGCCAGGACCTGGAGGTTGGACATGGTTCCGCCACCTGGGCTGGTGTTCGGGCGAGTGGCCGTGGCGAGAGTGCGGAGCGCGGTGGGCGAGGTCCGCTTGAGGAAGGGGCACATAGAACGAGACTGCTGAAGAAGGGCCTCCATTATTGGAGTGGAATTGAACTGAGGACTGCAAAGCAACAACGACAATAATGGAGAGAAAGAATAGAAAACCAAATTGAAATTGGGGGAAGGAGGGGTGCTGACTCAGTAGGCTCAGGCTGACATTTCCTGGCCTGTGATTGGTGATCGGATCCGCTGTGCCGACAATTGCTGCCCGATTAGGAAGGCCTTAGGTAATGCCGAGGATACGCTGTATACACAGTAAGTGCGCACATGATGCTGCCTGTAGGATATTCTAGGAGCAGGTGAGAGAAGTAGAATGACCGCAAAGGATGTCTATGACAGACTGGCCGGCCAGGAGGAGCACATTCTTCCCCTAACGAACAACAGACGGCTAGCCTACGCCCACAACGGGCCCATCACGTCCCGGACTGTGATCATCTTCTTCCCAGGCCTCTTCGGCGTCGGTAGTGCATCGAGAGTGTCTGAATCATGTCGTTCGCTAGGAGCCCATTTGATCGCCCTGACTCTTCCCGGAATGGGAAATACCAGCACCCGCGACAAGTCAGTGCCCTACCACATCTCGCTAGCCAAAGACATAACCGCTCTACTCGCCCACCTATACCCGACAGATGCATTTGACACCCTGTATCTGTCGGGCGGATCGTACGGAACGGTGCCAGCACAGATGCTATACGGAGCGCCATATGATCTGTTTCCAGCGGGCCGCAAAGTGGCAGGTTGTCTCTTGCTTTCTGGCTTCTCGCCTCTAAAATACCATCATGACTACGCGAGGTCACTAAGTTGGCAGAACTGGTTCTCCTTCGGTCCGCCTACGCAGCTGATTCCGTTCCATGGTCTACAATGGCTCTTTAGGGGGATCGTTGGGTCAAAGATGAACACCGTTGACGGGGCGAAAGAGTTCCTACAACAACAAATTTTCCGCAAAATGGATAGCGAGGAAAGATCGACATTCCATCAATGGCTTGAAATATGCGGGCTAAGCGAGGATGCCTTTGTCGAACGAATGGCCAGTGATACTATCCGATGTAATCAGAACTGGGATGGATTCATGGAAGTATCGGATGTCATCCATTCGGACTGGGGGTTTGAGCCCAAGGAGCTGGATGATGAGCATGCGTCGAAACCTATGCTTGTGGTCGGGTCAAGCAACGATCAGATTGGTGGGAGTACTAACGATTGGATGGTGGATAATTATAGGTCTGCCAAGTTGAAATTGTTGCCGGGGGGTCATATCTCGTCGCTGTACTGTATGGATGAACTATGGACGGAGATGATTGGCAGTGAGTACACGAAGACAACATTTTCGTGAACAATCTGGAAACTAACTTCCAGGTAGTGACCATGTAGTACTAGAGCAGCTCTATATCTACATATAGGCCCTTTAGTATATCTCGAAGCCAAGAATCACCGGTGACACAGATTCATAGCGGTAGTACAATATCAATGCAGGTACATCTCAACACAACTCCATGATCCACTAAGAGCCCGATTTTATTGTGCCCTGCGTAGAAGAAGCAGCAAGGATAGAAGAAAAACAATAAGAAACAAAAACTCCCCCAAGACCGCCACCGGATAACACAATGATCAGAAAGTGGTTTCAAATCTATCGCCGAACACACATCTTTTTCTTGCTCGCATGCACATCGCATCAACCTCCTCAGTCATCAACCTGATGAACTGAAACCATGCCCCTTCATATGAATCTTCCTGCCAATCAAATAATCAAGACTGTATGGTAATACACAGCAGTACAGATGTTCTGCCCGTGAGAAAATAAGAAAAAGAGAAGAGGAAAAAAGAACAGATAACATAGAAAGTGCCAGAAGCAAAAACAAAACGCCGTCATCCATCTGCAAAGTAGCTGAACCACAAAAAGGGTTCATTGAATTCAACCGAGTCCGCCGTCGCCGTCGATGAGGCGTAGACGTTCGTTCATCGTCTTGGCACGCTTGGATGTCCCCTTCCCCTTGCCGGGGCCACGGCCACGCTTCCCACCAGGAGCGGACGACGGGGTGTCGATGCCATCGGCTGCCGACAGGGGAGTGGCGGCTCCCGACGGTTTCGCGCTTTGGTCGTCAAAGTTACCCTCGCCTGTAAAAGCAAGTCAGTCAGTATTGAAAACACTCCCCAAAAAATCCACAAGCAAGCTTACCTTCATGATACATATCGTCCAGCGTAAGGTCTCGCTTCCGTTTCTGGGCGGCCTTCTTTCCACCCTTGGCACCAGCAGTCTCGCCGCGTTCGAGCGCCTCCTTCTCCTTCTGCTCGATGAGCTCGGCCTCGTCATCATCCGCGAGCCACATGGCAATATCCTTGGTGCGGTTCTCGCGATTCCGGGTGTTGAAGTCAACACCACCGGCGGCACCACCACTAATGACAACGCGTTGCACCTCTTCTTTCTGCAAAGCACGTTTGCGAATCCGCTCTTCGATGGTGCCTCGAGTAATGAGACGGTATACCGTAACCTGCCGGGTCTGCCCGAGACGATGAGCCCGGTCCATGGCCTGGGAGTCGATGGTCGGGTTCCAGTCGGAGTCGTAGAAGATGACCGTGTCGGCCGCAGTCAAATTGATACCAAGACCACCGGCACGCGTGGACAATAAGAACACAAAGATTTCTGGCTGTGACTGGAAGTCCGCCACGGTGTCGCGACGATCCTCCAGCTTCGTGCTACCGTCGAGACGGCAATACTTGTAGTTACGGTAGGTTAGGTACTCCTCCATCAGGTCGATCATGCGTGTCATCTGGAAGTAGAGTAGGACACGGTGCCCGCCAGCCTTGAGCTCTCGCAGCAGTTCGTCCAATTTGGCCAGTTTGCCCGAGTCTGTTACGAATCGTCGCATGGACGGCACTTCAATATGAGTGTAACGTGCCTTCAAGGAGAGTGGCGGAGGAAGGATGGGCGGCAGCGAGTAGGGCACGGGATCGAGCTTGTTGGAGAGAATCAGCTCTTCGGCTTGTCTACCAGGACTGCCAAATAGCGCTTCCTGAACAGGTGCGTTGAAGAGGGTGTCGGCAGTTTCCCGCAATGAGTCCTGGTTCCGGCAGGAAATGGTGATCGGGGGCGCAGAGGCGGCTGGAGAAGCACATGGCTCGATCAAGTTAAGACCTTGTCGTTCAAACGACGACCGCGACACAGTCATCAGGTCCCGCATTCGGCCCTCTGTGGCAAGTTCTTGAACGGCCTGGCGATCATTACGGTCGACGATGTTCAGCATCGAGTGAGGCACGACGGTCTTTTCATCGCCTTCATAGACCGCATTCAGGCGCGAAAGGCGGTTGGGAAGGCCACGCCGGCGGTTCGCACGCTCAAAGACGCCCAGGCGGGCCATCTCGCTGGCCTCCCCAGCGGAGGTGTCAACGAACCGCAGGAACGAAAATGCGCCGTTATTCCGAGCACTTTGTTGGATGTTCTCCGGCGTCCAGATATTCATCAAGTGCGAAAGGTATTTGCCCCGGAAGCCAGCGTAGGCGTTGTTCGGGCCAGGAACATCCAGGCGTCCATCGGAGCTGCATAGGAGTCGTGGCAGATCGTACTCAATGAGACTTCTGGTCGAGTAACGTACATCAACAAAGTAGCCTTCGCGGAGGAACGAGGCGGTTTCCGCAAAGTAGCCGACTGAGTAGGGGGACTTGGTCTCCGCACGTTCGAACAGATCGGGATGGTTGCAAACCTTGCGGAATTGCATGACCAGGTTCATCAACGTCGTGCTGTCGGTATCGTCACCGACGGCCGCCTTCTCGATGAGGTCGATGATGCTGACGCGGTTCCGCAAGTTCGCGTAAAGAGCACGTTGGCGGTAAGTCAGGTCGCAGAAAACATCCTTCTCCACCTTGTCGCCGAGTTCTTGCTGGACGTGTTTCTTGACACGGCGCAGCATAAAAGGCTTCAGAATCATATGAAGACGGCGCAACTGATCCTCGTTGAGCTTGGTGTTACTTTGAGCGTGAGACTCAATATCCTTGGAGAACCATTCACTGAACTCGTCGTGGGAGTCAAACAGGGTGGGCATGATGAAATGCAGCAACGCCCATAGTTCCTGCATGTTGTTTTGGATGGGTGTACCGGTCAACAGAAGACGGTTACGGCAATGGAACTGCAACAGATTCTTCCACCGAGAACTCTGAGAAGACTTGATAGCCTGGGCCTCATCGAGAATCATGTACTGCCACTTCACCTTCTGGAAGTACTGCGCGTCAAGAACGACAAGTTGATATGACGTGACCAAGACGTGGAATTCGGACTCGCGGTTATAGGTGATGTGCTTGCGATCCCAGAACTTGCGAAGAATCTTGCGATCCTTGGCATTGCCCCAATACGGCAGGACCTTGATGTTCGGAACGAACCTGGTGATTTCCTGTTGCCAGTTGTGCAGAGTGGAAGCGGGTGCAATGACCAAGAACGGACCCCAGATGTTGTGGAACTCGGCCAGATAGGCCATGACGGAGATGGACTGGATAGTCTTACCCAGACCCATCTCGTCTGCCAGGATGCCGTTGATGCCTTGCTCGTACAAGTTGACAAGCCAGTTGAGACCCTTCAGCTGGTATTCCTTCAACTTGGCGTTTAGCATGCTGGGCTGTGAGATCTCGATGTCACCCAGACTGGTCGGGTTTTGGAAGTTCATCTCCCCGTCATCGAAAGCAGCCATTTGGTCCTGGTCCTGGTTGAAAGCACGAGCACGGTCCTGTGCCTGCTGCACGGCGTTCTGTGCGTTGGCCATAGCCGCCTGCTGCAAGACCGATTCATCTTCGGCATCAAAGTCCAAGTCCTCGAAGTTGGTGACCTTGGCGCTGGGATTTGCCACACTATTGGGGAGATCGATTTGGTGTGCCTGCGGCTTACCCGGTTGGACCGTCTCGTTGGTGCCGGCGGTGGCTGTGTCTCCAGACATTTCTGCCTCGGCAGTCTTGACCTTTCGGCCGATGAAGTGAGAGTACAGCTCAGTCTGGGAGATGAGGAAGTTGAGCTTGCGTTTCTGTCGGTTGGCTTCACGCTCTGCCTCGGCTTTCTTGGCCGACTCCAGTTCTTGCTTCTCCGCCAGACGGCGCAGATCACGCTCCTCACGCTCGTTGCGCTTCCAGAAAGACATCATCTCACGCATGGTCCGCTTGGCACGAGCCTGAGTATCTTTGGTACTCTTGTTGGTGCGCTCCTGCCACTTCCGGGACTGCTTGCTGGCCAGCTGAGCCGTCTTGCGCAAATTCTCTTGACGAGTCGTATGAGATATGGTCTTGATGCGATACACCTTGGGGATGTCCTTGCGGGCAATATCGCGCCAGATTTGCTCGTATACCTGGTTGTAGCTCTTGCTGTCATACTCCAGAGGTGACATTGGCCTGTCAAGCCTCCCGCGACCTCTTCGCGATTCTTGCGGTTCCTCGTCGTAGTAGTAGTAATCATCGTCCATACCCCACCAGGCAGCCTCTGCAGCGTCCTTCTCCGCTTGCTTCTGCTCCTTGGACTTCTTCGGGCGCGTGACGGGACCTGCGCGTCCGCCGATCTTGCGGCGCGATGGAGAGCGACCACCAATCTGGAATTGGGTAGTCATGCCGCCCTCAAGGTTCGGGGCCAATGGCGTGACCTCCCCAAGCTCATCCTGGGCATTGCCTCCCTCCAGGGCACGCTTGGTTGACCGAATCTTCTTTTGGGCACGTTCGGCTTCACGTAGGTACTTGGCCTTCTCCGTGGAGTCTTGGGCCTTGTTTGCCTTGCGTTCGGCCTCCAATTTCTTCTGCATCTCCACACGCACCGTGTTCTCCCGGCGACGCTTCCTTTGCATGTCCTTCTTCCGCTCCTTCTCGTCCTGGATCTCCTTCTGCTGCACCTCAGCCATGACGGACGACTCATTGAGGACACGGAAACGTTCTGATCCCAAGACCGCCTGTCGCTCAAAGGATCGGCCCAACTCGATGAGGAAATTGTTGCGGCGACGCTGGTGATCATTTAGTAACCGTACACTCAAGGGGAAAAAAGCAAATGACAAACCTTGCGGCGAACGTGCTCCGCACGGTTACTATCCAGAGTCCGTTTTTGGCACTTTTCTTGGTAACGTTCACGCTCCGCGTCAAATCCAGCGGCTTCCACGTCACTTTTATCGGCCTGATCAATCTCGTACATAGCCCGGTTGATCTGCTCCAAGTCCACACCCGGCGGGAGGGGCTTTCGCTGGGGCAGATTGTTGGATGGGGCATCTCCCCGAATAGGGTCGCGTCCCGCAAAGCCGTTGGGTGCCAACGGCGCATCCGGGCGACGGTCCAAATCATGAGGTTGACGATAATCCAGCTTGGGGAATATAGCTCCACGAGCATCGCGATGCTGCAGGTGGTGATCGTAGGCTGAAGCTGCAGGCGGCGCAGGTGCGGCAGACGGAGCCGAGGGGGGGAGAGGGCTTTTTCGAGGACTGATCATCCGTCGGCCCAGAAAGGATGCTGGCGAAGGACATCGGGTCGGCGGCGCGCGCTGGCTTCTAAAGGAGGAGAAAGATGGTTAGAAACTTTTTTTGCAGATGATTCTGTCACACGTACTGTGTCTTGTGGAGATGCGGGTCGTGGCTCTCGCATCATAGAGGATGCATATCCGGTACCATTGCCTCTCATGCGATATGGCGATTCAGATTCCCGCGAGGGGGACTGCGAGTGTGCATCCAAGCGACTGGGCGGGTGGCCATGAGGCGTAGGAGGACCGTAAGGTGATGCTCCATTGCCCGGAAGCGCGGACCCCGAAAAGGGCCTCGGAAGCGGCAGCTGAGGCGTGCCACTGGTCGAATGGCTCTGGTATTGGGATGAAGAGGGCTCTGGATGGGCAGTGTGAGGCGGCGCACTTCCATTCAAGGGCGCGGGCAGCGAACTCGACATTGGCGGAGACGCGTGCGAAAAGCGAGGGCTTCGCGAGATGGACGATGGCCCGTAGCCAGGAGGTGTCTGGGGCGGGTGCTGCGGATATTGTTGCTGCTGCTGTGACGGCGGCTGTTGCTGCTCATTGCTGGGATAGTACGGGTGGTTCTTGCTTGGAGAGCTGTACGCCGGGAACCGTTGCTGTTGGCTCGGCGAGGACTGAGGGTTGTATGGCGGAGCGCCCGTCATGGTGACCGCGTCCCTGATGCCGGACGAGCGCGGCGGAGACAAGTCACTCTTGGCGGTGGATGGGAGAGGAGGAAATCAAACACCGTGGGTGGCACCCATGGACTGGTGTCAAGGGGGGGCGAGCGAAGATCTAGAGTGGACGCGACGTCAGTGGGATGGGATAGGATTGCAAGGATGGGAGAATGGAGGTTGGCGTGAAGGAAGATGGGAGAAGAAGGAAGAAGGAGCCGACGGGATAAAAATACCGGATGGAGGGATGGTTCGTTTGGTGGTGGGAAGATGCAGGAGAGGAGCGCGGCGTGGAAGAGAATGCGCGGCTGTCGACGATCGATCGAGCGAGCGACGGAGGGAGGGAGGAGGGTGCCGGGGATGGCGGTATTAGGGGGGATGGTTATGGACCCCGATGGTGGATGATGAAAAGATGCGAAGAAGAAGAAAGGAATGAGTGGCCGGGGACGAGGGAAGGGCCGGTGGGAAGGAAAGGGGAGTTTTTGGGTCGAGGCGTTTTGCGTTCGTTGATCGTGTCTGAGCTGAGAGTGTATGGCAGAACACCCACTCGTTCACTCAGACCAGAATAGTGTATGATCGAGGGAGGATTTTGGGATGGATGATGGTTCTAGATACTTGTAATTCCTCTGTTTATTGACAATGTGAAATTTCTGGGATTATTGGCTCACTCTGGAAAGATGCATACAAACACCTCCAGCGAGGTGCGCCCAATCGAGCAATGAGGGCATTCCGGCATATTCAGACACGGTTTATTTTTATTTTTGCCATTCTCAATATTATTTTTTGAGCACAAATACACTCTATCAGGGTTGATTCTTGTCGGTCTTCTGCGCAAGGACGAGTCCGATCCCGACTCCCTTGGCATTGATCTGTCTCACCCGGTGATAGATCACCCGGAAGAAAATCCCAGCACCCATCATATAGGCACAAGATAGCTATAACTGGCCGCCCTGGGACTTCAGTATGCTGTTCGCTCCGATTTCAATCATCTGCTACTCTTTTGGTCCCTATTTCTCGTCGGGCCGGCCACACCCGTAACTAGCACGGACTACGTACTCAACCATTCGTCGGATGCCCAGGACCTCTAGATCCCAATGGGGTTGTGTTTCTCACACCTTTCTTTTTTTTGGTCAAGATAATCTCCCATCAACTACCACTTCAAACCTCAAAGTTCTACTTCAGGAGATGATTAGGTAGCCAGTGGCTGGATTTATTTATTCATTTCCTATTACTGCAATCCGAACTTGAATGACCGTCGATCCTTATCGGGACTGTCAGGCTGAGCCACGCTACTTGCATTCCACAGTTTCCGACTACCAAAAAAGGCCCTATATATCCCCAAGGAATGTAGCATGAAGGAAAGGCAGTATCCTTCATTGTAGACATCTAGACGGAACCCTAAGCGCTGGGTCAGCCATAGTGAAGTCGACTACGTCATCATCAACTTCGAGACGGAAACCCTGACGTCCTCTTGTATCTCGGCTTTTTTACTATTATTTCTGCTTTTTATGGGAGTGTAGCAACTAAAGCTATTAATTGACGTGGTTTACGTTTCTCGTGTCCATGAGAACTGTCGTTTGCCTTTATCGGGGTATAGTATATATCGTACAGCGGCAGGGATGCAGCTTTGCAGCAAAGGCGTAGAAGCCTCCTGCAAACGGAACAGGCAAAAAATTCCAAATTGACCATGGGTTAGACACGGTAAGAATCAGGTTATGTCATGTAATCATCCATTGCTACACAATCTTGTTGACACTCGCTCATCCTCCTCACTCACTGCTTCTCTCTCCTTCTCTTGTAGCATACACTCCTTCCCACCACTATCCCCCACCTTTCTCTCCTTACCCATATTTCAAACATTCGAAATGTCTCCCACCATCCCGGACAAGCAATGGGCGCAAGTGATCGAGAAGGAAGGCGGCCCACCGGTGTACAAGCAGATTCCCGTGCCCGAGCCCGGACCAGATGAGGTCCTCGTGAAGATCAAGTACTCTGGCGTGTGCCACACGGACCTGCACGCCATGAACGGCGACTGGCCGCTGCCATCGAAGATGCCGCTAGTGGGCGGCCACGAAGGCGCCGGCGTGGTGGTCGCCAAGGGCTCGCTGGCCAGAGGCGTTGAAGTCGGTGACCGCGCAGGCATCAAGTGGCTGAATGGGTCGTGCCTGTCGTGTGAATTCTGCCAGACAGCTGATGAGCCTCTTTGCGGCGAGCCTCTGCTGTCGGGGTACACCGTCAACGGAACCTTCCAGCAGTATGCTATTGGCAAGGCTGCGCATGTGTCCAAGCTGCCCAAGGAGGTGCCTCTCGATGCGGTTGCACCAATTCTCTGCGCTGGTATTACCGTCTACAAGGGTCTCAAGGAGTCTGGTGCTCGTCCCGGCCAGACGGTCGCAATCGTTGGTGCTGGTGGCGGACTCGGATCTCTGGCGCAGCAGTATGCGAAGGCGATGGGTCTGCGTGTTATTGCCATCGATGGCGGAGATGAGAAGCGAGTTATGTGTGAGAAGCTGAGCTCGGAGGTATCTATCTTTCCTGGTATCATCTTCTTCAATTATTGCTAACTTGTCCCAGACCTTCATCGACTTCACCAAATCTAAGGACATCGTCGCAGACGTCAAGGCCGCTACCCCCGGAGGTCTGGGCGCTCACGCTGTGCTCCTGCTCGCCGTCGCAGAGAAGCCTTTCCAGCAGGCATGTGAATACGTTCGCTCGCGCGGTAGTGTCGTCGCCATCGGCCTGCCGGCCAATGCATTCGTCAAGGCTCCGGTATTTGAAACCGTGGTGAAGATGATCAATATCAAGGGCAGCTATGTTGGCAACCGACAGGATGGGGTTGAGGCCGTGGATTTCTTTGCACGCGGCCTGATCCATGCGCCGTTCAAAGTTGTGCCACTGGAGGAGCTGCCCAAGGTCTTTGAATTGATGCGTACGTATTTCCTTGCGCTCTGGATATAACACGTGAGGCTAACACAGCTATTCTACAGAGCAAGGCAAGATCGCCGGCCGCTATGTTCTTGAGATGCCCGAGTAAACGGTCTTGGTATCATCGAGGAATGGCACGGGGTACTGGATATAGGATTGTTAATGGAGAATATACAGTACTTGCAGACAAGACAGTTAATGAGAATATGAGTACTCAGCTGAACCTGAACCTGAACTATATCTTAGGTAACCCAGACAGTATCTACCAGTCCAACCATATATTATATCGGTTGGCGGAGCTATGAAAAGCTTCGTTTACGACCGTGCCCGGCGGCATGTACATGACTCCAGTCGGCAGCGAGGCCGTGACCATGAAGGTGAGCTAAATGATTAATATTATTCACCTGGGAAGCTGGTGATGCTCTATCATGGTTACAGTAGTAACTAGGCCCGCCCACTCAACATGGCTAACCAGGCTGTCAAAATGGTTCAAATCAACCAATCAAAAACAAAAAACTTAGTCATCTCTTCAAAAAGAGGCTGAAGCGACAACAGCACAGGTGACGCTAACCCCGCTGTATAGAAGTCAGTGCTGGCCGCCATCGGAGATCACTTAGCTAATTGCTTCACATAACTTCCAGAAACTGGTCTAGCTCGAGGGTCTCCGCAGGGATCAGGACCCGTTTCGATGGACATTGAGGTTAGGGCAGGGTGGCGCTAGTCCGAAAGCGGTTATTGTCTGGAGAACCGGGATTTTGTGGATTCGATGCCGAGAGGCAGGGTATTGTCGTGATGGGCTAGCGATGGGCACGCAGAGTTTTTCTTCTCTTTTTTACTTCGTCTTCTTATTTATTTATAATCCGTCTCTGTTTCCCTGCTGTACTGAGGTGGCGAGTGGTTTGGAAGGGCAGATATATATATCTGCCATTTTTTTCACTATCGACGGAAACGTGAGGTCATCCTGAATACCCCCCCGCCAGAGTATCAGAGTGCCAGAGATCAGGAACAACTAGTATCTCTCTTGCAGCGATCAATTTGAATGCCTGATGGTATTCTCTCGGGGCGATGTAAGCGGCCGTGATGATCCGGCAACAGGTATAGAGCGTCACTCGCTTCGAACAGAATATCGTTGTTAACCACCTGCTTCCAGAACATGACCATGAGCCTGGCTCCGACATAACCGTCGTGTCTTGGGACGGGCCTCGCGACCCGGGCAATCCTTACAACTGGTCGCACTCCCGGAAATGGACAGTCACCATCCTAGCAGTCTGGCTCACTTTCATCACAATGATTGATGGCACCATCATCACCGTCGCACACGACGCCATCAACACCGAGTTCAACATTTCCGATGCTAACTTCCCCAATTCGTACTGGGCAGTCACCAGCTGGGCCATGGGCGGCGGATGCTTCTCGCTGCTTGTGCTGCCACTAATGGAGGATTTCGGCATGCGCAAAGTATTTCTCCTGACGTATGGCATTTTCCTCTGCTTTGTGATCCCGCAAGCCGTGGCGCAGAACTTTGCCACTTTGGTCGTGACACGCTTCTTCGCCGGCGGCTGCGTCGCCATCCTGGCGAACACCTCTGCCACGGTCATTGGGAATGTGTGGGACAGCGAGAAATCGCGCAATGTCCCCATCAGTTTGTATATTGTCTTCTATCTGGCTGGCAGCAGCATCGGACCCGTTGTCGGGGCATCTATCTTCCAGTTTCTCTCGTGGAGATGGATCGGCTACATCCAGCTAATCTGGTACGGCGCCTTCTTCCCGATCTATTTCTTCCTTTTCAAAGAATGCCGCGGCATCGCTATTCTGGGAGAGCGCGCGAAAGCTTTACGGCGGGAGGGAAAGATAGCTTATACCCAGCACGAGATCGATAGCCAAGGCAAGTCGATTCTGCGGATCGTAGCCCGCAGCGCGGCACGGCCTCTCTTCCTGTTCTGCACCGAGTCTGTGGTCTTTGTGTCGACGTTGTGGTCCGCTTTCACCGTGGGTACGCTCTACCTGTTCACGCAGTCTGTGGAGCAGGTGTTTTCGGGGTTGTATGGCTGGACCGCCGTGCAGGCGGGATACGTCCAATCGGCCATCGTGATCGGCGAATGCATAGGATGGGCAGGGACTTTGTTTTCAGGCCAGTTGTACTTCAACTCGGCTTCCCGCAATACCGAAGTCCCGGGCACTCCTATCCCAGAGGCAAGGCTGTACCTTGCGATTGTGGGGGGTATGATTGGGATCTCGGGAGGCATGTTCACCTACGCCTGGACATCCTACCCCCATCTCCCCTGGATCGCACCAGCCATCGGTCTTGCAATGGTGGGAGCCGGCAGCGTGATTGTTGTGACGGGCATCTCGGACTATTTGGTTGACGCCTATGCCAAGTACGCCGCTAGCGTGATTGGGATCGTCGCAACAGGTGAGAACACCTTCTCGGCTTTCCTGCCGCTCGCCGCAGCGAGCATGTACTCGCATCTTGGGTTCCAGTGGGCTAGCACTGTGCTGGCATTTATCTCGCTCGCCTTGTCCTTTGCGCCAATTCTGGTGCTCATCTGGGGAAGACAGATCCGAGCGAGAAGTCCGTTTATGAAGGAGGCTATGGTCGACAAGAGGAGGAAGAGCGTCGACTCTGTTTGATAATTGGCTCTGTACATACATCTCTCTGCATATAGATCCGCATCAACGAGATTACCCTTAAATGGCTTCTCATCTCTTCTGCTGCTTGCTATAGCAAGTACAATTTGTCTAAAACTTGCCTGACAGACATATTTGTCAGAGGCCGGATTATTGCCGAAAACGTATCGCACTCTAGAATGCACACGGCAGCTAGGATCAAATTGGTCACTAGAGCCGAACCTAAACCCCTCATGACATAACGGGGATATACACTTGATTCCAGATTTCGACAGATGTGAAGAAGGATCAACCGAGCCGTTTCGAGTCATGACTAGTGCTCCATGTCGGCTGCGATCACCAAAGCTCGGCTAGGCGGAGAATTACGCAGGAACCCTGCGGCTGCGGGTCATGGAATAATGCAGAGCAACACAAGGTCAGTCGGAGGTTTTCCAGATTAGGGTTAAGAATGTCTCTCGTGGCCGGCGTGGCCGGTAGTTAGACCCTGCCACCCCCTGGCCATGGTTTTGCGTTTTCTCTGCAAGGCCAACCTGCTTGGGTCCCCTCCTCGTGCACAATATGTATTCCACGTGCACGAGAAGATCTGGCCCCATTATTGACTTTCAACGGGTCATCAGCGGCCGGACTCCGTTCGGGACGATCAATCCTTTCCTATTGGGGTTTGTTGCAGAAGAAGAGGAACATTATCCCAGAGGCTGTTAGACGATTTAGGTCCCCGTGTGGCCTAGACTAGATACCCGAGCTTCTAGATCGTTTCAGGGTGGACGATCAAGCGAACCCCGTCCTTCTCGTGGTCTGCACGGGTGAGATTTCCAAGGGGCGGGGACGTTCTCGCAGCATTGAAACCTCCATCAAGAGTCTATCATTCTGCAGAGAGCATTGGCCTGGGTCAACTGGTGGTGAGGTGAAACTTGTTCTTGAACGGGACAGTGTCTAACCCCTAGTTCAGTCGAGCGTTCTTTCAACCCGTGAGACACCCACTCTCCCGAGATGCTGGGAGAGTCAAGCCGCCCCTTTTCGCGATCATAATTGGTTCTTCCAGGGCAGGTCGTCTTACTAACCCACTCCCGATGTTCGTCGTGCCAAGCTTTTCAGTTTTCATTCTGTGTCCGTCTCTCTACCATGGGATTGTAGCCGTCGGTACGGTCGGTCCTGGTCTGGACGCCGCTGATCTCTATATATGACATATTGCCTAGTGGGCCGTTGAATCTGTCGCTCGTGGGTGTCAACTTGTGCAGCATGATTCCTTCGGCGAATATATCAAATCATGACTCGACTGGTCACCGGCCGGCCAAGGCTGGGGAGACGAGTCCTATCTGATGCGTCCAGCAGGATGATCCCTCGGGAAAGCACAGCCCCAGCCGGAAGAATACCTAGTGTCGATAAATCGAGGCCGAGTGGGACACCAGCAGGACTCGGTTTCAGTGGCTGCAAGTAAGCGCCCACTGAACCTGTGAAACACATCCAGCGGGTGCTTCAGGTTGCCAGCGCCAGTTTTACTTGGCGGGTCCGTTTTGGCCCCACCACGGACTATTCCCTGTCGAGTAGGACTTGTCCATCGCACAGACCGTCTGCAGTCCGGGTCACCAGTGCTAGGAGAGGGCGGGGGGGAAAGAGACGTGTGATGTGCCAGTGGCGACCCTGGACTGAGGGAAGACTGCAAGGAACGGGGGTGGTGTTGAAAGGGAAGAGAGGCACACCAGCCAGTAGATACCGAGTCCAGTTCGCCCCCAAACCCACTGGCACTCAACAGGCACACCCGCTGCGGGTCTGCTGACAGTACTCTAATACGGTCACAAACACCACCATACGTGTATATGACCGCTTTCTTGATGGTGTAATCCTGTTTCACACCGTCACAACACCATCCCAGCGCTTCGCTCTCACAATCCCTTCGTTCAGGCCAACCCTTTTTCTCCTCTCCTCTCTTTGTATCGCCCGTTTTTCACCCATCTTCACCTTCGTTTCTTGCTTCCGCTGTGCGCGAACCATCTCCTTCCTTCAGAGACTTGCGACTTGGCTGGTCCTGTTCCATTCTCTGGTCTTCTTTCTTTTTTTCTTTGTGTTTTTTTCTCCCTTCGACGCTGGTTACCCCGAGGCTGGCCCTCTGACGTTTCGCGTCTCCATCCATCCCATCCTGCCAAAATTACCTTAACGATCCTCTGTCGCATATTCGTCGCGGCCATTTCGCGCACCTCCGATCCGACACCGCGAGTCGAATCATTCTGAAGGTGAGTCGGAAACTGAGTCGGTGATGCATGTCTCACAACAAAGGAGTCAACAAAGACGGAAGGGGCCACTCTTTTGTCTGGGCCTGTCCCATCTGGAACACCGCCCTTTGTTTACACCTGCGTTATCAGACTGTCTCCTCCCGGTCGGGCGCTGATGGTTTTGACAGTGCGCGTGGTGTAGCCATGTATTCCCAACCGGGCGCCCCGATGGCGCCTCCTCAGAAACCGGAGACGTTCATGCTATCAACCGAGGCGCAGCAGAGTCTACCACAGGATGCGCAAGTTGCGCTGCAGCAAGTCGACAATTGTAAGTCGATCACCAGCGGGATCTGGCATTCGAGGGTCATGTTTGTTGACATACACACCCGACGCAGTGAAATACTTTCTTTTGTCCGCTCCTGTCGACTGGCAACCCGATCAGCTCATTCGACGATTTCTCCTCCCCACGGGCGACTACGTGTCTTGTGTCCTCTGGAATAACCTCTTTCACATGTCCGGCACGGACATCGTGCGATGTCTCGCCTTTCGATTCCAGGCTTTTGGCCGCCCCGTGAAGAACTCCAAGAAGTTTGAGGAAGGGATTTTCTCGGATCTGCGAAATCTCAAGGCTGGCACCGATGCCACTCTGGAGGAGCCCAAGAGCGCGTTCTTGGATTTTATGTACAAGAACAACTGCATCCGGACCCAGAAGAAGCAAAAGGTGTTTTACTGGTATAGCGTGCCTCATGACCGACTATTCCTTGATGCGCTCGAACGCGACCTGAAGCGCGAGAAGATGAACCAGGAGGCGACCACCGTTGCCGTCAGCGAACCGGCTTTATCCTTCGAATTCGACTCGTCCCAGTCCTTGTACGAGCAGTTGACCAAGGCACAACAGGCAAATTCGTCCTCGTTTGCTGCCCACGCAAGTACGACTTATGGCCAGCCCACCTCTCCCGTTCGGACCGTTGACGCAATGCCTCCTCCCCAGATGGCTCCGCCGACGATGCCTCTCCTGCAGGACGACTCTGGTAGCCAGGTCATGTACAACAACTCGCCGATGCCCCTTTCGAACAACCTGGTCCAGGGAATAATTAAGCGCGAACAAGATTATGGCACCACCATTCAGTACGACCGCAATGGTATGCCTATTCCTCGCATTCACCAGCGTCATTCTTCCATGCCGACTTTCTACGAGTACTCCCCGGCGCCGTCCTTTGTTTCGTCTCAGTATGAGGATTACAGCAACCGTGGATTGTCCTTTGAACCCGTTACTCCTCCGCAGCACACGGTCGGACTAGGGGCTGAGCCAGCATACATTGCCAACGAAGATACGGGTCTTTACACGGCTGTCCCCGACATGTCACAAGGATCTGGATACCACGGAATGATGCAGCTCCCGCCGTCCCATCTGTCTGGCGGCCAATACTCCGCGCCTCGGTCCTTCTCGTCCAATGTATACTCTGCCGTCGAAGGATCCCCGACCTACAAGCAGCGGAGACGACGATCATCTATCCCTCCCTCAGTCGCTCATGCTGCTGCGGCAGCCCAGGCTCAGTCTGCGACGCCGCCTTCACAGCCGGGCACCTATGCTGCGCACAAGCCCAGTGATCTCCGCCGATCTGTCTCAAATTCGGTGGGGCCTTCTGGCGAGGACGAGGCCAACCAAGATCTAGCGCGCACGTATCCGAGTGCCATGCTCCCGCAAAAGGACTTACTCCAGGAAATGTCGCGTCATGGAACCCCGCTGCAGAATCTCGAGGACAACAGCGCCGAGCAGCACGGCTTGCCCCTGTCGAACCCGCCGGATGACTTGACCGCTCTTCCAACGAGCGCAGCCTTACAAAACACCGTCCAAAATAGCACGACCAGCCGCGGGGATCGCTCGGGCCCCGGGCCAACCCGTCGCGCCAGGAGTGCTACAATGATGGAGTTGGGGCCGTATCCGCAGAAATCGCACTCGTGTCCGATTCCGTCATGTGGGCGTCTCTTCAAGCGGTTGGAACATCTCAAAAGGTAAGCTCTCTCTGGTCTATTTTTGAATTGTGTTCCCGCTGGTGGGGTGGATCTGCATTGCATATCCGTGTGATGAAATCTTTCGATAGCCGCCGACTAACCCGGGCGCCTAGACATGTACGAACTCACACCCAAGAACGACCGTACCCCTGCCCTTACTGCAGCAAGGCCTTCTCGCGGTCTGATAATCTTGCACAGTAAGCATTACCTTTGGATATCGCCTTTATCTTCTCTATTACTGACCAGTGCTCTCAGACATCGACGCATCCATGAGGCTCAACACGATGGCCAGCCGCCGTTTACCCACGAGGATGATCTGGAGAACGATGCCCATGACTTCGGCTCCCCAGAAGACGATATGTCGCCGCCGGCGCATGCGCAGGATATGATCCATGTGCCACATATGGCACCGATCCCCGGCTCTATGAGCGTGCCATCGGCCATGCAGACCGTCGTTGCCCCACACATGATAGCGCCTCAACTGCTCCAGCAGCAGCTGTGAGTTTGATTCATGTACTCCTTTGTTCTACTACATCCATGTCGTCAGCGAAAGCTTCCCGCCTTTCGCTTTGGATGCCCTTTGGAACCTCCCTTGGCGCGTATGGTGCGGTGTTATAATGTGTGCCTCATGTTACTTTTCATCTGACCACCCTCGACCATTCTGGTCGGCATTTCCTTTTGATGATTCTCCTGCAGCCTTTTTTGCTGCCGCTCTCGTATTTTTTCCTCTTGTGTGTTTTTTTTTGGTTCTTGAACATCTTGTCTGATCTGCGGTGGTCAGAATATGCCTGGCGGGTACGGGACTTTTCTGGGTGTGGGAATGCTTCTGGTGGATCATCCGGTATTGTCCATTGGGGTGTGGAAAGTCCGACCGTGCGACTCGCACTATATTATAGACAGATCTATGTAACGAACTGAATTGGACAAAACTTCACGTTGTATATCTTCAAGTGGATAACTACTCTTAAATAGAATATTTGGGGTCCGATCACGTGACAAGCCAGCTGACGTCGTTTCCCTTAGTTGCATGTCACCTCATCAGCCTCTCTTGCCATCTGCTAATATCCATATATATCTCTCTGATTTGAATTTTATATGAGCCTGCCAGAAGGATATCTTCCTGGCGAGAGACCCCCTCTCATGGCTGCAGGTTATGTCGCGGACGACGCCGACATGGAGCCCGCGGGGCGAGGCGTGGACCACGTTGACGAGTCGTCCAAGAGCTGGTGGTATCTATTCATACTCACTCTATCGATCGGAGGGTAATTCTACTTCCATTTATACTTACCTAGATAATAGCATTTGAAAGCTAACCTGAGGACAGTCTCCAAATGGTCTGGTCCGTGGAACTATCTCACGGCTCGGTAAGTCATTGACCGATTCCAGTCAGTACCTTCCTATTCTAACCAGAACCAACCAGCCCTACCTCCTCTCCCTGGGTATGAGCAAGGCACTACTCGCCTTTGTATGGATCGCCGGCCCTTTAACGGGCACTTTGGTCCAGCCATACATCGGCATCCGGAGCGACAACTGCCGCATCTCATGGGGTAAGAGGAAGCCGTTTATGCTGGTTGGCAGTGTGACCACTGTGATCTCTCTAATGGCTCTGGCTTGGGTCCAGGAGCTGGTCGGCGGGTTTTTGTCTATTTTTGGGGTGGATCGGGCGTCTGAAGGGCTGAAGGTGGTTGTTATTATTGCGGCGACGATTCTTATGTATTGTCTTGACTTTGCGGTTAATACAGGCAAGTCATTTTACTCTACGATTATGGTGCGGGGTGGCTGATGATCTCGTTCAGTGCAAGCGGGCATCCGCGCATTCATCGTCGACAACTGTCCTGCTCACCAGCAGGAATTGGCTAATGCGTGGGCTAGTCGGCTCACGGGCGTTGGCAACATTTTTGGCTTTATTTTTGGGTATATCGATCTGCCCAAATTCGTCCCTTTTCTCGGCCGCACCCAGTTCCAGGTTCTCTGTGCGATCGCATCGTTCTCTCTCCTGGTTACATTGGCGGTCAGCTGTCTCTACATCCAAGAGCGCGATCCTCGTCTCGAAGGCCCGCCTTCTTCTGATGAACTCGGTATTGTCTCTTTCTTTCGACAGACCTTTAAATCGATCAAGAACCTTCCGCCGCAGATCGCCCGTGTCTGCGAGGTCCAGGTGGCAGCCTGGATGGGCTGGTTTCCGTTTTTGTTCTACTCGACTACCTACATTGGCCAGCTATATGTCAATCCGATCTTCGAGGAGAATCCGGATTTCTCCAAGGATCAGATCGATCGTGCTTGGGAGGAAGCTACGCGGATTGGGACCTTTGCGCTTCTTGTTGAAGCGATTATATCCTTCTCGGCCAATATGCTTCTTCCGCTATTTGTCGTCCCAACCTATGCCGGCCGAGCAGGACCAACCACACTGCAAGGACCAGACCGTCCCAGCAACGACTTGGAAGAGGAACCCGAGATCCCTCGCCGGTTATCATTTTCCGCCATGCCGACAGGCACAGCATCCGAGCCGCTCCTCAGCGAACCAGGAGACAAGTTCCCCGTCGCAGACAAGAAACCAACCTGGCTCTCGCGGCTACAGATCCCGAGCTTGACCCTCCGCCGAACATGGCTCCTCTCCCACGTGCTTTTCGCAGTCTGCACATTCAGCACCCTGTTCATCTACTCCTATCAAGTCGGAACAGTCGTCGTCGGCCTCATCGGTATCTGCTGGGCCGTCACCCTGTGGGTGCCTTTTGCGTTGATTTCCGCCGAGGTATCTCGCATTGATGTTGACCGGCGGTTACGCCGTCGCCAGACCGTGTTGTCCGAAGGTGTCGGAGAAACGCGCCATCCTCCCCCTTATGACTCTGCTGCTACTGCTACTGGATATGCACCGGCAAACACCGAAGATCATGCTGATGAAGATGAGAGAGAAAGCCGCCCAAGCGAGGATGTCGAGAACGGAGCACCACCGCCGGTCGAGGAGGATCTTACTCAGGCAGGGATTATTCTCGGACTGCACAATGTGGCTATTTCATTCCCCCAAATTGTGTCGAGTTTGGTCTGCAGCGCTATTTTCAAGGCAGCGCAGAAACCGCGCGGTGAGCCGTGGGATGATAGCGTGGGATGGGTGCTCCGGTTTGCAGGTTGTGCTGCCCTGGTGGCGGCGTGGTTGTCGAAGCGGCTGGCTGAAGGGCCGGGCCGGTGATACTCCAAGTGAAAACAGTCGAGAGGTATACTTCTTAGTGAATGAGACACCGTGATTTTACTTCGTCATATGTGGAAAACCATGCAGTCGGCCGCGTCCTGCCGTTTCTTGGCACTTTGGTGGACCACGTGTCACGGATACGGTATTACTAAGACGCGTATCTCGTATAACAGTGATCTTACATAATAGCCTTGTAATCATTCCCGTATTGTATCCCCCTAACCATACAAGCAACCTGTCCCTCCTCATTTCCAACCCCCAAGGCACATCGTACCGCGCAACATCGACTTTCTTGACGTTCCCAACTGTGCTCTTGACACAATCCCAGTGCATCCGCCTACAACCCGTGCTTGTGGATTATGAGCGTCTTGTCCTGACCGCTTCGGACTTGCTGTGCGAGCTAACTGTCAGGATATCATCCGCGCTGCTCGAGTCCGCAGGGGCTGTTGGCTCAACATGGCCACCCAACTGATGGGCGATGCCGTCCACTTCCTGCTTCGTACGTTTTCTCCCCTGGAGGGGTGTGTTGGAAGGGCTTTGTGCTAATCTTTCTCCGAATCCACAGGGCGAGCGCAGGACTCCGACTCTGACCCCGATGGTTCGCAGCCACCCACATCCACTTTCTCGAGATGCCGTATAATCTGACCGTGTTGGTACCTTGCAGATACTCCCGAGGCGGGCGCAAAGGAGATGACAAGCTCCTGGGCGCTGTTTATCATGATCATGCTGTTGATCTTCGCCCTGTTCACGAGCTACATTTTGCAGCAGAAGAAGATCCAGGCTGTGCACGAGACGGTCCTATCGATTTTTGCGGGTATGGCCACAATTCCAAAAAAGGTCTGAGGAGACAAGTGTTAACGATATCTAGGGATGTTCGTCGGCCTGATTATCCGGTTAACCCCTAAATCGAACCTCCAAGACAGTGTCGCCTTCGACTACCAATTCTTCTTCAACCTCCTCCTTCCTCCCATTATCCTCGCCTCAGGCTACGAGTTACACCAAGCGAACTTCTTCCGCCACATCGGCACTATCCTCACCTTCGCTTTCGCCGGCACCTTCATTTCGGCCATCGTGCTCGGCCTGGTTCTGTACCTGTGGACGCGGATCCCGCTGGACGGGCTCAACATCTCTTTCGTGGAGGCTATTTCTGTGGGCGCCACGCTCTCCGCCACAGACCCGGTCACCATCCTGGCTATCTTCAACTTATACAAAGTCGAGCCGAAATTGTACACGATTATTTTTGGCGAGTCGATCTTGAACGATGCCGTGGCTATCGTGTTGTTTGAAACCGCGCAGAAGTATGCGGAAAGCGAGGCCGGGTCCCTGACCATCCTCAACTTGTTTGAGGCTATCGGGCTCTTCTTGCTCGTCTTCTTTGGCAGCATGGTCATCGGCATCGTTACGGGTATCGTCACCGCGCTGGGACTGAAGTATACGTTGGTGCGTCGGATGCCGAAGATCGAGAGTTGTCTGGTGGTTCTTGTTGCATATGCCAGCTACTTCTTCTCCAATGGCGTATATCTCTCTGGTGAGTGCCAACATCCTTTTAACGATGTGAGAGGAGACTAACCCATGGACTCAGGCATTGTCTCGCTCCTTTTCTGCGGAATTACCCTCAAGCATTACGCTTATTACAACATGTCGCGCCGCACACAATTGTCCACCAAATACCTGTTTCAAGTGATGGCGCAGCTGTCGGAGAATTTCATCTTTATTTATCTCGGTCTGGATTTGTTCGTCGAGCCCAATCTTCAGTTCAACCCGCTGTTTATCCTTGTGGCGGTTTTCGGCATCTGTCTCGCACGCTACCTCGCCGTTTTCCCGCTCTCAAAGGCGATTAATTGGTTCATCCGGTACCGTGCGCGGCGCCGGGGAGTGGAAGTTGCAGACGAGTTGCCCTTCGCCTACCAGGCAATGCTTTTCTGGGCTGGTCTGCGCGGTGCTGTCGGCGTTGCGCTTGCGGCGGGTCTCTCCGGTGTCAACGCGGCGTCGCTACGGGCCACCGTTCTCGTTGTCGTCGTGCTTACTGTCATTGTCTTTGGAGGCACCACGGCTCGCATGCTGGAGATCATGGGTATTCGGACTGGTGTTATCGAGGAGCTTGATTCAGACGATGAGTTCGATATCGAGGTCACCAACGGCGGTACCTACTATAAGCGGTCTGACACCGGTCTCGGCTATACACCGCGGTATGGAGAGGCAAACATTCCTCTCGACGGCGTCGGTGGTGGACCACGCGCCGACCTGGGCGATCGCGCACACAGCTACTCGAGCGGGAACAATCGCCGTCCGAGCCCGCCTCACACTCACACGCGCATGTACTCCACAGCCTACAGTCCCAAAGATGCACAGGCACGACGCGATCACTCCTCCACCGCAACCCTGCTCAATAACGGGAATGCCGGACCCAGCTCCGGCAGCGCGAGCGACGATGAATTCGGCCTGCCACCAGCCGGCAAGAAGAGCAGTCAGCCCACCCATCCAGACGAGTTCGACCTCGACCTCGAGGGCATCTCCGACGACGACCTACCGCCCGCTGCCCATGCAGCGCCCACTTCATCTCGCATGCGCCGCTCAGCCTCGCAGGCTAGCCAGCACTCACATCTTCCTTCCCCTCACAATGCTGCCACCCCATCCAGCGTCTCGCCCTCGCGCCAGCCAGCCCTGAGTGCCCGAGAAGCTCTCCGGGATTTGTTCTCCGGCGGCGCAAGCGGCGACCACGCCGCGTGGTTCCGCCAAATCGACGAGGACTATATCAAGCCCAAGCTCCTACTCGACCAATCGAATCACAAGGGCCCGGGTCCGGGAGCTGTTTGATGGCCCTTCCGTTTCCTTTCTATGCATGTATATTTAGCTTTGTGTGTTGTTTGGGTGCTGCATTATTTCCGTAACCATTCTTTGTTTTGTCTCTGTTTCCGTGTGTACTATGTGTTCCGTCGGGTGAACCCCGGCGGCTGTTTCTGTTCTCTCTGTAGCATCACCACCTCGGGGCGCCGAGGAAGAGATCCTGTGAATAGGCTCCAAATGTCCGAGTGTAAACGATTCAAGGGGCATGGAAAAGGAAGGAAGATGTTAGTATGAGCAGTTTTGATGTCTTAAGAAGCCTACAACGGAGGGGTGAAAGGATTCTTGATTCACCAGCTTTGGGAATGGCGCGTATACCTATAGCACTCGTGCATTAGATCAATGCATTCTGCTCACACCGAGGCGCGGAAATTTGGTAAATGACTAGTGCTCTACAGCCAGTGAAAATGCAGTACTTAATGTACCAGTTCAAATCTGGGCACGACTAGTAGGCGGGGTAGATACCAAGAACTATTATAAAATCCTGCAGAAGTTCCGTAAGCACATGTTCGCTTACGGTCTTATCATCATTGCTGTCCTTTCCAAGCATGGGAGCAAACAGATAGAACGCTGCCGAAACGGAGTTATTGCTACAATGGATCCAGCTACGGTTTCTGGTGTTCTCGCAATCATTGTTGAGATCATTAAGACGACAACGACGACGATCAGATTCTTGAACGACCTAAAACATGCCTCAAAAGAGCTGGCTCTTCTCTCCTATGAGGCTGCCAGTCTCCTGCTGCTTATGACAAATCTGCGAAGTAGACTCGAAGAAGCAGATCGACCAGAGTGGAAGACATGGTCCGAAGGCATCTTAATGCTCGGTGCCAAGAATGGGGCCTTGGACCAGGTTCACACGGCCATGGAAGAGTTGTCGACGAAGCTGGACAAGATGTCAAACAGATCAAAGATGACCAATACCCTGATCTGGAAATTGGAGAAGGATGACTGCACAGCGATTTTGGGGCGGATAGAGCGCTCTAAGACTGTGATCAGCCTTGCTCTTCAGGGAGATCAGCTGTAGGTACTTCCAATCTATAATCTACAATCGCACCAAGGACTAAGGATGGCCTAGGGCACTTTTGAGGACTATAAAAACCGACACTATCACAATGACTGAGCAAGCCCAAGCAATACAAACCAGTGTGCAAATATTGCAAGAAAGCCGGGAAGGTAGGGTTGGGAATGGCTCGCATATTGCTGTGACTGCTGACTTTTTGGATTCCAGGCGAAAGGACTCAGGCTATGAAAGAGTGGATGTCACCACTCGAGTTCAAAGTGAAGCAGCAAACCCTTCTTTCGAAGCCACAACCAGGCTCCGGAAAGTGGTTTTTGGAGTCTCCCGAATACCTGAACTGGTTCGATAACTCTGGGAGCAATGTGCTTTGGTGTTCAGGTATCCCGGGTTCCGGGAAGACTATATTGTCATCAATTATCGTTGAGGATCTCCAAAAAAAGCTAAAGAGGCAAAGTTTGAATTCTGTTGCTTACGCCTATTGTGACTACAACGACCGTGAGGTGCAAAGTATTGAGAACATTATTGGCTCATTGTGGAGACAAATTGTCCATTTGGACCAACACGGCGTGTCGAAACTGCAGGATCTCTACAACCGCCGCATGATCGAGGATCGTGGAGCCCGACCGACGCTTCAGGAGTTGTCTGGCGCACTTCGCGTTGAAGTCAACAGACATGTCAAGACCTTCCTCGTGATAGATGCACTTGATGAATGTTCGGAAGGAGTTAGGGCCGGCCTGCTTCACGAATTGAGTCAATTGCCAGAAACGGTACACATCCTGATAACTTCAAGATCCAGACATGTTCCCCCTGAGTTTCAGAACGCTACGTCACTAGACATAAAAGCTCACGAAGATGACATCACAAGTTATGTCGTTGATAGGGTTCAGACGGCGAGGCGGCTTTCGGCTTGGGTTAAGGGCAAAGTCTCGTTGGTCAAACAGATTGTTTCTAGTGTCTTGAGACATGCGAAGGATATGTGAGTCCATTTAAATGGGTGCGCACTTCAATCTGCTAATATCATAGGTTTCTACTGGCCAAACTCTTTATGGACTCCCTATGCAACAAGTTAACACTGAAAGGCGTCCTAAAGGCGCTTAAGTCAATACCGAATGACTTAAATGCAACGTACGATGAAGCCATGGCGCGAATAGCGCGACAGAACGAAGAGGAAAGGAACCTGGCCTACCGAATATTATACTGGGTGACCCTGGCTTACCGCCCTATCACTGTCCAAGAGCTGTGTCATGCGCTTGCTTGCGAGCCAGACGAAGACGAATTTGATAACACCAATTTGATCAGCGAGGAAGACATCATCAGCGTCTGTGCTGGGCTTGTGACAATCGAGCCACACACAAATATCGTCAGGATGGTTCATTATACCTGTCAGGAGTATATGGACAAGATCCTCAATGATCGATTCCCCGAATCGTACCAAGACTTGGCGAGGACCTGCCTGACATATCTTACCTATCAATCGACAAAAGCGCGCTTCAAGGGCCACCGGTTCTCAATATCGACCAAGGGAACTGTCCAGATCGAGAAGGTGGACATCGCGTATGAGGATGCCTTACCTGAGATGGGAACCTACGAAGCGGCTTTTCACTGGAGCGTCCCACGGTACAACGACGAGGGCGAGCTTTTAGCCTTCTACCAGTATGCCATCCAGTATTGGGCGTGGCATCTGCGCGAATGCACGGAGCAGGAAGATCTGATCCCCGATGCATTGAAATTCTTTTCTGAATGGAGATATTGGTATCCCATCTTGAGCACCGTTCGAGCCAAGTGGGTGATTCACATCAGATCAGCCATAGACGTGATCGCGGCGTATCAGCTGGAGCAGGTATGCACCGAGGTGGTGGGTCGTCCTCTGGCATACGACAATATGTCCAAGCTGTTGCAATTGCGCACAACACTAAACCCGGAGCCGCCAGAGCCATATCCAGAGGCCGGATTGTTGGTCGCATCCATGCTCGGACGAGCTACCATTCTGAAAATTCTTATCGAAAAGTCAAGGTCAAAAAAGGCCCTGGGGAGAAAGATCGACAGCGAGCTTTTCGGACGTCTTCTGCATGCAGCTGCTTGGTCAGGCAACCCGGCAGCGGTCGAGGAGCTTCTTCAATACAGCCCCCTGACGGATGAACACTCCTCCTCAGAGGCCCCGGTGCAGACGCCATTCGTACAGGACGCGGTCATCGCGGCGCTGTCTCGGCACGGCCTGCAGCCCACGATCCCACTGATCTGTTCTGTCGGCTCCCCGGCTTCTATCCCCATCGCGATAGCGGCTGGCCTGCCTATCGACGCTGTCGATCCTCAGTTTGGACGCACCGGCCTTATGTTTGCCGCCGAGCGAGGCCGGGAACCGTTTGCGCAGGCCCTGCTCACAGCGCCGGTTCCCGCGGACGTCAATCGGAAGAGCTTTCCTGGCTTCACACCGCTGCACTATGCTGTTCTCAGCGGACAGTTTGACGTTGCGAAGCTGCTAGTAGATGCCGGCGCAGATCGGAATGCGAAAGATAACCTCGACAGGACGCCACTGATGTATGCAGGGAATTATGGTCGTCGATGGCCGGGCAAGATGCCTGGTGACTTTCCTGACATTACACCAGTCCAGAAGCGATGGGAAGAGGTAGTGGAGCTACTGGGCGCCAAATGGGGCCATGTTGTCCAGTTCAAGGGGGAAATAGAAAAGCCGGCCAGTGGCTCTTAGCGTTGAGGGCTATACATAGTAGAGATGTCTTGTCTTTTAAGGGTTTATTAAGTATGATGGTTAATGAATAACGAGTCATGCTTTCTAACCAAGCGCTTGAGGGTTCCAAAATCCCCAGTCGCCGTAATCCTAGTCAGGACAATATTGAGCATGATTGGCTGAGACGTACTCCTACATTTGTCTAATAGACGGGGGAGCCGAGGTGTGCGATTCTCCAACCCTTGGATAATGATGTGATTTCTAGTCTAAACTGTGTCAGGCAATGCTTGCGCCCTGTCAAACTCTCCTGCAGAAGCAGGCCCCACCCGATAGATAATGGTGGAGTCGAAAGTACCAAGTCAGTCAGTCTGGGGTAGCTCCATCAGCCCCTATCTGCCATATCTATACGATATCAGGACTGTTATCACCAGCACCGTCCACTCAGAAGAACGCACACCTTATCTATCTCAACAGACACTAGCATGGCACTATCGCTACCAATCAATCCAGGCGTGATTGACTGCTAGACTCGCGCCTTCAGCCACTCACCTCGGTTTCAACCCCGCTCGGCGATTATCATCTCCCCTATTGCGAACATGACGGGCAGTCAGTCGGACGTGCCGAGAGTGAGGAGAAGATGACGATTGGGCGTGCGGGCATAGATTTGATGGGCTTTAGGTTTATTATTATTTTATCAGAGACTTACTTCCCGAGTCAATAATGATTGTCTGACCGAAGTTCGCCTGTTCTTTTCCTGTCTGTACAACCCTTTCGTAGACTCTTGCTTACTCTCCTCGTGCTTTATGTATTAATACGAACGACCTGCCCTCCCTTCATTCCTGCTCACCCTCCTTGCACACAGACAAAGATACCAGCTGTGCACAGAAGACACAACGCAGCCGAAATGCTAGACGAAATAAAGAAATCCGTTTCCGCCAGTGGCGCAAGACCGCTCGCTGCGGATGACGATGCTCCCGTCCCCGAAGCTGGGGATATGGAGTTGCTGGGTGAGTTTTGTCTTGTCTGCGCCTGACAATGTCCCTGTGCTCTGCAGACGTGCATTTGGGGACATCCTCCTGCCATCTTTTTGTTCGCTCAATTGACGCCCTGTACTAGCAACCCTGGGATACAAACAAGAGCTGCGCCGCCACTACTCTACCGTGCAGATTTTTGCTGTCGCGTTCAGTATCATGGGTTTGTTGCCGTCTATTGCGTCGACGTTGGCGTTTTCCATGCCTGCGGGCCCGGTGGGAATGGTTTGGGTTAATATTGCACCCAAAAACAGATACGAAACGTGGATGTTGCTTTTTTACTGACTGGTGCAATAGGGTATGCTATGCAATATACCAGATTCGAGTTTCGGGACGACTTATTGATCTTGTCTTTTACTAGGCTGGCTCTGTGCTAGTTGCTTTATTTTTATTGTCAGCTTGGCAATGGTATGTTTTTTTTTTTATGGTCTGTATATTGCATTGAGCTAACGCACGGCTCTTTTCTAGGCGGACCTGGCATCAGCAATGCCCACGGCCGGTGGTCTTTATTTCTGGACTCACTACTACAGCGCTGAGAAATGGAAGAACCCGCTGAGCTTTGTGGTCGGGTATAGCAATACCATTGGTTTGATTGGTGGTCTTTGCTCTATAGACTGTGAGTTTTCCCAAATATGGATTACATAGTCCTAGTTAACAAGTATATCTATCTCTTAGATGGATTCGCCAATATGCTCCTCTCTATGATCTCTATTTCCCGCGACGGCAACTGGACAGCCACAAGGCCCATCATCTACGGCACCTACGCAGCCACGGTATTCTCCCACGGCTTTCTCGCCACGTTTTTCGGAAGAATTATGCCAAAGATCCAGTCGGCCTGCATCTTTCTGAACATCGGGCTCGTGGTTGCGTCGGCCATTGCCCTCCCCGTCGGCAAAGCCAAGAACCAACCGCCTGTCAATTCGGGCGCGTATGTATTCGGCCATACCGAAAACCTCACTACATGGCCGACGGGCTGGGCCTTTATCATGGCGTGGCTCTCGCCCATCTGGACCATTGGTGCATTTGACTCGTGTGTCCATATGAGTGAGGAGGCCACCCATGCTTCGCGCGCGGTGCCTCTCGGAATTATCTGGTCTACCGGCCTGTGTGGTATTCTGGGTTTTTTGTCTGTGGTTACGATTGCGACGTCCATGAGTCAGAATATCGAGGGTATTTTGAGTTCGAAGTTTGGGCAGCCTATGGCTCAGGTGTGTTTATCTTTTCTTCAAAAACCAGATATCTGTACTGACTGGCTATCTACGCATAGATCTACTTTGATGCATTGGGCAAGAATGGAGCCCTCGGCTTCATGGCTGTGGTAATGATCGTGCAATACTTTATGGGACTTAGCATTGTCTGTTCTGAACCCTCTTCTCCATTGCATTACTTTAAAATGCTAATGATAAAAAACACCAGGTCCTCGCCGCCTCTCGCCAAAGCTGGGCCTTCTCCCGCGACGGAGCGCTGCCATTCTCATCCTTCTTCCGCAAAGTCAGCCAGTCCCCATTAATGCAGTATCAGCCTGTCCGGATGGTTTGCGGCGTCTGTGGAATGGCGGTACTCATCGGCCTCCTCTCGCTCATCGACAACGCCGCCGCCAATGCCCTGTTCTCGCTCGCTGTCGCAGGCAACACTCTCGCCTGGCTAACGCCAATTTTGGCGCGTCTACTGTGGGGACAGGAAAAGTTTGTCCCTGGGGAGTTCTACACGGGCAAGTATCTTAGCAAGCCGATTGCGGTGGTGGCGACCGTGTATATGACTTTTGTGATTGTGCTTAGTATGATTCCTACCGAGGGACCGAACCCGTCACGTAAGTCTCTTCTGACGTTCTATTCTGTTCTGTTGCTGACTTGTAAAACTTAGCGGAAAATATGAACTACACTGTTGTCATCAATGGAGCGCTTTGGGCCGGTGCTATCATTTACTATGTTCTCCATGCCAGGAAGACGTTCAAGGGGCCGCAGACAACCGTTGGACCGGAGGATGTGGGTAAAACGGAGGCCGAGATTTCTGAACAGTAGATGGTGCCAATGACATAGAACGATTCCAGGTCTGCATGTTATCCAATAGCATCCTTGTCTGTGTTTATATTATCCAAATGCCAATGACGTCCACGGTTTATGTTTGCCACATCCAGGGATACCGTGGAACGACCCTTCTCCCCGCATGACTTGGCCATCGGCCTAGAATACTTAGGCTCTCTTCCTACATGTCTTCCTCATTACTCTTCAACAACGAACAACCAACAGCCCAAGATTTTGGCAACCCCTGTGTAGCCAAAAATACAACAAACCCGCTCAACATGACCGGAACCACTACCAACATCAACCCTCTAAGTACTACATCCTCAGATCGTCGCAGCCGCTTTGGCCAGGCTTCGATCCCTCCGGTGGCGCAGAACTTCAACAATAAAGATGTCTTACTAGACAGAAAGGTGGCACCGTATGTGGCTCTGGAGACCATCCGTCTGAGAAATTGAAGCTCACATTTCCGGATTTCAACAGGTCGCCACGAGCCGTATGTGCCGACCTCGCGCATCAGCACGCCTTTGAGGATCTAGAGAAAAACTTACAACACTTGCCGGGAAAGAAGGATCTAGCAGGAAGTGCGTGACTATCATTGATTTTCTTGTGATTTCCTATGGGACGAGTTGGGCTCATAACTTTGACGCAGGCCATGACCTCCCTGCTACTAACGCTGATCTTGCTCCGCAATCTAGCCCGGAGGAGTAGAAAGACGTATTTGATGACAGTTGTAGCCGGGTGATCCGGCTTCATTGAAAGGTATTGGGAATATGCTGGAAGTTATGATGTAAGAATATGAATTTAAATCAGATTGTACATATTCTGCTCTGGGAGGGAAATATGGTGATGTCACGATGATGCTCCACCATATTCTAACTAATGTGGGGGCGTGTCAACATGGACTTTATTATTTGAGAAATTTTATGAACAGAGCATAACCATCGCAATTTATTTTTATCTATACAGCTACATGGACATTCAACAGGGGCGTCACTACTTTGAAGCCGCCTCCAAGTCAAATACCTTTCTTCCCTGGTACCAGGTTTGGCATACCTTCCCTTGCAGCAGTTTTTCCGGGGTCCACTGCATGTCCACCACCAAGAAGTCCGCGCTTAACCCTTGCTTTAAGCTTCCAGTCCATGAGTCTGCAAACCGCGCGTAGGCTGCACCAGTCGTGGCGGCTGTGGCTGCCTCAGCGAGTGTCAGTCCGAAATGCGGGTTGACAGTGTTGGTCGATTCTGGCTCGAGAGCAGAACGCCTAGTAGTAGCGTTGTAAAGATTCGGAAGCGGGAAGTGAGGCGCCGTTGGTGCATCCGTTCCAATTGCAAGAGGCGCTCCTCCGTCCAAGAACTCCTTGTATGCGAATGCACGCTTGCAGCGTTCAGGGCCAACAAGACTAGGCCAGGCCTTAAACAAAGTTGGATCAGAGTGGACGGGTTGAACAGATGCCGTGATGCCTAGCTGACCAAGTCGTTTCGCATCTTCCGAAGAGGTCAATTCCAAATGCTCGATCCTATGTCTCCGACCAGGCGTGCCGACGTTCGAGAGAACGTTTATTGCCTGATGAATAGCTTGGTCGCCGATAGCGTGAATAGCACACTGGAGGCCGGCTACATCTGCACGCTGAACAACTTCCTGCAACATGTCTGCAGGCCAAATGGGCTCGACGGGGTCGGATTTTCCGCTGTATGGCTGGCGTAGAGCTGCAGTGCAACCATCCACAACACCATCACAGATCAGTTTGATCCCTGCGATGCAGAAATCCGGCTGAGTAAACTCCTTGCGAAGCTCGATAGCCCGGTCAACATACTTGAAGTTGACCTGTTGATCGGCGGTGAATGGGACAAGCCAGTGGACAGCGATGTGGAATGGGATATCTTTGTCTCGGCGATAGAGGTTCAAAATCTCCCATGTGCTATCGTCCATGGCCATGTCTACCAGCCCCGTATAACCGGCAGCGGTGTACGCTTTCACTGCCGTGTCCAGTGCACTCAGCTTGTCTTCGGTGGACGTAACGCTCTCCAGATGTGGCCAGGCGAGGTTCATGAGCGCAGACTCGTCCATTAGACCAGAAGCTCTTCCAGACTCATCTCGATGGATAGTGCCGCCGGGAAGGTCAGGTGCAGAATGAGCCCCCATCTCTTCTAGTGCAGCAGAATTACACCACATTGAGTGAAGATCAAAGGAATCAACAAAGATAGGACGTGGGTCGATGCCGTCTAGCATACTGGCCAGGGCAATTCCGTTGGTAGATGACTGAATCCATCCGCGACACAGAATTCGCGGCAGTGTCGGGTGAGATTCGGCATAAGACTTGATAGTCTGCTGGATTTGCTCGAGTGATGTGCATTTTATAAGATCTGCTTTGCACAAGGACTGGCCGTAATGCAGAATATGCACATGGCTATCGATAAAGCCAGGAATAACAATCTTGTTCTGCAAGTCGATGACCTCTGCGCCTTGAGGAAATTGAGCCTCATCAAGGGATCCGACATGGGTGATACGGTCTTTTTCGATGATCATTCCCCCAGCAAAATCATTGTCGACGTTGGCCGACGGAGGTGAAGGCGCAAAAATGCGCCCATTCTTGAAGACGAAGGTCATAATGGTTATTGTAATGGTTATTGCAAAAGGACTCAGGTCTGTGTCGAAATAGAGTGAAAGATCCCACAACGAGCCTATTTATTTGGTCCTGCGTGATTTCAAGATTGTGCACTCCGTTAACAATGACCATCGGGAGGACCTTCCTGTTAGGAAGATGGCACGGTTGCCGAGCTCGTCTAGTATCCAGTGATGCAAGGCACCGCTAAGACCTGGTGATCTAGATTCGTATCTGGGAGAAGAGAGAACTTAGTCTTGCCGAGGAGTGGTTATCTGGAAGTTAAGCCAAGGCTCGTGATGGTATATTTTCATTGGTTAGAATAAAACGCATCTGACGTCGCATCTAATCGGCCGCGCAAATTGTCGCCATTGGCCCATTACGTTGGGCGATCCGGGGCAGTGGAGACAACTGATATGCCGACCTCGGGAGAGAGATAGGCCTTCGAGGAGTTATGAACCGAGTCATACTAAGTTCTGTTTGCCTTTTATTTGTTTTTTTGGCACGATACAATGAAGAAACTAAGAAGATAAATCAAATGTCTAGAATTAGGAGTAGCCTGCAATGATCGGAGTATGAAAAAATGCCGACCGGCCCAGCACAAGCCTCCTCGGCAAACCAACAAATATAAGGACAAGTGGAGTCGCCGGATCCAAATAATTTGGTGACTTAACTGCAAATGCCATAAAGGTAAATCAATGGGCCCGGTACACTTTGAAAGTGTATATCGGAAGGCCGGGATCCGTTCTACCCCAAATTCTGTCATCGCCGGGCTATTATTTCCCCGCATTGCCATCAGTCGAGTGATGATAAGCTTAGCCAACATTCGTCGCCTATTGGCTATTGCTTCAAACTTCCCTTTTGAGACAAGCCTCATTTCATTCTCCGCCCCTATTTTGGGCTGTGAATGGCTGCCAGCTGGACGGCTATATACCCCGATGACGATAAGAGACATATTGAACTGAGCAGGAAGAACCTCGCTACACGGATAGAGAAGAATATTAAGATAGCCTCCAAGCCAACCTTGAGAGCCAAATTCGGTTTTGCGACTAGTCCCTCAAGCTCTTGGTTTTCGAATTTGATGCCAACTCATTGAAGCCCCTACACTTATTACAGGCAACACTATGCCCTTCGACTATCCACCAGTGGACCCAGAGTGGCCACCTGGGACTGTGCAACTTGAAGGTAACTAGTGATACGATCTCTTTTGAACTGGAGAGCTGTTTTGAAAATTGCCTTCGGCTGACGGTATTTGTGACAGATCTTTCCCAGCCGGGTGAAACATCAGAAGTCATCCTAGAGCCGAAGCCTTCTAGTGATCCAAATGATCCGTTGGTGGGTACAATCACTTCATATTGTCCAAGAATATCACACTGAGAGACTCGCATCTTATAGAACTGGCCAACATGGCGGAAACACTTGAATTTTGCATTTGTTTCGTACTACGTCGTAATGGTTCTTGCTTTGTAAGGACTCAAGTAAGAGGCGATTACAAAGTAGCTAATTTGTCCAGGATTGACATTGCTACGGTAACCTGGGGCCCCGTGAATGCGGAACTGGGCTTCAGCTTTGCGCTATTGAACGATAGCTACGCTGCAGGCTGTGGAGCTCTTTGCATTGGTGGCCTCATTTTAGTACCTTTTGCCCTAAAGTTTGGCCGTCGGCCAATTTACGTCTTCAGTACCATTGTCCAATGTGGTATAAGTGTTTGGAGTGCCAAAATGCAGACCGTTGCCGATCTTATGCTGGTTAACATACTGAGCTGCATTGTTGGAGCTTTGGCAGAAGTGTTGGTGCAGATGACAGTGGCTGACGTCTACTTTGTTCATCAACGTGGACTCATGAATACCATCTACTACTGGTTCATGACTGTTGGAACTACACTGGCCCCCTTGGCGGGTGGCTATATCACACTTTCCCAAGGTTGGCGCTGGGTTTGGTGGTGGATGGCCATTCTCTTTGGGGCCGGACTCGTTGCATTTGTGTTATTCTATGAAGAGACAATGTTTTACCAGTCGACTATTGACGGGGTCCCAGTTCAGGACAAGACTGATCCCACCGTCCCTATCGGCAAAGGCGACCACGAGATCCCCGAGATAGCAGCAAAGAAATCCATTATGGCCCAAGCAGACCACCCGACTGCGGTCGAGATCGATTATTCAATTCCGGAAAAGAGCTACTGGCAGAAGTTAGCCCTTTGGTCTTCTGCTCCAATCTCATTTGCCGAATTTACAAGGCATAGTTATGAGCCGTTTGTGGTTTTGTTTGGAATCCCAGCGGTTTTCTTTGTGGCTCTGGAATATGGGATAATGACGGCCTGCACTACCGTCCCGGTGACGACTTTATCATCAGTCATGACACTACCTCCATACAACTTTGGGGCAGCACAGATTGGGTTAATGGGAATCCCGCCCTTCATTGGTGTCAGTCTGGCCACTGTTGTTTGTGGTCCTCTGAGCGACTCGATTACTCTTTTTCTCGCAAAAAGGAATCGAGGTGTCTATGAGCCCGAGATGCGACTTTGGTTGAGTTTGGCATTTACCCCCTTTGTGCCCGCAGGCCTTTTCATGTTTGGGATTGGGTTGAATAATGGGTCTCATTGGCTTCTTCCAGCCTTTGGCTTGGGGATCAGTTCTTTTGGAGTTGTTCCAGCCAGCAGTGCTGCATTGACGTACCTGACTGATGCATATACAGATGTAAGTCTCTTTGATTTTGGTTGTGACTGAAGCTGACGTTTACTAAGATTATTGCCGACTCGCTCGTCGGTGTTACCTTTGTTCGCAATTTAATCTCGACTGTGTTTGTTTTTGCTTTGCAGCCCTGGTGTGACCGTGTTGGTCTGAGTTGGTTTTATGTGACATTTGGCCTCATTGTAACTGCTATAATGATGGGCAACTTGATATTTATTTATTTTGGGAAACGGTTTCGTGTCAAGGTTGCGAGGACATATCTTCGTTACAGTGCAAAGAAACACCAGGGGTCTATGACAGTCTGATATTGAAATTTTTCTTGGAAGTTATATAATCACCATCAAGAGTTTTCGGCATATTCTGACCAAGTTTAATAAGTACAAGGCGGTATAAATAATGCGTGCTTCTCCATTTAACAAAATAAAATAAATGCTTGAGGCAATATTTTTCTGGCAAACGTAGTCGAGGTTCAATTGTGAGAGAGAAAATATCAATTCCAACTCAGCCGTTGGAAAATTCGGCCACTAGATGCAATTGTTTTTGGGTTGCAACGCTTGACTGCCGAGGAGGCTACAACAAATCAGATTAGCCTTTCCCCAATTCGGAAGTTCGATTGAGTGCGGGGAATCGTGTACAGTACGTAATTTTGTTAGCCTATCTGCACTATAAAAGGGAAGCCAAGTCTCCCCTGTTTCCACTTCAATAGAGTTGTCCAAACACCCCACTTTCATTCAAATTAATTATCCTTCTCAATGGCGAACCATAAGATTGCCATTATACAGTTCTATCCCAAGGTGGGTAACACCTGTTGCTCAACACCAATTAGAACCGATTACTAAATTTATACGAGATAGCCAAATGAGATAGAGTCGAATCATGTTAGAGCTGTTGCTTTCATTCGTGAAGCTGCCGCCTCTGGAGCACAGCTCGCAGTTCTTCCTGAATACCATCTCGCCGATTTCTTCCCCAGTCACGATGCAGCTATCCGGCAGCAATGCGCAAACTGGAAGAAATACCTCGATGCCTACTGCGCATTAGCGAAGGAGTGCAACATCTGCGTGGTACCTGGCTCCTTCGCTGAACTACACGATGACGGTACTATTGTAAACGCCACTTATTTCATTGACAGCAATGGAGTCATCTGCGGCAAATACGAGAAAAAGAATCTCTGGCATCCCGAAAGGCCTTATGTCAAGGGTTCAAAGAACGATACTCGGCATACTGCATTTGATACGCCATTAGGCAAAATCGGGATGGTCATCTGCTGGGATTTGGCATTCCCAGAGGCCTTCCGGGAGCTTATCATACAAGGCGCCAAGATGATCATCGTACCTGCGTACTGGAAGTACACCGATGCTTCAGAAATAGGTATGAAGAGAAATCCCAAGTCTGAAGGTGTGTTCCTAGATGCTGCGGTTGTTAGTCGAGCTTTTGAGAACACTTGTGCTGTGGTGTTCTGCAACGTCGCTGGGCCTGAAAATGAGGGATTTGCTGGGCTTTCTCAGGTTGCTTTGCCATTTGTGGGATGCATTGAGAGATTTGAGAACAGTGAAGAGGGCATGAAAATTGTGGATGTAGATATGAACATTTTAGAAGAGGCAGAAGGGGCGTACAAGATTCGGGAGGATATTGCTACGTCTGATTGGCATTATGGTTATAATCGTTGACAATGAGGTAACGAGCACTGAGTGAAGATCAACGTTTAGAGCTTTATCCAAGCATTTCCTTCTCCTCAAGCGCAAGGGAAATATCTTCGCGAAGTGCGGACCGAGATAGCGATGTCAGAGCACAACACAGAAAATGGACGATAACTCATTTTTACTACATGTAAATTTCGATTTGGTCCGAAGCTGGTCGTTGAACCTGCGCCAACGGTGTTCTCGGGGATTCGGTGTACGATGGTTCCTGTTCCTATAAGCGCTGACTTCTTTCGAGCGCCCCCGAAACCACCCCTCGCGTTTCCGCCCAGATCAACCCCTCCAAGTCAGGATTTCCACCAACTGATTCCATTAAAGCTCAACATGGCGAATATCTCTCATCTCCCTCTAAAATATAGGCTCATATTTTCTGTGCCTCCTTCTGGCCTTGCGGCTTCCAAAGCAGCTGTTTTTGCTGCCGGTGCCGGCAGGTATCCTGGGCCAGGTAACTATACTGAATGCTGCTGGACTACCATGGGTACCGGACAATTTCGGCCAGGGAATACGGCAGATCCCTACATCGGAACCGTTGACAAGTTGGAGGAAGTACAGGAAATAAGGGTTGAGACAATCTGTGTGGGGGAGGATGTTGCTAGGAAGGCAGTCGAGGCTCTGAAAAGGCAAGTCCAAAAGTTGGTGTTTACGGCGGATATCAACATGGCCACTGATTATCTTGCTAATTACCGCCGGTTTTAGTGCTCATCCATATGAAGAGCCATCGTACAGTGTCTACAGACTGGAGAATTTTTGAGTTAACAAAGAGTCGCAATCGAGGCGAGTCGTGAATCCTTTCGACCAGCTAGAATGCCTTCTCCACAAGGCTAAGCAAGCGAGATGCTTTATCTGTATACGGTTGAATTTCCATGTGAAATTTAAGACATAAATGACAATGTGTTGAGTCAACAAATCTTAAAAGTTCGTCGTTCGGAATTCTGAATGATGCGCAGCACCCAGGTGTCTCTGTACACGGAGAGCCCAGTGGGCGCTCCCCGTACGTTCGGGGCAGCAAGTCACGAGGAGGTGAGGCGGCGGCCTAAATGGAAACATTACTATTAGCTCTAGCGGAGGACTTTTGCTGCTAGATTGTAATGATGCGACCATAGTTTCGTCCTTTTAAGGCCCTCCCGAATAAAGGGCGAAAATTATTGTGGCGTTGAGGAGATCTTTCCTGAAGAGCGGACCAAGGCTATAAGGCAAGGGATTGCCTTGAAAGGCTGTTGATAAGCACGCAGTGTTACTGTGTGCAGCATGCGGGGTTGTGGATTGAAACGCATAGAAATCCAAACAGTTTGTCGTGACGATGCTTTGGAACGTGGACCCTTCGACCTGGAGGATCGCTTAGGGGCGAGATTTTCAGAAACCATAGATCTCCAATCAACACCTTCATGCGTGATGTCACGGCCAAGACTTTGGGGCCGCACAGTGTAGGAAATTGAATTGTATTTGGGGTGATTCTTCTCTCTTTACATATTGACCGAGTTTTCTATATCTGAAACCGCATGTCGGAGGCAGCTTTTTTCTGTGAGCCACCTGTACGGTCGCCTAGGGAAGACGCTTAGGGCTATCTTTTGACCATATTTTATCATAGCCTTAAATGTGGCGGGGCACATTCTTGAAACAACTACTGGGGCCAAAGGAGACTTCCAGTGCGGGCCAAAAGTGCGCGATTGGCCAGAGGTGTTAGGGACGTTGTTCACTTTATCGAACGATGACATTCCTACATAATATTAAGCCTCATACGTATTCAAGGATATTTTTAAGAGGCAAGAAACTTACAATTAGCTGACGGGCTGTTCTTGGACATATTTAAGCCCCCCGCGCCCCCGCCAGCCCAAAATAAGAACTATTCTGACACGGTCCACATTCTAACTATAAGATTTTGTATCTATTTCAATACCTTCTTCTTAAAGCAACCTCTTCTCTGGTGTCATGATGCATTACAAATCTTTTGCTGGTCTCCTCCTGGCCGCCCCAGCCCTGGCATCCCCGAGTTATGAGTACGAAGAACCTTCCGTGCCATCACTAGCTTCTGGCTCCGTGCCACCTCCATATTATGATATTCCCTTATCTGCCATTCCTGTGATTGCATCTGCTATTCCGAGTACGTGGGTTGAAAAAATGATGGACGACCCCGCCGCACGGCAGGCCATGATCGATGCCATAGAGTCGGGCGCGTACCCGCCATGGTATTATGAGTTGCCCGCCACTATCAAACTGTACGCCTCCAAAGTCGCCGTTGAGCAACTATATTACTTCAACCAAGCTCCACCGACAGTGGTTCCATCTATCAGCACTCCCATCATTACGCCAACGAGCTGGTGGTCCGTCAGTCCCAGCCCGGCTGTCTACACCACCACGCCTGCCCGTTCCAGCTCGACTCCTCTCCGGACGAGCTCAAGAACCGGCTCTAGTACCACTTCAGGCTCTGGCAGTAGCACTTCTTCAGGTTCCGGCTCTGCATCTTCTACCGTGGGCGGTGCACCAGCTGCAACAGCCGGTGCCGCGACCCTTGCTGGGGCCGGTATCGCCGCTCTGTTTGGTGTTGCCCTGGCACTGTAGTGCCGTTATGGCCTTTCAATAATAGCTGTTTTCGATAAATGCTTGGTTTGTTTTTACGGCGTTCTTTTCAACATATATTTATTATTGAAGTGGCCCATCAGTGGTATATCATTCATCAAGTTTCAAGTCATCAAATGGACTACTGAACTATTTGTCTATTCGACATAATTTTGAGGCTACCGCAAAATTTAAACATCTAAATCAGGAAAATGGCACAAGCTGTCCAAATAGAGAGCCAGTACCCAAACAGAGGTATGTGGGTATGCTGCAAATCTCATTCAATCCAATATATATACACACGGGGACCGTAGATCAGGCCCATTTTAACAGCGTACGCGGCAAGAGCTATTCAAGAAAAATCTGGCCAGTTCTACAAATCTAAACCGCAGAACTCAAATATATGTCTTGGGAATGGACCCTTGGATCGCTACTGCAAACATTGCAAAGTTTCTCAATTGTGACCGACCTGGTTGGGCTTCCATTCTTACTCGGTTCCTTCGATACGGAGTAGGGTTGTAAACTCGTCATCCTTGCGGTAGACCTCAGAATCCTTTTGCAGAAGGCGAACAGAGGCATACTCCTTGTGAGCCGGGAGGCTAGCCGCATGTCCAGACCTCTCGACAGCCCAGCGGGTGAAGTTGTGGGCACCGACATTGATGCCTGCAATTTTGTTGCCCCAACTATAGTCATGATACATCTGGAGTGGCAGAGTCGGGGTATCGTCGGATGCACCCCATACCATACGCGCCGAGTTCTCGTTGTTGACTACTCGGATGGTCTTCCATTCCTCAGGCATCGGGTCGACGCCGATCGTGGTGGGTACCTTGATCTGGAAGGTCGGGAGAGCACCCTGAGGCGCATCAGCGGCTGGGTCAACACAACGAATCCAGCCGGGATAAAATCCCTTTCCGTAATTGTCTACGAATGTGACCTGTGCATCTGTTAGTATTGGCGCGAGAAAGCAACATGAATTGCCGGGAAAACATACTTCGCCGGACTTGATTTCCTGAACACCACCATCTTCGGGCTCGCCCGTGGTGTAGACATTGATGCTGCTCGGAGAGCGCAGGAAGCTGCAGGAGCCCCGCGATGCATCTGCAAGGTCACAATCTGCGGCCCTGAGTCGGAATGGACCAGCTGTGCGGTTGCTTGGATGGTAGGTGGGAAGCACAGAGCAACCGCCCTCTACAGGCACAGATTGCTCTGAAGTTTGATTGAGTCCATGGGCAATGGAAAAGAGTGATAGTGCAGCGACGAGTTTTGCCATTTTGAAGAATAGATAGTGGATTGGGTCAGGGGAGTGAATCGGGTTATGTGCTTTTGAGCTATGATAAGCCCAATTTGGATATGTCGGCTTTATATAGAATAGTAGTCGAGGACAGTGCAGCGAGTCACATCGGCGTGCAGAGAAATTCCTTCTGGTATTCGCTTTTATAAGGGTAGTAGTCGAGGGCGCGAGTTATTCGGTCCTGGCTAGCTTGCTTTTGGCCCTCTTTATCCAACACGCGCCGTGATCTCTAGCCCTGAAATCCAACATGCAGCGATTCTGATTGGATTGTAGGCAAACCGTAAATAGAAAATACCTGTACGGTCCCCTGGGACCTGCCCCCTATGACGACCGGAAGCTCTGTCATTCACCTTAGTCCGGGGGAGCATGAAGTAGGGCAGGTGTTCGATGGATTTTCAACACCACCCGAGGGACAATGAACTTTATTTTTTATTTTTATTTTTATTTTTTGTTAAACAACAGCTAATTATCTAATGCAGAAAAGAATTAGCTAAACTAGTGCAGTAAACAGGGACTGTACAACTCTGGACTTTGCGTACATGAGCCAGAAATCACTACCTTTGCCTCTTTGGACCCACTTTTCAGGGGCAATTGCCCCCGTTTGCCATTCCTTTCGCTTCATTCGGTTTCGTTTTGAACCCCAAAATAGTAAGTTATAAGCCGAAAGAGAAACTATTAATACATTATTACTTTAGAAAAATAAGATTCTTAACCCGTTTTTCCTGAATAGGAAACTGGGGGTATGGAGCAAAGGGCCTTTAAAGCTAAATAATAAAGAAGTAGAGACTAAGTGGCCTAATAAGTGAACTTGTCGCTATAATCTCACAGTCATGTCTGTATACTCTGCAGAGACAGAATGGCTTATCTACAGACAACCCAAGCAGACCTACGGATAGTGGGCCTGGCACTTGTAATCGCGCTCTCTGTTAAGCACTATTTTTCTCCCAGAATTTAATGGGCCAGGCAGAAGCTGAGCCAGCGTCTTATAGCACATGTCACTATTCTATCAAGGTAAAAGAGCATCATCAGCCTTATAGCCTACTAGATGTATCAAGACAGTACTAGTGAGACCACTGGCTTAACTGGACTTGCCGTTCTGTCTTCCGGGGTCCGCTGTCACTGTCTATACTCTTCAATTCTTTCTCGTAATGCCAAGAGACGCTAATCTCCTTCGATCAAAATCGAAGCCCGCCGTCGGAAAACGCGACCGCAGTAAGTCACATCTTATTGGTCATCTTCCTTGGTCTCGTATATCTGCAGTGGCAGTGCTAAAGCTGTATTATTCTGCATCTGCGTGCTGTTAACTTGCCGCCGACTACACACACACACACACACACTCACACGCACCCGCTCACTCAATCTCTCTCTCTGGTTTTTCTTTCTTTCCTTCTTTTTCTTTCTTTTTTATTTATATAATTTTAACTCTCCCACCTTGCGACCTACACCATGACGCTCTCCGATCTCGACACGCCGTGGCTGCTCCCCACTTTTTCTCTACTCACCGCGACGATCAGCGACCTCATCGGTCCTAATAAAGGCAAATCCTTCGTTGAAGATATCAAGTTGAACATACTGGGTTTCTCTCCATTCCGCTTTGGTGCAATCGCCACGGCAATCGTTCTCGAGTTGATCGGCTGCAGACTCCTGAACCTCGCCGAAATACATATCATTTTGGGCCTCCTCGAACCTGACCTTCATATACTTGGCCTCGAACGCGGATTCTGGTCCCTTTTTGCGCGGCGAGCTTTCCTCATAGGGATAACACTCCCCCTGTACATGATGCTGCTAGCCTCTGCGAGTCATCGATGGATCCAAGTGTTCGCGACGTTGATAGTCGCTGAGGCCGTTCTGGCCGAAACAATCTTTACATTTTACCGGAGGACATCGGTTGAAGTTCGTAGAGACTGGCCCCGTCGTGTACTGCTGGTCCGGTCGGATCATCTCAACGACGGCCATTTTGAGAACAAGAGCAAACCTAGTGAATTCGAGGAAAAAGAAGAGCACGAAGACATACCACCGCCGTCTCCTCTGACAGATAATCTCTGCGATCGTGTACGTCAGCTCTGGCCATCAGCGGCCGAGCCGGTCACCTCCGGTTCGCGCTTTCTTCTTTTGGAGAACACCCCTGAGTTGAAAAGAATTTTCGATCCAAATGTCCGGGCCCAGTGGACGTGTGGACACTGGCGCTGTCTCGCCTATATGGTTTTGCACGTCGCTGTGCTAGCCGTTGCCAAGTCCTGGCCAATTATCGAGCTAGTGTCGACCACCTGGCTGCTACACTGTGAACTGCAGCCGGTGACGCTCCAGGTCGCCGGCAAGCTGTCGCAGAGTAATTTGGTCTATGGTTTGGTCTCTATGCTATATCAAGTGGGTCTTCTTGTGCTCATAGTCATCTTCGGTGTTATTTCCGCTGGATTGCTACTCAACCGTCTGATCAGGCCTCTGTTCACCCGCCTGTTCATCCGTCTGTCCAAACAAAGTCACATCCTGCAACGGATGCAGCAAAAAATCCAAGACCTTGCCGAAACCGCTCCGATCACCTTTCAAGTTCTCAACGTCTCAAGGGCAGTTCTCTGTCAAATTACTCTGTGTCTTTACATCGGTCGACCTCTACTCCCGCTGTGCGAAAAGTTCTCACAGGAAAGATTCTCATATATCATTGAGTTCATAGCTATTCCAACCATTTACGTTATGGTATATTGGCTCGTGTGCATCGTGATTAGGACAGAGCAGGCAAGCCCGGAACTCGGATCCCGTTCCAATGGTGGACAATCTTCGGAGCCAAATATAGCTACCGACAGCAACTGCGAAGACACCCAAAATCCAGCAGGTACTGACTCGCGCTCGACACCTTCCAACGAGGAGAACAAAGCACCGAAAGATGTATCCGAATCTTCTCGACCTCTTAAAGAGCTTCGCCTTAATATACTCCGATTATCCATTCTCGCCGCTACCGCGACTATCTGGATTTTTTTTTTTCTTTAAATTGCAGCGCGGGTACCATCCATGCGAGGCGTTAAAAGGGTCGCTTGGACTACATTAGCTGGAGAATGTCAATATATCATTAGCAGCTCCTGAGCGCGACTCTAATTCCGATATCGTGCGTAGCAAGGGTAATAGGAACTTTACTTTCAAAAAATGTTCTTGATGCGGACAAGCCGATCTTAGTACTAGGTTCGAGAAACGATCGAAGAGTGCAGGTGGCGACACCGGTTTCAGGACGCACTGTACAGAGCGTAGTCAAAAGATCTGAGACCACTAAGCCGTCCTAGACGCCAGTTTAGGGACCGACATCACAGCTAGACTTAGGTCCGTGGACGTACGGCCAGGTTACGCATTGCATTATGCTTGGGAATATCCATGGCGAGGGACGCCTTTTGAGGGGCGCCTGAGTATGCGCAGTGGTCTTTCTAATAGTGCACACGCAGACTGCCCTCCATTTCCCAGGTTGTAAGAGACAAGATGGCTGTCAAGTCACCTAGAACAAATTCTCCGAACGTCGAGTGAACAATCACATAGAAACCGAACAATCGCCGTAGTAACCCCGTCGCTCTCCACTACGGTAGTGAAGTATAGGTTCCTAGATCGACACTTTCGGCAGCTGTGTTGTAGATCTAACTTTGAATTTCTCCGAAGAAACCCAGAGTGGTGGATACGACTACTCCCGTGCAGATGTGTACAAGTTAGTCTCTGTGGGGTGCGGGGAAATGAAGAGGAAAATCTCGTAGCTATAAGTACATACGACGACCATCCTGTAAGCCCAAAGTCACTCTGTTTCGATCATCATTCCACAATGGGTTTACTCCAAAAACTCCTTGGTTTGGGCCTCTTCTTCGGATCGATATCTGCCCAGAGCTATGCTGAACTCTACCGTCCTCAGTTTCACTTCTCTCCTGCACGGAACTGGATGAATGATCCTTGTGGATTACTGTATCACAATGGGACATATCACTTGTTCTTCCAGTACAATCCGGGAGGGATCCAATGGGGAAACATGTCATGGGGTCATGCAACCAGCACGGATTTAACACATTGGGAACAACAGCCGGTCGCATTTCTCGCCAGGGGATATCCTTCTAATGTCACTGAGATGTACTTCACTGGAAGTGCTGTTGCGGATGTGAATAACACCAGTGGCTTTGGCACGGATGGCACGACTCCTTTGGTGGCCATGTATACCTCCTATGTTAGTCCGTCAGATGAGGCACATTTCATTCTTATTTTCAATCGACTGATATTGGAATTAGTACCCTCAAGCCCAGACTCTGCCAAGCGGAAAGCACATTCGAGCATTGCAACAATCGCAGTCCATTGCCTACAGCTTGGATCAGGGGATGACCTGGACTAAATATGACGCTGAGAATCCTGTCATTCAGAACCCGCCGGCTCCATATCAGAGTCAATACCAGAACTTTCGAGATCCACACGTTTTCTGGCATGAGCCGACTCGGAAATGGATTGTTGTCACAACATTGGCGGAACTACATAAGCTGCTTATATGGACGTCCCATGATCTGAAAGACTGGACTCTTGCTTCCGAGTTTGGGCCGCACAATGGCGTCGGCGGGGTATGGGAATGCCCTGGTCTGTTTCCTCTTCCGCTCGATGGAGACGAATCGAACATAAAATGGGTTATGGTGGTGGGACTCAACCCCGGTGGCCCACCCGACACTGTCGGCTCCGGCACACAGTATTTCGTGGGAGCGTTCAACGGGACGACATTCACACCTGATGCAAATACTGTGTACGCTGGGAACCAAACATCGAACTGGATGGACTGGGGACCAGACTTTTATGCCGCGGCCGGATACAACGGACTGCCTAACAACGACCATGTTCAAATCGGATGGATGAACAACTGGCAGTACGGAGAGAATATTCCTACGTACCCTTGGCGGAGTGCTATGGCAATTCCCCGCAAACTCTCTCTGAAAACCATTGACCAGAAAGCGACCGTTGTACAACAACCAAAGGAGAAATGGCGGGCTATCATGGGTCAACACCCTCGATTGCACTCCTGGAAGTCTGTTGCCGAAGGCAAAACACCACTTGGGTCTGTCGGAAAGGCCATGGAAATCAACTTGAGTTTCTCCAGCTCGGAATCAACCGCCTCTGAGTTTGGAATCATCGTTCGAGCAACTTCCAACCTGTCGGAGCTCACACGAATTGGCTATAATTTTTCAAGCAGTCAACTATTTGTTGACCGGAGGCAGTCCGGAAATGTCTCGTTTGATAAGACATTTGCTAGCCAATACCACGCACCCCTTGCCTCGAACTCGGATGGTCAAGTCAACCTGCGCATCTTCGTGGACTGGTCCAGTGTGGAAGTGTTTGGGGGTGAAGGGGAGACCACTCTAACTGCCCAAATATTTCCGAGTGGCAATGCCACATATGCTCAGCTTTTCTCTTCGGGGGGATCAACAACTGGTGTCAACCTGAGTATTCGAGAGCTGTCTTCAGTATGGACATAGCGCAAATCTTATCTTGGGATTGGTGAGAGTTTTTCCGGCGCAGAAAAGTTGTTCCTCAAGATAAAAAATCAATTTGAATTCTTGTTTAAAGCACAAGCAGATATCACCAGCTATGGAGCTCCCTTTTGCTGGTGGCTGTATATTTTGTTTTGTTTCAGGTAAATAGTCGCCACCTGAGGCACTAGTTTCTGCCCTAGGCACCAACCCCCTTTTACGCTCGAGGCAGACGCCAAGCAACCGGACATCTACCAAGACCACCACAGACCGGTGGAGCAGCAATGCCCCGAAATTCTGAATTCCCTTCAGGCAGAGACCCTCTTGGCGACCACCCACACCTAACGCTGAAGAAGGGCCATGTTGCTGGCCCATTCTCCTTTCTCAATCCCACCTCAGCGCGGTACCAGCCCAGCCAGCCAGATGCCAAAGTCGCGGAGGAAGCACCTCCAGCGAAAATAGCCGGTGCCAGTGCCACCAAACCAGCGCACGTTGAGCGTCTCTGGCGATCTCGCGATAACAGAAAAGGTCGGCATGCGCTCCGGGTCGATTATCGCGTGTCCCCCGATGAAACGGGGTACACGGCCCCGAAGTCAACGGCTACCTTCAAAGCCGTTGTACGAGGCATTCTTCGAATGGTGACGTACTTCCCTTACTGGGATGTGTCGTGGCTGGTTGCTACGTCTTTCACCCTTGGCTCGGTGATCTGGATCATCAATGCATTCTTCGCCTGGCTGCCCCTCGTTGACCCGCAGACCGAGTTTTCGAACGAGACCTTGTTTGGCGGCGGGATTACCGCGTTCATCGGTGCCACTGTGTTCGAGATAGGCAGTGTGTTACTGCTCCTGGAAGCCATCAATGCAAATCAGACCAGCTGCTTCGGCTGGGCGCTCGAAACGGTCATGCAGCAGGTCGAGGGCGACACGCACAAACATATGACGGAGGTGAAGCCGAGCGTCGACGCGTGTCTGCACCACCATGCAAACCGGAAATCTTTTCTCGGCGTTGATCGCCAAGCGCGGAGCCAAGCTGCGTACGTCACGACGTCGCCCGACGGCAGATCATTCCGATGGGTGCCTTCCATGTCCGAGCTGCGCACGCATTACTTCCACGAGCTGGGCTTCTTGGCATCTTTGACCCAATTCCTTGCGGCAACGATCTTCTGGATTGCGGGGTTCACCAGCCTCCCGGGAATCAACAACAATATGAGTCAAGGCCTGACCGATGGAGTATACTGGGTCCCCCAGATTGTCGGTGGCCTTGGCTTTGTTCTGAGCGGGTTACTCTTCACCCTAGAGACCCAGGCCAAATGGTGGAAACCCGCTCCACATGTCCTGGGTTGGCACATTGGCGCCTGGAATTTCATCGGGGGCATTGGCTTCACTCTCTGCGGTGCGCTGGGACCGGCCACCAGTAGCTCGTCTGGTGTGCTGTACCAGAGTTGTCTCGCTACCTTTTGGGGATCATGGGCCTTCATGATCGGGTCTACACTGCAGTGGTACGAGAGCCTGGAGAAACATCCTGTTGAGAAGCAGTAAAGGATGGTTTATATGCTCGATACTTGACATGATCATTGAGATATACATGGAGCCGTCTACTCCAAAGTTGTAAATATTATCTGCCACGAATGAATGCATTATCAAGGCCCGAATACGCGAGTATATAGGGCCCGATGTGTTTCTCGCCACTGTACGATCTACAGTACTTCTGAAGACCGAATATCTCGAATTAACGACTTGAGAGGCTTCCAAAAAGGAATCGGTACCACGTAGAATTACTGTAGAGATAAGTGAGGACTAGGATTCATTTTCTTAGATTAAAATGCGATGGTGCTGGTTTCAGCGGCGAAGAGGGCTAAAAAAGAATATCAGCGTGAGACAGACAATGTCTCGTTTTGACCTTCAATCATCGACACTCAACTGTGCTGTCTCGGAAGGCGGTTGGTTCGTTCAGCTGTGCCGTGATTTACTCAGCGGGGGTGTTCAGCCCGAAACAAAGTCGTCAATAACTACCACCGGCAGCAAGAATGGCACCGCCTCTCGACCTCGGTCTCCCGACGGCCCTCATCCTCATCGACAACCAGTTGGCCTTCTGCCACCCATCAACAGTCTCGCACTGGGGGAGCAGCCGGTCGAACCCGCTCTATGAAGGGAACCTCCAGTCGCTTCTATCGGCTGCCCGCGACCGTGCGTCGTTGGCAGCGTCCAATCCAGTGGAAGTGATTCACGTCTTCCACTCCTCGACCACGCCCGGATCTCCTCTCCACCCAAGCCATCCTGCGCAGGGGATCCGCCCGTTGGAGTTTGCAACGCCGGCCGCAGACGGCTCCGAGCCCGTGTTCTGGAAGAGCGTTAATTCATCCTTCATCGGCACCGACCTGGCCGCCCACTTGCAGGACAAGGGGATCCGACAGCTTTTGTTTGCGGGGCTGACGACCGATCACTGTGTCTCTACAACGGTTCGCATGGCTGCCAATCTCGGGGTCGTGGATGGGTCCGTCGACAACAACGCCGAGACATTGGGGCCGGAAGGTGCAAACCAGGGCCGAGTGGAAAGGGGGCGGATTGTTCTTGTGGCTGACGCCACGGCGACGTTCGCCAAAGGGGGCTACGATGCAGAGACGGTTCATCACGTCTCTGTCGCGAGCTTGGAGGGCGAGTTCGCCGATATCCTCGGGACGGAGGCGGTGGTGCGGGCCTTACGGGGGGTCTAGTGAATGAGACACCGGACATATGTCACGTCACTACGGGGTTATGAATGTGGGTAGTAATGATTCGACGGATTCCTGCAGTAGCTATTCTCAGATCTAAGCGCCTCTCCGAAATCGTCGCTAGAGTCAGGGTTTGGAGACGACGCGTCTCCCCCTGGCCACCGCCCACCAATCCTCGCCAATCGTTTGGCCCCCAATTGTTGTTGCCTGGGCCCACATACTCTGCTTCCTTGCTGGTCATCCAGAGGGAGGATTAGACACCGTCAATAGTAGCGAGATCACCTACAGATTGACATCCGACTACCCAGTTCGATGTCTCTGCAGATGATAGGTAACACCCTCTCGGGCGCACAACACTCTCATTGGTTTGATCGGGCGTTAGCTCACGCATTTAACTTTCGCCCTGAAGCTTGTCGAACAATCAAAAATCGGAGGGTCCACATCATCGAAACCCTTGGTCACGCAATTTATGGGGCGGATCCGCAGCCTGTGCCTTGTCGTAGGCCAAGAAAAATCCCTAGTTTGGTCCAGGCACCGTGTTACAAGTAGGGATGGCCCCTAGGGGTCCCGCCACTGGCTGTACTCTTCGCATTCCTACGTACATACATATTCCCTCGTTGATGGCACCTCTGCGCTGGAGCAGCACCGTCGCTCGTTGTTAACCCTCACCATGCATTTCCATGGCCTGTCCTTTTGTTTGTTTGTCTATAGCGTGGTTGCACAGTCACCGTCCATTGAAAATGATTTAATGTCCTTCAAAACCGTACGTGAGTTCCTAACGCCGAGTTTCCGATCCTGATTCCAGCAGTTGCCCGACGTCTGGGCCTTGAAATACAATGTGCACATTCACGACCGCGCGCGAATATCCCCGGGTTACTGGTTTGTCGCGCCCTACCTGCAAATGGATCCCGAAGTCCCGACAAACCTGTTCGATCCCTACCAGGTCGGGCCCTACATTTACGATGGCGACGGGGTAGGTTTTTGGTCCCCCTCGGATCTCAGCGACGACAGACTGACCGGAATAGATGCTGATCTGGGCGGGATCGGCCATGTTTGAGAACCGGAACGTTTTCGATTTCCGGGTGGTCAACAGTCTAGGCGAGACGCCCTTCCTATCGTTGGTCAGCCAGCATAGCTTCGAGGCCGAAGCGGATGATGATAACGGCCACGGAGTCATCCTGAACAACCAGTACGACATTCACGCCAAGATCCCCATGCGCCACGAGCTGGGCGCCTTCGACATCCACGAGTTCAACATCCTCGACGATGGCAAAACGGCCTTGGCGACGTTTTATAAGGCCCACGATATCGATCTGGCGGAGTTCAACCGCCCGCAAGAAATGACCTCCATCCTATCCGGAGGGTACGCCAGCATCAACCTGGCCAGCCAGGAGGTGGAACACTTCTGGGACTGCTGGCCACAGATCCCGCTGATTGAATCGACCCATATTGGTCCCACTACCCCTCCGTCACCACGTCCGGGCTGGGATTACGTGCACATCAACTCGGTCGACAAGAACGATGCCGGCGACTACATCATCTCCCTGCGATTCACCAACTCCATCTACTTGATTTCCGGACAGGACGGGAGCATCATGTGGCGCCTGGGTGGTGCAGGCCATGCTACGGATTTCAACCAGGACTTCACCTTCTCCAAACAGCACGATATCAAGTTCCTCGAGTCCAACGGGACCCGCCATGTCGTTTCATTCCTGAACAATGGCTCCGACGAAATCAGCAACGACGAGGAGGTCTCGTGCGCCTTCATCATCGAGATCGAAACCGGCACTGTGCCCAAGACTGCCCGCGTCCTGCGCCGATACAACCGGCCCGACAAGGCTTTGACCCGGCTGCGCGGCAACGCCCAGGTCCTGCCGAACGACCACATGTTCGTCGGCTGGAGCCAACAGGGCTACATCTCCGAGCACTCGCCCGAAGGCGACGTCCTGATGACCGCCGAGTTCGTCTCCGACCGCTTCTCAACCTACCGCGCCTACAAATTCCCATTCGTCGGGCGTCCCAGCGCACCGCCCGACCTGGTCGCCAATGTCTGGGGCACCGACGAGTCCCACATGGTAACGACCGTCTACGTCAGCTGGAATGGCGCAACCGACGTCGCGAGCTGGAACTTCTACGCCCGGGCCGAGGAATCCGGCGTGCCCGTCTTCGTCGGAAGCACGCCCAAGACCGACTTCGAGAGCATGCACATCCTCTCGGGCTACCTGGATTTCATCACCGCCGAGGCGGTCGACGCCCAGGGCAACGTGCTGGGCACATCCGAGATCCAGCGCACCGCAGCCCCGGACTGGGACTCTGCCTGGTTCAGGGGCGCGACAGATCCCCATCCAGACGATCCCTCGGTCATCTACGCCGATGGCGAACCGCGGGAGCCCTCCCTGCGCAGCTATAACGAGTCCGCCTTTGAGAAGGCACAGGCCTCGGCCTCGAAGGCGCTGGAGGTGGCCACAGATGCGTACAACGTCGTTGCAACACTCGGCAGCCTCGTCGCTTTCATTGTCGTTGCGTGCGTGTTGTGCGCCGTCGTCGTAGGCTATGGAATGCTGCGCGACCGGCGGAGAAACAGACAATATAAGCAGCTTCCATTGGACGAGCAGCCGTCGTGGATGAAATAAAACAGCTTTGTTTTTGGCTCCATTTATTCTTGGGTTGGTCTTCGGCGTTGACATTGCATGCGGGATTTGTTCGTTGTCCATGGAGATTTTGCATTGGAATCTGGCATTGCCTGTTTGTACATTACTTTGGCGTTTATTCATAGATCAGCTCTTATCTGTAAATATGATCACTCAGGCTGGTATATATTTGAGGTTCTATGTGTTTGCCTTTGATAGACTCGACAGGATGCTTTAGTGATTAGGACAGTTGCCGGATCGGTCAATGTGTGGGAGGCTTTCGAGGCGTGGATATTAAACGAGCAATTGGAGATCCGGGCATAGTGTCTACAAGCGGTCAAGATATAATGAAGTAAAAGTTACACGAAACTAATTACTTTCAAGGGTCTCTAACACAAAGGAGAAAAAGAATACAGGAGTTGGGGCCCAAAGACCAAGATGGGACAAGGACAAGCCAACAAGATCACCACCCTTACAAGATGGTTATAACCTCAGATCCGTCCTTCAAATAACAAGTAGAGGGATTATTTAGACGAGATCACGCTTGACAAACTCAGCGAGCAGAGTCTTGCCGAGCGAGGCAGGGCTGCGCTCAACAACGACACCGGCATCCTGGAGAGCCGAGATCTTCGAGTCGGCGCCACCCTTGCCGCCGCTGACGATGGCACCGGCGTGACCCATACGACGGCCGGGGGGAGCGCTGATACCGGCGATGAAGGAAACCGCGGGCTTGTTGTGCTTGTTGTTGGCCTTGAAGAACTCGGCGGCGTCCTCCTCGGCGGAACCGCCAATCTCGCCGATCATGATGATGCCGTCAGTCTCCGGGTCCTCGAGGAAGATCTTCAGGCAGTCGATGAAGTTAGTGCCGGAGAAAGGATCACCGCCAATGCCGACGACGAGCGACTGGCCCAGACCGGCCTGCGTGGTCTGGTTCACAGCCTCGTAGGTCAGGGTACCGGAGCGGGAGACGATGCCGACACGGCCGCGCTTGTGGATGAAGCCGGGCATGATACCGATCTTGCATTGACCCTAAATATCCCCCAAAATATTAGGATTGGACGTGGTGTTGGTGGTCTGGAGAGCTTGACTTACGGGAGCGATGATGCCGGGGCAATTCGGGCCGACCAGACGGGTCTTGTTCTGGGTCTTGAGGATGTCGGTGATGCGGACCATGTCTGAGGAATTGGTCAGCTCCGGTTCTTAGTAGCTTGGGGAGAGGCAATTCATACCGTGCTGGGGAATACCCTCGGTGATACTATCGCGGCGAAAGGGTCAGTAAAGGACATTTTCACTTTTTTTGTTCTCGCTCAACAGGAGGAAACCAACCAGACAACCAGGGGCATCTCAGCAGCGATAGCCTCCTCGATACCAGCAGCAGCCAGCGGCGGTCTGTCAGGTGTTAGCATTCCCCAAATCCAATGCATGTGTGACCATCGCAGAATCATACGGGACGAAAATAGCAGACGCCGTCGCGCCGGTTTCCTTCACGGCATCGGCCACATTGGCGAATACGGGACGGTCAAGGTGGGTAGAGCCAGCCTTCTTGGGGTTTGTGCCACCGATGACATTCGTGCCTGCGCTGTGTCAACTTTGGTCTCGACCGATCGCGACGAACCGGGGGAATAGCTACCGTAGGCAATGGCCTGCTCGGCGTGGAACCTGCGCCGCGAAAACAAGTCAGCACATGAGGGCGATATCACCGGTAGAATCCAAACTTACGTTCCCTGCTTGCCGGTGAAGCCCTGGAAGAGAACCCGGGTGTCCTTGTTGATCTTCAGGTTGTTCACGGTATCGGCATAGGCAGAGGTGGCCTTTATGTATGACCGACGCTGCCCGGCGGCGACATTGTGAAGGGCCGAGAAAGTGTTGCGGCGGAAGGCCTGCATGATGGCAGCAATCGAGGAAGAGTGGAGGGTAGAGGGGAGAGGTGGTGGAAGGTGAAAGGAAAGGTGAAGAAGAGCAATTCGGGGAAGGAAAGTCAGTCGGGATGCGCGCCCGGGAGTTTTTCGGGAACAAAACTTTGTCATCTTGCCCGACTCTTCACCTCCCCCCACTACTACTTTACTCTCGAATATCTTCCCTTGTCATTATCTTGCTACGCCCTCTCTGGTCTCGCCCACACTCTCATCATGGCGACCATGACCATGGCCATGCCCGCGGCCACCAAGGCCAAGGGCCCAAAGGAGCTGCCCGAGAACGAGCGCTTCATGCGAGCCTGCTCCGACATTGCCAATGCACTCATCCAGGAATTCGAGTCGCAGAAGGACTCCTCCAAGCCCAAGAAGGACATCAACCTCAACAAGCTGCGAGGTACCATGGCCAAGAAGCACCGCTTGAACACCACCCCACCGCTCACGGCCATCATCGCCGCCGTGCCCGAACACTACAAGAAGTACATCTTGCCGAAGCTGATCGCAAAGCCGATTCGTACGTCCTCCGATTATCCTTCTTAGAATCATAAACTGACCGGCCCAGGAACATCCTCTGGTATCGCCGTCGTCGCCGTCATGTGCAAGCCTCACCGATGCCCACACATCGCCTACACCGGCAATATCTGTGTCTACTGCCCCGGCGGTCCTGATTCCGATTTCGAGTACTCGACGCAGTCATACACCGGCTATGAGCCAACATCGATGCGAGCCATCCGCGCACGCTATGATCCGTTCGAACAGGCAAGAGGGCGGGTGGACCAGATCAAGGCGCTCGGCCACAGCGTGGACAAAGTGGAGTATATCATCATGGGAGGCACGTTCATGTCACTACCGGAAGACTATCGCGACACCTTCATCTCTCAGCTTCACAACGCTTTGAGCGGATACCAAACGGACAACGTCGACGAGGCCGTGCTGGCGGGAGAAATGAGCAACGTCAAGTGCGTGGGCATCACAATTGAGACACGACCCGATTACTGTCTGGATACACACCTCAGCAGCATGCTGCGCTACGGGTGTACACGACTGGAAATCGGAGTGCAGAGTCTGTACGAGGATGTCGCACGGGATACCAACCGCGGTCACACCGTGGCGGCTGTGGCGGAGACGTTCAAGCTGTCGAAGGATGCCGGGTTCAAGGTCGTCAGCCACATGATGCCCGATCTACCAAATGTGGGGATGGAGCGCGATCTGTTCCAGTTCCAGGAGTACTTCGAGAACCCTGACTTCCGCACCGACGGTCTGAAGATCTACCCAACGCTCGTGATTCGGGGCACTGGTCTTTATGAATTGTGGCGGACGGGCCGCTACAAGAACTACACCCCCAACGCACTGATCGATATTGTGGCTCGCATTCTCGCTCTGGTGCCGCCATGGACCCGCATTTACCGCGTACAGCGCGATATCCCCATGCCGCTGGTAACCTCGGGCGTTGAGAACGGCAATCTGCGCGAGCTGGCCCTCGCCCGGATGAAAGACTTCGGTACCACCTGCCGCGACGTCCGCACCCGCGAGGTGGGCATCAACGAGGTCAAGAACAAGATCCGCCCGTCGCAAGTCGAGCTCATCCGCCGCGACTATGCCGCCAACGGCGGCTGGGAGACATTCCTGGCCTACGAAGACCCCAAGCAGGATATTCTGATCGGCTTGCTCCGTCTGCGCAAGTGCAGCGCCACCCACACCTTCCGTCCCGAGTTCACTGGCCAGCAGACCAGCATCGTCCGCGAACTGCACGTCTATGGATCTGCGGTCCCGCTGCATGGCCGTGACGCGCGCAAGTTCCAGCACCGCGGCTTCGGCACGCTGCTGATGGAGGAGGCGGAGCGGATCGCGCGCGAGGAGCACGGAAGTCGCAAGATTAGTGTTATCTCGGGTGTTGGCGTGCGCAGCTACTACGCCCGGCTGGGATACACTCTGGACGGGCCGTATATGTCCAAGATGTTGGATCCTTGGGAGGACGAGGAGTGAGCCAACACAGACAGATGAACTTGGCATTACATGGGCAGGGCGTTTCTTGCATATATGCGGCGTTGGCGGGTTTCAAAATATTGGTTTTCTTTTCATGACGAATGATGTCCATGTCTATGAATTGTGCTGGCCTTATACATATACCGCTACATTTGAATAAAAAGTTCGACACGATTGTCAGATGGGTATCAAACTCCCGATTTCTTATTTAGACCCAAGTACGATGCCACGCGACTTGTATCAATCAAACACTGGAAATAATTCCGAGCGGCCTATGTACATGCAGCAGGTCGCTGTGTGCTCTCCGCTAGAGCAAGTGAATCCCAGCCCCAGGATAGCTAGCCATAAGCAACGCACAGCGATCGGTTGACCATTTCATTTCACAAGACTGTCCGTCCCGGTTAGATCACTCCCAACCCTCCCCAGGTCTCGACGAAAGCGATCGAGACCGAGTTATAAAAAAAAGAACCCCTCCACCAAGGATGCTGAAAAAATGACAGAAAAAAAAAGAGCTCATAACAGACGGACACCGGATAACGAATGAAGAAAGAGGTTGGCGCGCGGTTCTAATGGAGCGATATGGCGCCTCCCCTGCTCTCCCGGACGTGAAGGTAGGCTTGGAAAGCGCAGAAGACGAAGAAGCCCTGTAACGATCCCAAAAATCCAGGTTAGCGACACAACGATTCACTCCCTCTTGTATTTGCTGACGCAGGTGTGGATGCGGCAAAGCGAAAACGTACACAGTATACAAAGACAGCGGTATAGATAGATGCCGCGACGGCGGTACCGTCTTCGGGTTCGCCTTCTGAGCCGGTGTAGGCGTGGTTGTTGCTCTGTTCACACAGAATAGGTCTTAGGTTAGCCAACTGGGTGGGTGGTTTCCGATGTTCGGGGGTGGGATTGTAAGGCGCTGCGTAAGAGCGGGTGCAAATGGGGGCTGGACAGGCAGACGTACGTTGAATAGCGAGCCGAGGACGGAGAGGATGATAATGGCGAAGAGAGAGATGACAACACTGTTTCCACGTTAGGATGTCCGTCCGATAGACCGCACATGGGTGGATGGGGTTGGAATGGATGTGTGCCGGTAGAGGATGATGATGGGGAGAAACTGCGTACCAGGACCAGGCGTTCAACGCCGACACGATCGGCTTCATCTTTGCGGGGGGCGGATTGGAGCGAGGGTGGGTAGAGAGTAGGGAGGGAGCGTTAAAAGGGACCGATCGTGGATTAGGAAGTAATGAGGGATGGAGCGAGGGAGAGATGAGTTGCAGCGTTGAAGATGAGACAGATTGGGTCGGAGGCGGACGGAGAAGCTAGACCGCTTTCGGCCACTGCCACCAGATGCATGTTTCAGAACTACAGAAGCCATGTAAATGGAATTCTCTTCTATTCATGGATTTATTTATCTAATGTTCTCTATTCCATTCAATACATTCGTCAAAGGTCACCCCAGACCCCCCGAAGATGTCCAGTGCGCTGCCAATCGTCAAGTCCACCTTGCCCTGGCTACTGCGATGCACTTTCTCCAGATCCTCGAGACTGCGTGCGCCGCCAGCATATGTGACGGGAATAGTGCACCATTCCGCCAATTTCGAGACCAATTCACCGTCAATGCCCTGCTGCAGACCCTCGACGTCGGCAGCATGGATCAAGAACTCGGAACAGTAGGGCTCCAAGAGGGAAATAGATTCTAGACCCAGTCAGTTAGTCCGTCCAAGAAAATTTGGAACCTTTGAAACGGCCATACCTTGGCTAATTTCCATATCGGTAATGGTTTGCCAGCGGTCCATGGCCACAAACCAGGTATTGTCCTTTCGGCGACAGCTTAGGTCCAAGACCAGCTTGGATGTGTCGCCGCCCAGAGCAGCGAGGACGGACTCGAGACGCTCGAGGGAGAATTTGCCCGCAGGAAACAGGAAGGAGGTGATAATGATCTATTCCCAATACGATTAGAATGGGGGGAATTGAACCAATGCAGAGGAATAGAGTACTCACCTTCTCGGCACCTTGCTCAATCCAATACTGGGCATTCTTGTCTGTAATCCCACCAGCCACCTGCAATCCACCGGGCCATGTCTTCACAGCCTCCAATGCGGCCTCCTCATTGCCCGGGCCCAGTTTGACCACATGCCCCCCGCGCAGATCATGCTTCTGGTACAATCCCGCATAGTGGCTGGCGGGGAGGGTCGACACGTAGTTTGTTTTCAGGTCTTCGGGGACATGGCTGAGCGTGCCGCCCACAATCTGCTTCACCTGTCCCGAGTGCAGGTCAATACATGGCCGGAATTTGGTCATGGTTGCTTGATTGCGAAGACAAGAATCAACCTGTTCTGGCGGGGGATGATGGACTGGGATCTGCTATCTTATCGCACGTGACGGTGTGAGCTATGGGAAAAAACTTGGGCGATGTGATCCCCGGTGATCTTCAACAGCACTACAACACAACAATGATTGGCAAACGGAAAAGAGACACCGCCGTCAAATTGAAGGCTCCAGAAGAGTCCAGTCCTCCACCAGCGGACAATGCGCAGGACGTGTTCCGCAAATATTTCGAAGCGCAGTTCAAGCCTCTGGATCTACCCAGCGTCCAGACCGCCAACGATGAAGATTCCGAGGATCTGAGCCAAGAGGATGAACTGGTCTCGGAATCCGAATGGAGTGGCCTGGACGATGGAGATGACAAAGAGCCCAGAGTACAAGTGGTGGAACACAAGAATGTCCGTGTAGACCCGGACGACATCATGGATAAGAAAGCGCGCAAAGCGTTCATGGTATGCACTAATGCTTTATGATCTGTCTTCTCTCTCCATACTAACCCATGTCCTATCGCAGAATGCCAAACCTCCATCTTTATCTTCGTCCACCTCCAAACCAGCCACAGTAACCAAAGACGCCTCCGACTCCGACGACGACAAGGCCGGAGACGCCGAGAACCTCAAACACGACCTTGCACTCCAGCGTCTCCTCCGCGAATCCCACCTCCTCGAATCCGCATCCGACCTCGCTCCGACAGGGAAAAACCGACTCAAAGCGCTGGACCTGCGCATGCAAGCTATCGGCGCCAAGACATCGCTTTATAAACAGGAGAAAATGCCTTCATCGCATCGGCGAGGCATTAAAGCCAAGGCAGCAACCAAGGAAGAAAAACGAAGGCGCGAGGCAAAGGAGAATGGTATCATTCTGGAGAAACCAGCGCCTAAAGTGTCCAAGAGCTCTTCGGGGCGCAGGGAGCGTGGCGTTGGTGGCCCGACTATTGGAAAATTCGCGGGTGGGACACTGAACCTTGGAAAACGAGATTTGGCGGCTATGCAAGGTCCGAAAAGACGAACTGCGAAAGGGGGCAGAGGGGGGAGAGGGGGTAAAAGTCGTCGGGGTGGTTCCAGGACTGCCTAGGTATATATCTCACGAGTGACGAACTTGAAAACATGAATCGCTTTGGAAAAGTAGATTATAATATATTCTCTCTGGATATCCATAGGCAAAGCCTGCTGATTCCACCCTCATTTCACCCTATTTCCTCTAATATTTCTGACCGGGAATGTATCATGCTACTCGCCTAGCTTCGTTACTCTAAGCGCAAGTCCACAGCGGTTGGTGATGCGGCACAAATTCAATCTGCATTCGATATAGCTATTCATAAACTTTGGAAATCATAATAAACTAAGGACAAAGATCATTTCTTCTGGAACAGCTCTAAGATGGGAGTATTGTAGTACGCGGCCGCCATGTCCTGCACGCAAGTTAGCCATCACCGAAGTCACAGAATGAGCTCGCAAATACTTACAACAGCCGTTCTCTGCCTGTTATCTTCTTTCATTGGATCCACTCCCAGGTCCAGAAGGCGCTTAAACGCCTTGATGCCATCCGGATATGGTTTGTGTTTGTCCCCGTTGGACGCCGCAAGAGCATGCAGCAAAGTGCACCCTTCATTGTTGACAGCAAAGATATCTGCCCCGGTATTGAGCAGAACGTCTATGTGCCAGATCACTCGAGGACGGTAATCACAGACAGCCAGCTCCCGGCAATACGGAAACATGAGATTTTCACCCTTCTGGTTGAGCGCATTGGCTTCCACACCTGCTGCAACGAGTCTGTTGAATATTTGACCGGGTAACTCTGATGGTTCTACCATAGACTCGGCCAGGTAATGCAACACGGTGTTCTCCTCCGGATCTCGTTCAAGGGGGGTTGGCTCCTGCGTCTAGCAGAAGGGGGAGGCACCAATAATGCTGGAGCTTCGCAGCTAGCAACAACGGAGTCAATCCGTCCTTGTTCTTGCCATGCAAGAGTGGCGGGCGTTTCTCTAGAAACAGAAAGAGAGTTTCCTTGAAGTCGGCCGTCACAAACCAATCATACCTCACAGAGATAACTAGAAGATGGATGGCGTTATTGCTGTACTCGTCCACGGCAGATAAGTCGGCGTTCTTGTCATACAGAATTTTCGCACGGGTTGGGGCTCTCGGTGCCTCTGGATTATGGCATCGGTCATACCACTCAAGTCGACCGCAGTCCATGGGGAAGTTACACATGCACGCGGCTAGCAACAGAGTCCGACCGTGGCCGTCTCGAGTTTCCAAGTCGAGATCCGGAATAGAAAGAAAGGGCTCCATGATACCACCCTCTTGCACTATAATGTGCAAGATGGTTGAGCCGCAAAATGGAAGGAAAACATCTGCTCCGTGCTCGAGGAATTGATGGATGATGTGCGCAGCCTTTTGGCGCTTGTCGGGTTGGTTCCATTTGGCCTGCCCGGCGTAATGAAGAGGATAATACTCCTCCACCAAGATCTGGTTTCCCCGATGATCATTCCAAGGATCCAGTGGACAGTTGGGTACTCGGATCATCTTGTTACAATCCAGCCCTGAATCCAGAAGGAAAGTTACAGCGTCGACATTTTGTGATTCCATTGCCGAGTAAAGAACTGGGTAGTTACCGAAATTGATATCTGCGCCGTGCTGGACCATAATTTTGAAAATCTCTGGGTTCTGTGCGCTGAGGGCGAGAGGGGTCCTGCCATTATTGTCCATCACATCTGGATTAGCCCCAAGTCTCAGCAACAGCTGAACAATCTCTTTTTCTCGATAAGCCGTGTGCCATATCTTGCGTGCTCGGACAGCAAGGTGTAGAGCAGTTTCTCCCTCTGCATTGCGGAGATTGAGATCTGCTCCGTGTTGGGCTAGATATTCAATCGCAGAGGCCTGCCACCATCGAGTAGCGAGTGCAAGAATGTGAAGAGCACCTTCATGAGACATAACATTGACATCAGCTTCAAAAACTTCCACTATAACTTTGATGACATCCAGGTTTGCGGAGCTCCTTTTAGCTGCTGCCAGGAGGTATGGCTCTTCGCCAGGGCCGCCATTGACCCAGCCCGGGTCTTGGATTGTTTTGCCAAGAGTCTTGAAGAGTTCGGGATATCCAAGCCACGCAAGGGTAGTCATGACGCTTGGGTCCGTCAAGTCGGAATCTCGTTTGCGCATGTCAGCTTTCGAGGCGAGGAACTCAAGACACTCGTATTCTCTATTTTGTAGTAAATGAAGACCCATGCGATGCACACTGTCTCCTTCGCTGAGCTGCTCTTCCAATATGGAGATGATAGGTTCACTGTTCAAGGTGAAGTACTTCTCTTCGAACCTTCTTCCTGGAGTTCTGCCTTTCCCGGCTTGGTCAACAAGCGGTGCCAGGACCGTAATCATCTCGGAAAATTCGTCGTCCACCGCAATATCCAGCGGAGTACCTCCCACGTTGTCGGTAGCAGCAATATCGGCGCCATGGTCCAGCAACAAATGTATGATGCCCTTTACCCGTGCGTTGTGCACTTCGTTGCAGACCTTCCCATAGAAGCTTTGGGGCTGTTCTGACTTTTTGGGGTCGGGTCGGAAGGAATCAAGGATGGCCATTTCTGGCCCCTTGAACTTGTTTAAATCGATATCCCACAGATCTTGTTCGCGGGGCAGCTCGGCACAGGCATGGAGAGGCGTCAGGCCATTCTTGTCTCGGGCCATAACATCTGCATTCGCCTGCAGCAGTAAAGCAACACTCTCATACTTCCCTGAACGACACGCGTCGTGCAATGGAGTCCGACCAGCAAGACTCTTTTGATTCACAAGTTTTGCGCGATCACCGGGGGAACATTTCTCCAATGCAAGACTAAGAATACCAGTTTGGCGTGTGATGGCGGCAACATGAAGTACATTTCTGGACGCACGAGTCAAGACTGTCAGGTCTGCACCGTGATCAACAAGTCTGGAGAAGAGTGCTTCGGAGCGAACTGCCGCAAGGTGAATCGGATACACGTTCTCATAGTCGGGTATATTGACACCAGCTGCGAGATCCGAGGCCAGAACTCGGTCAAGAAGAGCTATCCCCTCGCCTTCTGTCTGTTTAAAGCCTTGTGCAAGTAGATATGGCTCGTGATAGCAAAAATGGTGGAATGGAGTAAGACCGTTATGGCATTGAGCAGTGCTAGAAATGCCCGCATTTATAAGCAACTGGGCCTTCTCCATCAGTTTAATGCTCGGTGTAAGCATTATGGAGTGTAACGGCGTCCACCCCTCGTGATTGTCCATCAAGGGATCAGCTCCAGCTTCCAAAAGTAGCTTGAGAAGTTCAAGGTCCATTCCCCGCACGTGGAGTACACCATTGCCAAAGTGATCCCGTACGTTGACGTCTGCTCCGAGATGCAGCAGATGTCTGACCGCTTTGCATAAATACGCCTGACGAGAAGCAACGGTATGCAGCAGCAGGGTATTTCCCAGGTCGTCTTTGGATTCGAGGTCTGCACCAGCATCAACCAGAACTTGCACGCAGTCCTCATCATACCCCCAGTCTCCCAGACTATTCAATGGAGTTTCCAGGTGATGATTCCGGATAGTCGGGTCTGCGCCTAGTTCCAAAAGTTTCTTGATGATCCCTCCGTCTCTGGAATGTCGCATGGCAAAGTGTAATACACTGAACCCGTCATAGTCTTGCATATTCCAGTCGGATACAAAGGGCACCCAGTGTTCGAAACTAGAGTCGTCCTCAGCGAGGACTGCATTCCAAAATGCCGGCTTTCCGTTTTCTCGGTCACGCACGTCAACTCGAGCTCCATGTTCGACGAATGCTCTAAGACCGGAGCCATCATCTTCCCGGACATAGGGAACCATTATCCCAGACCGATACTTATGGAGGGGCGTTTCTCCGGAGTCGTCCATTAGCATTGGGTCCGCTCCATTTTCTAACAATGCGGTTGTAATTGTAAGATTATGGGCAGCACTATTATGGAGTGGACTCCGGCCAATGTTGTCCTGAGCGTTTACATCACAGCCAGCGTGGAGGAGAAGCTGTAAGCATTCATGCAAGTCGCGCTGGTAAACTGTCGTCTCTTCAGACCCAGTGAGGCTGTGAAGAGGAGTGTATCCAATTTCATGCTTGTCAATGCTCTTTCCTTCTATAGACAAGCCTCTGCTCCGAAGATGGGGGTCCGCGTCGTGCTTTAACAAGAGCGCAATAGCACTTGAATGCGCGTTCTTTGCAGCAATAAATAGAGGCGAATTTCCCTCGTGGAGTGCGTCCACATCCACGGAGGGTAGATTAAGCAGAAACTTCATCACGTTGGTGTGCCCTGCTGAAGCTGCCCAGTATAAGCAGGAATTCAGATCGTCTGGTTTGACGACGGAGACCATTTCACGGACAGACTCGACATAACCAGCTTTGCAGGCTACCTGCAAGGCCGAGAACCCAAAGTCAGATTGGCGACGGGGAGACTCATGTTTTTCATCCCTTTTGGACACGGTGACCAGTGGGCTCACACCAGCCGAAAGGAGAAGACGAACGGCGTTATAGCGGTTAGCCCGAGCTGCATAATGAATAGGTTGTCTCCCAACAGAATCAACCACGTCTGGCTTGGCTCCTTGGTTGAGTAAAAGGCCCACACACTCGTCGTGTCCCAAGAATGCAGCATGAAACAGTGGGGTTCTCTTTTCTATATCAGTCTGAGAGACATCAGATGTGCCTATTATATGTCGGACATAATCGGTGATTCCAGTGAATGCTCCAACATGAATCTCTGACCCCCAAGGTTCTTGGTTTTCATCTTGAGATTGATGTTGATCTTCGCGAGGCATGAATTTGCTAGCCCAAGCAATGAGTCCCAGATTGTCCTTGGATATAAATGTATGAAGAAGTTGGAGCAAGTCATTCCGCATCGGCGCTTCTCGTGCATGAAAGGGCCAGTTTTCCATGGAATATTGAACAAATGGGTAGTCTAGATGAGTGGAATTTTCAGACCTAGACTTTCGACCTTCGTCCCAGAAACCGTTCCATTTGGAAGACGGGATCGCCATCAGGTACCTGAGACAGGTCGACGCGAGAATAAAGCGGCAATTAGATGACTCAATAACTGGAAATGCGGTGGCATCCCTGGATAAATCGAGTAGAAATTCGGTAAAGGAATGATGAATCACTGACACCGTTTCATCTTCCAGAATTTCCAATAGTGGCCCGCATGCCTTGCGAACTGTTTCCTTGGTGTTTTCTGTGCCATCATGGAAGTTGAGTAAAGCTGTGATTTCCAATAGGCGAAGGGGCCGTTTTGCATGTGTGACCCATTGAAAAATCAGAATCTGGCGCTCTTGCGGCACATTCGAGCGATGTGAGTGATCGTGAATCATCTGAGTATATATGTCCTCCAGTTTTCGAGGAAGAGATTGCAGCAATTTCTGTGTCGATTCTGGACATAAAGCTGCAGGGTCCTTGAGCAATTCGTCTAGAATCAGACGAGTAGACAAAAATGATTGATGTGTCCGGGCCTGTGTATCGGTTTGAATCACTTGCTTCACTTCTGACTGAATCATATTCTCTTGGGACAAGCGCCAGTCAATATACACTGGGATATCTCGGTTCATTTGCTCGGAATCCATGCGGAGCTCCACAACGGAATGGCGCAGAATGTTCTGAATGTGAGGGAGTGGACGACTGGTCATAACTAACTTCGCAGAATTGCCCAGTTGGATCAATTTGTGCAAAAAGTCGATTTGCTTAGCGTCCATCTCATCCAGAGCATCCACAACACAGTACGCGTTAGGGAGTGCGCTCAAAGCGTCAACTAGAAAACCCCAGAGCTCTTCAAGGGTGATATCCTTCGCAGAGTTGTTTTCTGTCATCAACTGAGCAATCTGGCTCCGAAGTGCAGGGGAGTAAGCCATAGTCTGCGAGATCCAATCCCGCACAAGAGTGTGGCAGTCATGATTCTCCGCGATGATCTGTCGGAAGAAGAAAAACAACACTGGGCCTCCCCTCTGGGCTAGAGTCGAGATAAGCGAGGCGGCAAGGACACTTTTGCCAGCTCCTGCCACTGCCTTGATCCATAACGGTGTACCAGAAGACAGCCACCTTTGATATTCGGCGGTGTCGTAGATCCAATCACCAGTACCAGGAACACGCGAAGCCAGGTGTTTTTTGTACTCGCTAGCCTCGCTGTCGTAGTCGGTCGGTTCCAGCCACTCTTTGATTGTCTGGCCGTTGTCTAGCGATTCTCTGTCTGGAGTGTGGGGCTCGTCGGGGTTTTCGCCTCCGACATCGACGACCACAAACCCGTCTGGTTCTGGTGATGATTCCATGGTTGTCAGAGAATCATGTCCTTCTGTGAGGAAAAGAAGAATCCCCCTCCAAGCACGTGAGTCAAGTTCGTGTTCGCGCTCGTATTCAGCCGCAACTCGCTTAATCGACTTGCAGAGGATCCGGGCGCGCCTAATAGCTCCTCCTCGTATGGATTTCAGGTAGTTCCATCGTATCAATCGAAGCTGATCGTGCTGTCACTGCCTTCGGGCATCAAGTGTGACTGTGTGAGACCATCTATATGGCGAACATATATTTATCAAGGAAGAGGGATCTCCACCAGAAGCTAGCGTCTCACTACATAGTCCGAGACATTTGGTCAATCTTTCGGATCTACCTTGGAAGGCTCGTGTGGTGCTGCAATTGACGCGACATGCCCATAATGTAAGAGAATCAAGAAGATCGACGCCGAAAAGGACATAATTCAGTGAGATAATAATGAGTATTCCTCAAACAGCATAGCTAATGCGGCTTTGATGGGAGAAAGTCGATCTGCACCTGGGGAAACTGGGATAAGCTCCATATGACGACGGTATGCTGGGGTTTGCTTGACCTTTGTGATGATCCTGCGTTCTTCAGCGGACGCTCGGGAATTCTTCTCTATCTGAAATGTCAGGAATTGGTTTGCCGGAAGAATGAAATGAGTTAAAGTGAAAAATGATGTAGTTTCAGAGTCAGGGGCCGTCTAAACCATCAATAACTTGGCGAGTTTGTTTTGTATAGTACTGTGGGTAGACTGTATATCTCCGTCTGAATGTTGATTTTCGACCGCAGGAATCGGGTCTTGAAAATGAAAATATATCCTAACCTCAGAATTTAGCTTTATTGCTGTGGGCGCGGGGTTTTTCTAGATTCATGTTACACGGGGACTTCAACAAGAAGTGGCTTAGCTGCTGCAGTGTAACCAGAACTATCCGACCCTACAAGTGTCGAGGGCCATGATGATCTTGGATGAATATGATAATTATCGGCGACCTTGACTCCTATCGACCCATATCCCATGGCCTTTCCCCAATATGGACGGGTCTTACGTTCAGTTCGCCGACAAGGGTCCTCATTGGGATGCATACAATTCCTGACAGTGATGTCAGTTCTCAATCCTCTTGACCGTGGCCGATCGTGAAGACTGAATTCCATTGACACCATCGACCTTCAAAATTGCTAATCCGACCGATTTGGATCAGCCCTGCACTGCCTGTAAGTTATGGGCTACAGCATTCCGGCCAAATTGTTACTGTAAGGTGCCAATCGAATCCCATGCATACAGATAGAGCAAGCTGTTGAGACTGATGCCTAGTCCTTGACGGGCTGTGCTGAAATTCTGGTCAGGTTTGCATCTCGATATAGTCTAGTCATGATGTAGATAATAATAGTTCGGGCCCGTATGACTCGGATAGCAATAAGAATCCGAAAAGATATACTTTTCGACGGGAGAACCCTTGTCAAAGGGGGCTCCTGAGTGGGTCAGATCGGCAATGATTAGCATCATTATACACTATCAAGTGCTAAGGCCGTTTCGGCTGTCGATCATGCCTGTCTAGCGCCAAACATTGTCCCAAGCAGGTGTGGGCCGCATTCCTACCTCTTTTCGCTCCACCGATGATGTCTCGGCTTAAATATGCAAATGCAATCGCCGACTCGCTTGGCGGATACGGGCCTCGGGTGCTTATCTTGCCATTAGTGTACTGCCATTAGACTTGTTGCAGCCCTTGCAAGTATCCGCTCCCTGGATCATGCCCTGGATTGGGTGGCGGCTTGATGTCAGCAACCAGGGCAGCGGTTCATTTTAGTTGTAGATAATCCAAAAACATTCCTTAAGAGGGATAGCTTAGCGTAAAAGCTGCCGCATATGTAAGCGATCGTGATTCCCTTGGGACAATTTTGCTCTGCTTGGCATTTCTGGATAGGACTAATATAGTTGAGCATATGATGACGTACAGCCTTGATGAGTACGCTAGGGTCTTTGGACCGGGTCCACGTAAAGGAAATATACTTCACTAAATCTTAGGACTCCGGCTTTATTGGTCTCCTGGTCTTGTATGCCATTATCATGGGGTCGGCAAAGCTCCAACAACGGAACATCCTAGATGATAATCTACCAAATTATGGTGCTAATAATGTACTTATTAATGGTAGCTGTAATGAGGCCATCTCGACCTTTCTAGGGTGAGACCTGATTGCGTGACGCTTCCGTTATGTAGATCGGTCGTAGATGATGCGTACTGCATGCGTATGCCGGCCTTCGGAGGAATTTCAAGTGGATAATGGCATTTATACTATGAAATTAATGTTCAGAGAACATTGAGAGCCTAAACAAAAAAATTTTCTACCTCCGATGCATCCTAAAGCGAGAGTACTTTCACCGCAGTGTTTGAGTATAGCTAACCGGAAAATCTTCAAGCAATATGGGGCACTATGGAACAACGCGCATCCCAAAGACAACACGACAAATTTGCTGATTTTACCTCTTCATTGTCACCATTTACCAAGGAGATAAGGTGCGGGTGATCCCTTGATCGAACCCACAGTGGAGCATTGACTTGACTTTCAACGCGTGGCCCATTTCAATATTTTCGGGGCAGTGCTATAAGGGGGTTCTGGGTGACGTCGAGATACAAAAGGGCCATACCATTCCAAAAAATTTTCACCCATCCAACAAGATTGGAGCAGCAGATGTTTTAATCCTACTTGTGGATAACGTTTTTCTTTATATAGCCGAGTTTCGGCTTGCATGGCTAAAATATCTCGATATGTCTGCATTTACATCAACAGAAACGCTCAAAAACGATCAAACCCCAGGGAGTTCTGTCACTTCAACGCCTGTCTCGTCACCTCTCAGTGAAAAGAAACTTACAATACCGTCACTGTCCTCGGACACGATCAATATTGAAAGCCAGACTGAGCAACTACCTCCATACCATGTTTTCACTCGAGCCCGCAAGTTGCAGATGGTCTGCATCGTCTCCATGGCCGCCATTTTCTCCCCTCTGTCCTCCAATATTTACTTCCCTGCGCTGAACGAGGTGTCAAAAGTCAGTGGAGAGCAACCATTTGGAGTCGTCAGTCTGACTTATCATTGCATAGGACTTGAATATTTCTATGTCACTGGCGACTTTGACCATCACTGTATTTATGATTGTGCAAGGACTGGCTCCGAGCTTCTGGGGCTCCATCTCTGATGTGATTGGACGCCGCGTTATTTTTATTGGGACGTTTGTTGTCTATATTATTGCAAACATTTGTCTGGGTCTCTCGACAAACTATGGAGAGCTTATGGCTTTCCGTGCATTGCAGGCTGCTGGTAGCTCAGCGACAATATCCATTGGTATGGTTGATTATATACTCTCCAGGGTTATTTACTAATTTGCTTAGGGGCTGGAGTGATCGGTGACATTACCACCTCTGCAGAGAGAGGCAGTTTGGTTGGGATATTTGGTGGTGGTAAGTCGTCCCTACATTTCTCAATATTTAAAAGAAAACTCACGCGTCCAAGTTCGCATGTTGGGACAGAGTATTGGTCCAGTATTTGGCGGGATCTTGTCCGAATACCTTGGATTCAGATCCATATTCTGGGCTTTGGTTATTCTGTCCGGAATAAGCCTTTTGTCAATTCTCTTCTTCCTTCCAGAAACACTTCGCACCGTCGCCGGCAATGGAAGTGTCCGTCTCCATGGACACAGCAAACCATTCATCTATTATCTCACAGGACAGAAAGAGACGCAGGCAGATGCAGTACCAGAGAAAAAGAAATCCAAAGTCAGCTTTCACACAATTCTGGCTCCTCTCGCTTTCCTTACTGAGAAGGATGTCTTTATTACATTATTCTTTGGCAGCATTGTGTATACCGTGTGGTCCATGGTCACCTCCTCGACGTCAGCACTCTTTCAGTCAGTATATGGACTCAGTACCTTGGAGATTGGCCTAACATTCCTGGGAAACGGTAAGCGCATTTACCCAATACGAGTTACTCAACTAATTTTACCAGGGTTTGGATGCATGTCTGGATCATACACAATTGGCTATCTGATGGATTATAACCACAGAAAAACAGAGCGTGAATACTGTCACCGACATAGCCTTCCTCTCGACACACGCATCACTACCAAGACACACCCAGACTTTCCAATTGAACACGCTCGCATGCGCAACACTTGGTGGATCACTGCCCTGTTTATCACCTGCACGGCAGTATATGGGGTGTCACTTAAGATGCCTCTTGCTTTGCCGATCATCCTTCAATACCTCATTGCTTACTGCGCCACGGCCATTTTCACCATCAATAGCGCTCTGGTTATTGATCTGTACCCTGGAGCTAGTGCTAGCGCAACGGCCGTCAACAATCTGATACGCTGCTTAATCGGTGCTGCGGGTGTGGCAGTTATTCAGCCTATTATCGATGCTATCACTGCCACCTGGACATTCCTGCTGCTTGCTGGAATTACATTCCACATGGTTCCTTTGCTGATGATTGAAATGAGATGGGGAGCTGGTTGGCGACTTGAAAGGATGGAGCGGTTGAAGAAGAAAGAAGGGTCTTGCTGACTGTGAGATATTCTCGACAAGTTTTTTTACCATCAAAAAACTAGTCAAACGTTTTGTTAATAAGTTGGATTCTCCAAGGGAAATTAGGACAAACGTCTTAAAACAGGTACATATACACAGCGATGGCCATACAAGCCAGTAGTAATGAGTACATACCGCGGCAGCAGTTCTAAATATTACTATTGTTCCCCGGATTTCACAAGATAATAATTCAAATAGTTAGTATGGAATCGTATACATAGCGACCTTAGCTAAGGCTCAAATGAGAACATGAATGATCACATGACCCGCGTTAGTAAGACTAGCTGCTGCGACATCAACATCTATTCCACCTGCCTCAACGAACAGCCTGTATTCACCTACTCCCTGAAGACCGATGCTGGATGCAGCTTCCAAGAACAATGCAGAATGCACGCAACCTGTACAAGAACGACGTCGATTTCGCCGCCCTGGCTTCGCAGTCCCCAGACTTTGCCAAGCAGTATGTGAACATTAGACGCGCCGCGGAGATACCTTTATTGAAAGTCAAGCAGTGTGAAAGACGGCAAAGTGGACTTCAATGATCCACAAGCTGTGCGGTAAGTCGGAAATCCACCCCTTCACAGCAGCCGAGATACGCATCTAATTCCCACGACAGCCAGTTGACCACCAGCCTGCTTCAGCAAGACTTCAAACTCAAGGTCGAGGCGCCGGATGATAGACTGTGTCCACCGGTAAGAAATAATATATTCTAATCAGACAAACTTTTACTAACTATCTTGTAGGTACCCAACAGGTGCGTTGAGATTTGCAACAAAACCTGAAACAGCATCTCTGACAATATAGACTCAATTATATTCTGTGGTTGCAAGACCTGCTCGACTCTACCGGCGGAACGCTGAGAGACGAATATGACCGTGAACGCGAAGTAATCGGTTTAGATATGTACGTCGTACCAGTTGAGACATTTTCATTCCATTCTCTGACTTGTTCTAGTGGAACGGGCTGTTGTAGTATCTACCCACTGCTGGGTTGTACACTCCGGCCACGGTGGCGGTTTATTGCCACCGGTAAGATCTCTGGAAATAAGCTACTTTAGCTATATGCTGATCAGCATTTGCAGATATCGATGCGAACAATATACGCACTGCCAAACACAACGTGGCCCTGAACGACCTTGAATCTCGTATTCGCATCATTGCATCCCGTCCCGAAGGTCCCCTTATTCCCATCAATGAGCTTAGTGATGAAACGTACGTGTAGACTGAATCTTTCCTCATCCTTCTACTAACCACCAACCAGCTTCGACTTCACCATGTGCAACCCGCCCTTCTACTCCTCCCGGGACGAGCTTATCCACTCTGCCGAACTCAAAGCCCGTCCCCCATTCTCGGTATCTCATTCTAATCACCTTTCAACTAATTCATCTCAAGTACTGATCATATTACAGGCATGCACCGGCGCCGAGGTAGAAATGGTCACTCATGGAGGCGAGGTAGCCTTCGTAACACGTATGCTCGAAGAAAGTTTACGATTGCGTGACCGTGTGCGATGGTACACCTCAATGCTGGGCAAACTGAGCAGTGTTTCTGTCATTGTCGAGAAATTGATGAAGCATAATAATCAAAACTACGCCGTCACCGAGTTCGTGCAGGGAAGCAAGACGAAACGTTGGGCTGTGGCATGGTCTTGGAGTGACCGTCGGCCTTCCATGGTGAGAACTGGATCTATCAGCGAACGTATCCTGGTTGCTAACATTGTTGCTAGGCTGCGGCACGCGGTATACTGGGGTTGCCAAAACACCTCCTCCCCTTTCCTGCAGAGTACACCTTTACGTTAAACCCCGAAGCATCAATTGATGACACAGGCACCGCTATAGATGCGGAGATGGGCTCACTTCCCTGGTTCTGGACCTGGGATCGTGCATTGTGTACCGGTGCTGGATTCGCAAGTGAGAATGTCTGGTCTCGACAGGCTCGTCGGAAGATGAAGCTTGCTGGCCAAGATGGAGCTGCAGTCAAGCCCACCAGCATTCCGGACCAAGTGGCACTTGGTGTTCGTGTGCAGGCAAGACTGGTTATTGGACAGAAACCGGAAAGCAAAGAGGTGCAGGTGCTGATATCCTGGATACAGGGGACGGATAGTGTGCTTTTTGAGAGCTTTTGTGGAATGCTTAAGCGGAAGGTGAATGCGGTGGCTTGATTCATGACTGCATGTAGATAATCGTTGGGCTCTGTGAGTTGAAAATTCTCCTTGCTAGCAAATTGAATGTGATAATCTACAAATGCTCATTGCAAGCACGAAATTGGCAATTGGTCTTTTTGTCTATCACTGCAAGGGTTATATTCACAAATGCCCATCCATCATCTCACGCACTAATTCCCAGTGACCTCCGCCTGCAACTCCTTCAACCGATTCCAGCCTTCCGAGTTCTCCCAAAAGTCTTTCCCTTTACCCAAGATACCTCTAACAGCACTCCTCGCCTTGAACCGCCAGTCCTTAGCGACCATTTCAGCCTCTGCATCACCCTCAACCTTCTGATCCTCGCGATCCATAGGACCGTATCGCGCATATCCATCACGGACAAGCTTCTCCGTGGCACGAACAACATCAAGCCAGGGCTTCTCATCGCCCATTTGGAACGCGCCCTGGACGGATGCAGCGACTGTCGCGCGCCATGCTTTCTCGTGGGCTTCGAGAGCACGGAAGGGGCGGTTGCGCCAGAATTCGACGCGGGAGACGAGGAGCCATAGGATTGAGGAGTGGGTGATCAGCGGAACGATTTTATCGTCGACCAGGGACAGGATTTGGCCGGGGATTGTGCCGGTGCGGACCACGGGTGCGGACTCGTGGTCTTCTGATGGGATAAGGAGAGAGTCATAGTCGAAGGTGGTGACCATGAAGTCGATGAGCATGCCCAGGATGGGTAGATCGATGCACTTCTCACCCTTCTTGGATCCAAGAAGCTCAACTACTCGCTTCTGAGCGGCGATCACTTCACGGAATGGAGTAGCTGGCGGTGGGATTGCTGCGGCCACTGTTAGGACATTGTCCCAGACCCGGGCATCGTTGTTTTTCAGTTGTGCTGCACGCTGCAGGGCTGCCAGAGCCTCGCGTTGGCGTTTGTAGGGGTCTGTTTCGGCGGGTGATTCGCCATCGGTGGTTTCGCTGACCACAGTGTCAGGCGTGGGTTCGGGGGCAGGAAGACGAAGCATGGCTACAGCAAGATTGCTCCATGCCTCGCCATCGGTATCGTCAAGTTGGACAGTGAAGGTAAAAGAGTCAACCGCATCGTTCCATCGCTGGAGCTCGAGCTGGACACATCCAAGGGCGAACCAGGCCCCATGGTTCAGCCTGTTGATATGCAGACTCTTCCGATAGGCAGCCTCGGCCTTCTCTAGCTCTGGCGGTGTAAGAGCCAAGTAGTGGCGAGCCAGAGACCGTTGAGCGCGGGCGTATCGCTGTCCCGAGACCTCCCAGGCACGCTCATACATCTTCTCATCCTTATCGATATCCCCAAGAATGCAAAACAAGCGCGGTGCCTCTGCGGGTAAAGGTGACCGCTCCGGCCCATCGAACGGTTCACTTTCGTCGTCCTCGTCGGGGCCGGACGCCTGGTAAAGTTGGCGGCGTACGATGCTCTTGGCTTTGCCTTCTCGCTCGGTGGCAGCGTAGCACAGGGCAACCTCTGCCCACATCTGGAGTCGCTCATAGATCTCAAGAGCAGTGCGCAGACCACCCAGATCAACCCACCGCTTGGCTAGCTCGGCCTCGAGATCCCATCGTGTTGAGAAGTTGAGAAGCCAAATATACTCCAGCCTGTCAGCAGCGGGGGCCGACTCTGACTTTTCAGGCCGAGGTAGGAAGGTAGTGGGCTCAGCAGATGGTTGTTGTGCCGCCGAATCGTCCGTGGCAGTATCTGCAAGGACCTGGTCTACAAGAGCTTGCATCTGCAGCACGGATCTCTCAACCGTCCGAGAGCGGAATCCCTCAACGCGGCTGCGAACAAGCAGAGCCTGTGTGTAGATCTGCCAGTTGGAGCTGCCGCCTTCAAGCACCCGGATGGCGTAGGGGGCGGTTTCCTCACGGGTCAGGCCGTCCTCGGGAGAAGTGTTGGTAATAGCAGAGACCAAAGCCAACAAGAGAGCCGAGTCCACTGGGTTGAGGATTGGCTGATTATTGGCATCCACAGACGCCAGAGCTGGCGAGAGCTCCTCCTGGACCGACACTGATTTTTGGTTGCTATTTTCCGAGAAGGAGATAGCTTCAAGAAGAGTATCGTCGTTCAAATCCAACTTCTCGGGACCTGAGGACTTTGCAGCATCCGATGTATCGTCCGCACTCTTGGCCAGAACCACCAGCTGACTGATATCACGCTCCTGGAACTTAGTCCGTTTGCCCAGTTTGCCCGTCAAAGCGAACTCAAACTGCCGTATCTTGGCAGACTGCTCAATATCACTGCGTGCTTTGGCATCAAAGCCATGATGCGTATGCACCAACGATCGCTCCAGCAGGAACCGACCCTTTTCCTCCGCATTCAACTCAGTCTTAGCCAGCTCGTCTAGATCCTTGTATATCAAACCCTGCAGTGTGCTCGTGACTTCGGAAAGCATTTTCTGGTGGAGGAAGTTGACGCGCATGCGTGCTGTCTTTGACACAACCGGGCCTTCGATGCTTGCGTCTACCAATATCGCCTTGGCAATAGAGAACAGCTCGGCGTTTGGGGTGAGCTTGTAGGCCGCTTCACCGTCGACTGATAGGTCTCGAAGAATCTTCTCTCGGACAGTCCGCATTGTAGCTTTGTCGGATCGCAGCGCAGCTGGCAAAGCCACCTCCGCCGGGTTAAAGTCGAGAGGCGGACCGGTAACATTGGACTGTAAGAAGGCAAACAGAGCAGCCAGACCAAGATGGAGAATCTGCGATTGTGTTTGTCCAAGGGTCAACCCATCGTTGGCAGTTTGCTGCAGCGATCGAGCCTTCCCTGCCACAAACTGGGTGTAGGAGATATCGCCGCGCGCGACCTTTGCGACGGCCTCGTTGTCAGACGCATCGTGACCCAGGACCTTTCTGGCGATTGGCAGTTCGAATATCGGGACGAGATTTTCGGAGGTCAATCGAATGGGATCGTAGCGATCTTTGAGGGGAGAAGCCCCATCAAAGACGCTGTTCAGCGAGGCAGGATTGTCGGCCATCGCGACGACCGTGAAAGCGATCGGGGCGTTGGTGCAGTTCGCTGAAAAGTTCGGAAGGTAGATCGGGCTAGGTTACTGCAGTGAGCACCAGACCGAGACTCTGTCAGACAAGCCTGGTCATCCAGAGAATGTGGTGGAATTTCACCCCGCGATCTTTTTTTGCATTTTTTTATCGATAGCGTGGGGTTAAAGTAAGTGGGTGGCAATACATAGCCATAACCATTAGTGTCAGATGTTTCGTTCTATCTCCACGCACTATATCTATGACCATCTACTTCCTCACCCTCGCATGCTCCTTCAGGATCTGGTTCAATCCCTCACGCTGCACACACTGATCAAAATGGAAGCTGCGTGCTAATTCCTCCAGGTCGTTCTTCTCCATTCCCTGGAACAACGCCGCAAACTCATCCACAAACGTCCCCGCCAGGAAGCAATTGAACACATTCCGAATAACATGCATTTCCGTGTTCCAGGAGGTCGGATAGGTAGTTTTCGCAGTTGGGCTTACCTTATCAATCCAGTCAACAAGAGGGTGGAGTGCAGCCTCCGGCTCAGGAGCAGGACGGCGGCCCCATTTGTCCAACCAGAAGTCCTTCTTCTTCTCCAGGAAGGGCTTGATGGTTTGGTTCCATTTGCTTTGCGGGTTGGTGTAGATCATGCCCTGCAGACCAATATCCTTGTACAGCCAGATAGACCAGTGGATCTGTTGCTTGTCATAGATCTGCAGCTGGTCGCCAAGCAAATTGTAGCGCTCTTGGTTGATTGTCTCGGCGTCGGCATCAAGAGCTGGATCGGCGTATACGGGACCAAACTCGCCATTCCAGACTGGCGTGGCGTGTTCACTCATGAACTGCGCTTTGCGCGAGTACTGGCTTGCGAGGTGCTGTTTTTGGTCTGGTGTGCCCTTGTATCGGTCGCCAGTGGGGAATCCCATAGACTGGACAAATCAGCACTCCAAAATAAACTCGGAAATATGGCACAGTAGATATCACACTCACCGAATAATCATGCATGGCGTAAACACAATTTGGCAGCACGGTGTCGAAACCCCTCCACTCCATCGCGAAAGTGTTCCCATCCAGCCAAAGAATATGATCCGGATCGACCTTGCGAATCGCTTTCTCAATCCGCGCATAGAATGCCGGCAGCCGCACATGCTCTGGATCACAGGGCTCATTGAGCGGGTTGTACCCGGCAACCCAGTGGTTCCCTCTATACCGCGCAGCGATCTGCTCCCATAGCCAGACAGTGCGGTCCTGGTGGTCCTTGTAGTCCCAGAAAGCGGCATAGCTAGTCGGGTTATCAGAATGCCAGTCCGGGTTCTGGCCACCAGGCACGGTATGCATATCCAGGATGGTGTAGATACCGTGCTTGGCGCACTATATATATAAAGTCGAAGGTCAGCCCAACTTGCACGGGTCAAAGCACACTATGTACTAACCAGATCAACCACCCGATCCAGGTGCTTAAACCCAGACTCTTTCAGCACGCGCGGGTTCATATCATCTTCGAAATGGCGGTAGTTGAAGGGCAGTCGGAGACAGTTCAGACCCAGCTCCGCGAAGAATTTGGCGTCGGCGTCGGTGAAGAAGTACTCCAGCCATTTGTCGAAAAAGAACTCGTATTTTTCCTGACCAAGCACTTTGCGCATTGCAGAACGGTGCTGTGACTCGTGTCCCGCGAAGCCGGTGATGAAGTTCTCCATACTATTATCGATCGTCAGAAGAATGGGGGAGCGGGGGAGATTCCGGATGTACTAGAACGACTCACTTCATCCACCCGCCGATGGCAGCTCCTCGCAGGACAACTGCGTTTCCGTTTTGGTCGACGACATTGTCGCCCTTGACGCGCAGGAAACCGGTGGCCATTTTGTGTAGTGCGTTTCTGGAAAGGGCTGGCAGTGACTCGAATCGGTTATTCCCTCTAGTTCAACCGATGAACAAGAACCCCGCTGCTCGTAGTCGGCACCACAGGTTTAAATAGCAGATTCGCTTGACAAACATTTTAACCGCAGCCGCGGGGATGATGTTCTCTGTGTACCACAGGTCGGAAATGGGGTAAATGGACACTGGGGAAGCTTGGTCGTTAAGTATAGACCCCAATCCAATGGCATGTCGACCCGGGTAATCTCGTCTCCCATTTAGCCAGATGTCGCACTCCAAGCATCCCACACCGTTAACTATTGGAGCAAGATTTACAAATAGCAAAGCAGTCCAAATCAAACCTGACTCTTGTATTTTGATTTGAATAAAAGGAATTATGCCGGAAAAATATCGCTACCTGACTCTAACCCAACTCCAAATGCTAATGCTAATGCTAATGCAAAGAAAGAACCGCCAAACTCCCGCCCATAACTAGAAAACCTAGTTAGAACCCTCGATAACAACCCCACAATTCCCATTCGACACCTGCATCAAACCACCGCCGTCACCCTGCACGACAAGCGCATTCGCATAATTCGACCCAGAGCACGTAGTCGAGTCAACCAAGTAGCAGAACCCGACCCCAAAAGTACTGAATGCGCAACTGTCATCCTGCATGCAGCTCACGCAGCAGTCGTACGCCGAGTTCGCATCGCCTCTTCGCCATGTACTCCCCGGGATCTGCGAAGGAGTCCATGAAACCTCGGAGATATATCCACCGGCTAGGGAGCCGAAGTCCGATGATAGCCGTGAGCCGGCGATGTTGGGGGTTGCGCAGGCGGCGTAGAGGGATGTTGTACTGGATGCTGTTACTGTGTTTTTTGGTCTGAGTGTTATCGTTGGTGGTTGAAGGGTTTTTGTTGACGATATGGTTGATGTGACTGTGTAGAGGAATGTTGTTGAGATTTCCGGGGGAATTATGGTAGATGTAGCTGTGATGACGCTGGTTGTTCTGGTGGTGATTCTTGATGCGGGTTCTGTTTTGGTGATTGGTTTGCCGACAACGATCTCGATGATGACCGTTTCGATGATTGTTTCTTCTATATACTTCACGGCCTGCGGATGCCGCAGGTCTTTAAAGCCTATAGATCTTGACGGGGGGTGGTCGAGCCCTCGTTTGAGTTCGATTGGTGCCACTGCTGTTTCCGTTGGAAGGGTCGACACAATCGGCAAGAAGTCGCCTGGAGCATCGATAGTCGAGGTCGACGTGACGGTTACGGTGGTGTCTGTTGAGACGGTGCTAGAGACAGCGGACGGAGTCACAGATACAGTGACCGTCTCAAACTCGGTCGAAGTGACCGAGGCGACATCGGTATCCGCCGCGGCAGCCACATACACCGTAGATGATACCCAGTCCGTCTCAGTCACAGTCACGGGCTTGAGGTTCCTAGTGGTTGTGAAATGGATGGTTGACAACAAAGTAACCGGCTGCGGATTTGTCCTCGTCTTCGCGATCGTCAAAGTAGGAACATGCCCACGGTGCTCAAACAGGCCCAACTCCGTGTGGCGAGTCAGCACCGTCGAAGTGTGGCTCTGAGTCCTCCGCTCATAGGGATCAAGGAGCCTTGGCGCCCCCTCTACGGTCACGCAGAGCCCGGCGAGCAGAGCAAGAAAGCCAGCGACACGCATGGCCGTCCGTACGCAAATGATGAATGCCAAAAGCCCCGTCAGATTCTGCAGAGCTATTGATCTATTTATTATTTTTGACTTTTGTGCATTTCATCTCACCTCATCGCTTTAGATTGCCATCTTGATTTGTGTCTCGGTCTGGCCGTCTCCAACGCGAACTAGGGTCTTCTTGGCGTGTTCAGCCAGCTTAGCTTGAACTTTCGGTGGTGGCGCTGGACTACGCTTAGCGTCAATAGTAGTCAGGTTGTCTTACCAAATACCACCTAACCCCTCTCCGAATTCAGGGTAACATGATCGCGACACTAAAATTAATCATAAGACACCGTATTCTCCGGTCTAGATCACTTAATTACGCCGGCATTTAGATCCGTAATGAAGGGGACTGACTCAAACAAGACACTGGACAATGTACACACACACGTTCATTCACAAGCGTAAACACAAGACGCGCCAAGTAAACCATTGGCGGGGTGGTCTCTCAGGGTATTCATATCACACAAATAATTCGAATGCATCCACGCCGCCCCAGAAACACTCGGACGCCCGAAGAACAGAAGCAAGGAAAAAGGTACAGTTAAGTTCACAGACGACACATTTACCAGTCCTGTCCACGGTCCCGCATGAGAATCTCGATGGCCTCGTCCTCCGGGACGGGATTGTCGTTCAACTCCTTGACACATTGGGTCAGACCCTCTGCAGCCTCGTCCACCTGCTCCGCTGTCCATCCCGTGCACGCCATGACCATGCGGCGGTAGTTTTGGCCAAGCACGGCGTTCTTGGCTTTCAGACCGTCAACCTCTGCCAGAAGCTCGCCATTGAATTCTTTGTAGCACTTGTTGCGATGCGTGAGCACCGCCTCGCCTGGCAAGGAGGTTAGGAATGCAGTCTGTTCTGTGGAAAACCCAGACGTCGGGTCGAATGTGTCGGAGAATAAAGTCTCGAAAACGGTGATGTCGATCCCAGAGTCTTGGTCGGCATCACCCAAAACAGCATCTCTAGACGGATCACACCCATCCTCATTTTGGATAGTGGTGAACAAGGCCTCTGCAGACCGCTCCAGGTTCTTGATGCGCCGGTCAAACTCCACTCGGTCTGAAGACTTGCGCTTCAGCTCATCGAGCTGCTTCTGCTCGATCTGTCGGGCCTTGGCCGCCTCGCGGATTTTCGCATGCCAGTGATCGAATTTCTCTTGTTTCTGAGAGACACTCGAGGCAAGCTTTCGGTCTATTCCACCAAGGGCCTCTTCGACCATCGCGCTGATCTGGGATATCGTCGCTGGACAAGTTGTTAGAAAGTAGCACGGATTTTGTCAAATAGGAAAGCTTACCATCGAGGATCTCCTTCTTGGACTTTGCCAGCTGATCAATAAACGTGTCGCTCCGACCTGACACTTGCTGGGACTGCGCGGCGCCGTCAACCATATCGACACCAACCCCATAATCCGCCGGGCGAAGACCAGTATGATTGGGGATATGAGGGTCTGCGCCCACTTCCAGAAGCTGCGGGACAAGTACCGAGCGAGCACGTCCCGCCAGATTGAGGGCAGTGTCACCCTGGTCATCGCGTAGATTGACGATCTCCGCGATGAACCGCCCCAAGGAGATCACATCGGGGTTGTGAGACCCATTCGTGGAGTCCCCGTTTGTGGTTGGCACGATACCACCATGGCGCACAATGAATTCCAGCAACGATTCGAGGTAATGTTTTGCAGACACATGGCCACCACCGCCCGTAGCCGCCATCATGGCGATATGATGCAGAATGGTTCGTCCGCTGTAGTCGACCATGTCGATCGTCGGAGCGAGCACCTGCAGCAAACGAGGGAAACTGCGGTAGTCAAGATTGTTCCGTGTCCCCACGGACTTTTGCAGGGCCGTTTCACCGGCACCATTAGTCCGCGAGATATTGACCCCTTTGGCGACAAGTGCGTTGACCAGAGGCATACGTGCAAGCATCGCAGCCCAATGCAGGGCGTTGTTTCGATACTCGTCCAGAGGAATTTCGAGGTCATGTCCAGTCAGCTGCACCAGAGCTGGGTGGTTTGAGAAATCCTTCGCCCGCTTGTCAAGGAATAAGGTCATGATCAGCTTCATCTTTTGGAATCTTTCTGGAGTCGAGGCTGGAGCCAGCGCCTCAAGACCGCGTTTTTGGCCATTGTCTGGCGGGGGTGGCGGAAGATCAATGTCTTGGTAGAAGGAGTCGTTGGGCTCCGTCGGCGTAGGTTCGTGCATGGACAGGTTGGATGGCTCACGTTGTAAGCCAGCCGGTAGGCCATGTTGTGATGCAGAGCGCATGCGTTTGCGCGGCGGCTCTACCTGTTCATCATGATCATCGGGACCCTGGTAGCGGTTTTGTAGGCTCCCAAATCCACTATCGGAAACACTGTACATGCTCTGCTGGCTGCTGAAGGGCATAGACTCTTGGCTGTTCATCTGCTGCGAAGGCTTCCGAGCCATGCTGGGCCGACGGCTGTTTGCATTGGGTGAATCGAATCGAGCCTTGCTGAGGGCATTGACGGCGGTTGCCGCGGTGCGTGAGATATTTTGGAAGAATGTGCCCTGTTGCGGCTGCGACATACTCCGGTTATCAACTCCACTGTACATCCTCTTTCGCTGGGCAGCCATCGCCTGCTCCTTTGTAGGCGTGTCCAGAGTCCCCTGTGAGGGGCCGCCGGTGCCATCGGTGCTCTGATCGTACTCCAGCAACGGTCGCAGCATCTCTTCGACGTGGTACTCTCGGCACAATTCCACCCCCCGCTGGTAGTTGACCCATGTGCCTTGGTATTTCCCATAGCCTCCCTGTACCTTCTCGTGTTCACCGGCAGCGATCTCTTTTTCCAGGGTCTTGGTTCGTCTCGCTTTCACAACGCCGGCGACTTTGAGGATCTGGGTTGCGTTCAGCCAGGAGTCGGAGCGCCGCTTCATCACAGCGACGTTATTAACTTCCATTTCGTAAACGGACACATTGGAATAGACAGCCTTGAAAAAAAGAGAGTGATGGTCAGTAGAAGCACAAGCAGTAATCGTTGGACGAAACAAACCCGGTAGATCTGCGGCTTGTCGTAGTCATTTGAGCCATCGTATCCGCCGAAGCTACCCCGGGGCAGGCCGTTTGGAATGCCGAAGGAGGAGGCCTGGGATCCTCCTTTCGGGGGCGGGGGCGTGGCACGAGGCGTGGAGGAGAGGGATTGCGAGGCATTCAGCAAGTTATATGCCATGCCGTTCGACCCCGTACTGCTTTGTGAGTAGGACATTTGGCGTGAGGGCGGTCGGCATCGACTCTCTCTCTCTCTCTCGCTGGGGTGTGCGGCTGTGCGAGATGACGCGAGGAAAGGGATGGGCGCGTGTGGCTACCGCCCTAGACGTGGACCATTCACGGGAAAGAGCAAGTGTAGGGATGGATAGTGGTGTAAGGTGTGACACCGGCAAGAAGTGAGGTTACTGTAGCAATATCCGTAGTAATACAGTCTGTCGTAGTGGCCGTAAATGGGATTGGGGCGGGGGGAAGAGAGGAAGCGCGTCTCCCGTGACACGCAAAAGGGATTTTCGCGTTCTGCCGTTTTGGGCCGGAGCCCGACTGACTTCTTTCTACTGCGATAATGCTCGGACGCGAACACCCCGAATACTGGCGAATATTCCTCCGCTCCCTACTGCGCGATGCATCCTACCTACCAGACCCAGTGGCCCGGCGCTACATGCACGACTGGGTCATGCAGCGATTTCGCACCGTCCGCCATCGCAAGCAGACCCAGGATAGTCTCAAAGCCCTCGACAAAACCGCCCGCGCCACAACACAATTGCTACGCAAAGCCCAAGCCGGCCGCTTGCGCGCTCTAAACAAAGTACTATTCATGTCATACGGCCGCACAGGCAGACGGCGGCATGAACTTCTAGCAGAAATGCTCGCGGAGCCCGTCCCCGCCGACACCGAGGCCGTGCGGCACGTGGTGATGAACAAGAAGACCGATTTTGGAGACGACTGGCGGCCACCGGCTATGGTGATGGCCCTGCTCAAGTCCCAGATAAACAACCCAGAGATCCAGCAACGCCGACCAAGACCGCAGGTCAAGACGCTTGCACCATCAATTCCCTCGCAGAACAGCTGGGCGCAGCCCATGCCGCGTATCCGCAAGGTGAACCTTCGCCGGAAATGGTACCAGGATGTGCTCGACAGTCTTCTCCCTCCACTTCCAGACAACGTCCTGCGCACACTGGACGGTCTGGTGGACGGGACAGTCCGATGGGCCCCAGTGAAGCGGCGGACGCCAGCGAAACGGACCTTGGGGGAAGACGAGGTGGGAAGGGAAGACAAGGCCGACCAAAACCTTCTCAAAGACCTAACACTCGGTCTGGCGAAGGAAGGAACCTTCAGCCACGAAGGCGGACGCGCACACGATATCAATTACCGATTCATGCGGCATAACTGGCGACGGGTGTCGGCTCTCGTGCCGCGGATAAGCCGTGACGAGACGTGGAATAAGTGGGATATCTGGTGGGATCGACCCAAGCCTGCGGCGCAGTACGCATTCACGCCCAAGGATTCCGCGAAGGATATGTTCAGCAAGAAATATTCAGACTCGGAGCCGAAGGTCGACGCATACTCGCCCCGGCATGGTGTCGATGCTCCGGATGTGAAGGGTGACAGTAGGACTGCGAGTAAATGAACTGGGTTCTATGGAGATGTTGTTATAAATTATTGTACATTAGAAGTAACTACCCCAAACAGTGCTGGACACAGGGGATATGTGCATAGCGGGAAAGGGTGATTGATATCTATCTGAATTGACTCCGAGACACGTCTTCGTCTTCTTGTTCTTGCCCGGCAATTCGTGTACGATACGAGTCTACAATCTACAATACTTGACGAAAGAAGATAAAGAATAAGAAAATTAAGTAGTAAGATACTCTATCTATCAACCACGACCATCTTCTCCGCCGACTCGTCATGCGCGCGCAGCTCGCATCCCAGTTAAAGAAACACTCTATGTCCAGCGGGTAAGAGAAACAGCAAACAGAGGCGAAAAGAAAAATAAAAGAAAAACAGAAAAAAAAAAAATTGGTATATACGCCAGACCGTTCGATGGAAAGGTAGCAGCATCCCGGCGTCGAGTCGAAGGAATAGTAGCACAGACATCCCATGATGGAGTTAGACGGACAGACCACCGTGGGGGAAGCGGGGGGAAGATTAAGGGGTCGGGATGCAGGAGGAACAGGACTGAAAGAGAAGAGAGCAGAGACAGGAGATTGCCGGTGGGTAGAGAGGAGCGGGTTAGAGAAATAACTGGCCCTTCTCCAACCCCATCCGTCCATCCGCCTAGTCTCATCTCAAAGACAGGAAGGACTCAATCATCTCGCCATCTGTACAAACATGAAAAGAAAAGAAACCCACCATAACTCCATTCCCAAATGCACAACACAACTCCATAGACGCAGAACAAAAAGGTAAGGTAAGAAAAAAGGAGACTCGAAAAAGAACAAAGAAAACAGGAAAAAAAAAAATTAACATAGAATTAAAAAATCATGGCTTCTTCTTGACGTGGCTGCTCCCCGGTTCCGAAGGAGCTTGTTCCTCGCCGTCAATAATGCGCCACAAGCGGCGCGGGGAAAGCCTGTTTCCGAAGACATAAAGACCCACGAACCAGGCAGCGAGCATGTTGGCGAGGTGGTGGAGGAGGTAGGCGTAGGAGACGCCGTAGATTGCCGAGTAGATGGCGATGGCGAAGAAGATCATCGAGGTGACGTGCCTGAAGCGGGTGGTTATGCGGGGGATCATTGCTCCGCTGGTCATGGTTTCTACCAGGATGAGGAAGGGCATGATGGAAAGGACGTTGTGGTGCGAGGAGAAGGGCATGAACCAGTGTACCACGAGGTTGTGGGCCCAGACCAGGAGTACCAGGACATTAATTGGTAAGACCCACAGCATCAGAATCAAAATCGAGTGCGCGTAGTTGCCGAAGTTGAGGTGGGATGCGGACTTGGTTTCTTTGGCGTGCCATTGTGCCCGAACGCATGTGGCTAGCTGCACGATACAGGCCACCATATAGGCAAATTGATAGGGGATGATGGTTGCGACGAGAAGCAGGAGGAATGCAGTGTGGATGATACGCCGTCGGGGCGTGGGCGGGCTGAAAATTGGCAGGTTTCTAGTGCTGCAATTAGCAAAAGTCCATCCAAAGGAGTAGTGCTCGGCGTACCCTCGTTCCTCGCGACGGATATACCCCGACTTGCTGTGCATGACCCCATAGATCAGGGAGAAGATGTTGACAATGGCCAGAGCCAGGTAGTTAACAATAACGCAGGCGCCAACGCTGATGAGTCCGAAGACCGGAACCAGAAACCAGAAAAATGTATCTTGAGATCCCAACAACAGGTCATTCTTGGTGAAGTCGATGGGAGTCTCAGTGGAGTTCGTCCGCCAGTGGAATGGGTCGTCCCTCGGAGGGAGAGTCTGATGGCTAGCTAGGGAGGAAGCAAGTAGCGACATGGCCACCAGCAAAAGCGGAAGCGAAGACCGGATAGCACGGTCCAGGGCGTCGGTAAAAGGGATGAAATATCCCGACTCATCGTAAACCTGGAACTGCTTGCGGAGCACAAGCGCCACAACCAGCAGCGGAAATGCAGCGAAGATGGTGCGGTACCGCATCACGAGCTCGCCAAGGCTGCTGGTGATATCCACCTGTAGCGAGATGTCGACCGTCGAACCGGTGCTCGGGTCAGTCCAGAGCTGGAACGAGACACCATTTGACGCAGCCTGTTCGCGGAGCGGCGGTGGCATGAATGGCGCCATGCCGTGGAGGTTGACATTGACATCATCGACGTTGACAAAGAACTTGGACTCGTGCGGGTCGCCAATTGATTGCCGCAAGAGAGGAGCGAACAACTCCTGGCCCTGGGGGTGCCGCGTGATCTTGAGTCGATAATCAAGAAGACTGGAATGCAATGCCGGAATTCTCACTTCGGTGAGCATGGGCCGATTCGCAGGGAGACGCATCTTTAGACCGGCACTTAGCAGACCACCCAAGCCCACCTTGGCACGAATCATCGCATCCGAGCTGTCTGAGAACTCAGCTACCACAAATCCTTGAGTAGGGGCATTGGCTTTGTCCACAACGGCGACAAACTGGTGCTCGGCAAGGTCCTCGAGGTCGTACTGAAGATAGGAGAATGGCGGGCTGCGGTCGAACGGATACTGCGATTGCCGCGTAGAAGCAGGCAGATGAATAGCATCGTCGGCGGCGCTCTTGCAAGCGAGGCGGGTCGAGCCCACAGTGCCTCCAGAGAAATCCAAGTTCAAAGAGAACACGGTTGACCGGCCATTGCTCAGTGGGAAGACGCTGCAAAAGAGCACTTCGAGGTTGCTATTCTTATCAATTGGCTGATCCGAGAGTAACGTGAATTTCTTGCCCGATACACCTTGAGGTGGGATCGGCAACATGCGAACATCTGGCCCATGCTGTTGGCCCAACTCGCGTAGGATCAGACGTTGGCCCTGGGCAAGTATCGTGTTTGCATTGTCCTCCAGAGTCAAGAGGGTGTTCGGTTCTTTCTGTGAGAGCGTCCGTTCAGCCACGGACTCAAGTCCAGTGAGATACCACTTCTTCAGCACCCGCATTCTTTCCGCTCGGGGCTTTGTCTGGCTCGGGCGCCGAGCGTCAACAATCTCAAACAGTGACTTGATGATGGCCTTGCGAAACTGGTCGCACCAAGTGATTGACAGGTGGTCCATGCCGATCCACACGTCTGGAATGGTAGAGGTGAACACGGTAAAGCCGTGCGTGTCTGGAACGAGAGAGGAGATGCTCGCGTAATCCGACGGCACCACGGTGTCACGCGAGCCACCCGCAATGGAAATCAGAGTAACGTGCCACAAGGGATTGTTGTTCGCCCAGGTCTGCGAGTAGGCCTCGCGCCAGTAGTCGTTGATTTGTTTGTAGGTGTGGACGATGTCCGAGTCAAAAGACACTGGGGGTTTCGAGTGCGGCGCCGACATGGTGATGATGGTGTTGACTGAATTGGCTTGGTAATTGGCCATGGTCAAGGACGTTCGCGCCACAATCCCGCCCATGGAATGCCCGATGAGAACGACCGCGCTGGGGTCGGGTAACCCGGGATCGCGCCGCGACCGCCGGGGATCATGATAAAGCGACAGAATGTACGCGATGGCTTCGTTCACGTACTCGGCCTGATCCAGCAATGTCTGCCCATGGAACGCGGCCATATCTTCATTGAAATCAACCATGAAAAAATCCAAGCTGCGGGCGCCTGCCCCGATCCGGTCCTCGTCGTGCCGCACCACATCATAGTAGTATCGGGAGGCTTCGGCGGCCAACGACCGGACTTGTCGATAGCTACCGGCATTGCCGGGAAGAAACAAGACCGGCACGCCATTCAACCCGATGTTATCCTGGGTGTAAGGGTCCACGCCCTCCTCACGGTACAGGTAGAGGTTGTATTTGCTGGCGAACCGCGTGTGCTCCGTGTCAAAATCCAACATCTTGATAAAAGTCGGACTCATCATGGGCACACCGCAGCCATTACTCCCGACCTGGCGACTGTTAAACGACCGAATAATCGAGATGAGAAACGCGACCGCGACGCAGGTTGTGAAGGCCGTGAGGATGGAGCTGGTCCAAGGACTCCGCAGGCGAGACTGTCGCCAGCGGCGGCCATCCGGGGAAGAAGGGGCCTCCATCGGAAGCCGGGGCGAGGCCAATGGCATGGTTTTGGTATCGTTGGACGGATGGGAGGACGGGGTGCGCCACATGCTCGAATTCCGGGAGCGCGGCGTCGAGCTGCCGTCACGGCGAGTGTCGAAGGAGGTGCCTCGGGGGGCTATCTGCGACCGCGATTTCTCGTTGGCGGAATCGATGGAGTTGGAGCCATGATCGTCCGAGGAGGAGGGGGGTGTGGTGGTGCGAGAGGCTGAATCGTCGTCGGCCTCGACAGGGGAGCCAGACGAGCGTCTGTGCATTTGAGGGAGGCGGAGCCGGGACTCATCCAGCGCCCACGGACTCTCTCTTGGCAAGGGGGAGCGATCGCACAGGGAGGAGGAAAGGGTGGAGGGAGGGGGAGGAAGGGAGGAATGTGCGAGTGGAATGGATAAGTTGAGTGAAGGTGAAGATTCGGGAGCGAGAGAAAGACGGACTTGGCACTAAGCGGGTCGGCAGAACTACAGAGTACTACGTTACCTGCTTCTTGTTAACCAGGCTTTCTTGTTACAGATTGAACTCTTCTTTACTTCTACTTTGACTTTTGTACTTTTCGCTTGTCCTAAAATAATAATTTGCCTCCCGCAATTCAGCGTGTCAGGTGAGACTAGTCGAGGCGGCGCAGAAGTGAGACACCACTAGCATGATCGACGGTTATTATGAACGGCTGGTCAAACGCTGGACGCGCGTTGTGCAGCCATCTGCTGAGCAACCAAATACGGTAGGTACCTGCAGTTGGCGCCGCTCAACATAATATTATGTATCTTAGGGTAGGAAAAAAAAATGGCCTGAGTGGAAATACCTCTCCCCAAGTCGGACCCCTAACTGCCGAGCAGTTGTGGATACTGGAGGTGGTGGTATTTTTTCGAAATTAGAGCACATAATCTCGCAATCGAATTAGTGCATTTTGCCAGCAAATGGCGTGACCTAGAGCATACGGCACTACGTAAGTAAACACAAATAGACCAGGGTGTCTGCGGGGTGGCCGATCTCCCCGCAGCCTGGAGAATTATAAAAGGACGAGTAAGACCCGGGAAAAAGGGGCAAGGTAGGTGCTGATTTCTTATTTCATTTCGAGTTGTAGAGTGGAGATGAAGATACTTCAACCCGACGACTGGCGCACGCTAGAGTGAACAATTATATTAAGCAGACACGGATCCACCATGATTCTCGGGATAGTTATTGACGATTTGGATCTTCAAACGCATAGCTAACCATGAATCATCTTATTAGGATTGATAGTACGATAATATTCCAATTCGGCGAGATAACAATTCACATCCATAAGCATCGACCGGGTATATACTTCATCAAAAAAAACCAAAGCGAAGCAAATTACTCCTACTGCTTAGCGGCCCCCTTCTCGGGGTCACTAACATCATCAACAGGGTTCTCCAAGCCACGGTGGGCAGCAACCTCCGCCAAATCAGAATCATGCTCGACGTCAAACTCGCGGCCGAGATGCTCGGGACCGACCAAGGTGATAAGAATCGTGTACGCAAAGACACATCCCATGAAGATACAAATGACCTTGCCATACGCGTAGCGATGGGCCGCCTCCTTGGTCGGAGGCAGCGGGAAGCGCTCGCCGATGGTCGACTCAATGGTCGAACTCGCCGACGACACCAGATTACCCAGTTGGTACGAGGTACCGACGACAAAAGTGCGGATGGGACCCGGGGATAGCTCCATCAGGTGGATGGGGATCACACCCCAGGCACCCTGAACCATGAACTGCTCGAAGAAGGCGGCCGCCATCACCGAGTGGTTCTCCACAAACGTGTATGGGTACAACAGCGCGCCGCCGACGATGGAGATCACGATGATCGAGAACCGCCGGCCGAAGATCTGACTAGCCCAGCCGCACAGCGTGCCGCCCGACAGCGCGCCCAGGTTGGCGACCACTTGAGTGACGGTGACGGCGTTGGAAGAGAAATTGAATTGGTCTTCCAGCATGGTCGGGTAGAGATCTTGCGATCCATGCGACTAGGACGAGTCAGCGATTACCCACAACCCACTTTAGGAGTGGTGTTACGTACCATAAAGTTAAAGCCCGCCATCAGCAGCACCATATAGATCAATAGCAGCCAGTGACGCTTGAGCGCGACCTTGCCCTCCTCTACGAAGGACTTGGCTACACCACCCCTCACTTGCTCCCGCATCGCCTGTCGCCTTATAAAGGTATCAGTCTCTGGCAGACACAGACGGAAAGCAATAATGAGAACAGGCGGGCACGCCCCGAACCAGTACAGAGGGCGCCAGCCATGCGAGGTGGTATTGACCAAGCCACGCGCAAACGCAGTAGTAAGCAAGTAGCCAAACGCGTAGCCCTGCTGCAGCAGACCGGAAACAATGCCGCGGGCCTCGGGGGGACAGTCTTCGAGCGCGGTGGCAGCGGCGTTCCCGTAGAGACCGCCCATAGCAATCCCGAACAATGCGCGGCAGGCCAGGAACTGGCGGTAGGTCTGGGCGAAGCCGGCTCCCAGCTCGAGGACAATAAACAGAACCAGATTGACGACAAACGGCCATTTGCGTCCATAGCGATCAGACGCGATACCGAAGATGATGGCGCCGACAGACCGCAGCATGAGCACGAGGGTGATGCCCCAAGTGATTTCTGTGACCGAGGTATCAAAGGTTTTCGCCATGTCCGTAGCAGTCAGAGAGACACTAAAGAAATCATAGGCATCCCATGTCCATCCGAGGAAGGCGACCTAAGATGCATTAGTACTCTTCATGGTCCGGATGGTAAGTCAAGCCCGTACCAAGAAGAATAGCCATTGCTGTCTATTCAGCAGCGCGAGCGCCTTGAAAGGGTTCGGAGCCGGCCTCATGGGCGGCACCAGAGTCGGAATCCGAGTCATCACATATTGCATGCCGCTCACGTGCTCTTCGATCTCCGGCGAGGAAGTAGCCTCCTCGTTGGTCTGCTGGGGCTTTTCCTGGATGTCCGCCATGGCTGGTGGTTCAGAGAGGGTGACAGAGAGAGAAAACAACAAAGCCGGAGCCACGCGACTTAAGTAACCGACACCATGTCCGTCAAGCTCCCCAAGCCCAACCCCGCTTATGAGCACGGGTTCGCTTCCTGGTTTCTCGGGGAATGCTGATCTTGAGCTTTCTGGGAATAGGCGGCCCAGCCAGGGGATTTAGCACGAATCAGGGTTTGTCAGGTGCGGTCCACAGAAAAAGTTCCGAGCCTGCTAGAGGTCCGGTAATTCGGCATGGGGGATACGAGCTGCCCGTTCTCTGTTGGCCCAGTCTGTTGTTGCAGACACTCTAGAGAGAACTGTCCCCTTTGGGCTCCGTATTTCTGAGCATGTTCCTCCCCGGGCGAGACTTACTCCGGGGTTGATTTCTCCAGGCCGAGGTGTGTGTGTAGTGTGGAGTAACTATGGAGAGATGGAGATGAAGAAAATTGGCTCGGTCCCCGCAAGCCACCCCGAATACGCCCACCGGGTCACCGGTAAAAAAATCAGAGGAACAATCCCGTGTTGAAAGTCTCTTTCGGTAATTCTCGGTAGTGAATGGCTATCTCCTACTCGGGGTTTAACTTCCTCGAGAGTCGGCGCCCCGGGGAGAAACTTGGCTGCTTGGCTTTCGGAAGTTGGCCGATAATCAACTATGTACTGGCAGTCGCGGACAATGAATACTATGTATGCCATTGGCCCCCGGAGACAGAGTTTAGCCCCAGACTCGGTATTTAGCCGTGCCAGTGGAGCTGAGGCTTTACATACCCCATCGTCAACCACCTATCTCGAATTCTCGAAACCTACGACACGTCCCGACATCGCAGGTTGGAATTTCTTGGCTTATAGTTATCCAATGTTAAGATTGCAACATGATTTGGCATCAGAGCCGCTCTCGACGGCGCTCAGACCCTGCCGTAATGCTTGCCAAGTTGAATCCTTCCCTTGCGTTCATTTTGCGATTGGAGGAATCGCCGAAATAATATGCCTCTATGTATCCTGAGAGTCTCATGTTGAGATTATGTGGGGGCTAGTTTATTAGATGATTAAATGTGTTAGAGAGTCGAACTATTGAATACAGATGATAATAATGCGCTCGTAACAGATGTTTCTAACAAGACAGCTAATGGTTGTACTTAAAGGAGGATAGACTAGACGAAAGAAAGACAGAGCGTCCAGATATCAATTGTCAGCCTTCTCTCAGCTATCGACCACACCCCAGTCTGTCATTCACTCCAGCACAAACCAAGCCACCGTCTTCTCATCTACAAAAGGCCGCCTTCCCGCTCCACAGCCGCTCGGCCAGATCCATCCGACCGCGACGAGGCTTGATAACCCGGAAAACGCCCTTCTTAGCCGTGGGCACAATAGGTTTGAGCGATGGGGTGCCCGTGAGAGAACTACCCTGAGATGGAGAGGTCGTGTCCGGCGGGGCGAAAGCTTTGGCCTTGGTGATCCGCTTCTTGTGAGTCTGGGCCGAAAGAGGCTTTTGCTCTTGCTGGCGGATGAATGCGTCGTAGCCCTTGTGGAAGGGTGTCATGTCTGCCGGTTTGACCAAGACCAAGCCGGACTTGATGGTGGTAGTTGCGGTAGTTATGGTAGTGATAGAAGTGGCGTGGCCATCCTGAAATATAGCCCGCTTGGTGTAGATGCTCCTCGCTTCATCGAAAATTTCGACCTCAGTGCTGAAGGGCATGTTGAAGGATTTCTCCTTTGGCTTGGTGGCCGTTCGAGGGTGGAGGGGTGTGTGTGTCTTATTGGCCATGGGTTGGATGATGTGAAGCCGTGAATGGTCGAGGTTGATGTTGATAGAGATGAAGATGTGTGAGGGAGTCGAGGATAGTAAAAGTGTTAAAGGGGGACTTTGGTATAGACCGAGGTCGTACTGACTATGAAGCAACAATAGGTATAGCGAAATAGAAGGAAGACACAGTATAAGTGAATGGCAACGTGAATAGGGAAGCGGTAGTGGTAGAAGTGAATCAAAATGTGAAGAGTAGGGAATAGAGAATAGAAAGCGAGACAACTGATTCACAGAGGATCTTAAGAAAATAGAAATGATACAAGTAGAAGAAGGAATCTGCACAATTCTATAGCTTCGTTGAATATGGCAAACGTCCAGAGGAGAGGTACATCCCAATCAGAGCAAGCACGGAGCAATTAGGGTTAGGCACCAAGAGCTCTACCCACGGATTCTGGTACAACATGCCACGCTGAATACGGCCCGAGCTACATGTGTATCTAGAAATAGGTTAGATGACCTTACTAAATCTCGTATTAAGATATCTCCTACTAAGTCATGATTGTCTCTCACTTCTCTGCCTAATATTTCTCGTAGGCCAAAAGATCAGTTTTCTGGGCAGCGTACACTTACGGATACATAGATGTGCCTCCTGTACACTCTGTCCCTATTCTGCAGCACGCCCTATACCTCATACGATCTCAACAATCATAATCATTCGTGTTATAAATATAGCTGTGGCTGTGGAGTCAGACGGTGGCTGTGCAGACCCCTCGGTGCCCCGCTGTCACTTATAACCCAACTGCTTCCCCTGACACGGTCAGCTTCCCTTCCTATTCCTGTCATTTTCAATCCATCCACATACTCATCACATCCATCATGTCCCATTACGGCGGTACTCCCCAGCAAGGCTACGGAGGTGAATACTACGGCCAGCCGCCCCAGCAGGGTGGTCAGGGCTACCCACCGCAGGGAAATTACGGCGCCCCGCCTCAGCAAGGCTACTACCCTCCTGAAGTGAGTCGCAGACAGACTGCGCGCGAGACAAGACCGTTGCGCAGAGTAAAGAAAAGCAACTGACCCTCTCCAACAGCAACAGCAACAATACGGCCAACAACCCTATGGCCAACAGGGCCACCCGCCTCCCTACAGCGAGAAGGGCTACCCCGGCGGGCAGGGCGGATACGGAGGTCAGCCACCGCAGCAGGGCTATCCTCAGCAGGGTTACCCTCAGCAGCAGGGCTACCCCCCGCAGCAGGGCTACCCGCCCCAACACGGCGGCGAGAGCGCTTCGTACTACGGCAACGCACCCCCCGGCGCGCAGCAGGCATACCCGCCTGGCGCGGTAGGACCCGAGGGCGAGCGCGGCCTAGGATCGACTTTGATCGGCGGTGCAGCGGGCGGGTTTATGGGCCATAAGATGGGTGGTGGAGCGATGGGCACTGCGGGCGGTGCGATCTTGGGTGCAGTGGGTGCGAATGTTGTGCATCATGAATAGTAAGTTGGGTCTGGGTCTGTGTGGGAGATGTTCGAAGTGATGCATTTGGCTGACGTATCTGGTTACCGAACAGTGAGAAGCACGAAAAGAAGGGCAAGAAGCATAAGAAGGAGAAGAAGCACAAGCACAAGCGCTCCAGCTCCAGCTCCAGCTCATCGAGCTCGTCGTCGAGCGATTAAGGCGTCGTGGTGACGCTGTAGGAGGATAGCTGGGTTGCTGTGGGAGATACGGGAGATGTTTAACCCTTGTTGATGCCGACATGCGATATGCCGAAATCCCAAGTTCTCTCTCGACCGGTTGGGTAGCTTGGACTTTGTCGATAGCGAATGAGTTTGTGTGCTTACCATACGTTGTACCTATCCATCTTTCTATACTGCCGCGCAGTATAGTTACATACTCCCACTGTGTTCATACAGTAAATAAATCAGCATTGCTTGAATCGTGCCCGGGTTCCCCTGATTATCTTAGCGCCCAATCCCTGCAGCGGCGGCGGTGCCATGTTCCACCCGGTAATCGAGCCAATAGTTCAAAATAGTCCGTCCGAAGGCCGTGGACACGGTACCTGCATCTGCAAAAAATTCTCCTTTTTGATTTGTCTTGCCGGTGATAGGCCGACAGCCATCCAGGGTGGCTGTTGTCCCCGGGGCGCTATGTATCAGACATAGGCCTGAGCGCGGCGTCCAATAAACAAACACGGAGACAGAAAGGGGCTGCTCCCGAGTATTCCCTGTGAATAATCCCTGCGAAGAAAAAATTGAAGAAAAAATTAAATCTTTTCAGCCGCCGCGCCGAATACTGCAGAGCGCGCTCGATCCTGCTGTACAACATCAACTACTACCGGACTATCGTCCTTATCCTTATCACTGCGTGGAGACTACCCCAGATTACTTTTATCTCTTCAGCTGGCGATAACTGCCTGCAGGAATAAGGGGGCGCCTTACGAGTGGATCCTCTTCCCCAGCCAAGAAAGACGATGGAAGGGGCGAGGGAGATACATACAGACTAGTCTCGGGGGAGGGCCTATTATTTCCCCCAATCCCCATAGAATAGACAACTGGGGCGAGCGGCCCTGCGGGTCCGCTAAGATAATAACGACAATGTAGGGAGATGAGCTCGCCGCGACGTAACCATCGCTAAACAGCACAACAACAGTGGCGATGAATAGAGGAAGCCGAGCCAAGAATAATGAAAAACTTTGCTTGCTTCCGTTGCTTCCAGAAGCACGGTGTGATTCGTCGCGCGGGAGTCGCGGAAGCATCAGGAATGCCGGATCGATCTCCTGAAGCGGAACGAAACAATCTTTTTGTCGATGCAAGGTTTTTTTTTTTTTTTTTTTCCCTTCCTTTTTTTTTTTTTTCTGCCAGTGGTCCAGACCCACATCGCTGCGCCTACCCCCGACCCGATCGGTTTTCGCCACTGGCTTTGCTGCTCTTCTCTCTGGGGGATAAGGGTTGCTCGGGGGATCGGACACTGCAGGGCTGCTTGGACTAAAAAAAATTTCTTATCGGCTGTGACGGGGCATCATGATAGCCGATAAGATGCGGTGACAAGTGAAAAAAAAAGCGGCGCTGGCTCCGAAGTACATACAACAACATTATACATGCCTCGTTTCAGCATCCCTAGATGCCTCTAGCAGTCAAGTGTAACAAAGGCTGATTTACCCCTGACTACGAACGATCAAACAGGGTTGTTTCTCTCGGGGATAGCCATGTCGATCGAAACCTGTAGATCCCGGTCTCCTTTTTTTCCTTTCATGCTGACGGCCTTGCCTAGGCCAGCCAACCGAGGCAGGCAGGTTTGTATAGACAGAATATTGGTTCGCGGACACCAACGGAACAGGTCCCAGAAAATTTTCGTAACTCTAAAAATATTGGGCACGACGTGAAAAGAAAGGACTGCGCCACCCGGTCATTCAGTGGCGACAGGAATAGCACCAGGCCCCCGGGCCTAGCCTGACAGTCTCTATCCCCCGGATTCACGATAGCCCCTCGAGGATGACCGGGATATCCACCCGCCAACATAGTCCGTCGTACATTCTCACCCGCAAATATAGCACAAAAAGAATCATCATCATAATAAAATCATCCGTTCGATGCTCATCCGGGATTCGCCTCACCCATACCCGGCCATACTCAGGTAACTTCATCGTTGAGAGGCGGTGTCCCGACTATCCAATCAACCGGAAGGGATTCGGGCGAGTGCTTATCCTAATCAGTAGTCCGCTAAACCCGATCCGGGCAAGCGCGGGACAATGGACTGAAAAAAAAAAAATTTCGGTCGGGAGGCAAGCCGCACGATAAATATCTCGCCCCCCCTTCTTCTCTCCTTCTCTCTCTCTCCCTTTTCCCATCTCACCCTTACTCTCTCCCCCAAACCCCATACAGAGGTCTGGTCCTCTCTTTTTTACTTGTTTTTCTTTCTCTATCTGCATAGACAGAATAGATCCCTGCCCATCGCTCATAGAGAGCGTTCGCTGCGTTCTTGTCAGCCAACGCAGTTTTTTTTTCACGGGTTAACCACCAACCCAACAAGAACATACACACCACACCACACCGAGCGATACCCCTCATAGAAGAGAAGACAAAAGTTGCATCTTTCTTTCTTTACAGTTAATACACCTCACCGCCAAAATTTCTTCCAACATGCCCGCCGTCGACGTTTCATCTGTCCCTGCCGTCTCCGGCAAGGAGACCGCTCAGTCGGTCGCTGTCCTCGAGGACCTCATCAAGAACCTGAACGTCTCGACCAGTCCCGATGAGGTCAACGCCGCTGCCGGCAACCTCGCCTCTCTTTTCGGCGGTCCCATCCCCGAGCAGACCCTGCCCCTGAAGGCCGTTGAGACCTTCAAGAAGCAACTTGCCAACAAGAAGGATGCTGTGGCCCGCGAGCGTGCCCTCGAGGGCATCCGCGCCATTGCGTCCCACACTACCATCGCTCCCGGTGTGGAACCTCACCTTGCCTCACTCATTGGCCCCGTTCTTGCCGCCGTCGGCGACAAGATGACCCCCGTCCGGGAGGCCGCCCAGAGCACCGCTGCCGCCCTCGTTCAGGCGATCAACGGCAACGCCGTCAAGGCGATCGTTCCTCCCATCCTCGAGTCCCTCGCCAACGCCCAGAAGTGGCAGGAGAAGATGGCCGCTCTGGCTTGCATTGACACCCTCGTCGAATCCGCTCCCGCTCAGCTCTCCTACCAGGTCCCCAACCTGATCCCGGTTGTCTCCGGAGCCATGTGGGACACCAAGTCTGAGATCAAGAAGACCGCCTACGCCACCATGGAGAAGGTCTGCGGCCTGATCGTCAACAAGGATATTGAGCGCTTCATTCCCGAGCTCATCAAGTGTGTTGCCAAGCCCGAGAACGTCTCCGAGACTGTCCACTTGCTCGGTGCTACCACTTTCGTGTCCGATGTCACCGGCCCCACCCTCGCTATCATGGTTCCCCTGCTGGACCGTGGTCTCGTTGAGCGTGAGACTGCCATCAAGCGTAAATCCGCTGTCATCGTCGACAACATGTGCAAGCTCGTCGAGGACCCCCAGATTGTTGCTCCTTTCTTGCCCCAGTTGATGCCCCGTCTGGAGAAGAACCACGACACCCTGGCCGACCCCGAGGCCCGTGAGAAGACCCGCCAGGCCCTCGACACCCTCACCCGTGTGGGTAATGTCAAGGATGGCAAGATCCCCGAGATCTCCACCGCTGGTGACATCTCCACCGTCTCCGCCATCCTCAAGAAGATCCTGGAGCCCAAGTACAAGAGCCAGATTCCTCAGTGCGAGGCCGTCATCAACTACGTCGCTGCCATCGCCGGTCAGCTCGTCGACGAGAAGGACAGCGAGGTGGTCACCTGGACCCAGAACGCCCTTCCCTACATCACCGCCATCGTCGGTGAGGCCGATGCCAAGTCCATCGCCGAGTCCCTGCGCAAGCAGGCCTCTCCCGAGGCCGCTGCCGCTGACGAGGTCCCCTCCGACGAGGAGGAGGGTGAGGATCTGTGCAACTGCACCTTCTCTCTGGCCTACGGTGCCAAGATCCTGCTCAACCAGACTCACCTGCGTCTGAAGCGTGGCCAGCGCTACGGTCTCCTGGGCCCCAACGGTTCCGGCAAGACCACCCTCATGCGCGCCATCAACAACGAGCAGCTCGAGGGTTTCCCCAAGAAGGACGAGGTCAAGACCGTCTACGTCGAGCACGACCTGGATGCTGCCGATACTGAGTTGACTGTCATCGGCTGGACCACCAAGAAACTGAAGGAGGTCGGCCTGGAATTCTCGCAGGAGGAAGTCGAGAACAAGCTCGAGGGCGAGTTCGGTTTCTCCCGCGCCCAGGTCGAGGGCCCCATCACCGCCCTGTCTGGTGGTTGGAAGATGAAGCTGGCTCTGTGCCGTGCCGTCTTCGAGAGCCCCGATATTCTTCTGCTCGACGAGCCCACCAACCACTTGGACGTCAAGAACGTTGCCTGGCTCGAGGACTACCTCAAGAACTCCCCTTGCACTTCCATCATGGTCTCCCACGACAGCAAGTTCCTGGACCATGTCATCCAGCACGTCATCCACTACGAGCGCTTCAAGCTTAAGCGTTACCGTGGTACCCTGAGCGAGTTCGTCAAGCGCGTCCCCTCCGCCCGCTCCTACTACGAGCTGAGCGCCTCCGACATGGAGTTCAAGTTCCCCGAGCCCGGTTTCCTTGAGGGTGTCAAGACCAAGTCCAAGGCCATCGCCCGTGTCAACAACATGTCCTTCCAGTACCCCGGTACTCCCAAGCCCCAGATCAGCGACATCTCCTTCCAGGTGTCCCTGGGTTCGCGTATTGCCGTTATCGGTCCCAACGGTGCCGGCAAGTCGACTCTCGTTAACGTCCTGACTGGTGAGCTCATCCCCACCTCGGGTGATGTCTACCAGCACGAGAACATCCGTATCGCCTACATCAAGCAGCACGCTTTCGCTCACATCGATAACCACCTCGACTCCACTCCCTCTGAGTACATCCAGTGGCGCTTCCAGACCGGTGAGGACCGTGAGACCATGGACCGTGCCAACAAGATCGTCACCGACGATGACGAGAAGGCCATGGAGAAGATCTACAAGGTCGAGGGCTCCCTCCGCCGCGTCATTGGCATCCACTCCCGCCGCAAGTTCAAGAACACCTACGAGTACGAGATCTCGTGGTCGCTTGGTGACAACGTCGGCATGAAGGGCGAGAAGTGGACCCCGATGATGAGCAACGACAACACCTGGTTGCCTCGCTCCGAGATCATCGTCTCTCACCCCAAGCAGGTCGCTGAGGTTGACCAGAAGGAGGCTCTGGCCTCCGGTCAGTTCCGTCCCCTGGTCCGCAAGGAGATCGAACAGCACTGCGCCAACTTCGGCCTCGACGCCGAGCTGGTCTCTCACTCCCGCATGCGCGGTCTGTCCGGTGGCCAGCGTGTCAAGGTTGTCCTGGCCGCCTGCTCTTGGCAGCGCCCCCACGTCATCGTCCTGGACGAGCCCACCAACTACCTCGACCGTGACTCTCTCGGTGCCCTCTCCAAGGCCCTCAAGTCCTTCGAGGGTGGTGTTGTTATCATCACTCACTCGCGTGAGTTCACTGAGAACCTCACTGAGGAAGTGTGGTCCGTCATGGACGGCAAGATGACTCCCTCCGGCCACAACTGGGTTCAGGGCCAAGGCTCCGGCCCCCGTCTTGACCAGAAGGGCGATGATGATGAGGACAAGTTCGATGCCATGGGTAACAAGATCACAGTCGAGAAGAAGAAGAAGCTTACTGGTGAGTTCCTACCCTACCTGCATACCCTCTTATAATCCCAACAGTCACTAATATCTTTTCGTTAGGTTCTGAGCTTCGCAAGAAGAAGAAGGAGCGTGCTGCCCGCCGCAAGCGCGGTGAGGAGGTCTTCTCCGATGAGGACGATTTCTAAATGGGATCCATTTTGTTGTGATGCATTTTTTATGATTGGTCGATGAATTTCATTTGCTGCTGAGAGAAATTACATGTCATTAGTGAGATCAATACAGTCATTCTCTGTTCAATTTTGGTCCTGTAGAAAGTTGTAGAAAGTGAGGAGAGGTTAGCCCTACTCGCATGTTGGTTGTGGTTAGTGTGAAGTTATCTTGGGTGAAGCTACTCAGTATGGTCAGTCGAGGACATCTACTCTGGCTAGCGTTTGCTTGAGCCTTGTGTAATGCTTCTTTATTTACTCTCATCTGCTTCCTTTCTAACCTAGTTCAGCTGAATTGATCAGGTAACTAACTAATCAACACAATACTGTGAAGCGAACCCACTTCGACGCTACCACCTTGATGAGGAACACATTATCTACAAAATTCTTGCTCACCCTTAGCATAACAAGTCGAATCCCAGTAGACAACCACATGCGTCTCCTTCACGGGCCCCGGCGGGATTATCAGTTGACTCCGTCGAATACGAGGTAACCTCCTGCCCCCGCTCTTTAACTCCTCTTGATATATATATCCCGTTCAACCGAAACTTCAACCAACCACTTCCTTAACCTACACTCAATTAATTGAAACAGCATGACTCCTCAACAATCTCCACACAAAACCCTCGAAGCGCAGTGCCACTGCACTGCCGTGCATTTCACCATCACCATCCCAAGGGGAGACCTTCCACTAAAAATCAAGCTGTGCCACTGCAGCAGTTGCCGGTACACACACGGCACGCCCTGCAGTTTCACTGCCGCGCTTCCACGCGGCGTTGAGCCACAGTTCGTCGCACCCTCGCACATTAACACCCTCACCCCCTATACGTACATCGATACTCGTTTCTTCTGTAGGACCTGCGGTTGCCAGATTGGGGGATGGAACTCTACAGAAGGGAGATGGTTTATCTCCAGCGCCATATTTAATAACAAGGACAGCCAGGATGAGGGAGTTTGGGTATATGACGAACATGTCTTTACAGGGTCCTCGGCCGATGGTGGGATTTCAGGGCTGGTGGCCTCTATTGGAGGAAGGAAATTGGGAGTCTATAACCCTGCTCCGGCTTCTGCTCCAGCCCGGTCTCCGTCAAATCCACCTACAAGACCACACAGCCGAGACAGTCTCCAAGCCCAATGCCACTGCGCCGGCGTCTCCTTCACCATCACCCGCCCGCGACCAGACTTCCTCACCACCCCCATGAGCAATGGATTGACGCACCCATCCGACAGAAGTAAATGGCTCGCATCCCTCGACCTCTGCACAGACTGCCGCCTAGTCAACGGAACAAACGTGATAGGATGGATGTTCGTTCCGCTAGATCACATCTCGCCTTCTCCTGCCGGGCCGGAGCTACTCCTTGGATCATCGAAAACATACCACTCCAGCGAGGGTATAACGCGGACCTTTTGTGGGGTCTGTGGTGCAACGGTGTTCTTTGCTTGGGAGGGACGGCCTGGTGAGGTTAATGTTGCCACCGGCCTTTTGCGTGCATCTGATGGTGTCATGGCCGAGCAGTGGATTCTGTGGATGGCTGGGAGGATTTCCTGGTTTGAGGATGGGGTGGTGTTTCATGAAGGCTTTGCGAGGAGTTTGTGGGATGGCTTGAGGGATTGGGGAAGGGAACGCGGGCAAGGGGAGGGATTTGTAGCGCCTTAGCTTGTTCTAGATACATATTTGGCTTTGTTACTGTCTAGGCTGAAGAAAAAAGGTTGGAGATGCTTCTGCTTCTTTCTGTATTTGTGCGGTAGTGATTCGAGTCTCTCTGTTGAGAAATGGATTGGCAGGACTGGGCAGCTACTCACTGAAGTGTGGACTCATGGGTTGGTATTTGACCATGTCAACTCACTCACCCCAGCTGCTCGAGACCCTCGTCCTTTCCACCTCTCCCACAACCATCTTCCATACACTTTCAACCCCATTCCCTACCTCCGAGTTCAGTGATTTTGAGCCACGCATGCACTGAACTTGTTCTGCACGACTGAGCCATGGATCCTGCCGGTGTAAGTCACAGATCTCGTTCATTTGTTACCATGTGGTTTGGCGAATATGCCCCGAACGAAAGACTAACCGCCGAGGACTCACAGTCCGTCAAGGTACCTCATCCTTCAACGGTGATGCCAGGTCAACCAGGGGAAACAGAAGAGTCAACCACTGATATCAAGAACCAGGGCGAGGAGATACCCGTCAGGAAGGCTGCCGACAAGCCACAAGTTTCAGCCAGTCAAGTGGTAAGAGAGATATTCTTCACCTTCACATTCTTCACAAAGTGCTTATCCTAACTCTAACACAGTCCCAGCACACCCAGACAAAGTATCGAATGATCGCCCCGCGACCCAACACGGAGACCTACACCACCCTAACCCCCAAAGAGCTCCACAGGCAGCGCCTGGTAGCAACCCGCAACGAGATCACCTCGAAACTCGTCGCGAAGTACGACTACTGCCTCGAATTTGGACGCCGAATCACGGAGCTGCGGCGACTGTTCGATACCCTTTGTGAGACTATCAGCACTGAACATGCTACCTATCGCCGCGAGTGGGCCGACGACCTGCAAGAGCAGTTGGACAAGATGAGACGGTGTGTTGCGCAAGATCATGCCGAGCTGAATGCGCTAAGGGCGAGGCATCGTGAGGTTACGCTGGAGTTGGAAGGCTTGCCTTGATTCTTTGTAGTCAGCATTGACAACAATGTCTTCGACAGGGGGTGAGTGAGGCAGTGAGTGGATTGAGATTTGTATCAAAGTGGCCTTTTACCTACACAACCTACCCAGATCTTGCATGTCCCTTCCTTCCATGTGAATTACGGATAAGAATGATAGTTACTGATAAAGAAAGCCCTCTGGCGAATTCGGCTGCGAGATCCACGCCGAATCTCCCCACTTCATTATCCCCGTCCTGCCCGTGAAATTCCTATTCCACAACCAGCACAGATTCATCGCCGTAGCCAGCGTCTCGGAGACTGTCCCTCCAAGCGCTGTCTCAAAGTACATGCGTGTCCGGCCCGCCTCGCGCCGCGGGCCGACCTCCCTGACTTCGCAGTTATAGTGAACATGGGCTTTCCACTTTGGGTCGTTGAATCGGTGGCCTGAACCCAGGTCCAGCCATTTGGTGATCACCAGCGCGAGGCACTCGGTGCCGTACTCTTTGATCTCGAGCTTGTAGTCTGTGTGGCAGGCGGCGCAGATTTTGATTTTTATCTGGCATTGGTTTTCCGCGGGTTTGTTAAGGTAGGTCTTCACGGTTTCGGCGATTAGGGTTGGGAGTAAGTTGCGGGTCATGTCGAGGTGGCCGCAGATTCCCAGGAAGCCGATCTTGGAGCTGTCCAGCAGCGCGATCTCGGATCGTTTGATGGCGATCATGTTCTGGATGCGCAGGCCCAGGCTCGGGGTCGGTGATTTAATGATGCGCGCTTCCACAGCTAGCAATGTGATCATGTCTGAGTCGAGTGTGGTCTGGATCTCGGTGAATTGCAGGGCTCGCGTCGAGATGCCGTATTTATCACCGTAGAAGGCTCGCCGCATCGCGAGTTGAAGGTGATGGTAGTAGAACTTGTAGTAGGAGAAGTTCTTGTGCACGCGCGTTGCCTCCAGGAGCGGGATGTGGTCTGTATTTTGGAGACAGCGAAGCGCGGGCTTGTTCGGGTGGAATGCCGGGCCGGGGAGAGGCACGCGGTCCCAGTGGTGCAGGTGCGAGCAGAAGTGACAGTAGTAGAAGTGTGGGTTGTCCTTGCTCAGCCGGGTCAGCAGGATCTCGCGCTTTCGGCTGTGGTTGTTCGCTTTGTCGATCTTGAAGTTGGGGTTGGCGAGTCGGTCGCCCAATAGTTGCAGGGATCGGTGGTTGCATAGCGAGAGACAGGCGACGTCGACGGAGCAAAGGAGACGGCAGATGAGCAGGAGCAGCTCGGGTGGGAGGGTGAAGAGTCCCATCGGCATGGGGAGTCGGGGAGTGGCCATGTCTCTTTGCGCTCCTGGGCTCCTGGGGTGTTCCTGCTCTTGGAGTGTAATCGTGCTGTTTTGACAGGGGTTGGTTGACGAACCCATGGCGGAAGCAGCAAACGGTAGAAGAAGTATGAGGCCATTCGATAGCCGTGGGCGCTAACGTGGTGGGATACGCCGGCTTGGTTTCCATCAAGGTCAGGCGGAACAGATTTCACATGGATATTGTAGAACCCGATATAGGGCAAGGGCGCTTTGTTTTCCATTTCTGGTGAGGTAGAATCTGGAGGAAACCACATGAGTTCATAGTCAGCATATATTCCACAATTTATATGACCCGTACCTATTTCCATGTGCGATATACTTATCACAGTGACAGAATATATCCCAGTTGGGTTTAGTAGAGGAGATCCACCGGCAGCCCCGTGCTTAGCACGGGAAGACCCGTGGTTCGACTATATCAGCCAACCTGCATCCAACGAATCGGGTCGATGCTTAGCTCCTTGGCTTTCGCTGCTAATATTTTATCCTCTTCCTCTTTTCATCTTCCTATCTTCACCACCTCCCGCTGTCATGATTGAAGATCAACCGTGTCAGCCCCCACTAAACTAACTCGTTCAGGGATGGCGACAGCACTTGCAGTTCTCAATCAGCGCTAATTGCGGCTGAGCTTAATCCCAGACAAAACTGCCCTCCCCCCTTTTGGTTTATTCCTCGGTCATGCCCTACGCGCCTCCTATCCCAAGCGCGACCAGTGCAGCACGCCATGTTGATCCTCCTCATCCTCAGTCTAGCCACCCAGGCGCTGGCCCAGAGAAACTCGACACTTGTGGTGGGGTGGCAGTTTGATAGCGACGACCGCTCATCGTGGGATATTCTATGGACGTGTGTCTCCACCATTTTGGCATGCACCTGGACTGCGATGCATCTCTCGCTTAGGAGAGATGATAACTCCCACATTGGGATGGGCCATTTAGTGAAAACTCTTACATGGATGTTCGTCGTGATGGCACCGGAGCTGCTGGCTATTATGGCCGTTCAAGAGTATCGGGAAGTGAAACTGATTCTTGCGCGCTGCAATACTGCTCAATCGGCGGTTTACAGGGGGCATAAAGCCTTCTCGTCAGAGCCAATCGCAGAGAAGGCCACTCGCAAAGATGAAGAGGAACCAGAGCCAACAAAGGCATCCACAGAGGCGACCAAAGACGGCGACAAAGATGTGTCAGAGCACGCGGCGCCAGACCCAACCGAGCCATCGGCACGTGTTTTTCGACATTGGAAAATGGCCCAAGGGTACTATATTCGGATGGAAGGATTTGTTCTACAAACCAAAGACTACTGGGTCTACACCGTGCGGTCCGACAATGTCGTCAACCTCATCCAAGCAGGAATCATCCAGCCGTCCGACTTGAAGAAAAGCGATATCAAAGATCGAGACAAATCTGATCCCTTTTCAAAAGCCTTCAGCCTCGTCCAGAGTACATGGGTGGCAATTAATGTCATTGCCAGAAGGGCTTATGACTTACCCATCTCGTCTCTAGAGCTCTCAACCGCGGCCTATGTCGCCTGCGCCTTAGTCACTTACCTGGCTTGGTGGAATAAGCCCAAGGACGCGTACACCTTCATCACACTCCACCTGCCGTATGAGTATGATAGTGACGAGATGCCATCTCAATTGCGCAATGCTGAAAAGAGGGATTGGTTGCATATGTCGCCACTGCTATCCAAGAACTACGCCGAGTCCGACGAGGACAAACGACACGGGTTCCGGACACAATTCAAAAAGAGATATAAGGAGAAGCGCGCCCAAAGAGCATACAATCAGGCGGGGCCGGACCCTGTGGCAGAGACCTCGGACACTTCGGCAGACAACTCGGGGGAGGCAAATGAGAATGAAGACCATCGTTTTAGAGAGCCAACGACAGTCAAGGAACAATTCACACTTGATATGCTCGCATTCATGACCGCACTGACGTTCTGCGCTATTCACATTGCAGCGTAAGTACTTATCTCTTCGTCTTGTTCTCCGACACAAAACTGACATTTGCAGGTGGAATTTCATTTTTCCAACACGGGCCGAGCAAATTGTCTGGCGGGTCTTTGCTCTCCTTGCATTCGTAACTGCCTTTCCCATTGCTCTCTTGTTCGATCTATCCTTACTCAGATCGTGGTATAAACAGGGCAGCCAGGCACTTCGTCCAAAAGAATATTTTCTCCCCCTCCAACGTCAGACGTGGATTATATTCATGTTTTTGCTGATATATGTGATTGCGCGTCTGGGCAACGTTGTGCTCATGTTTATATCGCTGCGAGCCCTCCCCGCTGGGTGTTATCTTTCGATCGATTGGCTGGCATCTATACCCCATATATAGATAGTATACATATTTATAATCCAGATAATTTATCCAGTGTCTGGTAGGATTAACATGTCCCGTCGCCTCCGTCAGCATCGCCAGGTTGACAACTTCTCGCTTGCTACTAATCTCGGATTGCTAGCCGCTGTATATTAGCGATGAATGGCCACATTTGATGGCATTCTTTTCTTTATTTGCGTCTTCAAGAGCATGGCATTTTGATTGCTGCTATTTCCTGGATGCTCAAGTAGACCTGGCGATTGCAGAAAATTGGAAAAAAAGAAAAGCAAGCTCTAGGATAATATGGAACTCCACCGTCCAGAAAATGTTAACTCTGCTCTGCATGCCTTTTTTATCGGATCAGATCTGCAATGTTCTTGTTCTGGCGCTTTGCATTTCTGTCCGAAACAGACTAATTCAATCGGCTGGGCACAAGGTATTCTCCCTCTTCTGTCCATTTTTATTTGCTTTTTCCCAAGACTTCTGGTGTAGTTAAGTTGATCTTGGAAAATAGCTGTTCCGCATACCTAGGTCCTGGAGGCCATTAATTTTTCCCAGGGTATAAGTTTCTGGATGGCACTGTTGTTAGTATGATATCGCTGCAAGTAGGTGCAAATCGCCGGCAGTTCATATCTAGCGCGAAAGTCGACCCACCATTTACTTTCACGAGCTATGGTATACCACAAGCATAATAACAGAAGCGCTACCGGGTCTTTCTTCTCTAAGCAGGTTGCAAACCCATTATTCATGTGGCTTGAGACCATCATGACTCTGCCTAGCGAGGCCTTGCCTTCTGGTAGCCCGAATAGCTGAGAGAGACCATGTACAACCGTGAAGTAAGGGTTTTTTTCTGGAGTTGACGACTCGTCAAGTCCACATAGTTGTACTAATTCGGCTGATATACCATCGGTGCCTTTTGCAGGCAAGGATTGGTGCATACTTGCGAAGGTCTCAGACATAGTACGAAATACACTGTTCGGCCGCAAAGGATCCGCTAGACGCCACAGCGCTATCTTGCCATTTGCTAGCCTTAGCCACTCTAGATCGGAAGAGTCGGGTGACCCGAGAGGCCATGCCTCGCCTGGAGAACAAGCGTTGATGGACGAGAAGGTCAAGACACCAAGAGATCCAGCGGTGGCCCAGAGAGGATCTTTGTGCTCTTCCTTGATAGGTTGGCTCAACCACTTCTTGAACAAAATTGTACTTTGAGACCAGTGATGTGATTCCCGTAAAGAGCGACGACGATGGGTCGGGATAATGGCAAGATAGCGATCGTGGACAGCTGCCACCGCCAGCGTACCATGCATCAAGAATGGGCACTAAAACACAAGTGTCAGTACGGTTCAGAAGTTGCCTTGAGTGCATCCTCAAGCAGACATCATCTCCGGGCATATTGGACTCACGGTGAAAGCGACCTGTAGCATACAGTTTTCATAGATATCAACCATTGCGGAGCCACCGAGAGAGTATAGAGTCCGGTATCGAAACCGGTTGAAAAGTGCCTGATCATGCAGATCTAGCATGAAAAATGTTGATCCGTCATCTGCCCATATGGCGTTGCTGATAGTTGACCGCGGCGATGGCAATCCACGGAGCTTTCCTATTGCCTGCTTCACTCTTTCCTCGGAGAGTGGCTGAAGATCGGGTACATTAACCCCGAAGTTGCACAGGACGCCGTAAGTACGACATCTCACGCAACGGGGCCTCGTCTCGTCACACTGAAAGTAAATATTTACTTCATTCAGCCAGACGGTCAGGAATGGGGTGCGGGGAATGGTTTATGTTACCTTCAATTTCCTCAGTTTGCAGTTTCGACAGCCAAAGCGCGATTTGCGTCTACAGTCGCGCTTCTTTTCAACTGCTCGGACATCCGCGTTCATGATTGATTTGATTTGCACGACGACGGACCGCCAGGGCTACCAGACGTAAGAGGACTGACCGTCAGTACTCAATTCACGTGAGCAGTGAGTAAAGAGACAGACTGCTCGTTGGCAGTTTTGGATATCTGGATGGGCCGCCTGAGAATTGACAGACAATAACGGCGGCAGCTGAGCTGCCCTATCTCCGTGCCCAATCTCCGGCCTGTGTCCCATCAACGCTTTGACCCGAGTTCCGCTGACCCACACCTGCCTCTGCTCGGGTTTAGAATCCTATGATTGGACGAAATTGGCTCTATACACGTCGTTGGAAGGTCGTTTGCGAGGTTATATTCTAACGGAGCAGACCTGTTGGATCAATCCTCCAGGCTCGATATGAAGTCGCACATGAAGTTTCCGTAAAGTCCGTGACTACCGTAAGAGACGAAGTATATAAAGCGAGAGCAGGTCCACTGCTGAGAGAGGAGGAACAGAACCACTCATTCCAAACTCAAGCAGAACCCTGGAATTGAACGGAAACCCATTTCCCTCTCGGCTCGCCCATAACCATTGTCGGCTTCCGCTATGCGTGTCTTCGTCACAGGTTCCACCGGCTTCGTCGGTTCAGCCGTCGTCAAAGAACTGCTCTCCGGAGGACATGAAGTCCTCGGCCTAGCTCGCAGCGACAAGGGAGTCGAGCAGTTAAAGGGCCAAGGCGCCGAGGTCCTACGTGGTAACATCGAGGACCTACAAGTCCTTAAGAAGGGTGCCTCTGAATGTGACGCCGTCATCCACCTAGCCTTCATCCACAACTTCGCGGATTTCGCGGGCTCCTGCGCCACAGACCGGGCTGCCATCACTGCGATGGGCTCCGTCTTGGCTGCCGCCGACGGCGACCGCGCCTTGGTCGTCACCTCGGGCACCATGATGCTGGCACACGGCAAGCTGGGAGACGAGGACCACGAGGCCGACATGACCAACTCGATGGCCGCAGCCCGCGGTGCCTCGGAACCAGTCTGTCTCGACTTCGCCAAAAAAGGCGTGCGCACCAGCGTCGTACGCCTCCCCCCACGACTCACGGCCCTGGAGTTTCGGGGTTCATGGGTCCGCTTGTCAGCGTCGCGCTGAATAAGGGTGTTTCGGCGTATGTCGCCGAAGGCCATAACCGCTGGTGCGCCTGCCACCGCGACGACGCTGCTAAAGTGTACCGGCTGGCGGTGGAGAAAGCAAAGCCCGGTTCCATCTTCCATGCGGTGGCCGAAGAGGGTGTGCCGCTGAAGGACATCGCGACTGAGGTTGGGAAGCAGCTGAATATTCCCGTTGTCAGCATCGCATCGGAGGAAATGGAAGATCATTTCGGCTGGTTTCATTTTGGTATCACAGCCGATAACGAGGCCTCGAGCACAAAGACGCGAGAGCGGTTGGGCTGGACTCCTGTGTGCCCGTCGGTGATCGAAGATGTTCCGGCTATTATTGACTTTTTGAAATCTCAGGCAAATTAAGATGGAGGGCTGCGCGCGTTCTTGTGAGCAATTCAATAGGCCATGATATCTCTGAAGTCTCATGAATGTCCGGCCCCTGCTGACGCGAACTTTATCCCTTCTTTGCTTGGTTTGGTTTAGTTTCCTTTTGGTAGCGTCTATACAGAATGGAAATCTCGTCAAGTCTCTTAAACTGGCAGGGGATAAAAAGACAGCGCCTTGAGGCAGATCGGCAGCAGCCCAAGGAGAATTAGACCGGAGATCAAGTCGGCTGTAGAAGAAGATATTTTCGGCGTCGCTTTAATCGTGTGTAAGGATGATAACTCTCGCTGATGTTTAGCTCAACCATAATATCAACAACATGGCTACGAATGCCACAGCACTAAGCTGGGTGCTGAATATTGGTATGAAGCAAGTGAAGAGGCGGCCACAGGGAACTATGGGAGGAGATGAGATGCGGCCCTTTAAGAGCATCAGTAGCAGCCATTTACAGTGCCAATTTACCGGTCTGCATATTCCAGTTGTAAAAATGATAATTCGATCAACTACCTTCGAACAATGGGACCTTCAAGCTATTACGATGTCTTACCATTAGCGTTTTCTGTCATGCCATTATATGCACCATTTATCAACTATCTTAAAATCTTTCCTATACTTTATGTTGAGTGAAATTTATTAATTTAACCTTACTAAATATATTATTTTTCTTATAAATACTAATGGTACCTGGGTTAGCCGGAACACCCGCCGAGGTTTATGTAGCAACACTACTGTATGCGGTTGAGCCTCCAATCCCTGAAAAGAATGCCCCGCAGTGATGAGACATAATCTTTTCAGCTCCCTCTCAATCCAACTGACGGAACCTATTCCCTGGTCCTTCCCACTTCTAAACCCGCGATCATTAGAATGACTGTCGACTCAACATGCCCTCCCAAACTCCGCGTTGCTGTCATAGGCAGTGGAATTGCTGGCCTTGCAGCTGCTGCCTTTCTCCGAAAACACCCCCAGTTTATCATTACTGTCTACGAGCTCCGTGGTGCAGATTGGAAAGAATCTTCTGCGGCGCTTGGGCTTCAAACGAATGGCACCTCCATCGTGCAGCAGCTGGGTATCACTAGAGACGAGGTCCGCGGGGTGATAGGTGCTGGGTATCGAACATACAACATTCGGGAAGAGCCGATGAGCAAGGGCAAAGTGGCCTTCCCATCAGATGGAGAGACTGGGTTCTGGTTTGTGCATCGACAGGATTTAAAGGACGCATTGTTGCGCAGAGTAATCGGCGAGGATGAAGAAGGGGAGCCTATCCAGGTAGTTTACGACAGCCACATTGTGGAAATTGACCCAGAGGCTGGTATTGTGAAGTTTGCAGACAGGTCTTCCATCGAAGTTGATCTGATCATTGGTAAGTCGAATGAATTCAGCTATGTGGCAACGATTCAATTAGCTTTCTTCTCCCGCAGGCGCCGATGGCATCCATTCCAAAGTCCGTGAAGTGGTTATTCCGCCTTCGCACCCAGAGCCTGCTTCGTGCGGGCTCAGCGTGTACCGCTTTGTTCTCCCCATGGATGTCCTCAGAAACGAGGATGGCAAAATGCCAGAAATGCTCACCTTCGACGAGGGTAACTTCGTAGTCATCATCGCTGCGGGCGATGAGGGCAACCGCAACATGGTCATTTATCCATGCCGTGAGCTTGAGCTGATGAATTTCGTCTGCGGTGTCCCTGATACAAGCCCTAAGGCTTTAGCCCATCTTAAATCACCTGGCAGCACCCAAGCTATCGCAAAGGATATGGTGGAGGAGTTTCATGGGTTCCCCAACTGGCTGCTAGAGCTATTTAGGTGAGTGACCAGCTCTATGTCTCGCACTCCTACGTTTCGTGAAGCTAAAATTAGCTGTGCATTCAGTCGCTCCGATCTGATAGAACTCTTCCCTGTGATCGATCAAGAGCCTCTGCCTACGTACGTCAAGGGCCGGACCATGCTAATTGGCGATGCTGCGCACGCCATGGCACCGTATCAGGCACAGGCAACGAACCAAGCCCTTGAAGATGTGGAGGGTCTCAGCGTCATTCTTACAGATATTTCTAGCCGCGATAGAATCCCAAGTCTACTGAAAGTGTGGGATAATATACGCCGACCGCACGCATCGTTTGTTCAAAAGGACTCGCTCGACTCGCAGGCCAAGCTCTCGACAATACATTGCAGCGATAAGTTTTTGAACTTTAAGCCGTATGTCAGAATGGAAGAAGTGATCAGGCAGCTTTCTGAGCATCAGGGGGCCGGGGTTCTCGCTTAGATTGCACAGGGCGAGGTGAGCCTCGTTATCGTTGAAAGGCATAGGATACCGCAGAGCCGATTTTATGTTTATCAATTCGATCCACTGTGTTAAACAGCAAAAATATACATACAGAACTGTGGCATCATTTAGTCCCCTCAAAACTTGATTGAATTGAACTCGATTCTTGCTATTAAAACGAAAGGGTGTTCACACTATGTGGCAAGTCACCGAAGAATACTGAATAGCTTGAAGAAAATTCTGTGAAGCTTCATAACCTAGTCGTACATTTTTCAGAGATGTGCCAAAAATACACTTGACCGTCATTAAATAGTACATCTGTAATAACCAGAAGCTCATCACAATGCATTAGGAGCATGTCGGCTTCCACTCCCGTCCGACGACGCCACATTCTCATCAACCGACGGGGTTTTACCACACTCAGACTGCACGGTCCACTCATCTGTCCTATGAATTGTCAGAGGATTGTTTCCACCCAATGGCTTCCCAGGAGTCGTAACAGCAAAAGCGGCAGCCGCGGTTCCCAGAATCTGTTCATCCTCCATATAACGAGACCGCGTCGCAGACTCTTTCACTCCTCGACTCATACTTCCCAACGCATATGAATGGCTATATGAGTTGCTGTTACTCCCGGTGGCGTGTTTCAGCATCGACACCTTGAGCATTCCACTGTCGAAGGCATCGAGGAATGGCTTCAGACAGGGAATGCAAGCAGTCATAAGACTGACGCAGAGGTTGCATTGGGTGAGGATGGTGACTTCAAAGGAATATAGACCGATGTCGGCGGATGGTGTCGCACTTTTCATATAGACAACGCGTACGATGGTTGTGATAATAAGACTAGGAGATCAGTTGACTGAGCAAGAGGTGGTGACCAGGAACAATACATACAAGAAGCGGAACACGAAGGCGCTCACGACGGTCATTTTCTTTGCAATAACGACCTGAACAGGCTTGACAACGTAGATGGGGAGGACGCAAATAATTAACTCAGTTAGGATGTCGATGGGGGATATGGCAGCCCAGAAATCGAACTATTTATATGGATATTAGTACAAACCCGGATTTGTAGAGATTTTGTGGAAAGTAAAACTCACAATATTAATACAATGAGCGCTCTCAATCATCCAAGGGTTGGGCACTCCACACTGGAAGGCCAGGGTAAAAAACGCCGAGATCATCCAAGCTATAATTAATATTGATGACCAAAAACAGATCCGTTTGTGCAATTTGTTGACACATATTTTGCCGAGGAATTGCAAAACTGAGATTTTTGCGAGGCCCAGAGCAAGGACGTAGAAGAGGTTAGATACGTAGATATCCTAGGAGGTTTTAGTGATGATTGAATGCGCTCTGGAAGAACAATTTACCTTTTCCACTGCGCTCACTTGGTCCACATTCAATATTGTTTGAGGCTTCCCAAGGCCTTGCTTTGTCCCTGCGTAAATGACTCCAGATTGGACTATAGCGAAGACCTGCCCGTCTGGTGTTAATTCTTTCGAGGTTGAGGGTGTCAAACCAAAACGAAGACCTACCAGTGAAAGGGAAACAGTCCCATCATCCCATCGCAACGATCGAAGCATGTAGAATCGAAACGCGAGCCGTATCAGCACAGAAACGACCATCATTACCATGAGATAGAGTGTCGCAATGGCAATCCCGTCTGCCTGATCGGGCACCGTTGGTGCTCCTGTGGAGTTCCCACCCATGCTTTGAAAGATGTGCGCAAAATGGTTGAGCCGGTTAGGCGTGATCGTGGTGTCCTTAAGTTACCTATGGAAAGAATGAAAAGGTTTGCACCGACTACTATGTATGACCTTTTACTGAAACATATCAGGATGTGGGTCACCATACCACCGATATCCAATGGTTTGCTGGAAGCTCGCGAGAGCGTGCGATGGCCCGTCGGCCACCAACGGAAACTTTAAATCCTCTCCCACTTTTGGGACGCTGCAGGACCCCATGCGCGTCTTGCTAGGATAAAATCCTTCCAACGTATAAATTACAGGAAAACTACCTGCACGGTGCAGCCTTTGGCTCATATTGCGCGACCCCACATCAATTACTGTTGAAGGATTGTTGCATCGTTTGCACGATTGGCCGTATCGATATGGATTTCTGGAAGTTAATGAAGACGGTTCCACCGACAATTCAAGCAATAGACATGATACACTAGCTGTTTGGAATTAGGGGGTTCGAGTAGTTCGTTGTAACGATCCGGTCCGATGGCCCGGAAGATCCAAATCCTACGTGGCTGGACACTAAGCCCAGATATCGCGCATCAGTAAATTTCGGTGCGAGTCTGTCGGATCAAGGTCGCATTTGGTCAAGCTTTTAGTCATGTGGATCCCAATCAATCAGTCATGGTTGGTTATAACTGCAATAATACCCGCCCCCTGTCCGGCGTAAACTCTCGCGCTGGTGAGGACTAGACTACTTAGGGAGCGGGTAATACCATTGTTACTGCATCAGCTCAACATCCTTGTCGGATTAGCAAGGGGTTTGATTTTAGGGCGAGATGGTGCCAACAAACAATAATAATATAGTGCGGATGATCCCGGTGAACTGCAGTCTAGACTGAGCCTATAGAATCTCTGAAATGGTATGGCGGATACTCTCTCTGTCCGTCAACGAGATGGGAATCCTAAAATACTTCTCTAGCGCCACCACGCGTTCCTCGTCGGAGCTGAAGGATTGCACAACCTCAGACGTCGCTCCCAGGCGACGCTTCAGCACATCATTGAACAGTGTCAGATCACCCACGATCTGGCCATCGTCGTCCAGGAGCATTCGGACGCAGACTACATGAAAAGTAAACCAGCTCTCCCGGCTGGTGCTCATGAAGTAGTTGATGATTGTGAAATCCTCCGGAAGAAACTCCGTCTCCGTAAAGCAGTAGGCGGGAATCCATGCTCCGTCCCCGTTACGAATCTCGTACTGCCAAAGAGCTTGGCCCTTGCTAGTATGCTGGGGAATCGGAGAATAGAGTAGTCGCCCGAACTGGTCGCCTACGTTGTGGAATTCCAAATTCTGCGCCAGCCGAACGGGCTGGTGCGGGCCATTGGAACCAAATCCAACGTCGACCAGGTATTTTTGCTCCCCAATAGTAACAAGGTTGACCATATGGTTCCTAAATTTTAATCAGCGTCTGGACAAACCAATCAAACTGAAGGATCAAGGATCATACCACCCGTCGTATTTGGGGCCCTTCCAATTTTTGGAAGCCGACATGGGTTGTGCGGCTTCGTTGACGCGTCCTCCCACGGAGGTGATATTGTATCCAAGGCTGCGCAGAACAGTCCCAAAGAGGGTGCTATTCTCCATGCAGTAACCACCTCGAGCGGACTTGGTATCTACGATCTTCTCGAAGATCTTTTGAGCATCTAGGGAAATGCTGCGGTGAACTGAATAGTGAAGGTTGAGGTTTTCAAATGGCACCGCTGCCAGTTGGAAACGCTGTAGTGCTCCCAGGAACTCCAGAGCGGACTCATTGTCGACTCCGGACCCAGCCTTGACTACTGGTGATTTCCGATACTTTTGAGGAAGTTCAATCCGGTCGAAGTAACGGCCCAGTTGCTCTGATGAATAACTGGGACGCAGTGACCAATTGATCTCAGAGCCCATGTTGGTTGACCGAGGTAGAGCTGTGGTGTCAGGGAATCCTTAGAATGATACTCAGAGCAAAATCGATCTCAGGGGGTTTTCAGCGACAGGGCAAAATGCCCTCAAAAGGATCCGTGGTCTTGGTAACCATTCCAGTCTCCATTAGGAGCGGCCCGCGCTGCAATCTGTGGCTTGTAAGTAATACGTGGACGTACGATGTAACAACCCCAGGGATCCCTGTCGAGCCAAAGCATTAGCGCAGAATAGCCCCAACAACGTAGATAGATTAGCCAGAGGCGAATCTGGCGCCACGGACTAAGATGACTGTCAATTAGGTTGTCGACTCCCGAAGGAAGGGTTGCTTTGTTTTTCCTTTTACAACGGCTCCATTTGTCCTTTGCAACAACCTATACCCCCCAAACGATTAATCCTTGTCCTTTCTCTATTCTTTCCTTAATCGTATCTTTTTCACAGAAATCTCAATATGCCTTTCAAACATGGAGAGTTGGAGATCCAGGAGCTGGGCTCCCGGTCACAGAAGAACCGTGATGATGAGGATCTGGCAAGGCATGGCAAGAAGCAACAGTTCGAGGTACAGTTCACTGGCGAAAGACACACCGGGATTTAACTAAAAAGAGTAGAGAAACTTTGGTTTCTTGTCCATGTTGGGTTTCACTACCACTATGATGTGCACCTGGGAGGCAGTACTCTTGTGGGTTGCAGCGTTCAATGATCATCGCTTAGGAACTGACGCCTTTATAGTGCTAATGCGATCGCAATGATTGACGGCGGCCCGGCGACCCTGGTATATGGATTCATATTCTGCTGGATAGGTGCGCTGGTCACCGCGGCCTCGCTCGCTGAGATGGCCTCGATGTACTAAGCCATACCTGACAAAAAGGACCAAATGCTAACGGGACACAGGGCTCCTACTTCCTCCGGACAATATCATTGGGTGGCAATGCTAGCTCCCAAAGGTCAGGCGGTGTTCCTGAGCTGGGTGACAGGATGGCTGGACGTAATCGGATGGTGGGCCAACACTGCCGCAGGTGTATACTTCGGTGCAACAGTCACCCAGGGTCTTCTGGTTCTGAACTATTCTGATTATGTATATCAACAGTGGCATGGGACTTTGCTCATGTTTGCTGCGTTGGTTGTTTGCGTTCTGGTAAATTCAGTCGGAGCAAAGCTCTTGCCTAAGGTGGAGGGCTTGATTTTGATCCTTCACATTATGGGATTTTTTGCTGTCTTGATCCCTCTTGTCTACCTCGCACCAAAGAAAGACGCAAAGTACGTCTTCGCCACCTTCGAGAATTCCTCCGGGTGGAGTAGTGCAGGTCTGACATGGCTTATTGGACTCATGGGAACTAACCTCCCATTCATTGGTACGGTGGCCCCCTTTTGCCTCAGTCACAGTCCTATCTAACAAACTGTTCGCAGGTTATGATGGCCCCTGCCATATGGGTAAGCATCCATCCATTATACTTCAAGCACTTCAACTAACATCCCCCAGCTGAGGAAGTCGTCAACGCCTCAACCATCGTTCCTTGGTGTATGATCGGCACAATCTTGCTGAATGGATCACTCGGATTTGCCATCGTACTCGCCTTTCTTTTCTGCATCGGCGATGTCGACAAGGCCATGAGCAGCACAACAGGTTATGGCTTCATTGAAGTCTTCTTCAACGCCACTCAGTCCCACGCCGGAGCGTCAGTAATGGCTGCCATTCCCACTGCACTAGTCATCTGTGCGTCTTTTGGATTCCTGGCTTCTGCTTCGCGTCTCACCTGGGCATTTGCCAGAGACAAGGGGCTACCATTTTCAACCTTTCTGTCTCACGTACGAAAAACCTTCCCAACTACTCATAGAAACAAGGGCTAATTTCAATATTATGTCTACAGCTCAGCTACGACCATGCCATTCCTTTCCGCTCGGTCATTCTCTGTGCGACGCTCACAGGCTGCATCTGCATAATCAACGTGGGATCTACGGCTGCCTTCAATGCTATTATCTCGTTGACGACAGCGGGCCTTTTCTTATCTTACGAAATTGCAATCGTTCTAATGTTCTTGAAGAAAATTAAGGGAGAGCATATTCCATATGGTCCCTGGACCCTCGGTCCGTTCGGCATTGCCATCAACATCGCCTCGATTTGTTTCTTGACCATCGCTATCTTCTTCTCTTTCTTTCCGATGGGTTTGCCTGTGACACCTCAGAACATGAATTGGTCAATAGTTGTGTTCTCTGGAGAAGTCATCCTCGGTCTGCTGTGGTATGCGGTTTATGGCAGGAAGGTATACCATGGTCCCATCGTTGAGGCTGGTGTCATTCCTATGGAGGGTGGTTTTGTAGTACAAGGACCTCGGGAAGAAGAGTTCTGAGGAGGGCATGTTTTCTTCTTGTTGTGTGGCAATGACTAGAATGTATAGAATTGGGGTCCTGACAAGTATATGGGATTTAGGATACCATGCGCCATCCACAGGAAAAGTCTTGATTATTTTGTCACTGAGTTGCATATTTAGAGCTTTAATACATCTCAATTCGACTCGTTGCAAGTTAGTAAGCTAATCTTCGTACGTAAAGGTCGGCGTCACCCTATCCCGGAAGTTGATTTAATCCAAGCCGTCACGGCCATGGATGTATATGAGTAGTTAACAGACAATGAACTCTACGATACACCCTTTTGGACCCTTGCAAGTAGAATATCTGCTACTGCCTTCATTCCGTCGAGATTCGGGTGAAGGATGGGTCCACGTCGAATCACCGATGAAAGATCAAACCCTCCAACCCAGGGTTCTTTGCTACCAAGTGCGTGTCCCAAACTTAGTTCGTGGACTGGTACCCTCTCGCACCAGTCACCCCTACTTTTCGCTGCAATGAAGTAGGCATTTTGTAGTTTAGACGCGATTTGGCGATGATATTCCAGCCTCTCTTGATCGAAGGCAATATCCTGACTAGGGCGTGTGTCAGGTCCAAGGACAGCGAGGTATTCGACAAGAAAAATGCGAGCTTTGGGGGCTCGTTTGTGTATTTCATCGAGAACTTCTCCTAGTCTTTCAGCTAATTCACTTGGAGACAACGGGTCAGACGTTTGTACTGATGACTGAGAAGAAACAGCTGATCTCAAGGCCCTTAAACCTCCGATGAGGGCACTTGTAATTGCGCCCGGTATAGTTGCAGCCCAGGCGTCGTAAAGCATGCCACCGATGTAGTTGATGTCGTTTCCACCGGCGGTAACGGTTATAAAATCCACATCTTCGGGCAGATTGGAGAGTTGGGTCGGGAAGGTTTGTTTAGATAACGGGGCAGTTTGTTGATCCACTGTGATGTTGAGAAGGGTTGCGCCAGAAACAGAAAGGTCGGTGAGCTCGGCGTTCAGCTGCTGCGCTAAGAGATGAGCGTAATTCTGCCCTGACCGCATGGCAGCATGTGGTCCGATTTGGGGAAGGATGCCGGGTCCAGCGGCAAATGAGCTTCCCAAGCTTGCAATATGGAGCTTCTTATTTCCAGACTCCATGATATTATCAGAAATCCCAAATAGCAAAGAAGAGCAGGGTTTTCAGACTCGTCGTGGATTCTGAGTTGTGATTCCCGAGAATGACCGGTTTTATTTCTGGAGGCCGAGATTCTCGGGGGAATTTGAGGCCGATTCCGGGAGGGTTTACATGCAGTAACGCGTTCAAAACAATCGCACTCCCCAACCTAAGGACCGGCTATATATTTGGAAAGAGACATCCTGATGCACACCAGAAAAGTTAAGGCAGCTTGCCTCGATTGAAGTACTCCAGAGAAGATTTCGAGACACCTCTAACTCCTCTTGCAATTGCATGTCTTCCATCGTAAAGAGGGAAGACCACGACAGCTCCAAATGCACCAAACTGCCAAATAATGGCTACTGTCGTCCAGCCAGAGAAAAATGGCTTCGTAAATATGTAGTCGCGGTATAGTGGAAGGGGCCAGGCGACAAATGTGACTAAAACAACAATAATAAAGAGTATCGAGGCAATCTTTAGCCATCGATACAGCTCCTTCAAAGTTTCTTTGTCAAATGGATGCTGGATATCATCGAGGCTAGCTGGAACTGCTAAAGTAGCCGACACAGGGCTCTTCTCTCTGAGTGCACCAGTGTCCTCAAGGTCAATGGTGTTTGTAGGTTCTGACTGCTTGCTAGCAGGCAATGGCTTCATAGAGCCAGCTTCTGACGAAGACTGCTCTTGCTCGCTAGATTCATTGAGAGTGCTCGTGTATGATCCGGCATGAAGGTGAGCTTCGTCCGCCAGTTCAATGCGCAAAAACTCGCGCCAATCAAATTTATGAGGTTTGTAAAGCGACAGCACGACCGAATATAGGCCGGGCGAGAAGAACGATGCGATGGCTGCATAGAGCGCCGGATACTCGTTTGAGGTGGTATCGATATTGATGGCACCATACATTGACTTGGCAGTTGCAAGCCAGACGGCGAGGCCTGTGAAGAATCCGAGGACAGGAGCAACAATTGCAGCCAAGCGAGTTTGACGTGACCAAAACAAGGTGAGCACTAGCGGGATGATACCAGGGCATGAGATAACAGGGCGCAAGTAGTTGATCCAAGTCATGTTGGCGCCTCCGTAATTCATAGCAATTGAAATGCCAGTGATAAACACACCATGAATAACGACTGTCAAGTGACTCACTCGGACGAGCCTTTTGTCTGTCACTTGTGGGTTGAGGTATGTTTTGTAGACATCGTAGGAGAGAATGCTGCTGACGGCAATCAAAGACGAGGAAACCGTGCTGGTAAGAGCCATGAAAAGAAGGAAAAAGAATCCGATAATTCCTCTATCTCCGATAAGAGCCTTCAGAGTATATGGCATGACCATGCCCATATTAACCTCGGTGTCAGTAAGCGGACCGGGGTAGGTAGGGAATATTGGCGTATTGTGGATCGCTCGAGTCGCCAATCCAATGACGGTTCCTAGTCCCCATGGTATCCCGAACACCGCTAGTGCAGCAATTATGTAGCCGGGAACCGTGGCTCGAACTTCTGTTGCAAATGATTTCTGCCAGAACGCGGTATCCTATTTGGGATTCGTTAGCTGTGACTGTGAGCATATTTTGATTCAAGAAACTCACCATAACGACGAGGGCCAGGTTCCCGAATTTCAGGATCAACCCCCAGATGATGGCACCCTTTGACTTAAAAGTGAGAAGCGATCCTTCGTAGTTCCCGGAAACATAATTATCGTTTGCTGTAGCTACCACCTTGTCGTAAAGGCCACTCAGTCCTCCAACTTTCGAGTTGGTTAAGACGGCAAGAGTGAAATAGATAATGAGAATCAAAGCAATTGCAGTATGTAAGAAATCGGTCAGAAATGTGGCTTTGAGACCACCCACTGCTGTATAGAGTACGACTATGAAGTCTCAGACCGTGCCCCAGGTAAAAGCGGGATTGTACAAGCTTACCTCCAAGTGGAATGAGAATAGTTGCTGCGACAAAGTTCATCCCAGAAACGCCATAGATAAGCTGGGAGCCCGTCATGATCATTGAGGCGCATCCAAAGACATTGTTCACCAGATTGAGTCCGATAAACGTTAGATGGGCAATCCGACCATATCGCATTCGAACAATTTCAAGTGATGTATGCGCGTAGGGAACTCGAATTTTCGCCATGACGCCCAGAGCAGCCATTAGTACAATTTGGAAACAGAGACCAGATCCCCACCACTGTCTTCGTGTTAGTCATTGCGAGGACATAAATAACAATGTTTTGGATACCAGAGGAAGCGCCAATCCATAACGATACGTCATTGCGGCCGCCAACACCGTTTCATTGATCCACATCCATGACGAGAACACGGCAGAAGCTGTCAAGCCCGTACCGACAGATCGATTTGCAACCATAAACATCTCACTCTTCCCGGAATCCTCTGACAGATAAGCCTTCTGTACTCGAATAGCAACGAGAATAACGCCGCAGAAAAGAACTCCAAGCCCAATGAGGAGGCCATAGGCTGCTCCCTGTGGTATCAGGGCCAATTTGGCCGTGTCTATTGTGTTGGACATTGTCTGTGCGGCTGAAAGAGCTCACTATCCCGAGGTGGTGGGTGAAATATTTATTGACTCCCAAAAGGCCATTGCATTTTGGTTATTTAACCTTGCAGCTGCGTCAGACCAACGCATAGCCAGGTCCACTCGGCAGTTGCGTGCAACAATCAGACTGCCATGTGGTCGGTGCTTCTTACGTCGTCTGTAGCCCAAATTGCGTTATGCGAAAACGGAAAGGGAGCCAACAGGTCTAGGCACAACGCTTTTCGAAAAGGCAAAAAAGGCGATGATACCATTTGAAAAAAAGTGAACAGAAATCACTACGAATAATAGGTGGGCCCGAGGGAGGTTGTGTTAGTATTGCGTGTAATCATAAAGCGATGGCGAAAAACCGACTCCCTATCACGAACCAACAAAGGACATAGCGCTGCTCCACAACGGCACCAAAAGGAGACTATGGCATCATGTATCGGCCGATAGAAATATTTGACATCCTCCAGGATAATGACGGGATGAGGCTGGTTATATACGGAGGAGTTGTCTAGACAGATTGGCATGGTTAACACCATAGTAAATGTATTATAATTTTCTACACCTGGATATTTCAACAAGTACAACATAATTTATAGAATAATATAGACAGACTTGATAGAAATCAAATAATATTTTACCATGTTTCCAAAAAAGATACATTGCTACCAGGTGCCATGTATGTATCTGAGCCCCGACACCTCGGAACTCTCAAATCTTATAAACAGGCCAGATATGATCTAAACAGTACTAATATATACTGAAATTTTAGTTATATTAAGCCTGAGCTGCAGGAAATTGAGACAATTAATTTATTATTCATATTGAGCTTCTTCTATTTCACAATATATGCATTAGCTGACGGAGCGTACCGAGGGATAACGGCTTGACTATGTAATCATTTACCCCTGCCTTCAAGGCAGCCTCTTGGGTGGCATTCGAAGCAACTGCCGTTATAGCCAAGACACAGGACGGATTAAGACCTTTAGCTCTCTCATATCCGCGTATCTTTGTAGTTGCAGTAAACCCATCCATCACGGGTATTGATATATCTGATACTGCCAATAAGGTATCCACGTTGGAAGACTTCCAGAGCATGTTGTAAACTTACCCATCAAAACAAAACCGAATTGTCCATTGGCATGACCATATTTTTCAACAGCTATCAATCCGTTCAAGACCGCCTCATAATGGCAGCCAAGTTTGCGCATGAATGTAGACATGATCTAGTTGCGCAGCAGTGAGCTAGACAATAAAGGTGACACAGGATTCGGCTTGCGCAACGATTTCAGTAGATATTTGGGACTTGAACTCACCTTGAGCTTGATATCATTATCATCCACAATGAGGACACGCACAGATTTTTGTTGGGACTCGGTTTGGTGGACGGTGGACTCAGATCGTCCGGAAGAATTGGCAGCGGTAAGCGGGGATCCGTAGGGAGAGGTTTCCGAATTGCTCGTAGGGCCTTGCTGTGCCGATAGGAGTAACGTTTGTGGATGACTTGTTGAAAAGGAAGATATTTGTGCTGAGTCTATGGCATCAGGCTGAGGCGGCGGCTCGTAGATATTCGTGAGCCTTTGAGCGGCGTCATGGAGAGTCTTCGGTCCAAATCTGTCCTAGCAGTTAGTAAACGAGACCATTCGACGGGATATTGTTGGATGTACGGATGTAAAACGCGAATGATATTTGCAGGGAGGCAGTCGGAAAGAGACGATGTCTTTCCGCTGAGGACAGTGAAGAATTTGAACCTGTGTTTGTAATCTGTTGTAGGCAGTTGTCCATCTTTCAACAGGGAGTTGAGATTGGCCTCCTCAACGATGGCGACTTCGCCATAGCCTTCTTCAGGGTGTTTGCCTAAACAAATCCGCCATCCTAATTGGTTTTGAAACACTTCATGAAGAGCGCTCTGAATCGGGAGTTTCCGCTTTGCGTCAACGCTCAAGATGCCGGTCGGGGTTTCCTTCAAATTTGGAGAGGCGTTGAAGCCAACCAGATGTGCTCGGATCGGTATTGGTGCTCTCTGTGCCATTCAAATCGATGTATGCGGATCCGGTAATTGAGCGTATTGAGGTGTGTTGAGAGACTTCAAAGGTATGTCTATGTCGACTCTCGTTCCCACACCTATCTCACTTCTGACGTTGGTAGACCCGTCAAGGGATTTCACCAGATTCCGGACAATGCAAAGACCAAGACCAACACCTTCCGATGATGAATCTTCCTTGGCGAATGGAGAAAAGGGCATGTTCTTAAGATAGTCCGTCGAGATTCCTCTGCCAGTGTCCCTGACACATAAGTGGGCAAATGAAGAGCTGGACTGAGCTTCGGGTCTCGCTTTTGATAATGTCACTTCAATAAGGCCAGCCTTGGTCCATTTGATTGCGTTGCCAAGAAGATTGATCAGGATTGTCTTCCAAGCACCAGCCATAGATCGGACCTTCCAGGAAAGGCATTGCTCAATTTGGATGACCATTGAAAGTCCATCAGAACTGCTAGGGCGCCCATGGCCTGTTTTAGGGACGGCAGGGATGATAGACGTATCAGCAAAGGAGGTGAAAGATCCAGAGCTTCGACCAGCGAAAAGAACCGTCGCAACTTCATCAATTAATGCACCGAGGTCGAAGTCTGAATTTAGACCAACGGGGCCCTCTTCAATTGTGTTGTCACCCACTTTCCTAGCAGTTGTTAAGTCTCTAATCTTAGTGTACTCCAGCCTGTCAACGTGTTGACCTAGCGCTCTGAAAGTGAAAAGTATCGGCAAGCTCACAAATGATCTATCATGTCTAGCAAAGTCAAGCCTGACGCTACTACCATCTTGACCAGCTCATCCTGAGGAGGTTGAAGCGTTGTAGACTGTAGCAACTCTGTGCTGCCAAGTATACCGTGCTGCGGAGAGCGAAGCCCCCTCTTCCGCTAGTCAATGGCATCAACAAGGGAAGCAGAGTGCTTAGCGCAGATAAATTCAATGGTCACATTTATACAAATGCCCAATTTGTGATAGTGCAGCGTCGCGCAACTTCTAGTCTGTATCGTGCCATCACTCCCGTACCACTGAAAGTCAATGGATTACATCTGGACCTTTCATTAGCAGATATTTCATTATTTTCGGGGTTGATTGCGAATAACAGCCACTTTCACAAAGTACCCAGAAAAATCATCACCCAACCACAACAATGACCTCGAAAGGTGTGCTTTGGGCGGAAATTTGCGAGATCTGTATACACTTATCCAAAGCGGGGTTGCAACGTCGGATATCGGCATCGAACTTCAGGTAATACTTCGTGAAATAAGAGTATAAAATGAACATCTATCCTCCTGTTCTCCTGACCTTTCCTCAGTTTCGAGATTCTAAATTCTCGACAAGTACATTCCTCTTCATAATTATGGCTCCCTCTATCACCGAGCCCGCTGTACCTGCAGTCCATACTGTAGAAGGCAAGCAGCCCCCTTTGAAAGGAACCGAGCGTGTGCCTTTAAAACTGAATGGTGCTCTGGATGCCTTTGAGTCATTCGATGTCACACCAATCATTGGACGCGAGTTTCCCAACGCAAACCTAAAGGACTTCCTGCGTGCTCCGAACTCCGATGAACTGCTTCGAGACCTTGCAATTACCGGTCGGTGCTAATCTCTCATAATGCTTCCCTGCTAATGGATATATTTCAAGTGTCCCAGCGAGGAGTTGTATTCTTCCGAAAGCAAGATGGTCTCGACGACGACCTGCAGAAAGAATTGGCTCAGCGTCTTGGAGAGCTTTCGGGTAAACCGCGAACTTCGGGGCTACATATTCACCCCGTTGCAAATTCAGGCCGAGATCACAGCGTCAAGGATGACGAAATCAGCGTGATCAGCTCACAGTTGCGGCAGAAGTTGTACTCATACCGTAATACTCGCAAACAAACCGCCAGAAGGGAATGGCATAGCGACATCACTTTTGAGCCCATTCCAAGCGACTACACAATTTTGCGTTTGACAGAGCTCCCTAAGACTGGTGGTGGTAAGCATAAGACATCTTTCTCATCAGATTTGCAGAGCTCATGCATTAGTCCAGATACTCTGTGGGCTTCTGGCTACGAGGTATACGACCGCCTTTCGCGGCCATACCAGAAATTTCTAGAAGGGTTGACTGCTACGTATGCACAGCCTCGTTTCAACCAGGCAGCTAAAGAGAGCGGCTTCGATATTTATAGCCAACCTCGCGGCGCCCCTGAGAATGTCGGAGATGAACTACGCGCTGAACACCCAGTAATCCGCACCAACCCTGTCACAGGATGGAAAAGTGTCTTCGCCGTGGGCAGCCATGTTGAAAAGATCAACGAAGTGACCGAGGAAGAGAGCAGACATCTCCTCGACTGGTTTGTAAACTTGATTGTTGAGAATCATGATCTGCAAGTGCGCTATCGTTGGCAAAATCCCAATGATCTCGGTATGTCATCTTATACTTCATTTTGCGGAGTACCTATATCTGACATATGTAATAGCTATCTGGGATAATCGGTCAGTATATCACGCAGCGACCTGGGACTATGAAGAGATCGGTCCACGGACTGGTCACCGCGCTGTCGGTCTTGGAGAAAGGCCGTATTTGGACCCAAAGAGCACTGGAAGACGGGAAGCGCTTGAGAAAGGCGAATAACCTTATCCTCTATGCATGCTATTTCCGAACCACGTGCGACTGTGTCGGTAAATGGAAAGACTGCGCCAGCAGTTATTGTGCTTAATATATCACTATATTTTCTCACGGTTTTCACTCATTGAATTAATATACCACCGTTCTTCATTCCATATTTCAGAGCAGTGTATACAGAATCAGAGCCACTAATTGGTTCCGAGTCCGATGCTCGCTCGAATGTAATATTTATTCCTGAGAAACCATCCTATTCACCTTGAGGTCTACGGCCCCCGGCAGAAACCGGGTGGGCGCATAGTGAATTAAACATTCAAAAGCAGACAGAAAGCGTACGTCAATGTCAAGGCGACCGATCGACGGAGCTAAAAACCGGGGTGGTCGGAAGCTAAGATGTAGATGGGGCCACCAGGCCCCAAGTGTGGGACGTAGCACCGCTTTCCCGACCCATATTCGATTGCGTCGTAGGCTGGTATGGTCGACTGTTTCGTGCGATGAGATAGCTAGTGAAGATGAACGTTAAACGATACAAGAAAAAGCGTAAGTAATTTCAATCGCAATTCCACCGTCATCGTGTTCTTAAGAAGGGGGAATGCAGATTCCAGCGGGGAGGATCAACAAATAGGTCGCGACCGTAAGTATTAGCCGGGCCAGGCGAGTCCTCCGATCTCAACTTTATTTTCTGACCAAAGCTTATGATTCAATGACTCAACTCAACTCCGGTCCACCATCACTTTCTCACGACATTTTCCCTATCGCCCTGCAGATGACACTGTTCAAAGTCGGCTGCGCTCAACATGCCTTCCATGCAATTCTATCCCAAGGCGCGTCAGCCCCGGCCTAGCATTCATCATCCCTCGGTTCGGCCGCTTCGAATGTCGGTTCTCAAAGCGGCTGCCATCAACGGTCTCTTGCTGCAATTTCTTTTCCTTGGGCTTTTTTGCTATCTATTCGGATCTCTTTTCCAGCAGACCACACATGTTCATAACATCAATGTTCTCTTTGTCGACTACGATGGCGGCGCGGTCGGCAGCGCAGTTCGTGCTGCGAACCAGCAACTCAAAAGCCCGGGTTTCCCGTCATTGATCGAGCGACCCACGCAAGATTACCCGCAGACTGCCAAGATCGAACACGCAGTCTGCGACATCAAATACTGGGCAGCATTTTACGTTGTGTCCAATGCCTCCGATCGGCTAACAGCCGCACTTGGAGGTGGTTCGGCTGCTACTGCGTACAATCAAAGCGACGTTCTCTCATTGGTCTGGAATCAGGCGCGTTACCCGACTGTGGCTGACTCCGCTGTTTATGAGAGCCTACAATCTCTCGCCCAAGCCGCGAGAACTGCTTACATTCAAGGTGGCGGGAAACGGATCATCCAGGCCCTGAACAGCTCCGATCCTGCTGCCATTGCTGTCTTTTCCAATCCGTGGACCTTGTCTTCGATCAACATACAACCGACTACACAAGGATCACGACTTATCTACAACACACTGGTGATCATATTGATACTCATCCAAGAATTTTTTTTCTTGGGTTCCATCAACGGTCTCTATCAGCAGTTTCGACTCTATACGGCTGTGAACCCTCGTCGAATTGCAATCGTTCGCCAAATCCTGTCGGGTGTCTATACGTTCTTGGGTTCCCTGTGTACTACAGGCGCAATCTGGGCTTTCCGATATGGCTGGCACGTAAACGGCAGTCAGTTCGTGCTCAACTGGATGGCATTGTGGCTCTTCGCACATTTGAACTTTTTGGTTCTCGATGTTTTCAGTATCTGGGTCTCTCCTCCGTTTGTGCCAATGGCACTGATAACTTGGATTATACTAAATGTAACTTCGATTCTTCTCCCATTTGAATTGTCGCCTGGCTTTTACAAATGGGGCTATGCCTTGCCTGCGCATAGCGTCTTCCAGGTTCTCATTGACATCTGGTCCGGTGGCTGCAACCCGCAGCTCGGCTACGCACTCCCCGTGATGTTTGCCTATGAGGTTGTCGCACTTGTTCTCAGCACTATCGGTGTGTATAGGCGTGCACATTACGCTTCAATTAAGCAGGAAGTGGATGAGAAACAATTACACGAGCGAGTCGAGGCAGCAATCGCGGAGCAAGAGGAACGTCAGCTGGAAAGAGAGACAACTAGACCAGAGACTCTGGGAAGTGAGACTGAACAGGAAGGAACAACTGCTATGCCGCGACGTGGAACTGTCACAACACTTGAAGACCAAGAAGAGTTGGCAAGCAGAATTCGACGCGAGATTTCCCGCCCTGAAGTTGACAGGGTAGTCACCAGTCGTGAAAGCATGGGTCCCTGTTTTGATTTGGCCTTCACGAAATGATCAAGACCTATGTCGTTTAGATGTAATATTAATTCGAAAAAGACAAGCGTTCTATTTTCTCTTTCTCCTTTCTCCGAATTATTAGGTTCTCTTCGGTAAGCCAAGCGAAATTGACGAGCCTTCTGTCACGATCCTTCTCGTTCCCCAAATTAATAGATTGTCTTTAGTAAGATGTTGCTGAAAACAGCATAAGGTTTATTCTAAGCTTTTCTCTATACCTAGTGGAACTTCTTTTTCGGAAAGTAAATTGTTGTAGATGCAACGTTGCGACTGCTCGGGTTAATTAGGTCCGGCGTTGTGCATGTCAACAAAACTTGGTTTGACATATAATCGTAGCTGAGGCGCGATCGACAGGACTCCATCTTTCCTCCTTCTACCCTCAAGAGATGCACATTTGAATGCCTTGGTTGTCAAAATTTGAATAAGCGCCATGTTATTGCTAACGACATTTGTCTTGCCATTATTGTCTGCGGCGAAGACCGTTCAATCCTTCTCGCCAAAATCTTTCCATCTTGGTTCTACAACGGCAATTGATGGATTTGAAGCCTACACAGAAAGCCTTATCACATTGGATGAAAACAATCCTGTGCTTACCCTCGACTACGGCTCCGAAGTTGGTGGTTTCCCTTTTGTGGAAGTTCAAACCCCTAGCTCAGCTGTCCAGGTTCAGTTAAAATATTCTGAACCATACGATGGTCTTGAATTGCCCCAAAGTGATGGTCCTTGGTATTATAACCCCCTGTCCGTCAATATTTTCGAAATGGAGATTAATAGTTGCTATAGGCTGTATGTCAATGGGCTGATGAATTCTTTCCGCATTGAAACTTTCAATATCACCGAATCCGGAAAAGTCCAGTCATTCTTTATTCAAGGTGGTTTTCGATGGCAATCTATCACCCTTCTAGGGGATACTTCTCTCACAATCAGCAAAATTGGAGTTCAACCTTCGGTAGACATCAAAGATCCCGAATATCTGCCGGGGAGCTTCTCTACCTCTGAGGATATGTATCAAGATGTATGGAACTTGGGTGCACGTGTCGTGCAGGCAGCCTGCGTGGATGCTGGCTCACAGCCCTCTACCTGGGAAGTATCTGATCAAGGCACCCTCATCCGAGGCCAATATCCCGCTGTTTCCGCACTGGGCAATGGTTTCGGGAATTACACACTGGATTTCTCTACCAAGATATATACTGGAGGTACAGGATGGAGAGTCGCTGGCGGTGCAAACGGTGGCTACGGTCCTTACTTTGTGTTAACCTCCAACCGGCCGGGATTGATCAGTTCCAATATTACTGCACTCCCACAAAACAGCTTGATTGCAGGCTACGGGTTTAGTATCATAAACCAAGCCATTTTACCTTCAGCACCCCCGCAGACCTATTCAATCTCTAACGTAACAATTGAGGATGGCATTTGGTACTCCATTCGCACTGTCATCAATTCCACGGGATACGCGATCTCTGTGGACGGCCAAGAGATCGCCTTTATTGAGAATGAACCTTTTACCAGTTATGTGAATGGAGCCTGGGGGTCAGGGAGTCTGACTGATGGTACATTTGGCTTTGGGCCCTACCAGAACCAAAAGGCGCATTTCAAGGATGTCAAGGTGACTGCACAAAATGGAAGTGTGATCTACACAAACTCTTTGACATCAAACGACATTCTAGAGGAGTTCGCGATCGCAAGCAACAAATATTCAGTTTGTCTTGATGGTGCCAAGCGAGATCGAGAAATTTGGATCGGCGACTTCGCTCATACTGCGCGTATAATTGCAAGCAGTAGCGGCCGCTTCGACTACATCCAGAACATGATCGACTTTGAATTCGACTGGCAATATCCACCTGGCCCTGCACATGGTCTTGTACCCATTCAGGCTTACATGGGAGCTGGCAAGCAGTATCGCGAGGTTTATTATCCATCCGAGTTTGGAGAAACAGATTACCAATTCTTTTTTCTCCTGGTGCTCACGGACTACTTTGCATTTTCTGACGACAAGGCACGTCTGAGCAAACATTGGGACGGAATAAAATTGTTAGTTCAGACTCTGGTTGATCGCTACTATGACCCAGCCTCTGGGCTTATGGCCAGCCCTGATGCGTCCTGGTTCACGGCGCAGGGCACCCAAAATGCGACAGCACCAACCGCCCTATTTCTCGTTACCCTCAACCAATTGGTTAATGTTGCCACCGTTTTGAACGAACCACAAACTGCGTTGTCCTGGAACAAGATGGCAGCTCGACTAGGGAATGCCATCAATACTCTCCTGTGGAATGACGATTTAGGTGCCTACAGCTTGTCACTCACTCAGCCCAGCGATAGTGCTATACTTGCAACTGCGTTCACGATTCGGGCTGGCATTGCGTCTCCCTCACGTATTGCTAGCAGTATCGCTCGCCTGTCTGATGTGTTTCTAAAAATCGGTTACAAGGACAATTCGGCCGCAAGCGATGCTTCCAGTACGCAATTGTCGCCAAACACCCAAGGCTTTTTATTTGAGTCGCTTTTCATCGCTCATCTACAATACAATGTGTCCGCAGAGGCAGTTTTACCAGCGATTCGAAATTTGTCTGAAGTCTTTTGGCCCAAGATGGTTACTCAAAATGAGTATTTTACCGGCGCGCCTTGGGAGTACCTCTATCAGGATGGCAGTCCAGGGATTGGCATTTTCACGAGCCTAGGTCACCCTTGGGGAGGAGCAGCCACATACGTATTCAGTAATTACATTCTGGGCGTTCGATCGGAATGGAACAATGCCATTGGAAAATACGAGTGGGTTTTTGATCCTGCTTGGGACATTGCCGAGGGACTTGGTCTTGAGTGGGCGAAGGGTAAGATGCCGCTATCATCTGGAGGGTATATCGAAGCCGAGTGGAAGACGTCAGGGAAGGAAGGAAAGGCCACAGAGCCCTCAATGACCGCCACTGTTGTTGGAAACAAGAACGTGAGGGTCAACATTAAGAAGAGGTTTTGAGTGGGAATTGAATTTCAAGCTTCTCATAGTGGAATATCCCAAAGAAATGTCGAAAGATATCTAATCGCTTCCCTTTTGCAAATATACGCTTGTCATTCCATATGGGGACGACAACAGAGCATGATGGCATCCTCCCTCTCTCGCCCAAACACACACACACATATACACGCTTTTTGCATCTGTCCCTTCTGAATTGTCGGGAAGTTCCGAAACATCCCCTCGCTTAATTTCCAGTAAGGCCTGAGAGTCCCCTTTTCCCCGCGCATGGATCACCTTTTTGCGGGGAAAGGCTGCACTTCGGGTTGTTTATCACCGAGACCATTGAGTCAAAACAAGGGATTTGGGTTTTGTTAAAACTTCCAAAACAAGTACAAATACCTTCCAATATTCGTGCAAGTCTGCTTAACCGTAGTGCTACTCCAATTCTGTGAGAAACAGCAATGCATATCAACAGTTCTTTCAAAGACATTCTGATACCTGCACTTCTGTTGTTCTCTAATTTGAGCGAAGCATGTTGGGGCAACATCACCTGCAGTGGGCCACTTGAGGCGTCTTTTCCTGGCCCCTGGGAGAAGTATATGTACTCACCCGCGGCTCGCGTGGTATCCCCCAAACGGATTCTCAATGCAAATAATGATCTCGTGAAAGTGTACTCTGGTGCTAGCTATCTTGCGGGCAATGGGTCTCTACTTGTCTTTGACTTCGATCAAGAAGTTGGGGGTTTAGTGACCATCAACTTTGAGACATTGGGACAAGGTGTCGTTGGGCTTGCTTTCACGGAAGCCAAGAACTTCACTGGATTTGTCTCGGATGAAAGTAACGGTGGCTCTGGCCCTGATGGTGCGCTTCTTATTGATGTTTCATCCAATCAGTGGAAAGAAGGAAGCTATACTACGCCTCTGAGTAAGCTTCGCGGAGGCTTTCGATATCTCAGCGTGTTTACGCTCACAAATAGCACCACTTTTAATGTTACCCTGAACACTGTCAATGTTGAGCTTGATTTTCAGCCATCGTGGCCAAACTTGAGAGCTTATGGAGGTTATTTTCATTCCAGCGACATCTTGCTCAACCAGATCTGGTACGCTTGTGCGTATACATTGCAGACAAACAGCATCCCGCCCGATACTGGTCGAGTCTGGCCTGCGCCTTCTGAAGGGTGGCTTAATGACGCCAATCTGGGCCCTGGTGACAGTGTCCTAGTGGACGGAGCCAAACGGGACCGAGCTGTTTGGGCCGGGGATTTAGGCATTTCTATCCCCAGTGCTCTTGTTGGACTTGGCGACCTCCAAGCTAGCAAGAATGCGCTTAATATACTTTACCTCAACCAGGTAAATACTGTTTCAATTTGTGACATTTGCTGCAAGTTGAAGTGCAAAGCTAAGACACCAACCATGACAGGAGCCAAGTACAGGAGAGTTGCCAGAAGTCGGTCCACCAATCAATTTCTTTGGATCTGATACCTACCACATGGCAGCAATGATAGCAACGCACGATTATGTTTTGTACAGCAACGACCTTGCTTATCTCGAATCAATTTGGCCGAATTATACGCAGGCAATGGCTTTCATAACTGCCAAAATTGATGACACAGGACTACTCAATGTTACCGGAGCATCGGGCTGGGGGCGATCCGCCACTGCAGCAGGGTATAGCACTATCGGGAACATGCTTATGTATGGAACGTTCAGATCTGGCTCCAGCCTTGCAACATGGCTCAAACAGCCACAATTGTCAGCCAAATGGGATCAGATGGCATCGAAGCTAAAGGCCGTCGTTAATTCTGCAAACTACAATTGGGATCCTGCAGTTGGGTAAGCATAGTTCCACTCTGTTCTCCCGTGTTTTGATCTTTAGCCTCGGAATCTAATAGCAGCATACTAAAAGAGCTTTCAAAAATAATCCGATGGATAATACAATATTCCCCGAAGATGGAAATAGTATGGCTTTATTTTTCAACGGCGCCAACTCATCCCACCTTACCAAAACGAGCGATTATCTCACCGCGAACTGGGGACCTATTGGCGCAAGGGTCCCTGAATGTCCTGGTAGTATATCTCCATACGTGGAAAGCTACGAAATCAAGGGTCATCTAAAAGCTGGCAAGGCAAAGCGTGCCCTGGATTTAATGCGTCTCAGCTGGGGATGGTATCTGAAAAACCCAATGGGCACTGGGAGCTCCATGATCGAGGGTTATAACGAAGATGGATCATTTCTCTATACTGCAAATGAAGGTTATGACGGAGTCGGCTCTTACCCATCTCATGCGCACGGATGGAGTACTGGTCCAGTTGATGCTTTGGTTTCGTATGTTGTCGGCCTTCAACCATCTGCTCCGGGGGGAGCAGGCTGGACTCTGTCCCCCCAAACTGGAGACCTGGAATTTGCTGAAGGTGGATTCACAACTCCACTGGGCAAATTTTCAGCCAGCTGGAAAACTGGACCTGCTGGGCTTACTATCCAGTAGAATGTTCCGAGGGGGACTGTTGGCAAGCTGCAATTGGAGATGACGACTTCGAAAGGAAAGGTCTTGGTGGATGGACATGAGCGCGTGATGGAAATGATGGACCATAGCCGGAACTTGTTCGAGACAAATGTGGAGGGTGGAAAACATACAATCCATGTTGCGAAGTAAGGCCTGAACGTGAACTGCCCGTCAGCTACACAGACAATATATTCCGTAAGACTCGAAAAAATGAAATGTAAACGGATCGTATTTGAAAGCAAACAATCCGACCTTAGCACTGCCTGAAAGCTAATAATCACTAACGCTGCTTAAAAGGGTGAGCTCATCGCCAATGTCCCCATCGGTCCCCATCTCGTCCACTTGCCTTCTCCCTCGATGAGTCGACATTGTATGTTGCCGACTCTAACTCCACTTCAGGCAAGCCTTTGAGTCATTATGCCACCAGTCTGCGAAACCTATGGACGTTTGATGTCAAGGGTTCGATTTTGAGTAACCCAAGAATGATATATCAGACGGAGCCTGGTTGGACTGATGGACTTCAAGTGACGCGGAATGGATACGTGTTGGTAGCAGCAATGGGAGGAGTGGATATCATTGATCCGACGACTGGACTATTACTTGACAAGATCAATACGCCCGACGATATTGTTGTAAATTTGGAACGAGGGCCCCGCAGAGGAGATTGTGGAATGTGGCTGTTGCCTGGACAGAACTACATATACAGGGTTATGATGAAAGAACATTAGCCATACTTTTCTGCTTGATTCCCGATTTTGTCTGAATTCTTGCCCATTTCAGCCAGGTAATGTTTTGAGTGATACCGTTTAATGTAGATGCCATCACTGCCTCGGCAGCGCTATATTGCAAAACATTATAGCTCAGAACGCATAATCCAGTAGAAATATATATATCGTGTCATCTACAGGGCTGATTTGAGTCATGCTATGGCTGCAGACACTTACCGGGGGGTGAGGGCGCAGAACATATATTTCGCAATGTCCACATTAAACCACTCGCATCCACCCAACAGGGACGATATCAAGATATTATGAATGGTACGAAGGGCACATAGGGAAAAGCTGCGTAAAGCAGGTGGCTCAAGTACGGTTGAGCGGACGGGAGCCTTCTTCTCCACTCCCTGGCCGTCGTATATGCCGAAAACCTGCATAATGTACACATTTCAAGGTCTTTGTTGTATGCCGAATTCCCTACACCGCTTCGAATATCGTGCATCACAATATTATCATCAAGTGTCATGGCCGTGCTGGGGGGCTGCAAGGATATGTTTCTAGGAGACCTACCATTTCCTTCCAGGTGCATACCGACTTCAAATGTTGGTATCACAGTGGTAGCCAGGTGGAGGGTTGATGAATACGATGTCACTTTTCGGTCGCGCGATGCTTGAAGAGTGAGATGTAGGGTGATAATTGTTCTAGAGTTGTATGATCGCCATGCCGAGTACATACGAAGGGATATCATGCCCGGTACATCCCCCCAAATATGTCGCCCGCTGTTGCACCTGAAGTGCGTTGCCAGCTGATAAATGGTGGATGACTTGCAGATTCCGCGGAGTATATACTACATCGGAGGGATGACGGAGTGGCTTAGTTTTTGGCTGGTCTAGGAACAAACCATTGAGCTTGGTATACTGTTCCGGCCCCGTGGACTGTCAGTCCCCCTATGACCAGTCAGAAACGTGGAAATTAAGGATCGACTGTATCTCAAACGCCGCGTGAATCAGCCATGTAGCATCTGACCCAAAGTAGAATCGCTCGTGCGGGGCTCCACCCGTGGGGTCCACCAATGCCGATAGTGCAGATGAACATCAAGTCCTTGTGCTAGAATCTTCGAGGAATTTAGTGGCTACTACTGATTTGACGGGTTCTACTGCGGACTTCACCGTTTTCTTTCTTTGGCTAAAATTGAGGAAGAGATGTTCGTTGAACCTCGTGATATCCCCATGCCCAAGAATGCTATTTCGAATTACAAAGTATTTCTGGCGTGGCCATTCTCGTCAGCTGGTTTGAAACCATCTAGCACCCAGTTTTTTGACCAGTGTGACCTGGAATTTATTGAGAGAGGACCGGGAAGGGCCGTCCAGGGATCTCGAAACTGTTCGTTGAATTTACGTTGTAACCTGTCTAAAATAGGTGCACTGTCCAAAAGAGGCACACCCGGGTAGATCAGTTCTTTGCTGTGGCAGACTTTGACCCTGTCGTGAGGGCTTCGCGTTACATTTCTCTCATTCGAAAGCTTCTAGACATCTAAAGAAATGTGACGGTGGCGATGACCGAGTCAGGAAAGTACAGTAATCTTCATAGCTGCGCCGTGTGTCGTGCCGCGTGCCCTTAGCGCTAGTTATCGGAATGTCACGTCTACCAGGGAATCGATCGAGGACCGTCGTGCCTCACGCGGTGAAGTGCAACCCTCCTGTGATAGATCTCGACCCTTTGAATGTGACCGTGCGTCTTTAGCACATCCTACCTCTAGTGGATACTTCGGAATGTACTGGCTAAATATCTGAACTCCATTTACGGGTCCTCCGCGATCAAGAGGACATAAATACAGCTCAATCCCTCTCGGTTCCATCTTCTCTTTTCATCATCGGCCTTCCAACACCGGCTACTCGACTATATTCTCTAGGTTCTTGACGAACCTATCAATTTTTCATTCCTTTGAATAAAGAGTTGATCTCTTACAGAGTTGACCTCTGCCTACTTCTCATTCCTTTTTTTAAACCCAACTCATATTTTTCACTCAAAATGAAGTATTCCGCTATCCTCGCTGGTCTGGGTCTCCTAGCCACCTGTGCATCGGCTGTACCCCATAGGATCAGGCACTATCCCCGTGCTGATTCTGGCGCACAGAATGTTGTCTACTGGGGACAGAACGGTGGCGGTGTTGAGGAAAATAACGACCTGGCCTCTTACTGCAACGGGACTTCTGGTATCGACATCCTTGTCCTGGCCTTCCTGTATCAATATGGCAATGGCAACGATATCGCGTCCGGTATTATTGGACAGTCGTGCTCCATTTCCGGAGGCACTGGCGAACCCTCGCAATGCGATGCTTTGGCCTCAGCAATCAAGACATGCCAGTCCGCCGGCATCAAGATTATTCTCTCCCTCGGCGGAGCCGTTGGTGCGTACTCGCTGCAGTCCCAGCAGGAGGCCGAGACTATTGGCCAGAACCTCTGGGATGCCTACGGCAACTCGGGCAATGGCACTGTGCCCCGTCCCTTCGGTGATGTCTACGTGAACGGTTGGGATTTCGATATCGAAGCCTCAAGCGGCAACCAGTACTATCAGTATATGATCAGCACGCTGCGTTCCAACTTTGCTTCTGACTCCGCCAATACCTACTACATCACTGGCGCGCCGCAGTGCCCCATTCCCGAGCCCAACATGCAGGAGATTATCACCAACTCCCAATTTGACTACCTCTGGGTCCAGTTCTACAACAACCCCGGCTGCTCTGTTAATGGTGTCATCAACTACGACGCCTGGGTCGCCAACGTTGCCAACACCCCCTCCGCCAATGCCAAAATCTTCATCGGTGTGCCTGCTGCCCCCGATGGCGCCACTGGCTCGTCCAGCGGTGCTCAATACTACCTCGAGCCAAGCGCCCTGGCAACTCTCGTCGGCAACTACAGCAGCAACCCTCATTTCGGCGGAATCATGATGTGGGCCGCCGCCTTCTCCGACTCCAATGTCAACAATGGTTGCACCTACGCCCAGGAGGCGCACAGCATCCTCACCACCGGTTCTCCCTGCTAGGCTAGCTCCTAGCCCCTCCAAGTCAAGTTGACGCCACATTCGTTTCTGCCGACCCCTGGATTGGGTCTTGGCTTATTCCAGTGATTGCGGGCTGTTCTCCCATCCAGTTCCCTCGCTAAATCTTGTGATAAATCATTTCGAGTTATTCCGCGCCTCCCCCATTGAGGAAGCCCGAGTCTGCCCTTTGCATTAAAGGTCTACTCAACCCATTCGTGTACATATTTACGATCCCCAAGCTTCTTTCATGAAACATGATCTTGCATATTCTCATTTAAAGTTGACAACTTGCATTCGAGTATTATTCCTATGTAAAAGTTCCAACTCCTATTCGCTATCACTTGCAAATGACGGTAAGAGCCATCTTGCGGGCGGCACGTGGGAGATACGGTAACACACATCCTCGTCAGGGCGCATGATGCTATTATTTGTGTAACATGAAATGCTATTAGGGGCGATATCTCTATCCTGACTTGAATGCAACAGCAATCCAACGAAACGCTTTATCGCTCCAGAACTGGTCACTCGTGGGGCCAGAAGTCACAATGCAGTGGTAGTCTGAGGCTATGTGTCCGCGGGACAAGATGCCTAGAACTTCAAAAGATCGACAGTATGACCAACATAAAGACTGGTGCCAGTTCTGCAAAGCCGAACCACACGCAGCGGCAGAGGCAAGCCTATCACATATGTTGCGGTTCCTGGTGTTGCATTTACTCCAAAACTGCGGGGCTAGTTGATCCTGCAGGTACCAGAGGGGCTTAGTGGATGTCCGTGCTTTAGAGGCGCACCACCCCCTCGGGCCATATTCCCATTTGGTTTCGTTTCACCATCTCCCTTAGTCTAATCAGCCCGGTCAGTACGAAGATGGATGCAACACTGAGAATGATAATAATGGGGCCATTATATACACCGAATCCAATCAACCAGTTTCTTCACCTAGCCGGCGGTGTGCAGCCCTCCGCGTGGCTTCGGCTCTGGCGGTACCACACTCTTGGCTAGAAAATGCGACTTCAGGTATTATGATGATCATTAAATAATCTATATAAAACTTCATGCGAACATGTTTGGTTTGTCCAGTGGAGAATTTATTAGTTCGTGTCGGAAGTATATTGCTAGATTGCCGGGTCCCGATATGAAAAATTATGGATCAGAGATGGGGTGCAAATCACCGAAGATTTCCGGGCCATTATGGAGATCTTCTGGAACGTTAAATGTGAACAATTCTCC